CGGGCTCACCAGCGCCCTGTAAGTCAGTCAAGCATCCTGGGACCGCGTATCGCAGCAGGTGTAAGAGCAGTCGACTAGCTCAGCGCCGAGACCGGCGAGTGGCAGTCGACCTTGCACGGCGCCGGGCCGATTTGGGTCAGGGAGCGGCGTTTTTGGGGGGCGCAGGAAGGGCCAGCAAAGGTACTAGAGGGGGAGTAGAGAGCAGGAGGAGAGAGGGATACACAAAGTCCGACAGGAAGAAGGCGAGGTCCCCACTCGGCGTCCTCACGCTCTCCGCGAGCGCCTCGCCCTCTTCCTCCTCCTCCTCTTCCTCCTCCACCTCCTCCAAGGCTCGACGGACCCCCTCGCCCCCCTCACCCGCCCTCAGCGCCGCACCCCGCCCCGACGCGCCCCTCGCCCGCTCGCCCAGCGCCGCGACCGCGCCCGGACCCGCCCCGCCGCCGCCGGGCGCGAGCCGCTCCTCGAGCGCGCTCAGCGCCGCGCCCACTTCGCGCGCCTCGTCGAGGCCCTCGAGCGAGGCCCTCGCGCGCCGCACGCGCTTGGCGAGCAGCTCGCGCTCCGCCTCGCCCTCGCCCTCGCCCTCGCGCTCCGCCGCCTGCGCTGCGCCGCGGAGGACCCGCGCGAGGTACGCGGCCGTGCAGGGTGCGCGGCGCGGGTGCGCGGCGAGGAGGAGCGGGACGAGGGTGTCGAGGAGGGGGAGGAGGGCGGACGGGAGCGGGGTGGTGGGGTCGAGGAGGGGAGGGGGAGCGGGCGCGGGTGCGGTGAGAGCTGGGGGAGGCGCTGGGGGCGAGTCGAGAGAGAGGAGGATGGCGCGGAGGGTCGCCTCTGTTGCGGCGAGGGAGAGCGGCGTTGCGGAGGAGGAGGTGGAGGAGGAGGAGGGGGGAGCGCACACGGCGCGGGCGACGGCGGCGGGCCCGCACACTCTTGCGTCGAGCGCGACAGACAGGTAGGCTGCGACGAGTGGCGGTGCAGGGGCTGTCGGTGCGGCGGTGCCCGAGGCGAGGAGGGCGACGAGGGCGGCTGCGATGCGGGGGTCGACCGTGAGCGGGGAGGAGAGAGAGAGTAGCGAGGCAAAGGGGAGCGCACCGCTCAGTTGGCGCTCGAGCTCGACGTGGTCTAGCTGCGCCGCCTCGGCTGCTTGCCGCACCAAGGCGAGCCACTGTTGCTCGTGGGATCGGGTCAGTTTACGACGCGAGCTGATGAGGACGAAAAGGAGCGGACGCACCGTCTCGCTGGCGAGGCCGCGCGCGTAGCACGCTCTGGTGACGGCGTCGAGTGTCGGGGTCGGTACGTCGAGCGCCATGATGGGGCGCGAGCGAGCGTGTCGAGGTCAGAGCCCGGGGAGCGAGAGGTCGAGCTGTTGCGTCTCGAGCCGACGTTCTCTCGCTTCCTGCTCGCCAATGCTGCGCAGGACCTGAGCAATGAAGCTTGACTCTCGGACCGGCGCAACACGAGAACCGCACACTCTCGAGACGGGCACCAATGCGAGGCAAGCGAACGAGGTTACACAGGGGAGGGTGGGTCACGAACAAACGACGAGGGGGGTACAAAGACAGGCTCGAAGGGTGCTTCAGCCCTGGCGCTGTAGACATGTGCGGCGAGAGAGTCAGTCGAGAGGCGCAGAGAGGGAGGAGAGAGAGGGAGAGGAGGGACGCACCTGCTTGTGCTTGGGGTTGAGCGAGCACAGGATGAAGACGGTGCCCTTGCGCCTGACCGACTGGCAGCCAGAACACAGTCGACGCACACTCGAGCGCACCTTGAGCCCACGCGCACCGTCGACGAGCGCCGTCTGGCGATCCGCGACGGTGGCCGCCGCCGAGGACGAACCGGGGCGAGCGGGCACGCCGACGAGGCCTGCAGCGGCGGGGGCCGAGCGGGGTGCGCACCTCGCGCAGCCGCACGAGCGCGGGTGGGTCGGTGCGAGGCGCGAGGCTTGGCGGGTTGCGCCGAGAGGCGAGGCGAACGAGGACGAGAGGGAGGTAGACGAGGAGGTGGACGACGAGGGGGCCGAGGGTCGGACGATGGTGCTGGTGGGTGCTGAGCGCGAGGCACAGCGGGCGCAGCCGCAGCGGGGCGGGTGCGAGGCGGGCGAGACGAGGGACGAGAGGGTGCGGGAGGAGGAGGACGAGGTGTGGGAGGTGCGGATTGCGGCGCGGAGGGGTGCGCGGGCGAGTGCGAGCATGGTTTGTCCGAGTGCTTGAGGGTGTGGACTGGCTGCTTGAGGGAGCGAGTGAGGCGATGGCGGGGTCGAGGTCAGGTCGGGGAGAGAGGAGGAGGGGAGGGTCAGTGGGCGGGATTGAGCGGGTGGGGACGGGGTGCGAGTTGGACAGGGTGCGAGAGCGTACCTTGTCGAGGTGGCCTGGAGGTGCAGGTAGCTGGCTCGGGGTGAGGAGCGAGAGCCGAGTGAGGCGAAAGGTGGTTGGCCGGCAGGACGACGACGAGGACGACGACCAGGTTGGCCACTCTCCTCGACCTCGCCTCGCCCGCGCACCAGTCCAGCATTCCCGCCATGCTCTCGACCCAGCGCATGCGCTCGGCATCCTCCCACCTCGCCCGCGCCACCCGCCGCACCCCGACCACCTCGCTCCGCTCCTTCTCCGCCTCGTCCTCCACCTCAGCCCAGATCACCCTCGAGGTCGATGGCGTCCCCGTCACCGTCGAGCAGGGCACCGCCTTGATCCAGGCCTGCGAAAAGGCTGGTCCGTCCCCTCTCCCTCTCTCTCCTCTCGTCCCCCTCCCTCCCCTCCAACCTCTGCCCGACCTCATCTCGCTCACCTTGCACACACCCTACAGGTGTCTCGGTCCCGCGATTCTGCTACCACGACCGCCTCAACATCGCCGGCAACTGCCGGTCCGTCTCTCTCCTCCTCTCGCGACTCGTCGAGCGGCGACGAGCCTTCACGCGTCGTCCGCCACTGCCCGCCCTCGTCTCCCTGCGCACCCTCACTGACGGCCCTCGTACCCTCCAGCATGTGCCTCGTCGAGGTCTCGCCCGGTCCGCCCAAGCCTCAGGCCTCGTGCGCGCTCCCGGCCATGTCCGTCTCCCCCTCTCTCTCTCTCTCTCTCTCCTTCTCTCGCACCTCCTCAACCTGCGACTGACGCGCCCCCAACCCGCTCGCAGGCCCGGCCAAAAGGTCAAGACCAACACGCCGACGGTCCACAAGGCGCGCGAGGGCGTCATGGAGTTCCTCCTCGCCAACCACCCGCTCGACTGCCCCATCTGCGACCAGGGCGGCGAGTGCGACCTGCAGGACCAGTCGATGCGCTACGGCTCGGACCGCACCCGCTTCCACGAGATCACGGGCAAGCGCGCCACCGAGGACAAGAACTTTGGCCCGTTGATCAAGACGTCGATGAACCGCTGCATCCACTGCACGCGCTGCGTCCGCTTCGCCAACGAGGTCGCCGGCGTCCAGGACCTCGGCACGTCCGGTCGCGGCAACGACATGCAGATCGGCACCTACATCGAAAAGACGATCAACTCGGAAATGTCGGGCAACGTCATCGACCTGTGCCCGGTTGGCGCCCTCACGTCCAAGCCGTACGCGTTCGAGGCGCGCCCCTGGGAGCTCAAGAAGACCGAGTCGGTCGACGTCATGGACGCCCTCGGGTCCAACATTCGCATCGACTCGCGCGGCCAGGTCGTCATGCGCATCCAGCCGCGCCTCAACGACGACATCAACGAGGAGTGGATCTCGGACAAGACGCGGTACGCCTACGACGGCCTGCGCACCCAGCGCCTCAACACGCCCCTCGTGCGCGTCGGCGACCGCTTCCAGCCCGTCACGTGGCCCGAGGCGCTCCACGCCGTGCGCGACGGCCTCGCCGCGAGCGGCGCGACCGGCAACGAGATCCAGGCCGTCGGCGGCGCCCTCGCCGACGCCGAGTCGCTCGTCGCCCTCAAGGACCTCGTCAACCGCCTCGGGTCCGACAACACGGTCGTCGAGGGCCCCGTCACGTCGTCGCGCGCGCCCGCTCACGGCGTCGACCACCGCGCGGCGTACACGTTCGGCTCGTCGATCGCGGGCGTCGAGTACGCCGACCGCGTCCTCCTGATCGGCACCAACCCGCGCCACGAGGCGGCCGTCCTCAACGCGCGCCTGCGCAAGACGTGGCTCCGCAACGAGACGGACCTCGCGCTCGTCGGCGAGGAGTTCGACTCGACGTTCGGCTACGACCACCTCGGGACCGACGTGGCCGCCGTGCGCGACGTGCTCAATGGCAACAAGGGCGACTGGGCCAAGCAGCTCGACGGCGCAAAGCGGCCCATGATCATCGTCGGCTCGCACGTCGCCGAGCACAAGGACGGCGCGAGCGTGTTTGCCGAGGTGGCCAAGTTTGTCGAGAAGCACAAGCACAAGTTTGTCACGGACGAGTGGGTCGGCTACAACGTCCTGCAGCGGGTGCGTCCCCTCTCTCTCTCTCTCTCTTGTCCCTCGTCGTCGTCGCTCGGACCGGGTCCTGACCTTCTCTCCCTCCCTCTTCCTCTCTCTCTCGCTCTCTGCAGGCCGCATCTCGGACAGCCGCCTACGACGTCGGCTTTGTCCCGTCGGCCGCCGCGTCCAAGGCGTCGCCCAAATTCGTCTACCTGCTCAACGCCGACGACTTTGCGCCGTCGTCGATCCCGCGCGACGCGTTCGTCGTGTACCAGGGCCACCACGGCGACCTCGGCGCCCAGTACGCCGACGTCGTCCTGCCCGGGTGCGCCTACACCGAGAAGAGCACGACCTGGGTCAACACCGAGGGCCGCACCCAGCTCGGGCGCGCCGCCGTCCCTCCCCCTGGCGCCGCCCGCGAGGACTGGAAGATCGTGCGCGCCCTGAGCGAGGTCGTCGGCGCGACGCTGCCGTACGACGACACGGGCGCGGTCCGCGACCGCCTGTGGGACGTGTGCCCCTCTCTCGTCCGGTACGGCGAGCTCGAGCGCCCTTCGTCGGTCCTCGCCGGCCTCACCGCGCTCCGGGCCTCGGCCGAGCGCACGGGCGCCATCGACGGCGGCCTCGAGGGCCCGCTCAAGAAGCCGATCGAGAGCTTTTACCGCACCGACGCCGTGTCGCGCAACTCGACCACGATGGGCCACTGCGTGCAGGCGTTCGACAAGGGCGACAGCGCGGCGGGCAAGAACGTGTACGGCGACGACGGCCAGAGCCAGAAGGGCCACAACGAGGCGCGCGCATAGAGTGGGCCGGCGGCGGTGAGCGTGCGAGGGCGAGGTGGTCGGCGGGTCGCGAGGAGGGAGGGAGCGAGCGGGTTCCCCTTGCTACCGTGTGTAATTTCCGAGCAGTCTCTTTCTCTCTCTGTCTGTGTGTCCCAGAGCGGCCGAGAGCGCGATCCCGACGAAAGGCAGAGAGCTCGAGCCGGTCCGAGCGAGGTGGGCGAGGAGGACAAGGCGCGACTCGTGGGCATTTGCGTCGAGTCGACGACGCCTGATGTTCGAGCCCGAATGTTCACGCTCTGCCAGCGTCGGCGAGAGTGCGGGCTCGAGCTTGAGCAAGGGACGAGCAAGGCTGGAGGAACGAGCGCCCGCGAGCGAGGGGAGAGCGTCGCTCGCAGCGAAGGAGCGTGGCGCGGCGACTCTCGCGTCGCGCGCTTGCCAGACTCCCTTAAGCAGCGAGCTTCGGGCTGGTAGCCTCGGAGAAAGGCAAGCGCCTCGAGCGAGCGAGAGAGAGAGGGAGCAAAGCCGGTGCGCAGCGGCGACGGGCCCTGCTCGTCGGCACGGCTGTGCGCGACAGCGAGGCGTGCGGGTGCAGCGACCTGTGGGACGCAGCATATTATGCGGCGAGCAGGGGAGCCACTGCTCGGCGAGGAGCCGGCTAGCGCGCCGAGAGGAGAGATGGGCGGCGAGGAGGAGGCGGCCACAGGGTCACCGCGACCCAGGCGGCGCAGCTTCGAGGGCGCTAGACCCGCCTGTCAATGACGACAAGGCCTGGGCGTCTCTGCGCGGCCTCGCGGCGAGGTAGTGACGAGCTGGAAGGCGAAACTGATGAGCCGAGGTCGAGGGGGAGGGGAGGCGGATGGCGACACGGGGGCGAGTCGGGGCTGGACTGGCGAGGCTGCAGCGGTGGTGCTGGTGTGCTCTGCGTCTGCTCGGAGGCGAGCGCGGCCTGCTGAGGGCTGGACGGCGTGCTGCTGCATGTGCTCCCCTCCCTCCTCCCAACCTCTCCAACGCTCGCTCGCCCGTCGCAAGTCTCCCAGCTCAGCTCGCACGAGCACACACGGCGCCCTGCAGCCGCCGCCAGCTGCTGTCGAGCTCGCGAGCACGCCCGCCCGCAGCCCTCCGCTCGACTCGCTTCTCGCTGCAGGCGGCGTTTCCGAGACGGCGTGCGCGCGCGGACGGGCGTCGCTCGGCGCAGCCTCCTGTTCCGGCGGTTGCTGCCCTCGAGCCGGCCGGGCTGCACAGCTCTCCTTGCTCCCTCGCGTGCGGCGGCTACAGAAGGGGGGCTCGTGCACCGAGCCGGACCGCGGACTTTCCGCTCGCGCAAGCTCGCAAGCTTGTCTCCGTCGACGAGCGGCCTTCTTCCGCTCTCGTACGCTCGCCATGCACGCTCCCGACATGGCCCACTTTGACGAGCAGGCTTCGAACCTCCTGCGCGCGAGGGCCGACGAGCTGTACGAGTGGCTCGGACCTCACGCCAGCGCCTCGGGCCACCAGATCATCGGCGGCTGGCTCAGCCTGAGCCCTGCCGACCGCGAGACGGTCACGGACGTCCTGATCGCGACCTGGGCAAAAGGGCTGTGCACGGGCCATTTCCAGTTTGACGCGGTCCGTCCTCTTCCGCTTCCTCGTCCTCGTCGCCCCCTCTCACTCTCCTTTTCGGCGTGTCGCAGGTCGCCTACGACAGCTTCCAGCGCGGCTTTGTGCCGGGCCACTGGGAGGAACACGTGCGCACGTTCCCCTTTCCGTCGCACGAACCTAACCTGACAGCCGCCTTGCCGCTGCAGTACGGCTTTCAGGGGCAAGTGACCCCGTTCGACACGGCCACGATCGTCGGAATGTACCGGAACTACATCGTCTCAAGGGTGCACACGGCCGTCGACGAGTACACTCGCCACCACCGCCGCAAGCGCGCCGACGAGTGGGCGCACGAGCTCCTCGGCCCGGGCGGCCTGACGGTCGTCAAGCTCACCCGCCTCGGCGAGAAGGCGACCGACTTTATCCGGTGGCGGGTCGTCCACGTCGAGGAAGAGGTGAGGAGGGACTCGAGGGACTTGGAGCGTCTCGACGAGCTCATGGTGCGTCCGCCGCTGTGACCTCCTCCCCCTCTCCCTCGCCGATTGCCCTCTCCCTCTCCCTCGCCAAGACTGACTTTCAGCGTCGTCGCATCTACAGTGGCCTGCCGACAAGTTCATGCGCCTCGCCACGGTCTACGCGCAGTCGGCCGAGCACCGCTTCGCCATCTACCGCCACCTCCTCGAATCGCTCCAGCTGCTCTACGCGAAGGAGAACACGCTCAACTCGGCGCACGTCGACCTCAAGGTCACCGACGCCCGCCGTGTCGCCCAGGCCATCGCCGAGTGGACGAGCGACGCCGCGTTCCACGCTTTTCAGGCCGAGGAACCCGAGCACCAGGCCCACACGGTCTCGCACGCCCGGTTCATGATCCTCAACGCGTGCCGCAAGTTTCACATCTCGGGAGAGACGCTCGACGTCGACGAGCTGGTGCGTCGCCCCTTTCCTCCTCTCCCACTTCCCTGCCGCCAGCCTCGTGCACTCTACTCACCCTCGTCACCGCGGTCCGGACAGATTCGCGGCATGAAGGACGTCACGTTCGACGACCTGGAGTGGCCCGACTTTGAGACGACGAGCAACGAGGTCCGTCTGCGACCTTCTCCTCCTCGTCCTCTTTCTCCCTCGCCGACTGACCCTGCGCCTCGACCCTCGCAGAAGGCCGAGCCGCGCCGGCCTGCGTACTCGCTCGCGCACGGTCCCCAGATCTCGGACTACTACGCGCAGAGGCACTACGGCACGACGGCGGCGGCCTGGAGCCGGCGCCAGCTCTGAGCGCACGGTCCGCTCCCTTTCCTTCGTAGACTTTCCCTCGTCCCTTCTCGCTCTCTGTCATTCGATCGTCTCTCGCCCGTCTTAAGCGCGCTCTTGAGAGGATTTGCGCACGATAGCGAGCGAGCACGAGCCGTAGCGACCGGTGGACCAGAGTACCTTCAGGGCTCTCCTCGCGTCTCTCCGACGCCAAGCTCGCAGGGTACGGGCGAAAGGGACGAAGAAAGGGGCAATGCATGTACGAGGGAAGGAGAGAGACTATGAGAGAGGAAAGGCACAGAGGGGAAAAGGGGAGGAAGGCTACTCGGTCTTGCCGACGGCGCCGACGAGGCCCTCGCCGTTCTCGTTGCGCTTCCAGAACTCGGGCAGGCCCTCGACGTTGGCCGCCGCATCGGCCGGGTCGCCGACCGCCTCGACCTTGTACCCCTCGCCCTCGCGCTTGTTCTCCTCGTCGGCGTCCTCCTCGGCCCAGCCGAGCGCGCGACGCGCCATCTCGTTCGGCGTGAGGCGCATACCGTGCTCGTCCATCCACGCGCGCTTGAGCTCAAACTCGCGGCGGCGCACGAGGTCGGACGCGACGCTGCCGTCCCACGCGAGGCGCGTGAGGAGCCACCTCGTGAGGGCGCGCAGGACGAGGTAGGCGTGCGACGACGCGAGGGCGACGACGGCAGCCGTGAGTAGCGTCGACTTGATGGCGTCGAGGGCGACGAACGAGCCGTGCGCGGGAGGGAGGGCGCCCATGAGGAGGGGAGCGTCCGAGGCCGGCGGGAGCGACGCCGACTGGGCCGTCGCGAGGCGGGTCGTGTAGAACGGGACCGAGCCGTCGGCGGGGAGCGACACGTTGTGGTGCGTGAGGTTCGACAGGTAGTGCGCTGCCGAGCCGGGAACGGTCGCGCGAGGTTGGTAAAGGTAGACGAGCGACGACGCCGTGATGGCCGAGATGTACGAGATGAGGCCCTGTGGCAGCGCATAGTGCGTCAGAAGGGTCGTCGAGGTCCGAGAGAGGGAGAGTGAGAGAGTGAAGACGCACAAGGACCTCGAGCCAGGGGCCGATACTTGCCTCGCGAGACGGGATGGGCCGGCGCATCTGGCTCGTGATCTTGAACGCGTCCGAGCGGATCTCGAACTGTAGGGATGAGGGTCCAAGTCAGGTCGTGGGCGACGAGAGGAGAGGGAGAGGGACGCACAAAGTTGTTGATCAGGCTCCAGATGGGAGCGACGGGCCAGACGACGCCGAACAGGACGAGGTACCCGAACTGCTGGGCCATCTCGGCGTACTCGCCAAAGATGACAGCGCTGCAGGTCCTCGGCCAAGGTATCAGAAGTCGGTCGGCGGAGGGGAGCGAAGGAGGAGGAGGAAGGAGGACGCACGTCGGCAAGAGCTGCTCCTCGCGGACGCGCTTGAGGAACTCCTTCTCGTCCTCGTGCTCCTCGATCGACTCGTTCTTGTCCTTCTCGCTGACGGCCGGCGCGTGGTGGAGCTTCTCCTGCACCTTGGGCACGAGCTTGGCCTTGAGGAACGGGACGCCGATCTCGATAAAGGCGCCCGTGACCTGGGCCGTCAACGAGTAGGCGACGAGCTGCGTGTGGAGCTTGGACGCGTTGACGCTGAACGAGCCCGACTGGAGCGACGACGAGGTCGACTTGCTGAGGGCGGCGGCGTGACGAGACGGGAGGCGACCGAGGATGTGCGGCACGAGGAACGAGCCGAACGGGATCTGCGCGGCCCTCCCCGGAAACTCAGCTCGTCGTCCTCAGAGAGAGAAGAAGACGGGGAGCGAGAGAGGGAGAAGGGGGACGCACGTAGACGTAGCTGGTGAGGAGCAAGTTGCCGTACGCGGCGACGAACTGCAGCGCGAACGTCTTGACGGTCAAGCTGGCCTCGTGGTCGCGTTGGCGAGGGTGGTTCTCAAAGTTGGTGAGCTTGTCGGCGACAAAGCCCCACACGGTCGTCACTTGCGGGACGAGCGTGACGAAGAGGACGGTCGGGATGAGGGTCTGTGCGCAAACTCGAGGGCGAGGTCAGTCGAGGCGCTCATGAGAACAGGGCAGAGAGAGGGTGGTCCGCACGAGGAACTTCTTGCCCGGGCCGTCGTAAACCTCGCCGAGGAGCGTCTCGACGACGTAGATGGCCGAGATGGCGGCGCCGAGGATGCCGACGAACGCCATGTAGGCCGGCACGCCGGCGAGGGCCCTCGTCAGGGTGCGGCGGAAGCTCCACAGCTCCTTCTCGACGCCCGTGACCGGGTCGACCGTCTTGCCCTCGCCCTTGAACCCGGGACGCGCCTGCTCGACGCGGTCGAGGCCGTGCGTGCCCCACTGGACCGAGATGGCGCGCTCGCGCAGGCGCCACGACTCGATGAAGACGATGGACCACCCGACGAAGCCGACGGCGAGGAGAGGGTGGAACGGGAGGCCGAGGACCCAGAACGACAGGCCGAGGACCGAGGGGAACAGGAGGGACCGGAAGTAGAACGACAGGAAGGCAAAGTACATGGCGACGCGCTCGCCGAGGACGGCCTTGAGGTCGTCGAGCTCGTGTTGCGGGATCGTGAGCATGTCGAGCGGGTTGCGGCTGCCGGTCGTCGACGGCGAGTTGGTCGGGAGGTTGGACCAGCGCTTGAGCCACAGGCGGTTCTGGACCGGGTTGTGCGGCGGGTACATGTCGACGAGGTGCGGGAACTCGACCTTATTGGCCGGGCTCGGCGGGAGCTGGGTGACGAGCGGGAGGCCGCACACGGGGCCAGTCGAGGCGGACGAACGGATCGAGGCGGCCTCGCCAGCCGGCATCGAGCTCTGCGGACGCGATTCGACAGTCAGCTCTTGCTCCTTGTGCTGTGGATGCTGAAAGAGGAAGAGGGACGTACAGTGAGGATCGAGTAGACGAGGCGCAGACGCTCGCTCTCCTCGATGGGCTCGGCCGCAAAGTCCCTCGGCTCCCTCGGCGACGGCTTGGGGCTCGCGAGGCCGTGGAGCCAGTCGCTCATCCTGCGTACATGCTCAACGACCTGTGAGTTCTCTGCCCTGCCGCGACGGTACGGCGAGAGAGTGGGGGCGACGTCATGACGCACCTCTCCCTCGTCGCCTCCTGGCGCACGCGGTGCTCGTCGGCCTTGACAAAGAGGAGGAGCGAGTTGGTGCTGTGGGCACCTTTGCGGCCCTGGACGGCGAACCCGGCCGTCTTGAGGCGAGTGACGAGCGCCGAGTGCTCGCTGCGGAGCTGCTCTGCCCGCTTGGCCTTGACGCCCTTGTCCTGGGGCAGGCCGCGCACGGGCGAGTTGTAGTGCGGGTCGAGCGAGAAGACGAGCACAAAGTCGGGGCTCGGATCCATCCTGGCGGTAGGTGGAGAGCGAGTGACGAGGAGGAGGATGAGAGCGAGAGGAGCGGGGCGGTCCTGCGGCGGCCGAGCCAGACGAGGCGGTGCAACGACGACGACTGACGCTCTCGAGGGAGAGAGGGTGCACAGAACATTGCAGGAGGAGCGACGAGAGGGCTAGACAGTGTGTACAAGGCTGGGCTCGGTAAAAGGACGAGAGAGGGTGCACAAAAAAGGTCGACGAGACTCGGGGCTGGACGAGGAGAGCGAGAGAAGGGGGGAGGAGGGGGAAAGGGAGGTACAAGAGGGCAAGGAGGCACCCGTACTAAGCAGCGTCCGTGGGGCTGATACTTTTCTCGCGCCGAGGCGAGGCGAGCGGCGCCGAGAGGAGAGGGGCTCAGGACGCCGACGCCGCCGACGCGCTCGACGACAGCCGCCGGCGCGTCTTTGCGAGCTCGCGCTTGAGCTGGGCCGTGTCGAGAGGCTGCGAGAGGAGACACGGGGTCAGTGTGTGGACGGGCGAGGAGAGAAGGGGAGGGGACAAAGCGCCGACGCACCTTAAGGAGCTCAAACGAGCACAAGAGGTCGAGCGAGACCGACATGACGGCGCCAAAGTTGTCGAACTCGCCGCAGTAATTCCTGCGTTCGGCCGGGAGCAAACGTGAGCTGGCTGTGCGGCGAGGGGAGCGACGAGAGGGAGAGACCGGGGACGCACGGTGCCGAGAAGATCGTGACGAGCGCTCGGTCGCACCAGAACTCGTAGCCGTCTGCGTGCGAGGAGAGGAGTGAGCGCTCGATCCCTGACGGCAAGCACAGGGGAGCGGCCGAGTCGGCGAGAGCGACCCGACCCAGGACCCCGCAGGCTCGAGCAGAAGGAAAGAGGGGGACGCACCCTCGACGACCATGTGTGCCCGACAGATGAGGTCAAAGTCGTACCGCGCCAAGAAGGTGCCGATGACCGTCTTGCCGAAGCAGTAGCTGACGCCGCGCTCGTTGTCCTCCCAGTCGAGGGCCGTGTCGCTCGGGTCGCTCCACAGGAGGTCGTTCAAGAGGCCGTAGTCGGGCACGTCGGTCGGGCGCGAGATGCGGCGGATGTCGTCCATCGACGACAGCGAGGGCGAGAGGCCGCCGTGGACGCAGAAGATCTTGCTCGCGACGACGGCCGCGATCGGGAGGCAGTTGAACACGTCGATGAACGTCTTCCACACCTTGATGTTGCACCGGCGCTTGCACTCGTCGTAGAAGCCGTACACTGTGGGAGTGGGAGCGAGAGGGTGAGTTTCTCGGACCGTCCCGAGAAAGAGAGAGAGAGGGAGACGCACCTCGGGTCACGTTGGCGCACTCGTGGTTGCCGCGCAGGAGGAAGAAGTTCTCCGGGTACTTGACCTTGTAGCACAGGAGGAGGAGGATCGTCTCGAGGCTCTGCTTGCCCCGGTCGACGTAGTCGCCGAGGAACAGGTAGTTGGCGTTGGGCGGGAACCCGCACATCTCGAACAGGCGGATCAGGTCGCTGTACTGGCCGTGGACGTCGCCGACAATCTTGACCGGCGGCGACAGCTCGACGAGCGTAGGCTGCGACAGGAAGACCTCGCGCGCGGCCTGGCAGATGGCCGTGATCTCGGCGTTCTTGAGGCACACCGACTTGGTCACCTTGCCCGAGTAGCCCGCGTCGAGCAGGCGCGAGATCATGTCGTCGACGTCGAACGTGCCGCCGAGGAGCGCCGTCCCGCTCGCGCCCGCCGCGCCGCCTCGCGGGGCCGCCGTCGGCGACGTCGACAGGAGGCCGGCGGGAGGGACGGCCGACGACGACGACGAGGCCGAGGGCGGTTGCGCCGACGTCGGTGTCGTCGCGGCGCTCCCTCCTGCAGGCGTCATCGGGTTGGACAGGATGGTGCCGCCCGGCGCGCCTTGGTCGGTCGTTGTACTCGCGCTCGGCGTCAAGGTGCCGACGCCCGCCTCGGCGCCGCCTGGGTTGGCGGTCGGCGTGCGCGACAGGGCCGTCGCGGCCGTCGTCGTCGACGACCTGCTGCGACTCGGCGCGAGGTCGACGGCGCCCGACCCACTCGTGCTCGTGCCCGCCATCGCTCCCCCTCTGTAATCTGGCCGCGCCGCCTCGCCCTGCCCACCTCCTGCTGCGCCGCCATCTGCTCCTCCTGCTCCTGCCGCGCCGACCTGGCCGGGAGGCGGCGGGGACGGGTCGCCGGGTGCGGCGGCGGGGTTGTTCGAGGCGCTGGCCTGGCTGTGGGCGGACGAGACGGACGCGGCGCGCTTGGCCCGCTTGTCCTTGGAGGACTGGTTGCCCATGGCGGGGTGAGGGTTGGTGTTGGTGCTGCTGCTGGTGCTGCTGCTGTCGATGGGCGAGTCGGTGCGCTGCCGAGATCGGGGGCGAGGTCGAGAGAGAGAGAGGGGCGAGTGGGGAGGAGCGAGAGGCTCGGCGAGAGAGCGGCGGGGCGAGGTAGAGCTGGTGCCGGTGTGCGGTGTGGGGTGCTGGCTAGACTCGGGTGCGGCTCGCACAGTCTGAGAGAGTGCTGGCGGCGTGTGAGGGTGTGGGGAGGTGGACGAGGGCGAGGCTCGAGACGAGGTGCGCGGGCGGGACGAGACTTGGCTGCTCGCTGTCTCTCTCGCTCTCCCACTGAACAAGGAGTCACACGACACAGCGAGCAGTGATACAGTCACACGAGAGAAGCCGGGGCGTGTCTACAGCAAACGAGGGAACGACGACGTGCGCTCAGTCCTGCTTGGTCGCAACCGGCGTCGCAAGCATCGGCAAGACGTGGCTCTCCTTCCTCGCCTGCGTCCGCTTGGCCTTGTCCTCGACGCTCACCATCTTGACCCCGCTGCCGGCCGACGTCGCACCGCCCGACCCAGCCTTGGCCTTGACGCCCGACGCGCGCCCGCGCCCGTGCCGCCCCGACTCGAACCCTTTGCCCTCGTACGCAAGCACCTCGTCGAGCGCCGCCCGCGCGAGCCGGGGCTGCGCGACGTAGTCGATGCCGTTCTGCGCGATCGAGTGCGCAGAGAGGCCACCCATGACGAACGCGAGGAGCGCGACCCGCGACGGCGGCGCGATGTACTCTGCGGGGTGTGCGAGCGAGGGCGAGAAGGGGAGGAGGAAGAGAGTCAGTGACGGACCGCCGAGGCGAGAGAGGAGGAGAAAGAGAAAGAGAGAGGGAGAGAGAGAGAGAGGCAGCGGCGCACCCGAGACAAAGTTGCTCGCGAACGTCGCGACGGCGAGCATACTGACCGCGCCGACGAGGACCCAGGGCGCAGCGCGCACGGCCGCCTTCTTGGCCTGCTTGTCGGCGCCGAGGATCTTTTCGCCGCGGCGCGGGACCCACGTGCCCGTGACGAGGTCGTACGCGTCCTGGCGCGGGCCGTCGAGAAAGTTGTTCTTGATGTAGCGCATCGCCGAGTTGATGCCGTCCTGGAGCGCGCCCTCCTTCGAGCGCTTGCCCGTGCTGCGTGTGCGCGAGAGCGAGGAAGAGGAGGGAGGGAGGGAGGGAGGGAGAGGTGAGGTCAGGTCGGGTGCGCTAACGGCGTGCGAGAGGCTCGAGGACGTCGAGAGAGGGAGGAACGACGCACCGAGTATAGTCGGTCTTGAGCGCACCGGTGCCCGAGTAGGCCCTGCTGACCGTGTCGGCGTTGTCGGCCCACACTGCGCGCGCCGAGCCCGAGAGTCAGTCCCTCGTCCTTCGAGACGAAGCGAGACGAGCGGGCGCGGGACGCACCGTTGCGGAACAGGTTGAGGAACGTCGCGTGCTCCTCGACCGACTCCTTGACGCTGAGGATCCCGACCTGCCGCAGCTGGGTGTTGAGGACCCACTTGGCGAGCGCCGACTGGACGACGTTGGTGCGGTCGAGGCTGCTCGTGGCGAGGGCGAAGGTGCGGCGAGAGGGAGCGAGGGTGGGACGTGACGAGGGTGAGTCAGTGTGGGCGTGCGCGAGACCGAGAGGAAAGGGAGAGCGGGACGCACCAGTCCATGCAGTTGGTGCGGACGACCGACGTCTGCTTGCGCTGCGCCTCGGGGCCCGACGCCGTCGAGTCGTGGTAGTAGTACCTGTGCGACGGCCAGCTGGCGCAATCAGTCCCTCGCTCGACCGGACGAGGAAGGGTGAGGGACGGATAGGAGCGGAGAGCGCCCGACGCACCCTTGCTCGACGAGCTCGTCGTGCAGCCCGTCGATGAGGACGCCGACGCGGTCGAACCGGAGGCCCTTGCACTCCTTGTGGAAGTCAAAGTACGTGTAGCGCACGTCCGGGTTGGCCATGGCGTCGAGCGCGCGCTCGTACGCCTCCTTGACCGGTTGCTCGTACCCGTGCGAGTTGACGAGGTTGACGAGGTACTGCGGGCCGTACAGCGAGATCTGCTGCGTAAAGTGGCGCGAGAGCGACTCGGCCTGTGTCGGGCGCGGCAGGGGGAGGACGAGATGGCGAGTCAGGGGCGGCGCGACGAGGAGGAAGGACGAGGGGGGGAGGGAACGAGGCGACGCACGGTGGACGACAGGTCGAGGATCTTGAGGTCAGGCTTGTACCGCAAGTTGTTGATCTCGGCCCAGTAGACGGGCACGCTGCCCCTCGTCTGGACGAACGAGAACCGGACGTCGCCCCGCACGCCCTCGCCGCCCCTGCCCGCCGCCGCCGCCGTCGCCGCCGCGCCCGGCGCATCGAGCAAGACGAGCTGCTCGGTCTCGTTAAAGTTGCTCACGTTGCCCTTCTGGTCGATGCCGCGCGAGAAGTAGCGCGTCCCGGCGCGGTACCGGTTGCGGCGCGACACGAGGCCGAACAGGAACGAGCGGCCGTTGATCGACGTCGGCTTGAACTCGAGGACTGCAGGGGAGAAGGGTGGGTGAGTCTAGCGCGCCAAGATGAGGGTACCCGGGGGTAGCTCGAGGGCAGAGAGAGGGGGGGACGCACAGCCGAAGAGGACGGGCAGGATGAAGCGCGAGTACTGCGAGGACGAGGAGACTGCGTCAGGACTGTGCGACACACACGAGAGAGTGAGAGACAGAGAAAGGAGGGACGCACGTCGTCCTCGCCTGGGCCGGTGGTGGCGTCGATGAGGCGCTGCTGGAGGTAGCGGTTCCAGAAGAAGCGGTCGTCGGCCGTCTCCCACAGGGGCTTGTCGGACCTCGGGGCGTCGGGTTGCTCCTGGAGGCGGGTCGTGACGTTGTAACCGCCGTACGAGAAGTAGAAGGGGGCGCTGTACAGGTGGCTCTTGACGAGTCCGAGGAGGTAGGCCTCGTCGGGAAGCTCGAGGAGCTCGGCGGTCGACTTGCGCTCGAGCGGGTAGACGCCAAAGTCGGACGCGGTGTAGATGGGCGTGTCGAGGACGGTGGCGACCTTGGTGCGCTTTGTGATGACGACGAGGTAGTCCGAGTGGACGAGCGAGATGAGGCCGAAGAGGCCGTAGCACACGAGGTCGCTGTCGCAGCGTGCGGGCGGGTGTGCGCCAGCTGCGTGGGTGCATCGCCGAGTCAGTTGCGCCTCACAGCGAGGGAGAGGGGAAGGAGGGAGGAGCTGACCCTTGAGCGAGAGGTGGCCGGTGGCCCGGGTGACGGTCAACGTCTGCGGGTGTTGGGGCGACTGGGCGACGAGGGTGTAGTGGTCGTTGCCGGTGTACAGGCGGTACTGCTCGTGGACCTGCATCGTGCTGAAGCGAGGCGAGGTGGATCGGCGAGGTGGGGGTACGATGAGGCGGCACGAGGACGGCTGGATGGATCTCGCTGCGGGTTGGACGGCTGGGTCGAGGGTCGCTGTGCGGTACTGCTCGCGGTGCACGCTGCTCTCGTAAGCGAGTCGAGCGGTGTCGGGTGAGCGAGACCTCCAGCTTACTTGGCCGCTCGTCTCTCTCCCTCGCCCGCCACCGCAGCTCGCTCGAGCGGACCAGCTGCGACCGCCAACTCGACGGCAAGGTCGCGCGCAACACGGCCCACCCACAGCCATGGCCGCCCCAGTCGTCGAGACGGACCCGGCCCGCCTGTTCCTCCACGCCGACCTCTCGATCGAGCCCTTCCTCAAGCACGACCTCCAGCTGCGCCTCGACACCGACGCACAACTGTGCCCAGAACACGTCCACTCGCCGCCATGTCCACGCGGCCCAGCGTGCCCGCTCCGTCACGTCACCCCCTCGCCCCTCAACTTCCAGCCGACGCCGCCCATCCCGCACTCGCAGCACGCCCGCACCGTGTGCAAGCACTGGCTGCGCGGCCTGTGCAAAAAGGGCCAGCAGTGCGACTTTATGCACGAGTACCACCTGCGCAAGATGCCCGAGTGCTGGTTCTTCGCAAAGTACGGCTTCTGCTCCAACGGCGACGAGTGCATGTACCTCCACGTCACAGAGGACATGCGCATCCGCGAGTGTCCCTCGTACCGCAAAGGCTTCTGCCCTCAAGGTGCGCCCTCGCCCCGTCCTCCTCCCTTCCCTCCCCCTCCCTCCCAGTCCGCCTACTCACGCTCTCCCTCTCTCCGCCTGCAGGTCCCGACTGCAAGCTAAAGCACGTGCGGCGTGTCATCTGCCAAGACTACCTCGTCGGCTTCTGCGCAAAGGGCAAGGACTGCCCGTTCGGCCAGTGCGTCCCTCCTTCCCCTCCCTCTCTCTCTCTCTTTCTCGCGCTCGCCTCACTGACTCTCTTTCTCTCTCGCCCTCGCCCCTCTCTCGACAACAGCCCAAAGTTCGAGCCCGAGCCCGAGCCTCCCCTGTCGTCGACGCGCATCCCGGACGTGAGCGGCGCGCGGTTCCTGCCCGAGGCCACCTTCCGCCTGTACCGCAAGGACTGGCTCGAGCACGCGGCCGACCCGTCTGGGCGCAGCGGGGCCGGCGGAGGTGGGTTCGGCGGCGGTGCGGGAGGCGGCATGGGCGGCGGGAGGAGGGACATGAGGTGCGTTTTTTGCGTGGCCGCGCGCCCGGTCCTCCTCGTCCTCGTCCTCGTCTCGAGCGCGAGCGCGTCACTGACTCTCTCCCCTTTCCTGCGACAGCCAGATCACGTGCTACAAGTGCGGCGCTCAGGGTCACTTTGCCAACAGCTGCCCGAACGCGGGCGGCGGCGGTGGAGGAGGAGGAGGAGGTGGACCTCCAGGAGGAGGAGGGGGCGGCTTTGGCGGACCTCCTGTGCGTCCCGCTCTCGCTCTCTTTCCGTCTCGTCGAGCGGTACTGACATCGTGACGCACACAGCGACGACCGTACTGAGGGCGACGTGGATCTGGGTTGTGTCGAGACGGGTGTTGTAGCTGTACCAGAGGACGAGGGTGGCATCGCATCGCATCCATATCTCACGCCGCTTCCATGGTCGACCTGTGAGAGCATCGCGAGAGAGATCAGCGAAGCAGACCGGGGCTCTGAGCTATTGGGAGCGAGTTGCTGGTGGCCTCGCCGGAGACGAAGTTCTGGCGGCGCGTCCCTTGTTCCCGCTCTCGCCTCTGTACCCAGCTCGCAGCCCGCCATGAGCCCTCAAGTGGACCGCCCTGCGCACATCCAGACGCTCATCTCAAGCGTCGACCGCTACAACCCGGGCAGTGAGCTGTCCCTCTCTCTCGCCTCCTCGTCCTCCTCCTCCCTCATCTCCCCTCGTCGCTCGGGACTGACCCTCGCCCTTGCGCGCAGACTGCCACTTGCTCGAGGACTACTTGCAGCAGCAGCTGTCGACTGGCACCTACGACCTGCACGCTAACCTCGCCCTCCTCAAGCTCTAGTGCGCCCCTACTCTCTCCTCTCTCGCCTCACGACGACAGCTAACCTCGACGGCACCGACCCCGACCCCGCACGCAGCCAGTTCAACCCGGCCATCCTGTCCCCCTCTGCGTCCCTCTCGGCCCTGTTCCTCGCCCTCTCCAACGCCCCCTTCGCACCCGACTTCAGCCTCTCGCTCTCGCTCCTCAGCGACTCGTTCGCCGTCGGCGCCGCCCTCCCGCCGCTCCCCGCCCCTCACCCCGACTCGGACGACTCGGACGACGACGACGACGACGACGACGCGCCCGCACCGGCCAACGGTGGACCCCGCGAGCCCAAGGGCGAGTACGAGTGCGTGCAGCGCCTCAAGACGCTCAGCGCCCTCCTCGCCGCGCGCAAGTTCCGCGCCTTCTGGGCCCTCGTCTCGTCGCCGCCCACCGAGGTCGACGGCGAGGACGCGGCCAAGGTGCGCGAGGTCAACGCGCTCGTCGAGGGCCTCAAGGAGAGCGCTCACGGGTGGGCCGACCGCGTCCGGGTCGAGATTGCCGGCGAGGTCGAGCGGTGCTTCAGGAGCTTGAAGCGCGAGCAGCTCGCCGCCTTCCTCGGGACCGACGGTGCGTCCCCCTCCCTCCTTCCTCGTCCCCCGTCTCAACTCGGTTCGACAGGACTGACTCGGAGCACCCTCCCTCCCTCCCGCAGACGTCGACGCGTCGATCCAGGCCCAGGGCTGGAAGCTCGACGGCGCCGAGGTGCGCATCCCGCCCAACGAGAGCAACGCGCCCAAGGCCCAGGTCACGCACGAGCGCATCGAGATTGAGCGTGCGTCCCGGCTTTCTCTCTTTCTCGTCCCCCTTGCTCCCTCGGTTTTGCTCGCCGAGCAGAAATCGTCGGATAGGGACGAGACACGAAACAGGAGCTGACACTCTTCGTACCCATCTTGCAGAGCTCGCCCGCCTCCTCGGCCGCAGCCAGGCCTGAGCGGGATCCCCTCCCTCTCTCCCTCGTCCTCCCCCTGCGCTAGACGGTGTACGGCCTCCTCGCACTCTTGTAACACGCCCTTGGACCCTCACTGTCCTGTACTCGAGAGCGCTGCCCGAGTCCGACGACGAGGAGAGCGAGAGAGCGAGAGAACGAGCGAGAGAATCTGCAGCGAGGGAGCGCCAGACGATCGCGAGCCGCCTCTCGCTTTCAAAGCGCGACACGAGCACGCATGTCGCGTCGTGGCACACGTCGCTGCGAGCGAGAGCCGTCTCGAGGGAAAGCGCGACTCACGAGCTCGACGGCCCGAGCGAGCTCTCGCGACCCGACCCGCACAAGCACGAACCCGCCGTCTATTGCACACGCCCCGCCCTCTGCCCATCTCACCCTCTCGGCCGCTCGCCCCAGCTCGTCGGGTCACCGCCCGAGGCGCATCTCGGCGCGGCCGTACGTGTCGAGCGCGGCGCGCAGGTGCGCGTACTGGACCTCGACGGCGGGGAGCCAGGTCGGGTGCGAGTGGTGGCTGAGCGCGCGCGCCGCAAGGGGACAGAGTGAGGGCGAGGGTGAGTTAGAGAGAGGCGAGGAGGGAGGAGGGGGGGAGCGAGGGACGGGGAGGGACGGGGAGGAGGAAGGGTCAGGACGAGGCTCGTGCGAGAGGAGAGAAGGACGAGGACGAGGTGGAAGGAGGGGCAGGGTAGAGAGGCGAGGGAGAGAGAGAGACGCACTGTAGCTCTGTGAGGCGCAGCTGCCACGGCGGGAACCCGAGGAGGCGCAGGTACGACCCGCCGAGGACGAGGAGGAGGTCGGGCTCGCCGAGCGGCAGGGCTGTGCACAACATCTTCATCCTCAGTCCCTGTTTTCCGCATGTACGAGCAGATAGAGGGACGAGAGGAACAAGTCGCGACGCACCGTCTATCGCCCCAGCAACCTCCTCGGCCGTGAGCTCGCCCTTCTTGCCCTCGCCGCCGGTCCCACCAGTGCCCGACGCCGCGAGTCGCGCCGCGAGCCTCGCAAGTCTCGGCCGTCCAGCGGCGCGCGAGAGGAGGTGCAGGGTCGGGGTCGAAGGCGCCGCAGAGGGGATGGGAGAAGAAGGGCGGGGTGGGGAGGCGGTGTCGACGAGGGTGAAGGAGGAGGCTGCACGGGTTCGGGGCGTCAGGGGGCGTCCTTCGAGGAGATAAAGGGAGAAGGAGGGCGCACCGTCGTCTTGTGCGAGGTCGGGCAGCACGACCACGGCCGCAGCGTGCGGCGGCGCACCTCCAGGATCAGGCGCGCCCGGCTCGACATCCTTGCTCGCTATCTGCGCGCCGAGCGTCGCCATGCCCTCCATCTCGATGTCCTCCTGCGTGCCCACAACAGCGAGCTCGAGCTCCTGAGCGACACGAGCCGCATGCCGGACGAGAAGGCCTGCACGAGGCGCGAGGTCAGTGGATGGCCTCGCGGAAACAGGGAGCGATGGACGCACCAGTCTCGTCGTACACGCTCAACGTGCGCACCCCGAGCTCTGTGCACCATCCGAGGAGCCTCTCGACGCCGTCCACCTTGATCCGGAGCGCGTCTTGGCCGTCCCACCCTCCTCGCCCGGGCACGAGCGCGACAGCGAGGTGGCGCGGCAGTTTCCTCCACCGAGCTGCCTCGAGGTCGCTCGCAGGCGCAGGCTTGACCCGGCGGCGCGGTGAGGGCGAGGGGACGAGTTGGACGAGGCGCAAGATGAGGCGCCCGAGGCGAGCGCTTGCGAGGACGGCGTGGAGCGAGGTGAGGACGGCGAGGTGCACAGGGTACAGGAGCGTGCTGACAAGGGTAGACATCCACCCGGCTCGGGCGGGGAGAGCGAGAGTGCGACGAGAGCGAGCCAGTCTCCGAGCGACGACGACGACGACGAACGAACACGCGCAAAACGCTTCGGCAATACAACACACGCAAGGGCACAGCTCTACACGGCACACACTCGGCTCGTCTCGACAGGTACCTCACTTGGGCCCGCCGCCGCCGAACAGCGACCCTTTGCTGCTCGTCGTCCTCCTCGTCCCGCCGAGCGGCGCCGAACCCGTCCCTCCTGCGCCGACCCGCCTCGCCGGGTTGTTCAGGTCGCGCTCGCCGAGCGCAGGCGGCTTGACCCGCCGCCCGCCGCCAAACAGGTGCTCCTTGCCCGCCGGTACCGCGTGCACGAGCGACTGCCGCGCCGGCGCAGGCAGCGGCACGCGCATGACGACGGGGGACGGCGTCGCGCGCGCGCTCGCCGCGTCGCTCAACGCGCCCGTCGTCGCCGCACTCGCGCCCGCCGCGTCGTCGAGCCCGAGGAGCGCGCGCTCGGCCGCCTCGCGCTCGGCGGCCGCGGCGGCGTCGGCGGCCCGGATGGCGAGCAGGCGGTCGAGCACCGACGGGCGGTCGCTGTCGAGGTCGATCGTCGGCATGAGCTTGTCCTGCGGGCGCTCGCGCGCTCGGGGCGTGGCGCCCGTCGCGACGTCTTGCCGGACCCGGGTCGACAGCTCGTGCGAGAGGTCGGTCGACAAGTGCGAGGTCGACGAGGCGATGGCGGACAGGCAGCGGTCGGCGAGAGAGGTGTAGCCGTCGAGCTGTAGGTCGGGAGAGAGGGTGAGTCGAATTCGGGACAGAGAGGGAGAGAGAGTGGACGCACCCCGTCTGCTGCTGCGAGGCCCGTCGAGTACGAGTCGTGCTCGGCTGCGCGCGCCGAGTCGAGCCACGACGCACACGTCTCGCCGGCGAGCGACATGACCGAGACGAGCGTGCCGTGCGTCGTCGCTCGCGAGCGCCTTGCGAGCAAGTCGGCTGCGGGCGGGAAAGGTGGATCAGGGCCTGCGCTCGCGAGGGTCCGAGTACGAGGGTCGACGCACCTCGTGCAGCGCCGCCGTGGACGTAGCTTGCTGCGCCGCGAAGACGTGCGAGTTGTTCTTGCCGAGCGCCCGACGCGGACGAGGCGAACCGGGCAAAGTCGGTGCTGATCTGCTCGAGCGAGGCCGAGAGGCCCTGAGGGTGCAAGGACGAGCGTCAGGTCTGGCTATCTGCGGCCACAAGAGAAAGGGAGAGAGAGAGGACGGACCTGCTGCCCATGTGCCGCAGCCTCGGCGCACCCTGCCGCCAAGTCGACCAACTTGCGCTCGACCCGCTCGTTCCGCTCGACGAGCCCACCGAGCGCCTCCTCCCTCGCCCGCACCGCCTCGTCCTTGCTCCGCACGACGCCCTCGACCCCCTGCTCGGCCTCGCCGTACGCCGCCTCGAGCCCCCTCAAGCGCCGCTCGCTCGCGGCGGCGAGCTCGTCCCGGACCCGCGCGACGATGGCGTCCTCCTCCGAGCGCAGGTGCGCCGCCTCGTCGGCGAGGTGCGCCTGCAGGCGCGAGATGACGAGCTTGAGGCGGTTGTTCTGCGCGCGAGAGAGGGAGGGTCAGGTCAAGGCGGAAAGGGGACCGTGCGGGGAGGGCAGGGGACGCACCTCGTCGACGAGCGCAGCGGCGTCCGCCTCGCGCAGTGCGACGAGCGCACGTGCGTCGTCGGTGAGCAGGGCGGCACAGCTGGCCTGCGTAGCCCGCACGGGAGCGAGCAGCGAGTCGATATGCATGCCGATCTGTTTCGGGGCAAGGTCGTCAGGGAGGGCGGGCTGCGGCGACCTGCGTGAGGCCGAGGGTGGGAGAGAGAGGGAGACGCACCGCCTTGTCGTGAGCCCGGATGCGCTTGTCGAGCCCTCGGCGCTGCTTGAGCTGCTCGGCCTCGACCAGGGACGCCCGCTCAGTCAGGGTGCGCGACAGGGTGCGACAGGTCGACTCGATGAGGTGGCGGAACGACGTCGAGTCGGCGGCAGAGGTCGAGGTGGAAGAGGCGAGGTCGGCGAGGGTCGAGACAAAGGCCGCGAGGTGCGAGTCGACCGTGTTGGTCGTGGTCGCGAGGTGCTGCAACGAGAGACAGGGTGAGTGACTCGCCGTCCGACGGTGCAGGGATCGAGAGGGGACGCACAGCTTGTTGGCGTCTCGTGAGCTCGTCGAGCTGCTCGGCGAGCTGGTTGACGAACTCGTCCTGCGCCGACCGGAGCTGCGACGTGCGCTCGTCAATCTCGCGCGTCCTCGACGCGATGGCCGACCGAGCGTCGGCGATCATGGCGAGGTTGGACCGCTCAACGCTGCTCTTGCGCTCTGCGGGAAGGAGGATCGTGCGTGAGGAGACGGTCGCGCGAGGTCAAAGCGCCGAGGGAGGGGGACAGCGACGCACCGAGTTTTGCCCGCAAGCCCTCGACGTCGTCCAACGCGCCCGCCGCCGACTCTTTCCACCCCTCGCGGCTCGTCTCGAACGCGTCGCGGAGCACCTCCTGCTGCGCGAGCCGCAGGCTCGTCTCCTCGAGCGACGCCCTCGTCGTGCCGAGCTCGCCCTTGACGGCGCCGAGCTCGTCGGCCGTCTTGCGCAACTGCTCCTCGCGCGTCGACAGGAGGCGAAAGTTCTGCTCGAACTGGTCGCGCGTCGTCTGGAGCTGCGACTCGGCGATCTCGAGCTTGCGCTTGGTCTCGTCGTAGTTGCGCCGGCCATCCTCGAGCTCGTCCCAGGTCTCCTTGGACACGAAGACGCCCTCGTTGCCGCGTGCAGCCTGTAGGGAGAGAGGGTGGGTCAGTCAGGGAGGTCCCGCCGTCGACGACCTCGAGGAGGGGAAATGCAAGGGACGTACGTTCAGGTCGGCCTTGAGGCGCTCGATCTCGGTCGCGAACTGGTTGAGGAGGACGTTGCGCGACACGCGCTGGTTGACCTCGGGCCGGTTCTGGATCGACTTGGCCTGGTGCGCGTACGACAGGGTCGACGCCGTCTCCTCGTAGCTGACGGGCGAGATGGTCGCGATGATGGTCGTCTTGGTGCGGCCGCCGAGCGAGTCTTGCAGGAGGCGAGTGAGCTTCGACTCGCTGTTGCGCGGACGAGAGTGTGTCAGTGAGGACCTCGAGGCGAGCGACGGTCGAGGGAGAGCGAGAGACGGACCGGTAGGCGATGTGCTGCTTCTTGGTCGAGTCGGTCTTGTCGGCGAGCTGGTTGATGACGCGACCGAGGGCGAGCAGGCTCGCGTTGATCATGCCGGCTTCGCGCGCCCGGCCCTGGACGGCGCCGCTGCGCCCGACGTTCTCGGACCCGGCGAGGTCGACGAGGTTGAGCTTGCCGACCTTGAGCACGTCCTGGCCCTCCTTCGAGTTGTCCTTGATGTGGACGTTGATGGTGAAGATCGAGTGCGACCGGCTGTAGCAGGGAGAGAGTGGGTCAGTACGTCGTCGCTGGCAAGGGAGGGAGAGTAGGCGGGACGCACCTCGAGCGCTCGTTGCAGTTGGTCGCCGCGATCTGGCGCCGCTCGCTGCCGCGCCGCAGCACACGCAGGCCGTCCTCGGCGCTGTTGATGAACGTCTCCTCGAGGCCCTGGATGACGACGCCGGTCGAGCCGTTCTTGGTCTCCTCGTAGATGCGGAGCGCCCTCGGCGCCTGCTGCGCCGCCTTGGCGCCCGGCTCGGGCGACGGGGCCGATGAAGATGACGGCGACAGGTCGGCAGAGTCGGGCGAGTTGAGGTCGCGCAGCTCCTCGTTGTAGAGCTCGATGAACGAGCAGCGCACCGAGTACTCGCACTTGCTCTCGACAAGGCGGTCGAACAGCGAGTACAGCGTGCGCGGGATGATGCCGGCGTCCGGGTGGAACGTTCCATGATACGGTGACAGGTTGCCCTCCATCGTGTAGCTGTTGGCGGCGAGGGAAAGGAGAGCGTGAGCTTCTGGTGCTACTCGGCTCGCCCGCGACGAGGTAGAGAAAGAGGGGACGGACGTCTTGCCGGTGCCAGTCTGGCCGTAGGCGAAGATGGTGCAGTTGTAGCCCTGGAGCACCTGCTGGAGGATGGGCTTGGCGACGTCGGTGTAGAGCATGCCCTGGTCGGCGTCGGGCCCGTACACGGTGCCGCGCGGCTCCTTGCCCGCCTCGTGCGGGTGCTCGCCAAAGTCCCACGTCTTGGTCTGCGCGGCGGGCGTCGACAGGTGGGCCGCGCCGAGGTTGGCCGACGAGGGGACGGACGGGTTCGGGTCGGTGAGCGTCACCTCGGTGCCGCGGGTCGCCTTGACCTCGGCGACGGACGCGACGCTGTGCAGCCGCTCCGAAGGCGAGGTACCACTGTGTGCGCGGGCAACTCAGAGTCAGTGTGCAGGCTCGGAGGGTCGACGAGGCGGGGTTGAGGGAGGAGCCACGGCCGGACGAGAGAGGGGGCTCACCGGCATCGAACGACGACCTGGATGTTGCCGTCGCTGGGCTCACGCTTGGTGCGCAGCTCCTGAGGGTCCCTCGAGCCCCGGGTGCCCGACAGCGGAGGCGAGGTGAGCGAGTTGGCGGACGACGAGGCGGTGGAGGTTGCGAGAGGCGGCGGCGCGTGTCGAGAGGCTGTGGGTCGTCTGGCGGTGGTCGACGTGCCCAGTGCAGGCCTTCGCATGGACGACATGGTCCTCGCGCGGTTGTGCGAGCGCGGTGTGGTGGACGAGGCTCGTGTTTGGGCGCGACCTTCATCTCGTCGCCAGCTTTCAACGCACGTGATCTCTCGAAAGCGAGTCTCGGTTGCGTCGTTACAAAGGCGGCTTCCCCTCTCGTCTGAGCAGATACAACTCGGTACTGATTGTACTGCATTCGCGAGCGCAAAAAAAGGCGAACTGCGCAGGAAGCGCCTCGTCCTCGCCGCTCGTCCTCTCGCCCTCACCGCCGCCTCCTACGCGCTCGACCCTCCGACCGTCTTGTGTACAGCGTCCTTGACCTTGCCGCCCGTCGACGAGGCCGAACCCGTGCCCGTGCCCGCAGAAACTGAGCCGGACTGAGCCGTCGCCGACGACTTCTCCTGCGACGGGTGCGAGCCGTGCGCCTCGTTGTGGGCGGCTGTTTCGTCGGGAAGGGGAGAAGAACGTCGGTCTCCGTCCCTCGACGACGCAGAAGCGTGGGAAGACGTGTGCGGCGTGCGAGAGGAGGGAAAAGGGAGGAAGCGAGACGCACTCGCCGCCGAACGCAATCCTCCTTCTCCTCCCGTCGGGTGCCCCTTGCCGTCCGTGCGTCGTCAAAGGCATGTTGATCTGGTCGAATCGAGGCAGGCGAGCGAGCTCCTGCGCGAGAGAAGAAGGCCGCAGTCAACTTGGGAAGGCCACGCTTGGACCTCGTTCTGCGCTCGGTACTGCCGACTGGCGGCGAGTGCAGTGAGGGGCTGGGCAGTCGAGGTTTGAGGCAAACGGAGGCGAAAGAAGCAGAGCGGGAGAAGCGCAAGTGCGACGCCCTCGCGGTGATGCAACACCGTCGTCGACAGCTCGCGAGGGCGAGCAAGCGAGCGTTGGCGCCCAGGCGTACGTCTCGATCCCGTGCGGCGCCCGCGCAGGTGCTCGTAGCTGTGCGCGCCTGGATGAGCGAGCGTGACGCGCGAGGAAGAGCTGCGGCGTGTGACGCTCAAGCCCGGAAGGAAGCAGCGTCGTTCGCAGTCGGCTCGCCCGGCCTTGCGCCCGAGGTAGCTGCGCCTTTACGAAACGAACGAGCGAGAGCGCGCCCCGAGGAGCGTGCAGCAGGTGCAGCTTCTCGGCGGAGCGCGTGCGAGGGAGAGCGTCGAGAAGCGCCGCACGGACCGCCTCCTCACCTGGCTCTCGAGACTGAGCCTCGCTCAACCGCGAGAGGGTCTGTCGAGCGACGCAGTGCACAGTCGCTCTCGCTCGCGTCGACCCTTGGCCGTCGCAGGGAAGCCCGAGGAGGTCGGTCGAGCTTTCGCGGCTCTGCTCCCTCTCGCTCACTTTGCTTTGTCGAGCGCTGCTGCTCCTGCTGGCCATGTCTGGTCGGCGCGACGGCTGTGCACACCGCCTGGCAGCGGGGACAAGCTCTACGTCCATCGTCTGCTGCGGGCCGCGTGCGCACGGTACCGCCTCGGATTGGTCGGGCCGCTCGCCGCTGTGGTCGAGTGGGACCCCACCGCGTGCGGCGAGCGTCACGCGCAGCTGAGGAGGCAGTGCTCGAGCCTGCAGGACGACCGTTCGCTGCTGCGGCGTGACGACCTGAAGCGGTCAGGAGGCGGCAGCGGTGCGGTGCGGGAGGAGGCCAGAGGCGAAGGTCGACCTCGCTCCTGCGCCTCTTCCCTCTCTCTCTCTCCTTCCTCCTCCTCTCACCAAGCTCCTCTCTCTCGCACTTCTCCACCACCCACTCGCACCACCCGAACCTCTCAAGATGCAGTCCAACACGTACGACAACACGGCCAACACGGGCGCCTACTCGACCGGCGCACCGGGCTCGACCACCACCAGGGGCGCCGGCTACGACTCGACCGCCACCCCGGGCTACGGCAGCAACACGACGAGTGCGTCTCCCCCTTTCCCTCTGCCTCCCTCGAGCCTGCCAAGGCGGCGTCACTCCACCTCATCCCCAAGCTGACCTTCTCAACTCGACCCTCCCCCTCCTCAGCCGGCTCGCACTACCCGCTCTCGTCCTCCAACGACCCGTACGGCAACACCACGTCGTCCTCGAACACGACGGGCGTTGGAGCCGCCGCCAAGCACCCGATCGCCGCCGCCACCCACCCGTCGCACCCTGTCGCCGCCGCCGAGCAGAAGGAGGCGTTCGGCGCCAACACGCACGGCGCCCACTCGACCACGACGGGCCACTCGTCCGGGGGCCTGATGGGCTCGTCGGACGCGCACTCGCGCTCGCACACGGGCCCGCACACGGGCACCCACACGGGCTCGACCGGCCTCGGCTCGGGCGCGACTACGGGCGGCGCGTACGGCTCGTCGACGGGCGCGCACACGGGCGTGACCGGCCACGAGGCTGGCGCCGCCGCCCACCACCCGGTCGCCGCCGCGTCGCACCCGACGCACCCGGGCACGGCCGCCGAGATCAAGGAGGCGCAGCACGGCCACGGCGCGCACGGCGCTCACGGCTCGCACGGCCACCACGGCGCGCACGACTCGACGACGACGGCGACGGGCCAGAAGCCGAGCGCGATGGACAAGGTCGCCGGCGGCGTCGAGTCGCTCATCGGCAAGGTCACCAAGAACCCGGCCAAGGTCGAGGAGGGCCAGATCCGCGCCAACGAGGGCAAGGTTGCCGCCGAGGCGCACTCGACGACGGGCGCGACGACCGGCACGACCGGCACCGCCGGCCGCACCTACTGAGCGGTCGTCGACGCTCGGTCCTCTTCCCCTCTCTCCCTCTTTCTCCTCCACGCTTGAGCCTCCCCCTCTCGCCTTGTACATCCCTCTCGTCCCTCGTCCTCCTCGCTTCGCTTGAGCAGTCTGAAACGCAGTGCCTTTCTCCTCTCCTCTCGTCATCGTCGCCAGGCCAGATAAATCTCTCGATAGCTGCTCTCGCGAGAGAACGAGAAGCTGGGCAACGCGCTACACTTGTTGCAGGGGTCATCGAGAACTGCGAGAGGGGAATTAGGTACTGCGGAGAGTCGACGAGATGCGCGAGGAGAACAACATGGAGAGAGAGAGAGAGAGAGAGGTGCGAGTGGGACGAGGAGACAAGAAGAGAGTGTGCGACGACAGGGTGACAAAGGGAGGGTGGGGCACTCAGAAGCCTGGGTAGAAGCCCCACGACGAGGCGAGAGCGGGCGTGTCGTTGCCCTGTCGCGCCGTCCACGAGAACGTGTCCGACAGCTCGCTCGCCTTGCCGCCCGACAGCCACGCATCGACGTCGTCGACGACGAGGCAGCCCGACCCATGGTACGCGTCGTCGATCGGCGGCGCGTCCTCGACGACCGTGCCGAGCGCCTGCTTGGACGGGCTCTTGGCGAGCAACGCGGTCGACGTCTGCGGCGTCGACGCGAGCGCGTCGCCCGGCGTCGCGGGCGTCGGCGCCGAGCCGCTCGAGCTGCCGACGAGGTCGGGCGTCGAGGCGTCGGCGCCGTCGGGCGTGTCGAAGCCGGCGGCCGACGCGTCGAGCCAGACGTTGAAGTCGAAAGGCTGCTCGGGTGGTGGGGCGGCGGTGGCGGCGGCGGCGGCGACGGCCGGGGCAGTCGGGTCGACGGAGGCGAACGAGGGTGCGAGAGGGTCGGAGTAGGACGAGGACGACGAGTAAGCGGCGAAGGAGAGAGGGGGAGCCGGGCCGTCGTTGACGACGGGCGGGATGGCCGGGTCCAGCTCGAGCGAGAGCCCGGCGGCGTGCGTCGGCCCATTCGCCGGTGCGCCGCTGCCGCCGCCGCCGCCGCCACCGACGATGCCAAAGTCGGCTGGCGCAAAGACGGGCTGGTCGATGATGCGCAGGGTGCGCTCGATGAACGCGTTCGGGTCCCGGTCCATCTCGTCCTCCTCGCGCTTGCGCTTGAGCGACGGCGGCTCCTCGGGGACGAGGACGGGCGCCGGCGGCACGACGATGCCCATCGGGCTCGGCGAGTCCTTGATCAGGTCCGAGCGCAGGGCGGCGAGCGTCGCGGCCGGGGATGCGCCCGCCGCCGGTGACGAGCCAGGGAAGCCTCCCGCCGGCTCCTTCTTGACGCCGCCGCGACGCGCCTTGGCGGGCTTGGTCGCGCCGGGCGTTGCGCCGGCTTGAGGGGGCGAGCCGGCGGCGGTTTGCGGCGTCGACGGCGACGGTGCTGCGGCCGGGCTCGTGCCGGCGACGCCCGACGCCGTGCGGCGGTGCTTCATCGGCGGCGGCTTGAGGTCCTCGACGCGCAGGCCTCGACCTTGCGCGGCGGCGTTGAACTGCTCGGGCTTGATCGGCGGCGAGCTGGCGGCACCTTGGGCGGCGGGACGCTGCTGCTGCTGCTGGCCGGCGACGGCGCCCGTCCCTCGACCGAGCGGGTTCTGCTTCATGAAGTTCCAGCAGCGCTGGAACTGCTCGCGCAGCTGCGTGAGGCCCGACAGGTCGAGCGCGAACTGGCTCGTCGCCATGTACCGCATCTGGTCCTGGAAGATGGCCGCCTGCGAGAGGACGACGAGAGAGGGTCAGTGCGCGCTCGCCGACAGACACACACAGAGAGAGAGAGAAACGGCGTCGACGCACGAAGGTGAGCATCTTGCGAACGGCCGACTCGTCGCCCGTCATGGCGAGGAAGAGCGGCAGCGTGTCCATGACCTTGCGGACGTGCGGGATGAGCTCGCTCGTGAGGCGAGCGACGGCGGGCTTCTGGTCGTCGGCGACCTCGAGCAGCTTGAGCTTGGCTGTGGACGGCGAGGGAAGGAGGCATGTCAGGTCGCTGGGAAGGGGCTCGGGACGAGAGAGAGGGAGGAGGGAGAGGGAGGGGACGCACGCCTCGTCTGGTCGATCGAGAGCCGGATCTGCGCCACCGAGTTCCTCGCCTCGGCGACCTGCTCGAGCGTCGGCTCCGTGTTGACCTTGCCCACGCCCGCTCCCGCCGCCGGGCCGCCGTTTTGCAGCTGCTGGCCCTGCTGGCCCTGCTGCTGCTGCTGCTTGGCGGCGAGCGCGGCACCGCCGGCGCCGACCTGCTGCGCCGCGAGCGACGCCGCCTTGGCCTGCTGGAGGAGCTGCTGCCGAGACGCCTCGAGCTGGCTCGCGCTCGGCGCCTGCTGGGGCCCGGGACGCGAGGCCGCGTTCTGCGACGGCGGCCGCTGCGGCTGTTGGGGCGCCTGCTGCTGCTGCTGCTGCTGCTGCAGTTGCGGTTGCTGCTGCGGCTGCTGCGCTTGAGGCGGCGGCGGTGGCGGTGCGGCTTGAGGCTGCATGCCCGCGACAGCCTGGCCGGCCCGCTGCGCCTCGAGGATGCGCTGCTGCTGCGTGACGAGCGACTTGCCCCAGATCTCCTCGAACGGGCGCAGCATCTTCTGGTACAGGCGGGCGAGCTCGAGCGAGATGCGCTGCGTGTCGGGCGGCGCGTCGCGCAGGGCTTGGTGCGACGTGTCGGCCGGGTACCCGAGGTGCGCCGCGATGCGGTGCCACGTGCCGTGCTGGTTGACCTGTGAGGGTACGAGGACGAGGATGAGGAGAGGAGAGGAAGGGAAGAGGGAGAGTCAGTGAGGGGCTCGAGCGCTCGAGACGAGAGGGGGAGAGGGGGCGCACCTGCTGGCTCCCGCCGTGCACCATGACGGCCTGGTAGAGCTGGTACAGGTCGACTTCGCGCCCGTCACAGTACGGCGTCGTGTCGATCGGCTCGCCGCGTTTGCGCATGACCTCGAACAGCGACTTCATGAAGAGTTGAGGGTTGAGCTGGTTCTGGAGCAGGTGGAGCGGCGGCATGGCCGGCGGCGGCATCATCTGCTGCGTCGGCATGAACTGCTGCTGCTGCTGCTGTTGAGGCTGTTGGACGACGGGCTGGGGCTGGTAGTTCTGCTGAGGCGGCGGCGCGAGCGGTTGAGGCGCCTGCTGGACGGGCGTCGACCTGCCGGCGGCGGCAGCGGCAGCGATGGCCTGCGCCTGCGCTTGCGCTTGGGCCTGCGCCTGCATCTGCGCCTGCGCCTGGCGCTGCAGCATCTGGGCCGTGAGGGCGGCCTGCTGCTGCTGAGGGCTGCTGTACAGGTTCGGCGCCGGCGCGGACGGCATCGACTGGAGCGGCGGACGCTGCTGCTGCTGCTGCTGCTGCTGTTGAGGAACAGGAAGCGGCTGCTGAGGCTGGAGCGGCGTCGACTGCTGGCCCGTGCGCTGCGACTGGTAGAACTGCTCGAGGGAGGACGACGTCAGGGACGTGGGCGACGGCGAGCGAGGCGACAGGAGGAGAGAGAGAGAGAGCGAGAGGACGCACCTGGAAGTCGGCCTGGATGCGCTGGGGCGTCCACTGCTTCTGGAAGTTCTGGATCGGCACGACCAAGGCGCCGACCTGGCGCTTCGTCTCGTCGAGCTGCTTCTCGACGAGCGGCCGCTGTTGCGGACTGAGGCGCGTCTGCCCCTGCACCTGGCCGTCGGCGCCCTGCTGCCCGCCGACGACGCCCGTCTGGAGCGCCGTGCCGAGGAGGTTGAGCTTCTGCTGGAGTGACCGCATCTGGGCGAGCTGCGCCGAGTACTGCTGCAGGAGCTGGATCGGGATGTGGTCGCCGCCGCCGGGTGGTGGTTGTTGAGCGTGTGCGACAGGTTGGGCGGGTATGGGCGTGGGCTGCTGCTGCTGCTGCTGCTGCTGAGGAGGGGCGCCGCCGAGGAACGCCATCGACGGCTGCTGCTGCTGCTGTTGGTGCTGCAGGTGCTGCTGTTGCTGCGAGGCGTTGGCGACGGCTTGAGCTTGCGCCTGGGCCTGCTTCTGCGCCTGCTGCTGCTGGTGCGTGCGGATCTGGCTCTGCAGCGTCGCGAACTGCTCAGGCGTCTGCGAGCGGCCAAAGCGTCAATAATGCCGTCGCCGCTAGGCGCTCAAGACACAGAGAGAGAGAGAGGAGGACGCACGAGCTGGCCCGACCGCAAGAGCTGCTCAAACGCCGCCATGTTGACCTGGCCCGCCGAGGGATGTTGCGGCTGCGGCGGCGGCGCCTGCATCATGCCCGGCGGCGGCCCGGCGCCCATGAACGGCTGCGGCATGCCCGCCGGCCCGCCGGGGAAGCCCTGCGGCAGTTGCTGAGGCGTGCCGTTGCGCTGCGGGACCTGGACGGGCGGCACCTGCTGCTGCTGCTGCTGCTGCTGCAGGGCGGCGAGGTTGAAGGGCTGGGGCTGGGGCTGGCCGGGTTGGCCAGGGTAGCCCTGCTGGGGCAACATGCCCGGGTTGGGCATGCCGTTTGGCGGCAGGTAGAACTGGTTCGGGTTGAACGACATGCTCGCGAGGCGGAGGATCGGGTGAGGGAGCGCTCGAGCACGAGGTGCGGGTCGGCGAGCGGGTCCTGCGGGCGCGCATCTCGGTCAGTTTGTGCGTAGTTGCAGGATGGTCGCAGACGGCGGACGCACCAAGAAGTCGGGGAGCGCCTTGAGTGCGTTGCCGCGCTCGTGACCGGCCGAACCTGCGGTAGGCTGCGAGGGCATGGGTCAGTGATGGTCCTGGGCGTGTCAAGGCAGTCTGACATCGAGTACTGCTCGCCTCGCTCGCCCGCCCGTCCTGCGCAAGTCTCGCCAGGAGGAGGAGACGAGGCTGGACCATGACCACACCGCCTCGGTGGGTCGATCCCTGCGCCGCCTCGCCTGAGGGTTCTGCGCGCCCGCAAAGGCCTCTGAGAAGGACCTGCAGGGCTGCTCTGTGCCCGCCCTGGCTCCATCGTTGAGCGCTCCCGCCCCGTGACCGCCTCTGACTCTCATCGCTCAGTCGAGCGGAACCCCGACCGTCCCTCTCAGAGAAAGGAGAACGCACCGTGAGGCCGACGAGAGGTGCTCTTGAAGGCGATTGAGCTGCTCGCGCGAGTTCTTGGTGTCGAGGCGGCGCCGTCGGCGAGAGACGGCGGGGCTGCTCAGGAGGAGGGCGGAGGTGGCGGCGCTGAGCGGGGCGCGCAGGCGAGAGAGTAGCGCGGTCGGGCTGCTGTACTGCTGATGCAAGCCCTCGACGAGCCGGGCGGTCGGGCTCGGAGGTGGTGGGCGAGAACCGTGCCCGTCGCCTCCGGACGCGAACGCGAACGTCGCTGCCGCTCGCTCGTCCTCGCCTCCAACCCTCTCGTGGGCTTTCGTACGGCGTGCAATCTCGTCTCGACAGCTCTTCTAGCCGGTACTGCGCAGAGCACCGCGGACGTGCAAGTTTCCTTGAGGCGGCTCGCTCTCGAGGTCGGTGCGCTCGCCATCGCCGTGGCCCTCGAGGCTCGAGCGGGCACAAAACCTGCTCAGCGAGCGTCCCTGACCTCACATCTCTCGGGCCCGCACAGTACGAGACGAGCGAGAGCAGGCTCAACGCGCAGTCGTGCGAGAAAGACGACTCGCAGCGAGCGACGAGCGCGCACCGCGGCAGCTCGTCGCGCCGGATGCTCGTGCCTCGTACAGCAGCGAGAGGAGACCAGCAAGGGTCCGCCGACGTGGCGGTCGAGCAGGTCCTGCCCGAGGGTAACGCTCAGTTCGCTCCCCCCAGCGCGACGTCCTCTTCGACTCCCGCTCCCGTCGTCGCCGCACAGGCCCCTCCTCCTGCCGGTAGCAGCGCGCCGCACCCAGCACGCCGAGGATGACGAGGGTCGCGCAGCAAGGGCGCCACCGTCGCCGGCGAAGCAGCTCGTCGAGCGGAACCAAGCGGCGAGAGCGCGAGCACGATTGACGAGCCCACTCAGGCCGCAGCGGCTCGTCGCCCGACGAGCGCGCAACATGTACGCCACCTCCTGCTTATCATCAAGCGGGAGAGCACGCTCGGCGAGGCGATGGCGGTGCGCGACGGGCTTGCGCGCTGATGAGCGGCGACGGTGGGCTGGCGCGCATGCCGTCGAGCGTGACGAGCTGTCGACGGGCGAGAGGGTGGACTGTCGAGGCGGATAGACGGAACGAGGCATCGAGTCGAGAAGAGCTCGTGCGCGCGGTTGGTGGAAGAGGGATTCGACGACGACTCGGAGGAGGGCCAGGCACGGCGGCGTCGAGCCAGACCCTGGCGGACGCGCCGGTCGCGTGGGTGAGGCATGTGCGTCGTCGAGTTGGACGCGTAGCTGAGCGAGCTGCGCACGCTGGCAGAGGGGAGCGAACCTGGAGAGAGAAGAAGGCTTCGACCGAGCGTGACGGCGTCTCGAGCGCCGCGCAAGCGCTCAGATCTTTTCGGGCGGCCGCCGCCGGTTAATTAGCGCGCACCCGGCGAGTCGGGCGACGCGCGTGGAGGCCGAACCCGGCGGAGCAGGCGAAGCGAGCGTAAAGCGGAGGCGCGCTGGAGGAGCGGCGAGCGAGGCGCGCGACGGTGGCGAACTGGGTCTGGTGACAGCACGCCAGCGAGGGGCGAGCGTCAACGCTGCAGCGCAAGGGTCTGTGTGAGCCCCGAGTGGCTGACCCGGTCGAAGGGGAGGCGAGAGAGGCTTGCGCGGAACGACCGAGCTCTCTGCGGCTCCGCGGACCCCCCGCTCTCCTCCACCTTCACTCACCGCGCGCCGCGCCTAACTTGGTGCAGGCCGTCCCCAGCTCTCCGCTTCTCTCGCTCGAGGGTGACGCGTTGCGCCCCTTTCACCCTCTTTCCAAGCTCTGCCCCTTCGTGGGCCCGGGGCAGGTTTGCTCCTCCGCGCTGCCCCCCCCTCTCCGCTTTGCTTGCCCTTCCTCTCTCTCCCTCTCCCTCGTCCCGCCGTCGAGCTCAAGTCTCGCCGACGCTACCGAGAAGACTCGCCACCATGAGCCTCGTCAACAACAAGGAGAAGACCAAGGAGGCCGTTCACGAGAAGAACCAGGTCGCTCAGCCGTCGCCGTCGCCGTCGCGCGAGGGTGCGCCCGCGCCCAAGGGCTTCCAGGGCGCGACCATGGCTGAGGGTACTCAGTGCGTCCTCCTCTCCCTGTGCCGTTCGCCTGCGTCTAGACGGTGCCGACGACGCCCGGAGCCTGGCTGACCTCGCCTTCCTCCCCCTCGTCGTGCAGCCTCGACGCGGCGGGCATCCCGACGTACATGGGCGCCAACGGCGACAGGCTCGGCGCCCTCATCACCGTCTGCGCCGCCATGGGCTTCATCCTGTTCGGGTGCGTCCACTCTTTCTCCCTCTCGGCCGACCGCTTTCACGAGCCTCGCTGACCTCGCTCTCCTCCCCCTTCCTCTACAGCTACGACCAGGGTGTCATGTACGTCTCTCTGCTCCACACTCGATACGATACGAGAACGCGCGCTCACCAGCTTCGAACCATCTGCAGGAGCGGCATCATCAGCGCGCCGCAGTTCGTAAGCGTCTTCCCGGCCTGCGACCCCGTCGCCCAGGGCAGCTACAAGGGTACGTCCTGCCTCTCCCTCTCGAGAGCGTACAGGAGCGTCCACTGACCTTGCCTCGTCCTGCAGCGTCCGTCCTCCAGGCCTTTTACGTCGCCATCTACGAGATTGGCTGCCTCGGTTCGTCCTCCTCCACCTCTCACACGCCCACCTCGCCCCCGCACTGACCTCCTTCCCGTCCTGCAGGTGGCGCCATCTTCGCTCTCATGTTCGGCGACCGCCTCGGCCGCAAGAAGATGATGTACTCGGGCGCCATCATCCTCATCATCGGCGTCGTCATCCAGGTCACCGCTTTCCGTGGCTCGTGGGCCGGCGGTCAGTTCATCATCGGTCGTATCGGTGCGTCCCTTCTCGCTTGCCCTCCAGCCAGACGAGCTGCCTGCTCACGGCGTCCTCCCCCCTTGCGCAGTCACCGGCCTCGGTACCGGCTTCGAGACGTCCACCATCCCGACCTGGCACGCCGAGTGCGCCAAGGCTCACTCGCGTGGCTTTGCCGTCTTCATCGAGGCCGCCATGTGCGTCCCGATTCCTCCCTTGAGCATCTCGAGCGACCTCTCGAGCGCGCACTGACCCTCGCCTCTCTCTTTCTCTCTCGCTCGCAGGATCTCGACCGGCACCATGGTGTCGTACTGGGTCGACCTCGGGTTCTCGTTCATCGACTCGTCGGTGTCGTGGCGCGTGCCCATCGCGCTGCAGTGCGTGTTCGCCATCCTCCTCATCGTCATGCTCTGGTGGCTCCCCGAGTCGCCGCGTTGGCTCATCTCGAAGGGCCACATGGTCGAGGGTCAGCGCGTCGTCGCCGCACTCGACCCGGCGCCGTTCGACAGCGAGGAGGTCATCGTCCAGGTCAAGGTCATCCACGACGCCCTCGAGGGCCAGCTTCGTGCCCGCAAGCGCGACCTCATCACCAACGGCCCGAGCCAGCACTTCCGCCGCATGCTCCTCGGCTCGTCGTCCCAGTTCTTCCAGCAGGTCGGTGGCTGCAACGCCGTCATCTGTGCGTCGCCTCGTCCCCCTGTTTACCGCCGCATCTCGGCCTTCCCAAACTGACTCTTGCCCTCTCTCCTCGCGCTCCTGCAGACTTCTCGACGCCCATCTTCGAGGAGTACCTCGGCCAGGGTCGCACCATGTCGCTCATCCTCGGCTCGGTCCTCGCCACCGTCTACGCCCTCTCGGCGTGCATCTCGTTCCCGCTCGTCGACAAGGCCGGTCGTCGCAAGCTGTACTACATCGGCACCCTCGGCCAGGCCCTGTCCATGTTCCTCATCATGGGCTGCCTGATCCCGGGCAAGGACAGCAGCGCCGTCAACGGCGCCGTCGTCGGGTTCGTCCCACTCTGTCTTCGACCTTCCTCCCCGACCTTCTCAAATTGACTCTTGCTCCTCCCTCTGCAGCATCTTCCTGTTCCTCACCTTCTTCGGCTTCACGTGGCTCGAGGTGCGTCGTCACCCTCTCCCTTTCCTTCCCTCACACAGCTCGATCCTGACGCCCACTTCCTCCCTCCCTCCCCAGCTCCCCTGGTTGTACCCGGCCGAGGTCAACCCGATCAAGACCCGCACCGCCGCCAACGCCGTCTCGACGATCAACAACTGGATTTTCAAGTGCGTCCCCCCTTCCTCCGTGGTCGCCGCCCGGAACTGACCTCGACCTCGTCCCGCAGCTTCACCGTCGTCATGTTCACGCCGCCGTTCCTCGCCAAGACGGCCGTCGGCTGCTTTGCCTTCTTCGGGGCCATCAACCTGTGCTTCCTCCCCGTCATCCACTTCTACTACATCGAGACGGCCGGCCGCTCCCTGGAGGAGATCGACTGCATCTTTGCGCGTGGCTACGTCGAGAAGCGCTCGTACGTCCAGGTCTCGAAGGACATGCCGAGTCTGTCGGGTGCCGAGATCGAGGAGGAGTACAGGCGCCTCGGCCTCGGTGACGCCGACCTTTCGTAGAGTCGTCCTCTCCCCTCTCCCTCTCCCCCTCTCTCCCCCTCCCTAGATTCGTATACATAGCATCTTATAGATCTAGATGTCATCTTATTCTGCTCCAGGATTCCCTTGCGCGTCGAGCGAGAGAGAAAGCGAGCTAGCGACCTTCTCAAATGGCGCTGCGGGCCGTCAGACTCTCGCTCGCGCTTTCGACCTCTCGGTGCTTGGCGACTCATTGCGCCTCGAGATGTCGGTCGCTCTGCTCGGGCTCGCTGAGAAGGAACTGCTCCTTTGCGCACGAGCCTCGAGTATCTGCTTCTACCTGCTCCTCCTCGTCTCGGACCTCCTCCTCGGCAAGCTCCATCTCTATCGCTCGATCCTTGCCGATGGGAAGTAGGGGTTGCCTGGGGCAGGCGACGATCGCGGCGAACGACGAGCGAGAAGAGGCGGGTCGGCGTGTCCGAGAGAATGGCGCGAACGAGTGGGAGAGGCCTGTGCGCGCGAGTCGGTGAGCTCGCGACGTCGCAGTCGAGGGAGAGAACGAGGACGCACGTCGCGATAGACAGGGTCGGCGCCCGGGTGAGGAAGGACGTGGAGAAAGTTGGCGACCTGCGCGACGAGAGGGAGCCGAATCAGTGTCTCGCAAAGCTCGAGGGTTCGTGCACCCGAGAGAGAGACAGTCGGACGCACGACGTCGTCGACAGTAGGCAAGGGACCAGGCACCGAGCTGAGCACGTGGACCATGCTCCGGCAGCGCTCAACGGCGGCGACTTGGCGGTCCTCAGGCAGGTCGACGAAGAGTTCGGCGGCCTGGTACGTGTCGAGGATCGCGAGCTCGTTCGAGAGCGACTTGGCGACGTGCTCGTGCTCCTTGTAGACCGCCTCGTACAGCCGCACGACCGCCGACAGGTTGTCGATGCAGAGCCGCCAGCGCTTGAGCGGCGTGACGGCGCGAGGATCGTGGAGCGGCTCGAGAAGCTTGTTGATCTATGGGTCCGTGAGATTCAGTGAGTGGCTCGAGAATCGAGGGAAGGAGGAGGCGGACGCACGAGGGGCTCGACCGCAGGGAGCTGGCCGGCCTCGCGGTGCTGCAGGCACACCTCGAAGACGACGTTGCGTCCTTGCTCGACGGCGGCGACCTGCTGAGGGACCTCGAGCTTGGCGAAGCTCGCCTCGGCGGTGCGCATGTCGACGACGCCGTCGTCCTGCTGGACGTGCGTGCGGCGCTTGAGCAGGTCGCGCGTGGCCGAGAGCTGCGCGACGGCGTCGGCGTGTTTGGACGTCGCGCTGTACAGGTTGACGAGGTCGTCGATGAAGCCGCGCAAGACGTTGAAGCGGTTCGAGTCCGACTCGGTCGCCCGATGGGCTCGGGCGAAGACGGCGTCGGCGGACGGCTGCGGGCGGCAAGTAGGTCAGTCACCTCCTCCCGACGGACGGACGAGGGAGAATGCTGGACGCACAAGGAAGGTGTCGATAGCCGAGGAAGTAGAGGTGGAGAGATGCTTGTGCACGTGCTCGAGAATGAGCTCAACCTCGCTCGCGACTGCCTCGCGCTCGGCAATCACGAGCCGACGGAGCTTCAGCCTCGTGATGCCGCCCTCGTCGAGGAATGTCGTCTTCCAGTGTCGCACGCGGTTCAGGGCGTCGGGCCGGGCGCAAGCGCACGCGTCGACGATAGCGCCGACATGCTTGCGGACCTCGAGCCAAGGCGCGTCGTCCTTTTGCGTCTCGGCCGGCCCGTGCCAGTCCTGGGGGTGCAGTGCACGGTCAGGGACGATGTCGACGCGAGACGAGGACGGCCAGGGTACGACTTACGAGGTCAGCCTCGTAGAACGAGTTCTGGCCGCCGATCTTGTCGAGGACAGACACGTAGTTGAGCTGCAGGATACGAGGTCGTCAGTTCGGCTCGAGTGGTGGGCTTGGAGCGAGAGGGGACGCACCTGAGCCCAGTCAAAGGCGGCGGGCTTGCGGCGCGACCCGCAGTAGGCCCGGAGAACGACCTCGAGGACGGCGGCGCGCTCGGCGGGCACGAGGAAGGCCCAATTGCGACCCCAGAGCGATCGAGCGACACCGAGCGCTTTGCTGCTGGCGTGCTGGATCTGCGCTCGACTGCGGGCTTTGTCGAAGCTAGAGCCCTTGAGGCCCGCGGTGGGCGGGTTCGCCAGCGAGCGGTACATAGCCTCGACCTGGCCGAGGAGGAGGTCCTGGTCGGGGTCCCGCGCCGACGCGGCGCTCTTGTCGTGCCCAGATGAAGGCATGGCGCGTAGAGCCTGTGCAAGCGAGAGAGGAGGGAGAGCTCGAGCGAGCGAATCGCAGCCGAGGGACGGACGCTCGTGCGCCGATCCGATCCGCGGAAAAGCCGTCGGCGCAGCGTGCGTCGGCGAGCTCCTCACGCCTCGGCGACGCTCGACCGCAGCAAGGCGAGAAGCCAGGAGAGGCGAGCACAGGAGGAGAAGCGAGAGAGGGAGGCAACACGGCGGTTCGCGGCGCCGGCCTGGGTGGTAGACAGACTCGGGGGAGCTCATGCGCCCAGCAGGGTCGGTTCAAGCATAAGCGAGCGAGGTGTGCGCCGGAAGCAAGGTGCGGGGCGATGAGGCGGCGACGACTCTCTCGGCTCAACCGCTGCCTCTCCTGCTCGCGAGAGCGACTGTGCACGACCATGCAGGGCTTCAACAGGGTCCGCACAGCATCCCTCACCGCCTCTCGCGCCGCCCACTGACCGGTTGCCCCCTCCCCACCTCGTCCTCATCTCCTTCGCCCTGTTGCGCTCCGCCAACGACAGTACTACCCGCCAGACTACGACCCAGACAAGCACAGCACCCTCAATAGCTACCATGGCAAGCACGCACTCGGCAAGCGGCAAGTCCACTCGCTCCCTCGTCGTCCCTCTCCTGGTCCGCTCGCTGACGTCCCTCTCCGCAGTGCGCACAAGGCCGACCAGGGCATCCTCGTCGTCCGATTCGAGCTGCCGTACAACATCTGGTGGTGCGTCCACTTTCCCTGCCCTGTCCGTGCAGGAGTGACCTGACTCGTTGCCCCTCCTCCCCACCGTCCCTCCCTTACGACCCATCCTCTCGCTCTATCCGGTCCCCTTCTCCTGCCCAACTCGATCCGCCTCCCTCTTCCCGCCGCTTCCCGACCCGCCGACCTCGCAGCGGTACCTGCAACGCGCACATCGGCCAGGGCGTGCGGTACAACGCCGAGAAGAGCAAAGTCGGCATGTACCACTCGACGCCCATCTTGGCGTTTCGCTTCAAGTGCCACCTGTGCCAGGGCAGGATCGAGATCCGCACCGATCCGCAGGTGCGTCCACACCGCCGCCCCTTTTCCCCCTCGGCACGGGCGCGAGCCGTCGCTCTCGGACCTCGAGCGAGCGACGCCGTGCCCGTCGACTCACTGTGTGGGTCACTGACACTTCACTTGACGTGCGCAGAACACGCGCTACGTCGTCACCGAGGGCGCAAAGCAGAAGAACGAGGAGTGGGACCCTGAGGAGAACGGGCACCTCGTCATCGGTGCGTCCCTCTCCCTCGTCCCTAGCTCGGCGGATTCAGCGACCGCCTGTCGTCGAGGTCGCAGATGGGCCCACGCTTCACCTCGCGACGCAGACAACGCGGCCTCGACCTCGACCGCTCCTCCCGACCCGTTCGCCTCGCTCGAAAAGACCGTCACACAGCGCGCCGCCGCCCTCACCGCCGCCGAACGCCTGCACGCCCTCGAGGAGCACAACTCGGCCCGGTGGTCCGACCCGTTCGCGGCATCGCGCGCGCTGCGCGCCTCGTTCCGCGACAAGAAGGCGCGCATCGTGCGCAGCGAGAAGAAGGCCGAGGACGTGCGCGAGCGGTTCGGGCTCGCCGACGAGCGCGTGTCGCTCGACGCGATGAGGACGCCGGCGAGGGGCAGCAGGGAGGAGGCCGAGGAGCAGAGGGAGATGGAGCGGGCGAGGGGAGAGATGGAGCGGGCGCGGGTGGAGTCGGGGAGGAAGCGGCAGAGGGACGAGGACAGCGTGGGGTGGGCCGCGCAAGGCTCGCGAGGCGGCGAGCAGGTGGACAAGCGGCGACGACGAGCGTCTGCTGGCGGGTCGACCTCGTCGAGACGATCGGGGGCATCGTCGGCCGCCGCCGCCAGGCCGTCCACGACCTCGTCTCGCCCTCGTCCCTCCTCGACCTCGGCCACCACCACATCCTTATCTCTCCCACGCTCGACCTCGGCACCCTCGTCCCTCAGCCACTCGACCTCGTCGCCTGCGCTCAAAGCGCTGCACTCGCGCCTCTCGCTCGCGACGGCGCTCAAGCGCGACCCGTTCGGCGGCGCAGCGGCGGCGGCCTCGTCGTCGCCTGCGCGATCGGACGGTGCGGCAGGACGGTCGGGAGCAGGAGCGGCCGGGCTCGAGGGCGTCAAGGTGCGACGCCGGTCGTGACGGGAGGACCGGCGTCGGTCGTCGAGGTGGATCTCGGGCTCGCTCGTGTTGTTGTCAAACCCTTCGTCCCTCTCCCTACTTCTCCATCTCGACCCTCTCCCTGTTCCCCTCGGTCCTCCTCGCGCCGCCGGCACGGCACCGCCCTCGACTCTCAACCGTCGACCTCGTCCGCCAGTCCTCCCGCCTCTGCACTGCCTCGCTGTCGGCCGCCTCCTCGTCCACCCCCGACGATCGGGCGATCTACGTCTCGGCGAGCCTCCTGTTCGCGTGCCCCACGCCAAGGAGGTTCCGCGGACTCGCCGAGCGGACGGGCTCGCGGATCGCTCTCGCTCGTCTCGGCTGCTCGCTTCTCGCTTCTCGCTCTCCTCGCTCGTCGCACACGCGATGCACGACGCCGACGAGCTGCTCGAGTGGCTGTGCGTCGCGCTCGGTTGGCTCGGCGGCGGCGGACTGGCCGAGCACCACCCGTACCGCCCTGTGCTCGAGGCGAGCGTCTCGCTCTACCGCGGGCGGTGGCACTTCTTGCTGCCCTGCGAGCGAGAGCACGCTGTGGACTTGGCTCTGAGCCTCGTCTGTACGGCATGGTCCCCTCGAGGCGTGCATCTCGACCCGACCTCGGTGCGTCGCTTCTCTCTCCCACCTCTTTGCCCTTGATTCGCCATCATCTGACCTCGACTCGCCTCACAGATCATCTTCATGCGCTTCTGGTACGCCGTCGTCAGGGCGCAAGGGTCGTCGGTCCGTCCTCGTCCTCTTTGTGCCACGTGCACCTCGTCGAGCCATCTTTCCGGTCGAGCTCGCGCACTGACCCGCCACCTCCGTCAGCGGCTCGATAGCCATGTCGCCACGTACGAGCGCATCGAGCTCGCCGTCGACCACGTCCGCGGCCTGTACAACGTCGCCCTCGGCCTGTCGTCCTTTGCCGGCTTCGCCACCGTGCAGAAGGCGACCGAGTGGGCGACCAACTTCCTCGGCCCGGCCGGCCTGAGTCGAGAAAAGGCGATGCGCATGGACCTGCGGGCTCTCGAGGCCATCTCGCAGCGACTCGACGAGCTGCGGGACGAGCTCTTTGCGCTCGCGAGGGCGCCCGGCCGAGCTTTCCCTCCTGTCGACGACCTTGTGCGTCCCTGGATCTCCTCGCCGCTCCTCCTCTTCATTCGTCGTCTCGATGCCCTGTGCCAAAGGACTGACCCCTCGTCCTGCACACGCAGCCTTCCGCCGATGCAGCTCTGAGCCATGCCGAGATCCAGGTCGCCCCTCGTCACGCCGTCTACGAGCGGCTCAAGCACCTGTTCAGCAACTTCGTCGAGCTCTACTCGGACGGCAACCGCATCCGCATCGGCCCTCGAGATCCTCGCCACGCGCACGACATGGCCAACGCCGCTCTCGACCTCGGACGCGGCGACCTCGAGGGCTCCTTCGACGCGCTCGACGCCGAGGAGCGACACGAACACGTCCAGGACGCTCGGAGCGCGCTGTTCACGACGTGCGACGAGCTGTACCGCACGGGCTCGCTCCCTGCCCCTTTCCTCCTGGTACGCTCGCTCCCCTCTCTCTCTCCTCGCCTCACCTCAGGGACGTCCACTGACACGGTCTTGTGCCCCGTCCAGATCGACCGACTCGTCACCTCACTGTGTCCTGCAAGTCGACGCCGCTCTCGCAGTCGATCGAGCGGGTCATTCGGCGACGCCGCGACGGCTTCCCTGAGCGAGGTGCGCTCCGGTCTCTCCTGCTCTCTCTTGTGATTCGTCCGCTCACTCTCGCTCTTCGTCTCGCAGTCTCGACACGTACGATCGTCCTGGAGCCCGCCCTACCTCCTCTCGCTCGCGCACGACGGCGCGTGGCGTCCGGGCATCTCGCAGCGGACGGCGAGCCGGCTCGGCGGGACGACGGCGCGTGATTGGGAGGCTGGTGCGCGGCGTAGATGGGCATGACAAGGTGTGGAACAGGTTCGGGCAGCTGCAGCAGTCGGTCTCTCGCGTTGCGGCCGAGAGAGAAGCGTTTCTGCGAGAGAGCGGGCTGAGCGGCTCGTCTTCTGGCGGTTTGCCCTCGCGCCTCTGAGCTCTCCAGCTGCAGCATGAGCGGTGTCTGTAGCTCGTCGCAGCGACCGCGCAGTCGCTCGAACGAGTAGAGCGGACGCGGCTCGCTCTCTCGTGGCCGGCCCCACCTCTGAGCGCCCGCTCGAGATCTCGCTCTCCACCCTCGGCATCTCGCCCTCGCCAGACACGCGCCACGGCCTGCGCAGAGCTCACTCGGCACCCTCAGCAGCACCGTCGACCTCGTCCACCCCCGTCCGACGCGCCTGGCCGCCCTGTTCGCGGCGTTCGCGCTCACGCCTCGAGCCCTCGTCACCACCGCACAGCAGCACTGCGGGCGCGGCCTGATCAACTCGACATGGGTCCAGAAGGAGATGGGCAGGGTGCGGCGGGCTCAGCAGGGGCGTGGGAGGGCGAGGTGCGTCTCCCTCAACTCGTTCATCAGGAGCTCGAGGCGCGTGCCGCGCCGGCTCGAGGGGGGCGCGAGGCAGGGCGGTCGACTAGGGGGCACAGCACTCGCACCTGGACAGCGTACAGCCCCATGCCCTCCTCGCTTCGAGGGCGATTTGCCGCTGCGTGCATGCGCCGCCTCCCCCTTTCCTCGTCACGCGCATCCCGCCAGCACGAGATAAGCCTGCAGCACGGCGACCCTTACTGACTCTTGCTCTCTCTCCCACTGCAGACCGAGATGCCGTTCGCCGACGCGACCAACCGGAGCAGCACGGCCCTCCTCGACGGCGCCAACTCGGCTCCCGAGCAGCAGCAGCCTCACAGGTGCGCCCGCGCTTCCTCCTTCGCCGTCCCTCTGCGCACAGACTGACCGTTTGTGAGGAACAGCACGAGCACGATCAAGCCTCGACGTCCAGCTCCCGCACCGCCGTCCACCGGTTTCGCGTTTCCTGCACGCCCCGCCGACACCGATCCTCTCCCTTCGACTACCCGTCCCGTCCCCGTCCACCGCCACACTCGCTCTACCTCGTCCATCTCGCACCCGCCAATCCCCGACCCGAGCTACCCTGTCCGCTCGCAGCCGATCGGGGTCTCGCGGTCAAGCTCCCTCAGCAGCTCAAGCTCGTTCGGCTCGGGCCTCGACCTGGCCGCCCTCGCCGCCGAGCCGCCTTCGTCCTCGAGCCCCAGGAAGCCCGACGTCCACCTCCGGCGCCTCAGCCTGTCGGACCGCAGCGGCAGCGACGCCGACAAGGACAACAAGGACGTGCCGGCCAGGCCTCGTCGCCCGACGCCGCAGAAGCGCAGCGAGAGCCTGCCGGCCTACCCGCCACCGCCCACCCTGTCGGACAAGACGCACAACGGTGTGAGCGAGCAGGAACTCGCGGCTCTACCAGTGCGTCGCCTTGCCTTGCCCGAGCCAATCGTCCGTCTCTGACCTCTTTTCTTGCGCAGCCCAACCCCAAGCTCTGGCTCCCGTCGCACCTCTCGACGTACCTGTCGTCGACCATGTCCCTCCCGCCACCTGTCCGCGCCGACATCACCACCTTCATCCGCTCGTCGCGCCTGAGCGGCCGCACCTTCCTGCGCCTGCGCGAGGCCGACCTCGACGAGCTCGGCATCAACATCCGGTGGCGCCAGGCGCTCCTCGAAGCGCGCGGCGTCCTCCGTCGCGAGTCGCTCGGCGGGCGCGTCCTGTGGGGCTTCGAGGGTGCAGGCTCTGCCGCCCCTCCCCCTGCCGCCGCCGCCGCCGTCGCCGCCGCCGCCTCGCACCGCCGCGGCGGGAGCTGGCAGGGCACGTGCGTCGACGTCGAGGGCTCGGCGTCCGAAGACGAGTCGAGCAAGGACGAGTGGAAGCGCTCGTGGCGGGCGTCGCAGGGCGTCGGCGTGCGCGACCGAGTGCGCGGGCTCAGGAGGGCGTTCGAGACGGTCGAGGAGGCGAGCGAGAGCGGGACGCCCGAGAAGCCGGCGTCGACGCGCAAGGCGCTGCCGACGGCATGGCGGCACGGGAGGAGCGACTCGGCGGCGAGCGACATGAGCGACGCGAGCGTCGACTCGGCGGGCGGCAAGTACGCCGCCGCGTCGGCCACGCCATCCCGTGTCCAGCAGGCCGACGATACGTTCCTGTCCTCGACCTTCACCACCTCGTCGTCGGGCACCGGGCGCCGGTCGCCTTTCTCGCTCGACCTCGACCTCGCCTCGCCCTCCCCGCGCCTCGAGCTCGACCTCTCGCCCGCGCCCGACTCGCCCACCTCGGCCTCGTCGTCGCACGGCACCTCCCTTCCCTTCGCGGCCGAGAGCCCGGCCCCGTCGCGCCCGCCGTCGTGCGCCCCGTCGGCCCAGACGCCGCGCCTGCAGCCAGACGGGACCCTGCGCGCCGCGAGCGCCAAGGGCGGCAGCGCTCGCCTCGTCTCGTTCCGCGAGTTCTCGAGTTCGAGCACGACGGCGCGAGGTGACGCACGCGGCGACGGCGAGTCGGGCGAAGAGGACGACGACGACGACCCGACGCTGCGGCCCGTGCGCTCGCCGCTCTCGTCGCCGCCCATGTCGCCCCGCACGGGCAGCCTCGCCGAGCTGTTCGGCCTCGACGTGCCGCGTGTCCATGCCGGTGACACGCCGCAGCGCAGGACGAGGGAGGACGAGCTCGTGCCCATGTTCGTGCCGGGCTTGCCGCAGCCGAGGGGCGACGAGGAGGACGGTGGAGGGTCGAGGCGGCACAGCAAGAAGGGCAGCCTCGTTCTCGTCAAGAGTACGTCCCTCTCTCTCTCTTTCATGATCGAGGCGGGGCATGCCTGACCTCGTCGGTGCGCCCGCAGAGTCGCAGCTTGCCGCCCTCCAGCGCCGCATGTCCGAGGTCGAGTCGCAGCTCGCCCTCGCCCTTGGCTCCGAGGGCACGCCGTCGGTCGGCGATGACGACGAGGAGGGCGATGACGGAAAGAGCTGGGTGTACAAGGGCGAGCAGGTCGACGAGGAGCGGCTGCGCGAGATGCAGGAGCGGATCGACGGGTGCGTCCCCTTCTCTCCTTCTCGCCCGAGCCTCTCTCGCCCTTCTGGATTAACGTACTCGATCTGCCACAGTCTCGAGCTCCGTACGACCCACCTAGCCACCTCGATCCCGGCCTCGCCGACGCCGTCCGCTCGCGCCTTTGCGTCCCTCGACTCGCCCTCGGCGTCGGCGTCGTCCATGTCGCTCAGCACCGCCTACCCGGACACGTCGGCGGGCGCCTCGGGCACGTCGCGCCGCCGCGACAAGGAGCGCCAGCGCAGCAGGTCGAGCACGGCGCAGGGCAGCGTGTACAGCGTCCAGACGCAGGAGGACTTGCCCGGCATGTGGCCGATCGAGGGCTGGCGCCAGCTGAGCGGGTACGTCGTCGCGGCGAGTATCGGCATTGGGGTGCGTCCCCTCTCTATCCCTCTCGTCCTCGACGTCGCGCTCGCGAGGACCGGCCTGACCTCGCGCCCTCGCCTACAGATTGTCGCCGGCGAGGTCGTCGCCGCCAAGATCCTCGGCCTGCGCAGACGTTGAGCTCTGCGCTGCGTCGTCATACCCTTCCCTCTCCACCTCGCGCCAGTCGGCTGCATCCTCGTCACCGCCCCTCTCGCGTCGCCGTCGCCGCCGCCGCCAGCTGTTCTTTCTCGCCCTTCCCCCTCAGGCCTCGTCCCGCATCCTCTCGCCCAGCGTCAGCCTCTTTCATTCGTGTCACACTTCATCCTCGTAGCCTCGTGCGGCCTCTCTAGTTGTTGTCCCCCCATTCTCGCAGTGTCCTTCCTCCCCTCTCTCTCCTTCGTTCAACGTCGAGCCGCCTCGTCGTCACTCTACCTCGTCCTCCTTGGAGCTTCTCTTGCAACGTGTCTTTGGTCTGTCGCAGTCCTGCAGCCGAGCGGCGAGTACGAGCGCACGAGCGAGAGAGAGAGAGAGAGCGAGGCCTGAGCGCGCGCGGTGCCGGCTTCACGAGGCTCGACCGCTCGAGGTGGCCTCGGCGCGACGGGCCCGGCGTCGACGAGTGGTGTTTGCGAGAGACGCACTCCCCCGAGTTGCCAGGAGGCGCTCTTGGCTGAGTCGCCAGGCGCGACGAGGTGAGGTGGGCCGACGGTCAATGAAAAACGCGGGGAAGGCGCCGAGCTGCCGGCGCGGCGGCCGCCGGCGCATCGCTTGTTTTCCCTCGCATTCGCTCGTCTCCCTCGCCACCAGCGCTCCGCAGCCACCGCTCGACGAGTCCACGCAGCACCAGTGCACCCGCCACCGTCACCGCCATGCCCGCCACGCCGCCCTCGCCCCGTGCTCGCGCCTCGCGCCTCAGCTGCGCAGCGAGCCTCGCCGCACTCGTCGCCCTCGCCAGCTCTACGCAGCAGGTCCACGCCGCCTACAGCCTCACCAAGGACTACTCGGGCAGCACCTTCTTTGACGGCTGGGACTTCTACGGTTCGTCCCCGCTCTTTGTCGTGCGACGAGGCACCGGCGCATCTCGCGATCAGAGCCCAGAGCTGACTGAGGACGGCGCGCGCTCGCAGGCAACTACGACAACCTCACCAATGTGCGTCTTGAGCTCCCTCGCAATGCCTCGCGGTGCGAGGGCGGCGCGGGAACCGTCTGCCTACCCCTCGAACGACGGGTTCGGCTCGTCAATCGCGAGGGACTGACTCTCTCTTCCACCTCGCGCACTGCAGGGCGACATCATCTACGTCAAACAGAGCGACTCGGCCGACCTCGCATACGTGTCGGGCAGCGTGCGTCGCCTGTTTCCCTGCCGCTCGTCGGCGGCGCCCCAACCTCGCGCGTTCTCTGCCCGCACGGCCTCGTACTGACCCTCTCTGTCCCCCGTCACAGAGCGTCATTCTCAAGATGGACAACGTGAGCGAGGTGCCGTACAACGAGAAGCGGCGGAGCGTGCGCATCGAGACGCAAGCCTCTTACGGCATCGGCTCGCTGTGGACGTTCGACTTTGCGCATGTGCCCTACGGCTGCTCGGTCTGGCCGGCGGCGTGGGCGACGACCAAGACTTGGCCTCAAGGTGGCGAGATCGACACGTTCGAGGGCGTCAACCTCGTCGAGACGAACCAGGTGCGTCTCGCTCTCTTTTCCTTCTCACGATCCAGAGCCTGACTCAGCCTTTTGCCTTCTGCAGATGGCCATGCACACGGCCGACGGTTGCTCTGTGTCGAACGGCACGAGCGACAACTTCTCGGGCACCCTCACCTGTGCGTCCCGCGTCCGTCCCTTTTTACGTCTCACTCGCACGCATTCTGACGGCTCTTCGACGCGCCGCAGACGGCAACTGCTTCGCCAAGGCCAACGACAACTCGGGCTGCACGATCCGCGACACTCGTCCCGCCTCGTACGGCGCCGCGTTCGCGGCTGCAGGCGGCGGCGTCTGGGCGACTCAGCTCGCCAAGGACGGCGTCTCGATCTGGTTCTTCCCGCGCTCGGACGTCCCGTCCGACCTCAGCTCGGGCTCGTCGACGCCGTCGCCCGACGCGTGGGGCACGCCCGCCGCGTACTACCCGGCGAGCTCGTGCGCGACGCCCGACTTCTTCTCGCCCCAGAACTTGGTCATCACGATGACGGCGTGCGGCGACTGGGCCGGCAACGCGGCCGTCATGAACTCGACTGGATGCCCGCTCACAAAGGACTCGTGCTACCTCTCTTACGTCCTCGACAAGTACGCTCTCGTTTCCCTTTTCTCCCTTCTCCTCCCCCTCTCTTCCCCTCTCCTTTCCCTCTCATTCCCTCTCTTTTCCACGCTCTTTCCTCTCGTACACGATCCTGACGACCTCTACGTGCAGCACCAACTTTGACACGGCCTACTTCGACATCAACTCGATCCGCGTCTTCTACGACCCGGACCGTGCGGCCGACTCTGCGCCGGCGACGACGGCGACGGCGTCGAGCTCGCTCCTGTCGGTCAGCGCGACGCCGACGTCGAGCCCGTCGGGCTCGTCGGGCTCGTCCTCGGGCGACAGCGCGGCGGGCATGCTGCGCGTCCAGGGCGCGGCGACGGCGCTCGTCGGCGCGGCGGTCCTCGGCGCCGCAGGCTTGATCCTCGTCTGAGCAGCCTCGAGATTCGTTTTACACCCTTCCTTCATCTTTGGCATGCACGTCGACTCGCACTAGACGGCGTCGACGCGCTGTTGTAGACCCTCGTCCCCTTTTTCTTTCTTTCTCTCTTAGCAGCTCGCAATGATAGACACTCGCTTGAGCGCTCTCCTCTCTCGTGTGCAGGGTCACGAAAGCGGTAAGTGCATCTACAGAGAGCGCAAGCCGCTCATTCTCGCAAGCTAGCGCTCCTCAGCCGTCGACGTCCATCGCCTCCTCTTCGCGCTCGCGCTCCGCCTCGTCTGGCTCTTCCTCGTCGTCCTGCGTTAGGTCAACCACCTCGGCCTCGTCCCACCTCTCGACCCACTTCTCCCACCCCTCCCTCTCCCACCTGTCCCTCAACGCCTCCCTCACCTCGTCGTCCATCTCCCTCTCGATCTCGGCCTCGCGCGACGCGATCCACGCCGCGTCGCCCGGCGGACTCGGCGAGCGCGGGTACGGCGACACGAGGCGCGTCGGATGGATGCGGTACTGCGCCGGGGCGGGGCGGGGAGGCGTCATGCGGGCGCGCGACGAGGAGGGGGAAGGAAGGGGTCCGAGCGCGGGAGCGCGGGACGTGCGGGTGCGCGAGGGCGAGAGGGAGGGCGAGCGGGACGACGCGTGGCGCTTGGCAGAGTCGAGGTGCGTCGACTGGAAGTGGGCGTGGGAAGGAAGGTTGGGGAGGTCGGCGAGAGGAAGGCGGTCGGGGGAGGACGTGCGACGACGACGGGACGAGCGAGGCGAGGCGGTCTCTGCAAACAAGGCGGCGTCGGTTCGTGCTCGACGTGTAGAGAGGAGGGGACGCACCATGCGAGAGGTAGGCCCGTCCCTCGTGCTGCTCGCCGGCGGCCGCAAACTCGACCTGCTCCTGCGAGCGCACGGACCCCTCCGCCCCGATCTCCTCGCGCCGCTCCGCCGTCTCTCCTCCGCCCGAGCCCTCGTCCGACTCGTCGACCTCACCCTCCTCGAGCCCGACCCCGACGTCCTCCTGCAGCAACTCGACCGCGAACCCCCTCAACTCGACCCTCGCCGCCCTCGCGTCGCCGACGAGCGCCCTCGCCGCGTCCCTCGTCGCGCAGCTCACCTCGAGCGCGTACGCGTCGTCGCCGTCGCCCGTCTCGGCGAGGTGCAGGCGGAACGAAGCGTGCCCGTACGGCGCAAGGAGCGCGACGACCTCGTCCGGGTGGAGGTCGGCCGGGAGCGGGCCGAGCCAGACGATGTGCGCCGAGGTCGGGGCAGGAGGAGGAGGGTGTGGTGAGGTGTCGGTGGGCGAAGAGGCGAAGGTGCCGGCGCGAGGAGAGCGCGACAGGGCCGGCGAGAGGACGGGCGAACGCGAAGGGGTGCGAGCGTCGGGCGGCGCGGGCGACGGGCTGAACTCGATGTAGGACGGCCCGACGAGGCCGCTGCGGAACGACCGCTGGTGCGAGTGCTCGAGGTGGCGCGACGTGCGGTGCGGAGGTGGACGAGGGAGCGGGTTGGCGGCTTGAGTGTGAGGGGAGGTCGGGCGGGATCGGTCCTGCGCTGAAGCAAACCTGCAGGCGCCGCAAGACCAGGGTCAGTCAGACCATCCAGGGAAGCTCGATGACCAAGGAGAGGACGGCGCGACGCACCTCAACCCGCGCTCGGTCCTCGACCCGTCCCTCCTCATCTCGCGCCCCTCGTCGTACCCAAGCCCGCTTGTCCCAGCTCCGCCCGCCCAGCTCGGCGCATCGACGTCCTCGTACCTCGCGCGCCCGTCCCTCCTTCCCGCCTGCCCGCCCCGTGACCGCCTCGTGCCGCTCTCGAGCGCCTTCTGCGGAATGCGGCGCCGGCCGATGCTGTCGTACGCCGCCTCCCAGCCGGACAAGGGCGCCGGGCGCTCGACGCGCTCAATGTCGCCGTCACGATCGCGCTCGTCGAGCGCGCGAGGGTCGCGAGGTGCGCTGCGGCGAGGCGACCTCGAGCGAGACGAGCGGCGGCGCGAGGAGGTCGGCGGCGGGTCGGGCGAGTGCGAGCGGCGGCGACGGGCAGGCGGGTCGTAGTCGCTCGCTCGGCGGGCGGTGCGACGGAGCCCTGCTGGAACGGGCTTCGACGGTGCTGGCGAGCTTGTGCGGGTCGGTGTACGGCGAGCCGTCGCGAGGCCAGTGGAGCGCGGGGAGGACCGACGACGACGAGGGCGACGGCTCGCGGCGGCCCCAGCGAGACGAGTCGCCCACCGTCGGTGCGCGCCTGCGATAGCGCTCCGACATCTGCTCGGCGCAGGTTCGCTCGAGCGGCGAGAGAGCGAGTGAGGGCGAAGAAGGAGAGCGACACCGCCGAGACGAGGAGAGCACCGGCAAGTCCGCAAGTACGCAAGCCGAGCTGCCGAGACTCAGGAGACCCAGCCTCGCTAGCCGGTCAGCCGATCGAGACGGCCAGGAGCGGCCGAAACGACGACGAGCGGCAGCCACGACAAAGAGTCTTTCTCGCGTCCTCGCCCTCGACCAAGTCCAACGACGAACGCGCAACTGCCTCGAGACCCTCGTCTATCTACTCGCCTTGTCCCCCCTCTTCCTCGTGCCCGCACCGCTCTCGGCAATCCCCATCGACAGCGTCACGCCCTCGCGCCGCCCAAACCCGCGCAGCCCGAGCACGCGCCGCACGTCGTTCGTGAACCGCAGCGAGTCGAGCATCGGCAACAGGTCGAGCAGGCACTCGTCGTGCGGGTCGTTGATCCAGCCCTCGATCGGGATGCCGTTGGCTGCGAGCGCGAGCGGGACCGGGCGAGAGAGGGTCAGTGCTGCCTCTCGAGACGAGGCAGGGCGCAACGACGGCAGGTTGAGCCCTGCACGTGTCACGCCCGAGAGAGACACACAGAGAGAGAGAGAGGTGGGCGCACCTTGGTTGATGGCGTAGCTCGCCGGGGAGTTGTCGACCAAGCACACCCGGCTCAAGTCCGCGTCGACGACGCTCAGGTCCTTGACGTACGACCCGTTGCGCGCCATGCAGTCCTGCGTCGGCGAAAAAGGCGCGCTAGTCAGTCTCTCGGTCATGCGAGAGCCCGACGAGGGCTGAGAACGTCGACGCACCGAGCGAAAGAGCCGCGCGCCGACCATGCCGCCTCGACCGTCGCCGCCGTCGAGCCAGTCGATGACCGGGTCGGCGTACTCGGGCACCGAGGCCGTAAAGATGACGACCGTGTACCACGAGGAGACCTGCGCGCGCAACGAAGCGAACAGGACAGTCAGGGCGAGGACGAAGAGAGCCTCGGACACATGACGAGCAAGACGACGGCGACGCACCTTGCGCAGGAAGAAGTCGACCCAGGGCCGCTTGTACACCGTGTAGACTGTGCTGCGCCCGTCGAGCATGACCTCGACGACGCGCGTCTTGAGCCCTTTGGGCGCGCCGCGCTTGCCGAACGACCCGCCCGACCGGATCGAGTGGATGAGCGTCTCGTCGAGGTCGAGGACAAGCGTCTTGGGCGTGAGCTTGGGCGGCGGGAGGTGGGCGCGCGGGATGGCGCTCGGCGAGGGCGACGGGGTCGGCGACGAGGACGACTGGGCCGACCCGGGGAGGGACGCTGCGAGAGCGTGAGGGCGAGTGACGCGATGCGGGCGTGACGCTTGGACGACGTGCCCTTCTCGTCGAGCTGCGCGGCGTCGCTCGGCTCGGACGAGAGTGGCGAGTGGGCGGGCGCGAGGAGGGCGTTGTAGCCCGGCCGGGGCGAGTACGACAGGCCAAACAGGGACAGGAACCGTCGCACGAGGACGTAGAACGAGACCGACAGGCGGAACGGCCACCATCGCGCGAGGCGGGTCATCCATGGCCAGGTCGCAGACGAGTTGACGACGGCGAGCCCGGCCGGCGAGGCGGACGTGCCCGTAGCCGACTCGACGACGACGCCTTTCTCCGGGTCCGTCGACGCCATCGTGTCGTTGTAGCTGGGCGGTGGCGCCGAGGGTACGGCGACGCCGGCGTCGTCGACAAAGGTCGGCTCGACGCCCTCGCCGCGCTCGAGCTCCGTCTTGACCGTCTCGCCGTCGCGCACCGGGTCCTCGCGCGCGAGCGGGTCGCCGACAGCATCGAGAGGCTCAGTCGCTGCCGCTCGGGCCTTGCCCTTGCGGCTCGACCGTCGCGACGGCGGCACGACGGCGCCGGCCGAGACCTGCTCGTCCTGCTCGCCCGCCTCGCCTGCGCGCCGTGCGGGCTCGCTCGCAGCCGCCGCAACGCTCTGCTCGGCGGCGTCGACCTCGCCAACGAGCTCGGCGACGTCGTCGTCGGGTTCTGCCGAGGCCGGCGAGAGGGCGGCCGAGATGGGGAGCTGCGAGGTGCTCGCGCGCGGGCTCGGTGGGGGAGCGGGTCGCAACGCCGACAGGAAGTACTCGAGGGTGTTCATGGCGCGTGCCGGGCGAGTCTAGGCGGGCGATGGAGGGCGATGAGGCGAGTCGAGAGGCGCGAGGTGGGGGTGAGGGTGATGGGGATGCGCAGTCGGGTCGAGCGGTCGAGGGGCGCGGCAGGGGAAAGGTGCTCGATGGCGAAGGACGAGGTGGAAGGCTGTTGCGCGGTACTCCTTGCGCTCTGCTGCACGTCCAAGCGGGGTGAGCGTCCGGCGACGGGAGGACCGAAGGCCAAGGAGGAGGCGAGGGCTCACCGAACGAGCGGTCTGGGCGGATCGTGTGCGGCTTGAACGGGGCTGGTGGGAGCCGTGAACGAGTGTCGGCGGGCCTGGGCGGCCGGTGATGCGCTCGGCGTCGAGTTGGGGAGGCGGACGGAGGCGCGAGGAGGTCGGGTGGTGTGTCGGGAGCGACTCGGCGCACGAGAGGCTCGGGACGGGAGCGACACAGGCTCTGTGTGCCGTACGGCGGTGCGCTGAGCGTATAGAGGTGATGGTGAGGGAGCGAAGCTGCTCGTCCGGGGCGACGGACATCGCTGGTCACCTGAGCGCACAGAAGCTTCGCAAGCTCGTCTCCAGACAGGCAAGCGGCTACCTCGAGAGTCCAACGAGATCTTTAGACGCAGGACCCGGCAGCTGTTCAACCGGCAGCTGTCGAAGCGGGCGAGCCGTTCTCGCCGACCTCGCTCAGCGAGCCTGCCTCGCGACAGCACCATCTTTCGCCTGCTTTCCTCGGCGAGCACAGCTATCGAGCGCTTCTCGAGGGAGGGGACCTTTGGGGGAAGCGGCGGCGAGAGCGGCGAGGCCGCTACAGACGACGAAAGCTTGCAACGCGCGAACGACGAGGGCAGCTACGCAAGGAACGGCTCCCGACTCGCCCAGCCTGTCGCGCGACCGTCCGCTCCGTCCTGCAGGCTCGAGTGCGCGAGCGAATACGGCCGCCAGACGTGCGGGTGCTGCCGTGGACGAGGACGAAGGGTGAGTCAGTGAGGAACGGGCAGAGTCGACGAGACGAGGCCGACGCACCCGGACCCGGTGTGCAGCTCGATGCTTAGGCTGGTGCGAGTTGAGGCGTGGCGCGGGCGCAAGGGGGCGCCGTACCTGCGAGGCCTTGAGAGTCGGCGAGAGGCTCGTGCACGAGGCGCGAGAAGGGAAGAGGAGCCGGACGCACCGATGGTGGTCGAGAGGGAGGCTCGAAGGCGTGCGGGATGTAGAACGGACGCGTGAGGTTGCTCAGCTGCGTGCAGAGGAGATGTCAGACGGTGAGAAGGACGGATGTTGAGGAAAGAGAAAGAGGACGCACGACTGTTTCAGCGGCGGGCAGGGTCGGCGCAGGCGGGAGCGGCCGTCCGCTCACAAGCGCTTGAGGGCAGTCGCGAAGGAACGTGCGACATGCATCGTGAAAGTCGGCGCACACCTGGTAGACGACGTCGCGAGCGTGGTCGACCACTCGCTGTCGCTGCTCGGGCTTGAGCACGCGCGCAAAGTCGAGGTCGGCGGTCTCGACGAGCCGGACGTGTGACGACATGAACGTCGACTCTGTGAGCTTGTCGGCGGCGGCGGTCATGTTCGAGCCGTTGTCGACCGAGTAGAGCAGGCCGGTCGCGCGAAGGAGGCGGACGTAGTGGTCGAAGCGCGACGACGCCAGCTGCGTGCGCATCTGCGCTTGCTTGATAAGGCCATCTGCGCTCGGCTGGGGGCGGCGAGAAGTCAGGGTCTGGCGACGGCTGAGAGAGAGAGGGGTCCTTCGAGACGCACCAAAGGCACCTCGACGTTGGGCAAGGACGCGTGCTGCCGGCCCGCCGCTTCTGCTCGACGAGCGATCTCGGCGAGCATACCGGTCACGATGAGCGCGCCGGCTTGGCCCAAACGCGCGAGCTTGGCCGCCGTGATGCCGCTCGGACCGACGAGCCCAGCTGCCCACTTTATCGCTCGGGCCGCCCGCTCGCCATTGGTGACAGGCTCGTCGACCTTGGCGTAGAATACGACGACGATCTTGGTGACCTCGAGCTTGATCTTGAGAGCGGCGTTGGCGCTCGCTCGAGGCGAGAGCGACTGCGAGAACGGGTTCGACGTCAGCTTGAACGGCGGGTGGATGCGGTGGACGAGGACGTACGTCACTCGGGGCGTGACCTGCTTGTACGAGACTGTTAATGTGGCTGTAGGCGCTCTGCAAAGTAGGACAAAGTCAGTGGTCCGTCTCTTTGAGGAGGAGAGGGGACGAGGCGAGAGGAGGGCGCACCGTGTTGGTGTTGACAAAGCCCATGCAGTACGACCTGCAGAGCCTGATCAGGAGCTGCTCGACGACCTCCTCCCGCTCCGTAGGCAGGTAGTCGGGCCACACCTCCTCGAACTTGGCGCGCGAGTTCTGCAGCGACTGGCGGTCGTGTTCGGCTTGAGGGCCCGACGACGCTTCTTCGAGCCACTCGAAGATCAACGAGAGGCAGGCCAGCAGGTGCGCCGCGTCGTGCATGGCCGTTTGTCGAGCGAGAGCGGCGGCGAGAGCGAGAGGGGGAGCGAGAGGAAACCGCGGCGGAGCTTCCACCGAGACGGACGGCGCTACGGCCGCCAAGCCCAAGTACCGATCAAGAGCGTCGAGCGTCGAGTGACGGTCCGCCGGCGACCGGCATGCGGACAGGAGGTTGCGGACGGCGAGGATCGAAGCGACGAGCGGAGGCGGACGTCTTGGGAGCAGCCGCAAGTACTGGCTTGGGCGGAGCAGCTCGAGCTGCGGAAGCATCGCAGAGACTGCACTGAGAAAGCCTGGAGCGCGACAGGGCTCAGCTGCGCCGGCAGGGAGAGGGAGAAGGGAGAGCTCGCGAGCGCATTGCCTGCCGATTAGATTCGGCTGAGCGGTAACTTCTGAGGAGTGCTATGTAATTGTATGGCTGGTCCGGCTGACATAAGAGCGGGGATCTAGCTCATCGGTAGAGCGCTCGCTTAGCACCACCGTGTGCGAGAGGCGCAGGGTTCGACTCCCTGGTTCTCCACTTACTTTTTCTCTCTCAAGAGCTTACGCTGTCGCTCTCTACCTCAGGCGCATCGCTCGCAGCGAGGCTGATGGACGTGCGGTCTTTTTGGCGAGCCGCCAGAGCGAGTGCGCGACGAGATCTTGGGGAGGCCGGAGAAGAGGTCCGTGCGACTCTCGCCGGGGCGCTCAAAGAGATGCGATGCGAGACCCAGGTGGATTACTAGTCGTGACAGCTAATGCGAGAGAGGAGAGGAAGAGGGAGAGGGTCTACGAGTCTACTGGGGAAAAGAACCCTCGTCACGCACGGCCGCCGAGCGACTCCTCGAGCCTCGAGCGGTGCACCTTCTTCTCGTCGTCCGGGACCTCGCCGCGGATGGCGCGCTCCTTGGTGATCTGGCGCTTGACGCGCTCGGCGGGAGGCGCCTCGTGCTGGAAGTAGCGCTCGACGTCGGCCGAGATGAACGAGTGGTCGACGTCGTACGACTCGCCGGTCTCGTCCTCGCGCGCGATGAGGTGCGACTCGTACAGGACGCGGAGCTGTGGGGCAGGCAGAGAGTCAGTGCAGCCCTTGGGAAGAGACAGAGAGAGGCGGGCGCACCTCCTCGATGCGGTCGAGCTTGTCCTGCTTGGGGTCGTAGTACCGGTCGCGCTTGAGGACGACGCGCTCGTACCACGACAGGTGGTGCGGGTGGATGGCGATGCCGTGGTAAAGCTCGGGGTGACCCGCACGGACGCAACGCCAGTAGCCTGCAGCAGAACAAGGTCAGGGACGCTCGACTTGGGAAGGTGGACGAGCGAGAGTCGCGACGCACGCTCAATCTCGCGCAGCTCCATGCCAGTCGTGTCGGGCAGGAAGATGGCTGTGACGAGGAAGCCGAGGGCGCCGAACGGCATGGCGAACCAGAACTTGTTGCGGTCCGAGAGGTAGTGGAAGACGACGGTCGGGAGGAGGGCGCCGAGCTTGCCGCAGGCCGCCGAGAACCCGTCTATGCGCATTGTGAGAGTCAGAAGATGTCGCTGGAAGTGTGTAAGGGAAGAGGGACGCACGGGCAGTCGAGCGGACCGAGGCGGGGAAGCACTCGCCGGCGACGAGGAAACTGCGCGATGAGGGACGAGGATCAGCTGGACCGGTCTAATCTGGAGCGCTAGAGGGAGGCGACTTGCGACACAACGTTGGGCCCGCACGGTATACGCGGAAGCGCCGGGGCGAGGTCGAGGAGGGGGAGGAAAGGGGAGGCGAGCCGAAGGTCAGCTGGGGCGCTCAAGGCACGACTGCGGCCACCTGCAGGCCGCCCGCTCTTTCCGCCTGGTACTCACCTGGTTCCAGAACGACGAGAAGTCTGTAGTGTAGAAGAGGTCGTCAGTTGGGCGCACGAGAGGCTGAGGGAGGTCGTGAAACACTTGACGCACGGTACATGAACTGGAAGGCGGCGATCGGCGCGCCCGGCACGCGCAGCTGGTTGAAGAACTGCGTGAGGTGTACAGCATTAGTGTGGGTGCGCTATGGTTCGAGAGAAATGAGCGAGAGGGGACGCACGATGGCCGCGAAGAGGTAGATGAAGAAGTCGAACGCGAAGCCGACCTGCTGCATGTTGCGGCGGCCGTAGCGCTTGTCGTCGATGAAGAGCATGCCCATGTAGTAGCCGCACAGCGACACGGCGAGGTTGATCTGCAGGTGAGAGCCCGAGTCAGTCTCGAGGCCGGTAAGGAGAGGGAGGCGAGGCGCGAGGCGCACCAGGTTGTACTCCCAGGTGACGACGAGCGACGCTCCCGGGTGGATGATGCCGATGAACGTTGACGAGAAGACCTTGGTACCGTAGAAGAAGACCTGCAGGCGGGAGAGAACGAGTCAGTCGGGTCGACCTTCTCAAACCGAGTCGAGGTCTGAGGACGCACGTCGTTGGCGAACCAGCCACCGGCGGTCGCGACAAGGCGGCCCCAGTAGTGCGCGTTGAGGAGACGGAGCGACTGCATGTCGTACCCGCTCGTGTTCTGCTTGCGCTTGGCGGCGCGCAGCTGGACGTCGGCGTCGTGGACCTTGTACAGGCGGTGGTAGAAGAGCCACACGTGGACGAGGGCGGCGAGGCCGAACTGGACGCGGTAGGTCGCCTGGGCGGTGCGGGCCGAGAAAGGCGGCTGGGTGTCGCCCGAGTGGAAGATCATGAGGAGGATGAGGAGCGAGCACTGGTTGAAGACCTGGCCCCACCCCTGCATGAGGAACGCGCCGACGACGTTGCGGCCGCGGTGGAGGCGGTCCTCGCGAGCGCCAGACGGGCCGATGATGTTCTGTTCGAGCGCCTTGGTGCCCGTCATCGGGTACTCGCCGCCGACGCCGATGCCGTAGATGAAGAGCGACCAGCCGTACGCGATGACCCAGGCGTTGAGGCTCGTGCCCCACACGCCGGTGAGGAGGATCGAGCCGATGAGCATGATGAGGGCGTCCTGGCACAGTCCAAACTTGCGCCCGATCCAGTCGCCCTCGTACCCGACGATGCACTGGCCGACGATGATGCCGAGGATCTCGAGGTACGTGACGGCGTCGACCCAGTCTGCACGAGGAGGGAGAGCGTCAGTCAGGGAGGGCGAGGGGCGAGAGAGGGAGAGGGAAAGCGCGCGAGGAGGGAGGAGAGCGAGAGGGGGACGCACTCTCGTTGCAGTCGGTGTAGGTGCCCCAGCACGTCGGCCATGCGCTCTTGAACAGCGCCGTGAGGTTTCCGATCGAGAACAGGACGTAACCCTGCAGAGGAGGGAGCGGGAGGGAGGGAAGAAGGTTAGCTCGCTCGTCGTCGCGACCTTCTCAAACGGCGAAAGACGGCGACGCACCTCGACGAACAGGCCCATGCCCGTCATGACATACTTGCGGAAGTACCGACGGAACGGCTCCATCGGGTCCTGCTTGAACATGTCGAGCACCCAGCGGAACTCGCGCTTGGCCTCGGCGTTCTGCTGGCGGTTGATGAACGCGAGGCGCTCCTTGCGCGGCAAGTCGGCCCAGTACACGCCGTCGGCCGTGTACGAGTCCTCGGGGTAGAGCGACTCCTTGAGGAGGTGCTCGAGGTGCGCGTTGGTCGAGCTCGCCATGGTCGAGTTGCCGGACGAGGGCGAGTGCGAGCCGAGCGAGCCGGGCAGCGGCTTCTTCTCGTGCTCGGTGATGCCGTCCTCGGGGACGACGCTCATGATGCTGGCGGGTAGAGGGAAGGAGGGGAGGAGCGAGGGCGTGTGGCGCGGTTGCCGAGGCGAAAAAAAGGTCGCGAAAGGCGGGGTTCGACCGGCGGCGAGTGCGGGGGAGAGGTGGTCGAAAGTAGGCGAGTACGGCGGCTCGAGGTGCGGGTCGCGCCTGCAGTCGACGGTGGGCGAGTCGACGAGTAGGGCGAGCTTGAGCAGGCAGCAGAAGAGCGAGAGGAGCGGCGAGCAAAGCGTCCGCGAGGACAGAGCTGAGAATTTGATCGCCGACACCCGCCTGGACCGCTTGTGGAGAAGCGCGGGCGACAGCCAATCGCAAGCGCACAGCCCGGTGCACGTTCGTCGCGCGAGCGTGGAAGTTGGGCGGCCGCAGTAGAGCGGGAACGAGTCGAGCGGCCGAGGGAGGTGGCAAGGCCGAGTGACGGAATTGGCGACGAGGCGGCGGCGGCGGCAAGCGACGGCGGCGCTGGACGAGTTGGCGCACGTTCCCTCGTGCGACTCGCCAGTGCGGCACCGTCCAGCCGAGCGGCGGCAGCTGCCGTGGGCCCGCGCTGCCGGTCGAGGGTCGGCCTGACGTCGAAGGAGGTTGTGGCGGCGGTGGGTCGCAGGGGCGGGGCCGAGTCGTCGCACGTTGCGGTCGCTGCGGGATCCGAGTGCGAGGACGAGGTCGCTCGAGCCGTGTCGCAACGAGCTCGTCGGCGGGGCGGGTCGGGGAGCTTCAGGAGCAGAAGCGAGTGACAAGGAGCAGCGCAAGGAGTGCGAGCGAGAGCCGCCCTCGCCAGATGAAAGGCGCTCGATCGTGCCCAGGCTGGGCCGTCGTCCCGGCACGAACGTGCGCTCGCCGTGCGCCTCTCTCTGGACCTCGCGCACGCCTGCGAGAAGCAGAGCTGAGTATCCTCGAAAGCTGCTGGCATGGCAGGGAATCAGCGGCTCGCGAGCCGCGAGAAAGAGTCGCTTGAGAAGGTCGACCTCTCTCTCTCGGCGAGCCCGCATTTCGAAACGATAGAGAGCGAGAACCGTTCCTTTTGCACAACAGGGAGAGACTACTACGACCTTTCGAGCGATTAGTGCATGCCGCCCGACTGGAGCGCCATGAGGGCGGCGCAGAACGTGAGGACGAGGCGAGGGCGGACGTCGACAATGTCCTCGGGGACGATGAAGATGAGCGAGCTGTGGGCGCGAAAGAGAGAGTCAGTCTTTGTCGAGGTAGACGGCGACGTCGTCGCGGCGAGATGGGCTCGGTCGAGCATCTCGAGGGTCGAAAGGAGGAGGAGAGAAGAGGAAGAGGACGCACCCGAGCTTGCGCGCGATCGAGATGGCGAGCTTGGCTGCGAGGGGAGGACAAGCATAGTCAGTTCCCGTCCTGGCGAGTGAGGTTGCCCGTCGAACGGCCGAGCACAGGCTCGTGAGGAAAGGAGGGAGGTGAGGGGGCGAGGACGCACCGTTGGCCTTGCACTCCTCGTCGTTGCGGCCGTCGTACACGAGCGAGTAGTCGACGTAGCCCGGCTTGAGCGAGTCGAGGAGGTCGAGGAAGAACTTGGCGTCCTTGAGGCTCGGGTCCTTGAAGCTGCGCATCGACGAGCGCTTGCCCGCCTGCTGCACCTGCGTGTTGGCCCACTTGACAATGTCGCTGTCCGACACGTCGCGACCGCCCTTGCTCAAGCTCGCCATCGTGCTGAGGATGTTGCGGCGCATCATCTGCCACACGAGGCCGAGCGTGAGGGTGCGCTGCCCGTCGACGAGGTCGGCGCCCTGGATGCCGACGATGTGCATGTTGCCCTGGCGCGCGAGGTCGAGCACGTAGTTGGTGTTCTCGACGGCCTTGAAGCGCGACAGGGGCAGGGGCGACTTGGCGACTCGCCGCCAGGTGACCGAGCCCGGGATGACCTTGTCGAACGCCTGCAGCAGCACGATGCCGTCCTGCGAGGGGGAGATGTGCGTCAGGTCGAGAACCTGGGGCGCGTACAGGAAGGGAAAGGAGAGGAGAGAGGAAGGAGAGCGGGCGCACCTTGAGGTCCTCGTACAGGTCGTACACGCCCGGGTCGACGTCGAGCGAGTTGAGCCACAGCGTAAAGACGCGCGCCTCGCGCTCACCCTCGGCGTCGAAGTCCTCGATGACGGGGCGCTCGTTCTCCTCGAGCGGCTCGAGGCCGGGCCACGTGTTGAACAGGTTGGCGACGAACGCGAGGTTGAGCTTGGCGTTGCCGGCGACGAGCGACGACGGTGTCAGGTACTTGCGGCAGCCGATGGCGTCGGCGTTTTGCAGGACCTGTAGTCAAGGGGCGAGGCAGAGTCGGCGTCTGAGTGTTGTGGCGCGAGAGCGAGGAGAGCGAGAGGGCGCACCTTCTCGGCCCTCGCGTGCAGGTCATGCTCCTGGAGCGGCGCGCGCGAGCACTCGTCGGGCTTGAGCTGGTTGAGGAGGACGGTGTAGTTCTCGCCGTCGGCGACGTCCTTGCTGAAATTGGCGACGCTGAGAGGGGAGGGGCAAGGTCAGTGCGCTGGCGATGGGCGACTCGTCGAGGCTCGGCGGCCTTGGAAAGAGGGACGACGGACCGCTTGGGCCAGTTGGCGGCCTTCAGGTGGAAGTTGAACCAGCGGAGGAGGATCTGGTCGGGCGGCAGGCGGAGGAACTGCTCGAGCGTCTCGTCGTCCTCGAGGAGGCGGTACAGCTCAGCCATGAGAGCTTAGTACGTTAGCCATGAGGGTTTAGTTCGTTAAACATGAGAGCTTAGTACGTTAAACATGAGAGCTTAGCCCTCGTTGAGGTCGGTCGCGCCAATGTTGACGACCGACAGGCCGAGCGACTTGGCCGACGTGATGACGAGGTTGTTGTTCTCGGTCATCTGGAAGTTGTTGAGCGTCGCCTTCGACTTGGCCGACGGCATGGCCGACGGCGCCTTCTTGTTGGCCTTGTTGAGGACGCGCTCGTCGATCGTGTCGGGCACCGAGTCGTTGATGAGCTTGGCGAGGAGCAGTCCATCTGCGAGCGGGCACGCGAGTCAGTCGCAGGCCAATCTTCTAGAGAGAGAGAGAAGTCGTCGACGCACCCCTGCACTCGTCAAAGATCTGGAACGTGTCGGTCGGGATGGGCAGGCGGTCGCCGATGTCGGCATCGCCCGCGAGGACCTGCGCCGTCGTTTCGAGGTCAGTTCGCCCTCACTCTGGCTCGAGAGGCGAAAGAGAGAGAGACGACGCACCTGGTTGATGTGCCGCGTGAACTCGGTGCGCTCGTCCTCGTTGATCGAGTGCGTGATGTTGGTGTTGCTGCCCTTGACGAGCACCTTTCCTCCTCCGCCCGACGCTCCGCCTGTTGCCGCCGATGCACCTCCTGCTCCTGCGCCGGCTCCAGCTCCTGCGCCCGCGTTGGCGCCCATGAGCCCGCTCAGCGCTCCACCGCGGTGGACCTGGCCCGCCGTCGCGCCGGCGCCCGACCGGAGCTTGTCGACGAGGTCGACAAAGTCGTCGAGCTCGACCTGGCCCGACGAGTCGATCGAGACCGTCTTGAGCGTCTCGCGGACCTGGTCGTACGTGTACTTGCCCGCGGGTGAGCTCGCCTGGGCGTTGGTCGAGAGGGCGGTGAGGACGGTCGATTTCGGGAGGCGGCCGGTCGAGTCGAGGTCGATCTGGCTGTTGCGTGCGAGTGTGGGTCAGTCCGGCGGTTCTGGGCAGGGGTTCGGGCTGAGAGAGAGGGAGGTGGAGCTGGCGCAAGGTGGGAGGGAGCACCGCCTCGTCGCAGCAGCAATGGGAGCCCAACGGCAGGTGTAATGCGCATGTGCGTCGGCTGTGCACGTCGAGGCATTACCAGGACGTAGACCAGCACGCCCGCGCTCGCCGCCCCGCTCCTCACTCGAGGTCCACCTCCATCTCTCGGCATGACGCGGAGGGTGTGCAGCTCCTCGACGCCGCGGCAGGGCACCGCGCCGGCGAGCGCACGCTACTCCACGTCCTTCTCTGCGACCCGTGCTGGTCCACCGCTCGCTCCATGGCGCGTGCTCGCCGCGGTCGGCAGGAGGTGGGGAGGAGGGACGAGGTGGAGCGGACGCACTTGAACTGCTCGACGAGCTGGATCATCTGCTCCTGCGAGAAGTTGGGGTACTTGCGGGCAAGCTTGAGGGCCTGCATCGTGTCGTGCGAGGGGTTGGACGAAGTGCGGAGGAGGGGAGCGCCTCGTCTCGTCGCAAGGTCGGCCAGCGTCGACGGCTAGCGTTTGGCGCAGGATGCCGTATTACGATCTGCTTACACGTCAGAGACGGCGGCTCTATGCGCGGGGATCTAGCTCATCGGTAGAGCGCTCGCTTAGCACCATCGTGTGCGAGAGGCGCAGGGTTCGACTCCCTGGTTCTCCAGCTCCTCTTTTGGCCGCAAGGCCTTACCAGAACTTTTGCGATCCTGCACGGGTGTACGGCACGCAGCGTTACCCACTGTTAGCCGATACGGTGAACGCGGAATCGACGCGAGGCAAAGCTGGTCATGGATGCGTAAAAAACTTGCGCGCGTTGCTTGCAGCGCAGGTGGTCGAGCGGTTCAAGACGATGGCCTTAAGCGCGCCTCTGCGCGAGCGTAACCCATTCTCGAAAGAGGTCGCGAGTTCGAATCTCGCCCTGCGCAGTGCTTTTGCGAGCTCTACGTACGCCCAGTACCGTACGAAGCGGCTTCTTGGGCGGCAATGCGGTTGCTCTCAGCTCTGGTTACAAGCTGCGACGTCGCACACGAGACAGAAAGAGACAGAGAGACGCGAGGGGAGAGGGTGAGGGAGGACGAGAGGAAAGGAGGAGGAGGAGGAGGAGGTCCGAGAGTCAGCTCGACGAGCCGGCGAAAGTGCGCGAAGAGGTAGAGATAGGGCCCACAATTCTGCGACGAACTCGGTTCCCTTTGTGTGTGTAAGAGGTGTCAGTAGACGATGAGCGGCCCTCGAGAGGAAGGAGGAAGGAGGAAGGGGGAGGAGGAGGCGAAACAAAGAGGACGCACCCAGTGCGACGCAGTGTACTGTGACACGTACCGGAACAGCTTGCGGTGCGCAGACAGCCCAACTCGCGGTCTCGCGGCATACGTTGCTCGTACCTGCGCCCGTACAGATGCGGTAAGTTGTCGACGTCGACCTGAGAAGGTGCGCTCCCTTAGACCGCTCTCTCTGGTTCGCTTGTCTGCCGTGGCCCAAATCGCACGACTCGAGCTCGTCGAGGTTGCTTCACACGCCTGGATCGTAGCTGGGAAGAAACTGCAGCCAGCGAAAGCCCTCCCACCGCAGTCCTCGTCTTGAGAAGGTCCGCTCGGACCGCCTCTGTATCCGCTCTTTCCTGCCCTTTGCTCGCTCTCTTCCACTCAGACGGAGCTCAGACGAGCTCGCAAGGCGATGCACTGCTCGTCGCGGAACAGCGAGAGTCACAGCGGTCCAGCTGCGAACGCGAGCAAACTGCACCCGAGCGAGCAAGGGCGAGCAGGGTCCAGACGCGCTTCTGTCGCACCGCGCAAGCATGAGATCGCTCTCGTTGGACTCGAGAAACTGTTTGAGAGACGACGCGGTTCCGAAAGAGCCGAGGGACAGCCGAATCGAGCCAGGGAGGCTAGCTCTCTGTTTGAGAAGGTCGCTTGACCGAGCGCAAGAGACGCTCTCTGGCTCAAGCTCAACAGTGCGTAGGCAAGAGAGGCTCGAGAAACCCAGGGCGGACGGACTGTGGCATGAAACTAACGGCAGAAGCCACCGCCTGAGGGAAGAGAAGGAAGGAGAACGAGAAGTTGCTTTCCTGCCGTTGTCCTCGCGTCGTAGCGCCTCCTCAGGACGCGAGATGCTCTTGCTCGACCATTCAAGACGCATGCTCGACGAAAGAGTCCTTTCAGGAGCAGAGCCCGTGAGGCTGGCCGTGCGACTGTGCACCGAAAAGGAGGTCCAGGAGGAAGTACTTGCTCGAGTGCTCGTAAGAGTAAACCTTTTGCGCCTGAGCCGCTCTCGGTCGACGTCTAGAGACATCTTCTCGAGGATAGACACGTCTCGAGTATCGCCTGCTGACGACGCCTGCACGACGGTGTGCTCAGGAGGGGGGGAAGGCAGAACAGACAGCGTCTGAGCTCGCAATACTGCTCCTCCTGGACGGGCGCAGCTGTCGACACACGTCACGAGACGCATGATCGAGAGCAGGACCCACACGACGACCGGCTCGGCACAGCGCTTTTGCCCATGCGAGCGGAACGACGAGAGCAGCTGGACGCTCTCTCTCTCTTTCGCTTTCGTGCTGGGGCTCAAGTCGCTCGACGGGTGCTCAGAATGCTGCCCGACAGGTCTAGGTCGGAACTGGGGCGAAGCAGTAGTAGGAGAGAGCGCTCTCGTTGGGCAGCTCTCGTCTTGAGAAGGTCCGCTTGGACCCCATGTGGACTCGCTCTCTCCTCGTCGTCGCTCGCTCTCTCTCGCCTCGATGGAGCTCAGCTTGCTCTATCGCACTTTCTGCGCGTAGGGTCTGTCGGCTTTCGAGAGCGATGATGAGGAGAAGGTAGGCCCGAGCGCTCCCCTCTCTCTCCCGAACGAGAGCGCGCAGAGGAAAGGAAAAAAGCAAGTCTCGCGTTCGTTACCTCTGTGTACACAAGCAGAAAGGGGAAAGCTCTATCCAAACTCGCACCCGCACGCGCTCGCGCCCGATCACGCCTTGCCCGTGAGCTGGAGGCCCTGGCGCCGGAGCTGCTCCTGCTTGGCACGCTGGTCACGGTCGGCCTGGGCGGCGTCAGCGGCGGCCGCCTCGTCCTTGTCCGACGCCTCGGCGATCGCGCGACGTTCAGCACGGTCGCGTTGCCTGTTGCGAGAGAGGGGGCGAGAGAGGGGGCGAGGTAGGGAGAGAAGCGCGAGGGGAGAGGGAGAGAGGGCGAGGGAGAGAGGGAGAAAGGGAGAGAAGCGCGAGGGGAGAGGGAGAGAGGGCGAGGGAGAGAGGGAGAAAGGGAGAGAAGCGCGAGGGGAGAGGGAGAGAGGGCGAGGGAGAGAGAGAGAGAGAGAGAGGGAGAGAGGGCGAGGGGAGAGGGAGAGAGGGTGAGAGACAGAGAGACGCGAGGGGAGAGGGAAAGAGGGCGAGAGGCAAGTGGGACGGGGAAAGGAGGAGGAGGAGGTCCGAGAGTCAGCTCGACGAGCCGGCGAAAGTGCGCGAAGAGGTAGAGATAGGGCCCACAATTCTGCGACGAACTCGGTTCCCTTTGTGTGTGTAAGAGGTGTCAGTCGACGGTGAGCGGCGCTCGAGAGGAAGGAGGAAGGAGGAAGGGAGGAGGACGAGGCGAAACAAAGAGGACGCACCCAGTGCGACGCCGTGTACTGCGACACGTACCGGAACAGCTTGCGGTGCGCCTCCTCGCGCTCGTCGCCGCCCATCGTCAGGGCCTGGTGGATCGCCTCGCCCGTCTCGGCCGTGTTCCACGGGTTGACGATGAGGGCGCCGTTAAGCGAGTGCGCTGCGAGGACGGGAGGCGAGGGTGCGACGCGTGAGCACGGTTCGCCGCCTTATCCAAGCATCTTTCACGCTCACAGGCAGGAGCCCGGGGCGAGGAAGAGGGTCGAGAGAAGGGACGCACCGGCACCGGCAAACTCGGACAGGATGAGGACGCCGTGGCTCTGCTGCTGGCACGCGATGTACTCGTAGGCGACCTGCGGACGTCGAGGGGCGACGAGGATGAGCGACCGAGTCGAAGAAAGAGAGCGAGAGGGACGCACGAGGTTCATGCCGTCGCGGGTCGACGTGATGAGGCACGCGTCCGAGACGGTGTAGAGCGCCGTCAACTCGGAAAAGGGGACCGAGCGGTGCATAAAGTGGATCGGCATCCAGTCGACGGTGCCGAACCGGCCGTTGATGCGCCCGACGAGCTCGTTGACCATGGCGCGCAGGTTCTGGTACTCCTCGACGTCCTGGCGCGAGGGGACGGCGACCTGGACGAGGACGACCTTGCCGATCCACTCGGGGTGCTCCTCGAGGAAGACCTCCATCGCGTGGAGCTTTTGCGGCACGCCCTTGATGTAGTCGAGGCGGTCGACGCCGACGATCAACTTGACGCCCTCGAACCGGCGCCTGAGGGTCGCGACGCGCTGCTGCACCTGGTCCTGCTGGAGCGCCTCGAGGAACTGGCCCGGCTCGATGCCGATCGGGAACGTGCCGACCGTCGCGTGGCGGCCGACGAGCTCGATCTTGTTGGGCGTGCACTTGACGCCGAGCAGGCGCGAGCACGACGACAGGAAGTGGCGCGCATAGTCGTACGTGTGGAACCCGATCAAGTCGCAGTTGAGGATGCCGAGGAGGATCTCGCGGCGGACGGGGAGCGTGCTACGCGCGAGAGAACGGGCCTCGTCAGTTCCTCACTCACTCTCGCCTCGACGTGACTCGACGAGGGAGGGACGGACCGGAAGACCTCGGAGCTGGGGAAGGGCGTGTGGAGGAAGAAGCCGATCTGGACGTCGCCGACAAAGTTGGTGCCGTGCGTGCCGTTGACGCCGGTCGGGCCGGGCTTGCGCACGCCCTTTGCGCCCTCGGTGCTGACGGTGAGGCCCTCGAACATGGCGTTGACGTCGCGCTGGCCGTTCTCGCCCATCGTGGCCGCGTCCCTTCCGAGAAGGTCACGCAGGTAGACGGGGACGAGGCACAGGTGGTAGTCTGCGACGGGCGAGAGCGAGTCAGGACAGGACTCCTCGTCGTCCGAAAAAGTGCGAGAGGGACGCACCTTGGACCCAGACGATGTCGCCCGACTTGACCTCCTTCTGGACGGCCTCGGCAAAGAGAAGGTTGGCCTGGCGGTACGCGAGCCAGTCGGTCTCGTCAAACTGGATCTCGCCCGGGTGATCTGCGTCGAGGTTCCTGTGTCAGGTCGGGATAGTCGAGGGACAGGAAAAGGGTGGGGCGCACAGTGGAAGAAGGGCCAGAGGATCGAGTTGGAGAAGCCGTTGTAGTATCGCTCTGCGACCTCGTCCGAGATGTAGACCGGGATGCAGGAAAAGTCCTCGGACAGCTTCTTGGTGATGAACTCGCGGTCGATCTCGGGGACGTCGAAACCTGCAAGTCGGGCGAGAGGAGCGGGAGTGAGCGGGCGGACGGGCGAGACGGGGGAGAGGAGGAGGAGGAGGGCGCACCGGGCCAGCCGATCCACTGCGGTTTGGAGGGGGGAGGATCAGTCGGGCTCTCTCTCGAGAGAGGTTGCAGGGACGCACGACAAAGTCCATCTTCTTCTTGCAGCCCGAGAGCGCCGAGGCGAGTCCGCCGCTCGAGACGGAGAAGCGGTAGCCGCCCTCGGCTTTCGGGTCGGCCGTGACAGAGACGGGGAGGCGGTTTGCGACGACGATGAGCTGGCCGCCCTGGTTCGAGAGGCGCGAGGTGTGGAACGAGGTGTCGGAGCTGACGCTGCGGCTGCGGACGAGCGAGGCCGGGGTGCGGTCGGACGCGACCATGGCGGCGGCGGCGGTGGGTGGTGGTGGTGAGAGGGTGCGAGAGGATGCTCGGGCGGCGGGAACCTCTGAGTGAGGAGCGAGGCGAGCGAGATGAGGCGAACGGGCTCGCTCAGTGACGCGGAGAACGACGAGCGCGAGGCAAATTCCAGAACCGCAGCAGGTTGATCCCCTCGTTGTGCGTACTGGGCGACGGTAGCAGGCGCAAGAGTGGCTCAACCTGAGGCTGAACGTGCGCAACAAGGTCCGAGCGGCCGGGGCGAAACCAGACGCAACCTCGGCACCGCCTCGCGCCCCTCCTCCTCTCCTCTCTCCACCTGGCACGCCGCTCTCAGCTCCACCCGCACCAGGCCATGTCGTCCGGTCTACAGGAACGCGACAATGGCGAGTCCCAACCCACCCACCACCGAGGCGACCGCCCACTGACCCCCCCTCGCACCCGAGCAGGCGTGTCGTTCCTCCTCCTCATCTCGCGCCAGGGCAAGGTCCGCCTCGCCAAATGGTACACCACCATGAGCCCTCGCAACAAGTGTCCGTCTCCTCCCTCTCTCTTTCCACGCGCCGTGTCCTCGGCTCACCCTCCTCCCATCTCCCCCATCTCCCCCTCCTCCCCCTCATCTCGCTCCCGACCGACCTGTCCCCTTGCCCCGACTCGACAGCCAAGATCGTCAAGGACGTCACCCAGCTCGTCCTCGCACGGCGGACCCGCATGTGCAACTTCCTCGAGTACAAAGGTGCGCTCCTCTCTCTCTCGCTCTCTGTGCGCGCGACTCGACTGACAAGCGCTGCTCCCCTCACAGACTCCAAGATTGTGTACCGCCGATACGCGAGCCTGTTCTTCGTGTGCGGCATCGGCGCCCAGGACAACGAGCTCATCACGCTCGAGGTCATTCACCGGTCCGTCCAGTCTCTTTCCCTCCTTGTGCGCTCAAGCAGTCCTGACCTCGAGTCCGCTTTACAGCTACGTCGAGGTCCTCGACCGGTACTTTGGCAACGTCTGCGAGCTCGACCTGTGCCTCCCTCTCTCGTCTCCTCCTCGTCCTCCTCCCCTTCGCACGCTCACCTCGCTTCCTCGCACAGCATCTTCAACTACCAGAAGGCCTACGCCGTCCGTCCCGCCCTCCCGCTCGATCACGCGTCGTCGCACTCACTGACATGCGCCCCCCTCGCCTCGCCTCGCGCAGATCCTCGACGAGCTCATCATCGCCGGCGAGATGCAGGAGAGCAGCAAAAAGAGCGTCTTGCGAGCGGTGCGTCGCGCTCGCCCTCTCTCTGTCTGCCGCCACTCCCTCGCGTGAGCAGTCGACTGACTGGAAACGGTGTCTCGCCCTCGCACAGGTTGGGCAGGCGGACGCGATCGAGGAGCAGGAGCAGAGCGAGGACTCGACGTCCTTGTCGCGCCTCGGGCGGCCCTGAGCAGCTCGACGTGGCCCCTTTCCCTCTGTCTTCCTCCGTTCCTTTTCTCTCTGTGCTCGGTGTCGGTGTAGATACCCCCCATCCCTCTCCTCCCCTCTCGCGCACCCGCTCGAGGATGTAGTATTAGGCCCCTCTCGGGCGATGTATTGTACGATCTGGCACAGCCTCGTCCCTCGCGCACCGTCGAGCGCCCTCCTCTACCCTCCCCGGTCCCGATAACGAGAGAAAGATAGCCCGCTCGCAGGCTTGCCCTCACTGCGCCTTGCCGCCCTTGGCCCTCTTCTCCTTCTCCCTGGCCTCGAGCTCGGCGAGCTCGCGCGCGTCCTGCTCGTCCTCGTCCTCCTCACGCACGTCGCGCGCGTTCTTGCCGCTGAGGATGCGCACGAGGATGCGCAGGATGAGGTAGGTCCAGAAGGCGTTGACGAGCTGCAGCGCGAGGATGGGCGCAAAGATCTGGAGCCTGCGCGCGCGGCGGTGGCGTCGTCGACGTCGAGCGAGGGTCAGTGAGGCGTCCTCGATCGAGGGACCCAAGAGTGGAGAGAGGGCGACGAGAGAGAGAGAGGGACGCACCGCATCCACTTGGGAACGGCGCCCGAGCCGAGGCCCTCCCAGAGCCACCACGCGTTGCCCTCAGTCGTCCACGAGCGGTACCGCTCGGGGATCAGATCAAACTCGGTCCAGACGCTCCACAGGATGCGCAGGTTGAGGTAGTGGCGCATGTAGGTCCAGATGACGAGGAAGAAGACGAACGACGCCTCGGACGTGCGCTGCAGGTCGAGGTAGTTGAGGCACTTGGACAGCTGCGGGATCGACGTCGAGTCAGGTGACGAGTCGAGGCTGAGCGCGAGATTGAGGGAGAGAGCGAGGGTGGACGGACCGCGAGGCAGATGTCGGGCAAGTCCATCGAGACGAAGATGGCCGTGCCGATCATCGTCAAGTTGATCATGTCTGCGGGTCGAGCCATAGAGTCAGTCCGTCCTCGTCGCCGACCTGAGAGAGCGAGAGAGAGAGAGAGAGACGCACAGGACCAGCCGACGAGCCAAAGGGTGACGATGTGGTGGATGACGAGCTCGCGGAAGTCGACACGAGGCTTCTCGAGGCTGTGGAAGGGCGCAGAGGGAGGGTCAGGACAATTCGGGGAGGTGCAGGACGGGCGAGAGCGGGACGCACCGCATGACGAGGATGATCATCTGCTGGAGCCAGTACGAGCTGTCGCCGAGGGAGAGAGTCAGTAGCCTGCGGGCAGACGATCTGAGAGAGGACAAGACGCACAACTGGAGGAGGTAGTACGTCTTGAGCGGGCCGTCCATGCGCCTGCGAGGCGTCGTCGAGGGCTCGGGTCAGTTCTGCTCGGCCATGGGGGCAGAGAGGGAAGGGGGAGGCGGGCGCACCAGTGCGGGTAGCCGAGCCAGAAGTGCTCCGTGTTGTACCACCACGACTGCTGGCGGCTCATGACGTACTGCGAGGGGGCGAGGGTCAGCTCCTCGGTCGCGCCAAGTGGGGGAGGGGGAGAGAGAGGATGTGGGACGCACGAGGCCGAACGCGCCGGACCACGAGAAGTAGACGACGGCGTAGGCCTGCTCCATGAAGCGCAGGATCTTGCCCTCGGTCTTGAGGCCGAGCGCCTTGGCGAGCGGGCGCAGGAAGTACTCGGTGAGGGCCTGGCGGACAAAGCTGAAGACGACGATGTAGAAGGCGAGGAAGACGAGGTCCTTTGGGCCCTTGCCGTACCGGACCGACGAGGCATCGCCCGGGATGGGCGGCAGGGCGTACGAGATGCGCACGAGGGGCGACAGCGGGTTCGAGTCGGTCGAGGTGGTCGCGGTGCGGTGCTGCTGCTCGAGGACGGCCCACGCCCCGACGGTCGCGGCGATGAGCGGGAGCGTCACCTTGGGCTTGACGAGCCACGCGAGCGGGCCGGTCGCCTGCGTCCAGGCCTGGGGCGGCGGTGCGGAGGCTGCTCGGCCCTTGTTGCCCTTGGCCGCGAGCGAGCTGTTGTGGGCCGTGGCCGTGGTGCCGACCGGCTGCGAGGCCTTGTCGAGCGCGTTGAGCGCGTCCTGGCCGATCGACGTGGCGCGCTTGCGGGTCGCCATGGTGTGCGTGTGCGAGGAGGAAGAGGACGAACCCGATGAGGCGCGTGTCGCCGACGCCGACCACCTCCTCCGAGGACGCTCCGAGTCGATCATCTCTCTCCGCCGCTCTCGAGCCGTCGCACGCACAAACGAAAACTCTCGTGCCAAGTCACCCCTCCTCCTCAGTCTCTACCAAACCCGCTCGCAAACCCTGACCCGAGCGTCGGCGTCTTGGCTCCGCCGTGCGGCACGAACCCGGCGCCGACCGGCAGAGGCGTCTTGGGCGCCGACGTCGCGAGCAGCCGCTCGGCAAAGAAGTCGGCCGTGCGGAACCCAAAGTCGGAGCACACTGCGAACGAGGCGAGACGAGTGAGCGGCTCGAGCACGAGGACAGGGCAGAGAAAGAGAGAGGGAAGAGAGACGACGGACCGAGGATCCCTCCGACGATGCCGGCGAGGCGCACCAAGAACTGGACGAGCGAGCTCGTGCGCTCCCGCACCGTGAGCGCCATCGGCTCGATGTCGAACTTGAAGAAAATGCCAGGGACGCCCTTGCCGTGCTCGGTCGTGCGGCTCATCTCGGTCACCGAGTACTGGTTAGTGTGCAACAGGCGCCGCGCCGCGTTGATGTACGTCGTCGACACGACCGACAGGAAGTACTGGAAGATGTGAAAGTCTGTGGGCGCACGAGGGCGTGAGAGAGGGCACGAGAGAGAGGACGAGGGAGAGTGGGCGCACGGGCGTCGGTGATCTCGCTGCAGGTTCGGCAGGAGAGAGTCAGCGACGCTCGTCTCGAGCTTGAAGAGAAAGACGAGGACGTACACCGAGTTGTCGAGGGGCTGCACGATGCGAGGGAAGTACGGGCCGAACGAGAACTCGTGGATCACGTGGCTCAGGTTCATGACTGCGACGACGACTGGTGAGCGCGCGCTCGCGCACACAGGGAGACAGACGAAAGAGGCGAGGACGCACGAGCGTGGTCGGTGTGCTCCCAGCTGAGGTAGCCATGGCCGAGCGTCGTCTGCGCCGAGGGAGAGAGTCAGTGCTCTTCAAGAGAGCGAGGAGGAGAGAGAAGGGACGCACGATGTGCAGGTTGCCCGTCACCTTCTTGACCGACATCGAGCCGTAGATCTGCGACGAGTCGACCCGGTCAGTCTCGAAGGCGAGAGAGGCGAGAGAGAAAGAGCGCCGACGGACCCGACATGCTGGCCCGTCCTCGACCGGCTTGACCGTCTTGCCAAACACCCTCTTGCCCGACGCGTCGCGTACCATCTTGCTCGCCGACACACCCTGACCGTCGTGCAGGTTCTGGATGCTGCGCGCCCGGCCGATCTCGAACGTAGTCTGCGGGCGCGGCGAGGAGAGGTGAATGCTGGACAGGGAGGTGCAGGTCGAGAGAGCGAGAGAGAGAGCGCACGCCGTCCTTCTTGAACTCGTCGCTGATGTGGAGGCGGTCGCCGACGGCGTCTCGCACGTCGACGGTGAGGTCTGCGTCGAGGAGGAGGGCGAGCATGAGGGCGTGATGCTGCGAGAGAGAGACGGGGAGACGCACAGTGACACGGGGTCGCGACGGTGGCGTCAAAGTTGAGCTGGAGGTCGTGGGCGATCTCGTGCTCGACGCTGAACTCGTACGAAGGTTCGCCCCAGAAGTAGGCGCGGCACTCTGTCCAGACGAGGGCGGCGAGGATGAGCGAGACGACGAGGGTGAAGATGCCGCCGCGGGTAGTGCGCTCGCGGTAGGTCGAGTTGGTCTGTGTGGGTGGTCGCTGTCAGCTTTACGGCTCGAACCGGGCACAGGAGAGGAACTGCGAGGCGCACCTTGCGGAACGCGTCGAACGAGTGGAGTGGGGCAGGGCTCGACACGACGCTCGCAAAGTAGCTCGAGCCAGACTCTGCTGGCCGGTCCATGCTGCGGGTGTGCTCGTGCTCGACAGTCAAGCCGGAATCTAGCGACGAGAGCGAGAGCGTGAACAGCAGACAAGTCGTCCTCCTCGTCATCTCGCTCCTCCTCTCAGCCCCCACAGCCTCCCCTGCCACGCTAGGCACCGCTCGAGTCTAGCTTGCACTGCTCTGGGCACCTCTCTCAACCTACCCGAGGTCCGTCCGAGTCGTCCCATGCCGCGAGGGCCGCTCCCCACCCTCTCCTCCTCCGCACACTCCCCGATGAGGCGACTCGGGCGTCACACACCGCACAGAGCCACTGACACGTCCGTGCACTGCAGCCAGCACCCCTACATCGAGCCAACCATGGGCGTCACGACCACCCTCGCCACCTACTCGACCGCCTCGTTCGCGACCGTCCTCGCCCTGTACCTCGTCTTCACGGGCTCCGGCACCCAGTTCAACCCGGGCGCGTTCCTCGAAGAGACGAGCCCGTACGCCTGGGCCCTCCTCGGCATCGGCCTCAACATCGGCCTCAGTGTCATCGGCGCAGGCTGGTCCGTCCCGTCCCTTCCCTCCCTCTCTCCTCCCGGACTGACATCCGAGCACACGCGCGCAGGGGTATCTGGATCACCGGCGCATCTATCCTCGGTGGCAGCGTGCGGACGCCCCGCATCCGCACCAAGAACCTGATCTCGTACGTCTCCCCTCCTCCTCCTCCTCCTCCTCGCCTTCGCCGCGAGCTCGTCGCTGACTCTGGTTTGCGCCTCTTCCGCAGCATCATCTTCTGCGAGGTGCGCTCACTTCTCTTTCGCGTACGGTGTACTCGCACTGACCTTCCCTCGTATCCTCCTTCCGTCGCCACCAGGTCGTCGGCATCTAGTGCGTTCCTCTCTCTCTCCCGTCTTGGCTCGCCGCACGAGAACCTGACACTCGGCTCCTCCCACAGCGGCATCATCATCTCGATCGTCTTCTCGTCCAAGATCACGTCGGTCCCGACCCTCGCCGAGCTGTACACGCCGCGCAACTTCTACACGGGCTACTCGATCTTCTGGGGCGGCCTCACGGCCGGCATGTGCAACCTCCTGTGCGGCGTCGCTGTCGGCATTTCGGGCGCCAACGCCGCCATCGCCGACGCGTCCGACCCGCAGCTGTTCGTCAAGGTCCTCGTCATCGAGATCTTCTCGAGGTGCGTCCTTCTCACTGTCTCATTTTCGTCGCGCAGCTCGCAATTCGTCGACTGACGCCTCCTCCGTGCACCCTCGCAGTATCCTCGGCCTGTTCGGCCTCATCGTCGCCCTCCTCACCACCTCGAGCAGCGCCTTCACCTCGACTGCAGCGTCCGTCGTCTCGCCTTAGCCGTCCCTCCCTTCCTTCTTCCCCTCCTTCTGTGTCCCTCCACTTTGGACTGAACGGCACCTGCAACCTCGACGGCATCTCACCAAGCGCGGCGCTCGCGTCTCTCGAGAGAGGCTCGCGAGCGCGAGCCGCATGCGGCCGCTCGGGCCCCTCGCTCGAGCTGCTTCTCAAGCTCGCGTTCCGCGGCGGCGGCGGCGGCTCGATCGCGCTCTGCTGTACGGCGATACGTGCGGACGGGAGCTCGAGCACCGGCATTGCCTCGGCGCCGCGGACTCTCCGGTACGCTCAGAGGCGTTCCCGCTTCTGGCGACAGCTCGCCCGCTCTGTTCTGCTCCTGCTCCTCGTCCTCTTCACCCGACATGGACACCTCGCACAAGCTGTTCGACGCCGCGTGCGCCATCCTCGGCTGGTTCGCTGAGCCGCCGACCTCGCCCGAGATGGCCGCCCGACTCGCCAACCTGTTCCAGATCAGCGACGCCGAGCGCCAAGCCGTCGAGCACACGCACCTGCAGCTGTGCTCGAGCTGGAACTCGCTCTCGCTCGAGCAGCACGAGCGCATCGTCGACCGCCTCCTCGTCGCGTCGTGCGGGCAGGCCTTCACGGGTCGCCTCCGAGTCGACTCTGAATCGGTGCGTCCTCCTTGTCGTCGTTCGTCGTCTACAGTGCGTCGTACTGACCGCGCCGGAGCACGCAGATCTCGTTCGCCGCCCTTACGGGGCCGCCAGTCGAGCCCGAAGCTCAAGGAAACGTGCGCACGCACCCCTCTCTCGCCCGAGTCGTCGCCGACGAGCCTTGACCCGCCCTCGCCTGCAGGACCTCGAGACCACGCACAAGTACATCGAACTGTGGGTCGACATCATGCACGACAACTACGTCAACGTCCGCAAGAGCGAGACGGCCGCGCAGGACGCCGCAGAATGGCGGCACGAGATGCTCGACGTGCTCACGGTCGAGCGCCTCCACGAGATCGGCATCGTGGCGGCGACGATCCTGTCGCGCATGTTGTCGCACGCTGGAGAAGTGTCCCACCTGCACCCGCTCAGCAAGGCCGTGCGCGCGTACCACGGCAAACTCCTTGTGCGCTCCCTCTCTCTCTCCCTTTCTCGGGCTTGTCTCTCGGACCCGGGACCTACTCACCTGAACGCTTGCATCCCGCAGATGTCGCCGAGCGAGTTGATCGAGCAAGCCAAGGCCAAAGCGCGCGGGCTCACGCCGGCCGAGCGCCGGTTCGAGGACTACAGGGCGCTCGTGCACGCCGTCGTCGGCCTGTACTCGCCTGCATGCCGCGCCAACCCGCTCATCGAGAAGCGCAACAGGACATACAACTTTGTCGAGGACACCGTCGTAGAATGGACGAGCCCGGCCGGGTTCAACGACTTCCAGCTGCTCGAGCCCAACGAGAGCGGGCACCCGTCCCTGCACGAGCTCGCGCTCCCCGAGCAGCACCAGAAGTATGTGCTGAGCGTCGCGCGCAGCTATGTCTTCTCGATCTGCCTCGGGCTGCGCACGACGCACACGCTCCCCGACGCCAACACGCTTGTGCGTGTCCTTTCGCAGACTCGTCGCCGCGCAAGGTCACTGACACTTTCTCGGCTCCTCGGCATACAGGTCAAGCAGTTCCCAGCGCCCGGCGCCATCCGCCCGGACGCGCACCGCGGCGCGAGCAGCTCCAGGGTGCGCACCCTCTCCTCTCTCTCTCTCTGTCCCCGTGCTTTCCGACGATGGACCGCACTGACTCTCTGTCCCCTTGACGACGCGTTCTCTCCCTCTCGATACCGACGTCCAGGTGCGTCCCTCTCTCTCACTCCTCGCCGCCGAGGCGCACCCTCTGACCCTTTCGCCGCCCACAGGCTCACGAGCACGCCGACGCGTCCCTCTCGCACCCGGCTCGCGCCATCTCGGCCCGATACGCGCAGCGGTACTACGGCACGACAGCGAGGGCGTGGCAGGCGCGGCAGGGAGGGTGGTAGAGCGGGCGAGCGGGCGTGTGCGAGCAAGAGCAGGTGCAACGAGCAGGTTTGAGACGAGTGCGCCGCCTGCGACCGCGTTCGTCCCGAGCGAGCATCTCGAGCAGGGCGAGGAGAGCATGACTGCCAAGCATGGATGGCCGATCGAGAGCCCTGCAGCCTCGAGAGCAGCCTCGAGAGCAGCCTCGAGAGCAGCCTCGACAAAGGGGAGACGGAGCCGCCGGCGGCTCGAGGTCGCGGCGAACGGAGCGAGGCCTCTCGCGCGACCGGCAGGGAAGCAGGGTCGGTGCACAGAGAGCTCGAGATGCACTCGATGGCCCGCTCGACGCCCACACCTGCCGTCGTCGCAGTTGACTTGAGCGGGCGATTGAGGCGGAACGAGCCGGCAGGACGAGCGGCCACGAGTCGCGTGAGCTCGCTCGGGGGATGGGAGATGAGGAAGGAGCAGGGACGCACGTCACGAGGTCACTCCGAGGCGCCGCCCGCCCCTCGTTGCCCGCCACCTCTCCTGCACACACCTCGGTCCGCTGCCACACTCTCTCCGCAGAGAGTGGGCCCTCGAGCCACGGCAGCCCGTCCCTGCCCGTGGCTGCGACAGGGACCGGCCGACGGAGCTCGTCGAGGGGGAGCAGTCGGTCGGCGCTAGAGCGCACAACCAGTCGCACCCCTCGCTCGAGCCCGCCGGTGCGGTATGACGAGCACACGAGGCAGATGTGCGACTGCGAGTGGCCGCGAGCGGCATGCTCGGGAGCAGAGGCCGGCGTGCGCGAGGTGCCGAGGCGAGGTCGAGGTCGAGGCCGTGTGATAGAGTGCGAGGGTGGTGCGAGACGATGGGTGCAGTGGTTCTTGGGCTCTTCGGAGCGTCGCGGTGCCGCCTTAAGGGCGGGTAGGGGCGGACGAGCGAGGGGGAGATGAGGGCGAGGGAGGAGGCGGAGGGTGACAACGTGGCCGAGACGGGCCGCGGGTACAGGTCGACGGGGTGGTAGGACACGACTGGATGCTCGGACGGCAGCAGGCCAAGCCCAGGCGAGCGGTGTGGTGTGACGAGGAGGAGGATGAGCTCGTCGCCCCGCCCGCCCCATGGTCCTGCGCCGTCATCGCTCTGAGAGCGCGTCTGTCCGACACGTCGGCGAGAATAGAGAGCAGACAGCCTAGTGATCTGGCCCTTGTGTCTGCTGGTGAGGTGGTCGAGTCGGAATCGGGTGGGACAGTCGAGGCGAGCTGATGAAGTCGAGGGAGGGCGAAGGCGGCGGGCGACGGCGCAATGGGGCCAGGGGTTGAGGTCGTTGTGGAGCATGCATGTCGGAGAGAAGCTCGAGCAGCGAGTCCAGCCACGGCGAGCTGTGCTGGACCAGGAGAGCCCGCTCCTCCTCCTCGCGTCCATCTCGTCCTCGACCAACTCGCCTCGCGCATGCTCTCGCTGTACAAATGGCTCGATGAGGGCGACCAGAACCCGACAGGGACCATCGTCCGCGCGTCCCTCACCCTGCGCGCGGTGACCTCGCTCCTCCTCGTCCCCCTCGGCTCGCTTCTTCCCTCGTTCGAGACCGACGCCGCAACCTTGTCGCGCCCAGTCGCGTGGTGGGCACGACCGTTCGTTCGATGGGACTCGGTACACTTTGTCAACATCGCCGTCGAGGGCTACAAGACCGAGCAGCAGGCGGCCTTCATGCCCGGCTTGCCCGCCATCATGCGCAGCGGCGCCGAAGCGCTCCACTGGCTCTCGCGGAGAACAGGACCTGTTCAAGGCGACGAGGTCGTCCTCGTGGGCTTGCTCGCGACGACGCTCGCGACGACCACCGCCGCCCTGTACCTGCATCGGTCTGTCCGCGTCCTCTCGCTTTCCACGCCGAGCGGCGTCCCAACGGCCCTGACACTCCTCTCGCACAGCCTGACCGTCATCACGTTCCCCTCTCGACCTCGACACGCCCTCCTCACCGCCCTCCTCTTCCTCTTTGCCCCCTCGCGACCGACCCTCCACGGCGTCCCGTACACCGAGCCTTTCGCCGCCCTCTTTACCTTTGGCGGCATGCTTCTCTTCGCTCAAGGAGAGGACACGCTCGCTGCGGCGGCCTGGGCGGCGGGCTCGGCGTTCAGGGCGCAGGGAGCGGTCCTCGGGGCCGGGTTCTTCGGGTGGAGGTGGATCTTGCGGCGCAGCTTTGACGGGCGCAAGAGCAACGGCGAGGCCTTCAAGGTGCGCTCTCCTGCTCTCTCTACGTCTCTCGAGTCCGTCCTGACTGTCTGTCCTCACAGCGACTCGTCCTCAACTTTCCCCGATTCGCCTTCCTTTCCCTCCTCTCCGCCTCGCCCTTCCTCGCCTTTCAGCTCTACGTCTACTCTCTCCACTGCCCGTCGCCGACGACAGGCGACACACGACCATGGTGCACGCAAGGGCTCGGGCTCAGCTACGGCTGGATCCAGCGCGAGTACTGGTGCGCTCGCTCCCCTTTTCTCTCTCCCGTCCTCGAGGCCCGCGAACCGCCAGACTGACTCGCTCGTTGCACCTGCAGGGACGTCGGGCCGTTCCACTACTGGACCCTCCTCCAGCTGCCCAACTTCCTCCTCGCCGCCCCCGTCCTCGCCCTGTCCCTCTCGGCCTCGTGGTCCTTCTACACCCGCAACGCCCGCGCCGCCCTGTACTCGACCCTGCCCTTCCTCCCCTCCTCGCTCCTCCCCGTACCCGTACCTGCACCCGTACGCCCCGCCGCCGAGGAGCAACGCCCGCTCACGGCGCCCGCCCCGGCGCACCTCGTCGAGGCCCTCGTCCCGCACGTCCACCTCCACACGGCGACGACGCTCCTCCTCGTCGTGTCGGCGCACGTCCAGATCGCGCTGCGCGTGTGCGCGACGGGCCCCGTCGTGTGGTGGTACGCGGCCGAGCTGGTCGAGCGCGGGCTCGCGCGAGGGCGAGGGAGGGAAGGGAGCGATGCGGCGGCGGCGAGGGCGGGCCGGGCGTGGGTGCGGTACGTCGAGGTGTGGGGCGTCGTCGCGACGGCGCTGTGGGCCGTGTTCCTCCCTCCTGCGTAGCCCTCCCTCGCCCTTGTCCCTGCTCATGCGCCACCGTCGCCCTCGAGCCCGGCCCCGTCCTCCTCCGCGAGCCACGTCCGCTCGCCCGCCCCGTCGTCCTCGAGCGACACGTCGTCGCTCCACACCGGGTACGCGATGCAGAAGGTGCCCTCGCCGGCCGAGCCGCCGGCGCTCGTCGGCGCGGGAGGAGCCGAGAGGAGGAGGCTGCGGCCGTCGGCGGCGAACGAGAGGGCCGAGACAGGGAAGGGGATGTCGGCGCCTGCAGTTCACGTGGACGTCAGTGTCGCCCGAGAGAGAGAGAAAGATAGAGAGAGAGGGAGGGAGAGAGGGACGCACGAGCAGGGATACCGACACACTCAGCGACGCCCACCCCGTCCGCCGTCGAGCGCCACAGCGTGAAGCCCTTCTTCTCGCCCGCGAGCACGACGAGCGTCTCGTCCTCGTCCTCGTCGTCGCGAACGACGGGCGGCTGCCACGCGAGGGCGCGCACGCCCGAGGTCGACGAGGTGGTGGTCGATGAGGGCGAGGCGGCGTGCGCGAGGAGGGTGTGCAGCCGAGGGCGGGTCGAGGCCGAGGGCGCGAGGGTGGACGAGAGAGGGAAGGCGTAGATGGCGACGAGCTGAGGGTGTGCGGCTGCGGGCGCTCGAGCGAGGGTCAGTGCACGTCGCCGGGCTCGACGAACCATGACGACGACGAGGGGAGGTGAGCTTACCGTCCCAGACGGCGATCCAGCGTCCGCTCGGGCTCCACTCGAGCTTGGCGACGCCCATCCTCGGCACGGCGGCCGCAGAGTTGGCCGCGAGCGGCGTGAGCGACTGCGGGAGCGAGTCGGGTTCGACTGCGAGGCGGGTGTGCGGGTACAGGCAGTCAGTGAGACGCTCAAGAGGGGGCTCGGATGACGAGGAGAGAGAAACGGTGCTAGCGACGCACAGCTGACGATGCCGTTCCCTCGAGTCTTCTCGGTCCAGCCGACCGGCTCGCGCCAAACCCTCTGCGCGCAACGACGACGAGTCAGTGAATCGACCTCCACGTCGTCGAGGTCAAGGCGAGGGACGCACAACAGGATCGAGCACCCTTGTCGGCAGGCCCAGCTCGGCAATCGCCGCCCACCCATGCCTGCTCAAGATGCGCACCTGCGCGCTCGCTCGACGTGTCAGTTCGTCCGCTGCACCCGCTCGCCGCCTCGCGAGAAAGAGAGAGAGAGGGAGCGCACCTTGCCGTCCCACCCACCAACCGCGATCCACTCGCCGTCGGGCGCCCACTTGACGTTCCGGATCCCGAGCCCGACGAACGGCGCCGTCGAGCGCTCTTGCCGTGCGCGATCGTGAGCGCTCAGCTCGGGCGCAGGCGGCGCTGCGGGCGCCGAGGGTTTGCGGAGCGGCGCCCGAGAAGAGGAGGAGGAGGTAGGCGCAGGCGGGGCGAGGGTGGCGTAGGGCGAGAAGGTCGAGAGGAGGCGGCCGTCGGGCGTGATGATGTGCAGCGTGTACTGCGTGGGCCGAGGCTCGTCAGTCAAGATCCCCTGCGCGGATCGAGAGAGAGAGAATGAGGGCGCGCCTCGGTCATAGCGCTCCAGGCAGCGAGGTACCGACCGCACGGGCTCCACGCCAAGTCGGCGAGGTCGCTGTTCGGGTCCTGCAGCGGGATCGTCTGCGGGCGCTCCTCGGTGCGTGTCAGATCTCTTGCCTCGTCACGTCGAGGGGCAGAGGACGAGGACGCACGCGCATGAGGGCCCACGCCGAGGTCGAGTAGACGCCGATCACGTCGCGCGAGTTGTGCCGCTCGAGGACGGCGAGGAAGGCGCCGTCGGGGCGGAACGTGTAGCCTGGGGGTCGCGTCGTCGTCAGGACGTGCGAGAGGAAGAAGAGGGGAGGCGAAAGGGAGACGCACCGTGCGGATGCGAGTGCTTGGGGTTGAGGATCTGGAGGGCGTTGCCCGGGTCCGACAGGCGAAACAAGGACAGGCGGAGCTGCGTGCGTGCGAGTCGGGTCAGGTCATCTTCTTGCACGCTCTGAGTCGGTCGAGAGAGAGGGGGACGCACGTGGTGAGTGCTCCAGCACAGGACGACCTGCTCGCCGTCGGGGCCGAGCCGAGCCCACTCGACGGCGACGGCGCCCTCGTGGCCGATGTCGAGCCGAGCATGCACGCCGTCCTGGTCGGGGTGAAACACAAAGGCGACGCGGTGCCGAGGTGCCGAGACGAGGAGGAGGAACGGCGCAGAGGGCGACACGGCGAGGTTGAGCGACGAGGACGAGGTCGAGTCGTTGTGGGTGGCGGGTCGCGTGGCGGGGAGCTGCAGGGTCCAGGTGCGGAGGACCCTGAGGGTCTCGAGGTCGCGCAGGACGACGCGGTCCTTGTGGACCGACGCGAGGCGACGAGAGTCGGGGAGGACGAGAGATGAGGCGTGTCGCTCTGCGTTGCGTGGGGCACAGCTGGGTCAGTTGTGTCGGGCTGCAGCACGCCTGGAGAGAGTGCTCACGCAGCGGGGACAGCTCCCAGGTAGCCATGGTCGAGAGGTCGAGAGCGACGAGGTGGGCACTCGCTCGCTCGCTCAACTGGTCGTCCGCGGACAGCTGCAAGGCTCTCTCGTCGTCGTGACCCGATGAATGATGCTCCCTGTTACAGCACAAAGAGGCTACTGCAACACACAGACCCTGGTACACCGCCGCGCCTCCTCCTCCCTCTCGTGCCGGCGCCCACTCTAAGCGTATCGCCGCCAGCTAGCTCTAGCTCGACCGCCTCCTGCCGACCCACCAGCTCAGTGCGGCGAGCTCGGCCTCGTCGACGCGGCGCCGCTGATGCTCCCGGCGCGGCTCCCCTCGTTGGCCGGCGGGCAGCACTGGTTGTCGGCGCATGCCGCGCCCTCTGCGCACAGGACCGGGCACCCCTCGGTCTCGAGCCCGCGCTCGGCCGCCGCCGCCTCCGAGATGTGGCTCAGGCCCTCGGCCGTCGCCGACGACGCGACAATCTCCGGCTGGATCGTGCTGCTGTGGATCCCGAACCGGTGGAACCGCTGCTTGATCTCGCGCGAGACGTTGACCAGGTCCGACGACTTGACCATGATGTGCACCGACGCGACAATCTTGGACTCGGACAGCGACCACACGTGCAGGTCTGCGGCAGGCAGGCGGACGAGAGTGAGCGAGGACGTCCTCGTCGGGCGCGCGAGAGAAGAGAGGCGCGCGCACCGTGAACGTTGATGACGCCCGGCACGCTCGAGATGCTCGACCGAAGGCGCTCGAGAGGGACCGAGGACGGGACGCCCTGCAAGAGGATGAACGATGCCGACTTGACGAGAGGAAGCGCGCTCGAGAAGACTGAGGGCCGCGAGAGCGAGTCAGTACTCGCGCTCGGCGAGCGACAGGCAGAGAGAGAGAGAGAGAGAGTGCGGGACGCACTGATGATGGTGATGACGAGCGAGATGCCCGGGTCGGTGTACATGCGCCACGAGTAGTCGGTGAGCCAGATGAAGAGGCCGGCCGCGATGACGCCGACGTTGCCGAGCTGCAGGCAAGCGAGAGTCAGTTTCCCGAGCCTCGACGCGTCCGAGAGAGAGAGACAGAGGACGCACCGCATCGCCGAGGACGTGCAGGAACACGCCCTGCATGTTCATCGCGCCGTCGCTGCCCGCATGCCCACCGTGCCCGCCGTGCTCGTCGCCCGAGTCGAGCGCGCGCCCCTCGTGCCCGTTGTGCGCCGCCCCACCGCTCGTGCCGTAGCCCGCGTTGTGCGCCTTCTTGAGCACGTTGGCGCGCATCTCGCCCGGGTGGCAGTACAGCTCGTCCTCGGCGAACGCCTCGTCGTCCTCGTCGTCCGACGCCGCGCTCCCCTCTGACGGCACGCCGACCGCCGTGCTCGACCCGGCGGGCGACGCGAGGCGCGCGTCGTCCGGCCGCAAGAGCGGCGAGCGCTCGCCCGACGAGTGCGCGTGCGCCTCGACGTCGCCGTGCGCGTGGCTGTGCGCGTGCGCCTTTGCGCCGCCGCCGCTGCCGTGCGAGTGTCCGTGCCCGCCGCCACCGTGCGAGTGCCCGCCGTGGTCGTGGAACAGGAAGAGGCCGACGATGTTGCTCACGAGGCCGGCGCAGCCGACGACCGTGATGAGCTGCGGGTTGGTCACCTCTGCGAGGGGAGGGGGCTTGCGTCGTCAGCGAGGTCTGCGCAGGAGCGTCTGAGAGGGGAGAGAGGTAGAAGCGAGGACGGACCAGAGTAGTTGACGAAGCGGGCGATGGCCTCCATGCCGATCGAGAAGCACAGGGCGAGGAGGAAGACGCCGTTGATGAGGGCTGCGACGGCGTGGGCAGGGCTAGATCAGCGAGGGCGCACACAGAGATGGGCACAGAGAAATCGAGACGCACCTCCAAGGACTTCTGCGCGCTGCCACCCGTACGAGAGCTGCGACGAGGCGGAGCTCTTGCCGGCGAGCTTGAGCGCCTGAAGAGCGACAACGAGGCTAATGACGTCGTTGAGCCTGCGTGGGCGGTGCAGAGTAGGTCAGCTCTGCTTGTGTCACTGTGCACGGCGCGTACAGGGTGCCGGCCGGCCCACACGAGTCGGCTCGGGGCGGGGGAGGAGGGAGGACGAGAGGGGTCGACGGACATGTGGAACGAGTCTGCGACGAGAGCGAGGCTGCCGACTGCAGTCCCGACGCCCAGCTCGAGGAACAAGAAGGCCGTGTCGACTGTTCGGGTGGCATCGGTGAGGTCAGCGACGGGTGAGGCGATGAGGGCGAGGGGAGGACGGAGGAGAGGGGCGGGGGGCGCACTGGCTAGGAGTAGCTTGAGCTTGAACGCTCGCCTGTCTGTCGACATGCTGGCTGCTCTCGGTGCTGCTAGCGCGGTGAGGAGGGCGGACGGTGTGAGGCCGCGTCGCTCGCCTCCTCGCACGACGACCAGACGAAAGCTCGACACCGCCTCTCTCGCACACCCGACCTGCTCGGGCTTGCACTCGCTTGCACGGCTGCCACACTCTCTCCTCGACCCGGTCGCACGGCCGACCCGCTCGCCCAAGCTGTGTGCGCCCACGTCGCACCTCGCCGAGCAGGAGCCAGCCGCCCACCGGCTCGACGTCCTCGCCCTGCTCGAGAACACGGGCGGCCGAGCTCTCGCCAGCGGCCGAGCGCAGAGCCTGAGCAGGCCTGCTCTCGGGCCAGCTGCGGGCCGACTCTGGCCCTCCACCCCTCCACGCCGAACCGCTTGCAGCTGCTGCCTCTTTTGTTCCGACCGAGTCTCATCGAACGAGCTTCCGCGGCTCATCTAGATCTCCGACCTCCGCCTTCCCCTCCTCATTACGACGGCCAAGGGCCCCCTGTGCACCCACCCTTTTCTCACGACAACCCTCGTCGCAGTTACGAAGCGCGAGCGCACGGATTCCGCGCGGTGGCCAGCTCGAAGTCGCACGTACGAGATCCGGTCGAGCGCTTCGGCAATCAGCGAGCGTGTTGTCGAGTGCTCTCAGCTCCGAAACCGGGCGCACGATCAGACGGCGCCCGGCACTCTGGCGACGAGCGCTCGCAGGGTCGCACGGACCGCGGCGAGGCCGGGGGCCGGCCTCATCACGGCTTCCGGGCTGCAGGGCTCCCGATCGTTCGGTGCGCCAGCTTGCTCGAGCGAGCGATCGCTGCGCGAGCCCGCCTGCACAACGCACGCACGACGAGCGCGGTGCGGGCGACCGGGGTCGCGGCCGACACGGCGTGCGGTGCCTCCGCACGAGCGCACGCACGGCCTTTGTCTCTCGTCTCTCTCTGACAAGCGCGCACCCGCCTTGTCGGACGCCGGCCCGTTCATTCCCTCGTTCGTCCGCCCGCTTCAGGGCTGCACCGAGCGGCGCACGGCCGTGACGGGGGGTGGGCGCTCGAGCACCGTCCTTTCAGCTCAGCTCGCTGTCCCTCCCGCCTGGCTTCCTCCTCTGCGACGAGCGAGCGAGCACGATCCTCAAGCCGCCGCAAGCAGCAGCACATTGACCGTCGAGTGGACATGTACGGCGACGACGAGTGGACTCGAGTCGCGGTCGACCCTTCGCCGCTGCGCGCCCAAGTTCCGGCCGAGGGTGCGTTCCTCTCTCTCTCTCTCGTCCGCCTCGCCTTCGTCCATCGGGACCATGGGCTGATGCACTCGCCCGACCGCGCAGCCGACGCAGGCCCTTCGACCGGCGCCTTCGTCCCGCTCGATGCGCCCTCGCTCGCACGAGCGCGCGCTCACCTCCCCGCCGTCGTCCCGGCGTCCGCCTCGACGCCGCCCTCACCGACTCGCAATCGGTCCGACCGTCCACCACGGCCGATGAACGCCTGGCTCCTGTTCCGCACGGCGCAGCTGCGCCAGATCCAGGAGGACAACCCGGGCTTGCGCAAGAGCCAGGGCGAGTTGAGCAAGGTGCGTCCTCTCTCGTCCCTCCCCTCCCCGCCTCGCCCTCTCCCGGTCGACGCCATCTATCCGCCTACGTCGAGCCGCACACTGACTCGTCGTCTCTGTGCCCGCAACAGCTCATCTCGGAGATGTGGAAGAGTGTCTCGCCCGAGGTCCGTCCTCTTTTGTTCCTCTTCGTCGGTCGCGCCTGCAGATCGGGCCCCGCCTGACGGCTTTTCCCGTCCACCAGGTCAAGCATGGCTACGAGGACCTCGCGCGCCAACGCAAGGTCGAGCACGCCCGCATCTATCCCGGTGCGTCCCCCCAACCTGTCCCTCGACTCGACCTTCTCACCCTTCCCAGAGCTGACTTTCCCTCCCTGTCGGCCGCAGACTACCGCTACGCGCCCGCCAACAAGCCGGCGCCCAAGGTCAAGGCGTCCAAGACGAGGCGCGTCGCCTCGACCGGCACGTCACGCGCGACCCGTCCGTCCCTGCGCCTGTCGCCTTCTCGGAACGGCGCCTACCCGGACCACGGCTACGACCCAGATCTCGACCTGAGCGTCGGCGACCACCTGACGGCGCCCAACTCGACGTCGACCTCGCGCTCGGCGACCCACTCGCCGCACTATGGCACGCTCCCGACGCCGCCGACCGCCTCGTGGCACAATGGCGGCGCCGTCGCGCCCGCCGGGTACGACGACCTGTCGCCGCCGCTCGAGGCTCGCCAGCCGACGTTCGCGTACGACCACGACCCGTCGCAGCAGCAGCGCTACGTCGGCCTCGCACGGTCGGCGCCGCCGCAGAGCGCGCCGGCCGGCACGGCGCACTTTGCTCCGCCGTCGCCCTCGTCCTCGTCAGCTCTCGGCCTCTCGATTGGCCCTCCTCATCAACCTGTTGTGCGTCTTCTGCTCCTCCTCTTTCTTCCTGCGAGGAGTCGCTCACCCTCGTCGACCCGCAGCCGACCCACCGCCGCGCCTGGCTCACCCAGCTCCAGCCTTCGAATCCGCCCGGACCCCTCCCCGCCGCGCGCCAATCCTTCTCGTATCACCCGTCGCACCTCAACCCGCACCTCGAGCCCCAGTACATCTCGCCGCCGTCGTCCGCCACGCACCCTCCCTCGCCATACGGCTCGAGCGCGCCGCTCTCGGGCTCCAGGTCGTTCGCCCACCGCGCCTCGTACGGCGAGCCGGGCCCATCCTTGCCGCCGCTCATGTCGCACCCGCACTCTCGGCAGCCGCAATACTGGGCCGACGAGCCGGCGCCGTACCCGCAGTACCCGCCCGAGGCGCACCACCACGACCACCACCACCACCACCCGTCGTCGCACCACCACCTCGCGCAGCCGCCGCAAACCTGGCAAGACGCCGTCCCGCAAGAGCAGCCGACGAGCGTGTCGCCCATGGCCGTGTACGGCCTGCCGGGGCCCGCCGCAGCGTCGTCGTCGTCGTCGTCGTCGGTCACGCTCCCGCCGCTGCACGAGCACGTGCGCGCGCAGAGCTACTACGCCGACGAGGCACAGCCGCCGCAGGTCGGGTCGGTGTACGGCGTCGACCCGCATCAGCAGCACCTCGCCCAGCAGCAGCAGCAGCAGCAGCAGCATGACGAGTACGCCTACTCGGCCGCGTACGAGCACCCGCAGCCTCGCCGTCCAGCGCCGAGCCCGCACGACCGCGACGGGTCCTCGTGCTCGAGCGAGTACTTCGAGTACCACCATGCGGCGCGGTGACGCCTGCCCCTTTCCCTCCCTTTCTCTCTATTCCCCTCGCACCGAGCCGTCCCTAGTTCCCCAGTCGTCGTCGTCAGTGCTATACCACGGCCGCCGTAGTCTCTCTCGCTGTTTCCAATGCATCACACTGTACGCTCTCTGCGCTTGTCGAGGCGAGAGTCGAGCAGTAGAGAGGCGAAAAGAGCTCGAGCGAGAAAGCGTCGTCGAGCGAGAACGAGGTCTGTGCGGCTCTCTCAGGGCGGACTGCTGCCCATGCGCAGCCGCTCGTAGACTCTGTCGTGCGCTACGAAAGACGTCCGAAGAGGCAGCGAGCGGCGGGCAGCAAGCGGAAAGAAGACGCTTCAACTTGGGAAGGTCGACTTGGCTCGCGCACGATCCTCTCTCTCGTCCTCTCTCTCAAGCCTGCCATCTCGCCAAAGCTGTAGCCCAGGCCGACGAGAGTGTCACATTCGAAAAGATGAGGGCTCTCTTGGAGGAAGCGACGACGAGGCTCGATGCTTGAGCCAGTCGCAAGCTCGAGCCGAGGACGAGGGAGCGAGGCGCAGGACGGGGCAACCGGGACGGTCACGACCGGCAGAGGCTCAAGCAAGAGAGCTGCGGGAGGAGCTCGGAAGGAGGGCGAGTACCGAGAAAGGGATGCGCGGCGGTTGGACCGAGACGATCGTGCGCTCGAGCCTTTTCCCAGGTCTCTCTCGTCGGGCGAGCAGCTAGATGAGCCGTTGGAGACCGTCGAGTTGCAGCTCACAAGTACAGACAACAAGGGGATGGCGGGACAGGCGGAGAGATTACGGTGGGAGAGAAAGTGGGGTAATCGAGTGCGGCGTGGGTATCGAGGAGGGAGGGTGGCGACGAGGGGAAGTGCGGGATCAGGCAGCCTCGGCGGACTTGTCGACCTTGTCGAGCTGCGCCCAGATCGTCGCCTCGAGCTGAAAGGGAAAGAGGGACGGAGGATAGAGTCAGGGCTAGTCTTCGTGCGAGAGGGAAGGGAACGAGGGAAGGAGGGGGCGCACCTCCTTGGCTCGCACAGGCTTGGCGAGGTAGGTCGACATGCCGGCATCGAGGCACCGCTCGCGGTCGCCGGCGATGGCGCTCGCCGTCAGGGCGACGATGGGCAGCGACCGGATGCGCTCGACCGACGAGCTGCGGATCATTCGAGTGGCCTTGTATCCGTCGACGCCGGGCATCTGGCCCTGTGGGTGCGAGCGAGAATCAGATCACGACGACGTTCAAGGAAAAGAGAGGCAGCGACGCACGTCCATGAGCACGATCGAGTAGTCGTCCTTCTTGACGTGGTCGACCGCCTCCTGGCCGTTAAAGACGGCGTCGACGGCGAACTGCAGGCACGAAGAGAGTCAGGACGACGTGCTCGAAGGCCAAAGAGACTGGACGAGGACAGTCTGAGCGCACCCCCATCTTGCGCAGTTGGCGAGAGACGATCTCGCTGATCAGCTGGTTGTCCTCGGCGAGCAGTACGCGAACGTCTTGAGGTCGCCTCGACGGCGCCGACTCGTCCTTGTCGTCGGTGCTGGACCGAGCCTGCTTGCGCGTGTCGGAGCTGGACGCGGTCGTCGAGCCCGAGGCGGCAGAGGCCGAGTCGTGAGTCGGCGCCTTGCCGAACGGGATGGTGATGACCATGCGGGAGCCCTCGCCAAAGGTCGACGTCAAGTCGATGGTGCCGTCCATGAGCTCAACGAGCTGCGAGCGTGAGGGCAGGGTGTGTGAGGTTCGAGGTCGAGAAGGACGGAGCGAGGACGATGGCGACGCACGTTCTTGGTGATCGTGAGGCCGAGCCCGGATCCACCGTACTCGCGCGCCGTGCCGACACTCGCCTGCTTGAACGGCGTGAAGAGCGTCGGGAGGACGTCCTCCTTGATGCCGAGGCCGGTATCCGAGATCTCGAACTGGACGACGACCTTCTCAACGTCCTCGGACAGCTGCCGCAGCCGCAAGGTGATGTTGCCCTCGCCTGCGCGCTCGCGATACGAGGAGTGTCAGAGGGTATTGACGACGCAGAGAGAGAGAGAGGGAGAGAGAGAGACGTACAGGTGAACTTGAGGCTGTTCGAGAGCATGTTGGACAGCACCTGGCGAAGCCGCATGCGGTCGCCGAGCAGCGCGCCCTTGTACGCCAGGCTGTTCTCCTCGATAAAGTCGAGGCCCTTCTTCTCGGCGAGGACGCCAAAGAGGCTCGCGTCGCCGAGGACGTCCGAGAGCGCGAGTGGCTCCCGCTCGAGCTCGAGCTCGCCCGTCTCGAGCTTGCGAAAGTCGAGGACGGCGCCGACGAGGTCGAGGAGCACCTCGGTGCTGCGAACGGCCTTCTCGATGAGGGAGCGCTGGTCGTCGGCGAGGCGGTCCGAGTCGCTGAGGAGGAGCCTGTCGCGAGAAAGGTCGTCAGGTCGGGCTCGTCCTCGTCGGCGAGAGGGGGGAAAGGAGTGGACGCACTCGCAGATACCAAGGACGGCGGCGATGGGCGTGCGGATCTCGTGGCTGACGGTCGTGAGGAACTCGGTCTTGAGCCGGTTGGCCTCGCGAGCGGCGAGTTCGGACCCTCGAAGCTCGGCGGCCTGCGTGCGGCTGTCCTCGAGCGCGTTCTCGGCGTCGACACGATCGCTCACGTCGACGCCGACAGCGATGCAGCCGACGACGGCCTGGGCGTCCGGGTGCGAGACGGGGATGGAGGGATCGCCAATGAGGGGGACAATCTGCGGAAGGAGGACGGGTGAGCTCACGGCCTCGCGACGCTGCGGCGAAACGCGAGACGCACCCGATAGCGCATGTGGCGGATGCCGCCGTGGCCGTTGTCGGTCGCCGTCTTGACCTCGGCGAGCTCCTCCTCCTCGTCGAGGATCTTGCGCACGCCCTCGCGTAGGTCCTCGTCGGCGCACAGGTCGTGGAAGCGCTGACCGACGAGCGTCGGCGGGTCGGTGTTGAAGTTGAACGGCGGGTGCTTGCCCTCGAAGAAAGAGATGCGCAGGTCCATGTCGATCGTGAGGAGGGTGAGCTCTGCGAGGACGGCGAAAGGCGGGGTCAGTGCGAGGTTTTTTTCGGCGAGAGCTGGAGAGCGACGACGGACCGGACCCTGCCAGGACCGCCTTGGTGCGCTCCTTGACGATGAGGGCGTCGTGCCGAGTCTGCGTCGACGAGATCGAGAGGTCAGGGTCTGGCGCCAGGCTCGACTGAAGCGACTGAAGAGAGAGGGCCGAGGACGACGCGCCTTGACGAGTTCATCTACATCGGTGATGTTGCACGCGAACGCGATGACCTTGCCGTTGACGTCTCGACAGGCGCTGCCGGCGGTGCGGAACCACTTGGTCGACCCATCGGCGCCGCGAATCCGGTGCTCGGCCGTAAAGTCGGCGCCCGACTGGATGCCCTTGTTGTACACCTCGAAGGCGTGGCCGAGGTCGTCGGGGTGAAAGAAGGCTGCGAGACGGGGCAGGGCACGAGTAAGTCGGGGGGCGAGGGCGAAAAAGGGGAAGAGGGAGGAGGGAGCGAGCGCACCGGCCCACTCGTCAGGCGATGGCTCGTCCGAGATCTGCTGCCCAGTGTACTTGAACCACCTGGTGGACATCCACTGGATGTGCCCGTTCGGGTCGGCATAGTAGGCGATCTGTGGTCGAGGGACTTGGTGAGCAACGCGTCTCTACGAGGGAGGGAGGGGAAGGAAGGGAGCGGGCGCACCTCGGGCATGTTGGCGACGAGGGCGACGAGCTTGTCGTGACTCAACGGCATCGTCGAGTCGTGGTGAGCGACGGCGTGCGCCATGTGCTCGAGAACCGGCTCGGCGTGCTCGTACGACGGCGAGTGGACCTTGTTGCGCGAGCCGGTGGACGACGAGTCGGCCCGACGCAGGCTCGGTCGCACGGGCGCCGGCGTCTCGTCCTCGGCTGCGACAGGTTCTGCGGCGGGCCGGTCGCACGTTCGACACCGCGGCGTCGAGGAAGAGGGCGTCTGCGGCCACGAGCGCAGGTCGAGCGACGACATTCTCGACGACAGGTCGGGCGCTCCCGGCGACGGCTTCTTGCCGAGGGCGTCACCCAACGTGCGAGCGAGGGCCGCCTTGACCTCAGACGAGAACGGCAGGCCTGCGCGGTCGTTGCCCGTGACGACGCGCCGCTTGCCGCACGTGCTCGCGTCCGAGTGGGCGCTCGACGACGAGTACGACCGCGCCGGTGACGACGGCACCGTCTCGGCGATGTCGACGTCGCTCGAGTCGTCGTGCGGCGACTTGGACGGCGATCGGGAAGGCGGATCAGAGGCGGGTGGGGACAGGATGGCGCCGGCGAGGGCAGGCGAGCGAGGGAGGGAGCTTGGGGGCGCCGTCGACGTGGCGGGACGCAGGAAGAGGATCGAGTAGGCGGTTGTCGACTCGTCGCTGGTCGAACGCGCGTCGTCACTGCTGATGGACGAGGTCGAGCAGGAGGCGGCGGACGACGACGACGACGAGGTGGTCGACGAGGTGACGAGGACGGTCGCCTTGCGGACCTCGCGGCTCGGCCCGGCCCTCGCGACATAGTCGACGTCGACGCCCTCGCCCCACGGCAGGTCCCGCGAGCGCCGCACGAGGTCGTCGAGCTGCGCGCGCACGTCGCTCCTCGACTGGCTCGAGTCGGCGTCGAGCTGGCCCTTGGCCCACGACAGGAGCACGTCGGCGGCCGTGGCCTCGTCGAGACCGCCGCCCTGGGCCGTGTCGAGCCCCAAGAGGCTGCGTGCGGCGGGCGAGGCGCTCGAGAGATGAAGCGCCGGGCCGACAAAGGTCACGACGGCGAGGCCGAACGCGCTCGTCGGGTCGGGGGCCATGCGGCGGAGCAGGTCGTGGACGTGCTGGAGCTGGTATTCGTGCGGCGCAGCGGTGCTTTGCTGGCGACGGCGTCGAGGACCGACAAGGTGCGAGCCGACGACGAGATGAGATCGGCCGTCTCCTCCCCGCACGATCTACCGCTGGCAAGAGGCTGCCGGCTCCCCGAGAGCGAGACGCCGCGAGAGATGTCGCTCGAGTTTCCCGATCCCGCAGTCGACTGTCCGCGTGGCTGTCGCGGCCGACTCGCCCGACAGCGCTTTGCTTGACTTTGTTGCACGACCCTTGCTCGGTTTGTATTCGCCCGTAAGCGAGTCGCCGAGCGAGCGGTATTCGACGCTCGAGGCACGGCGGACCCGTCTCGCTCTCTCGTGTGTCCTCGCGCACAGCTTGCGGGCACGAGGACAAGGTTCTCTTGCTGCAGGAGCGACTCTACGTCGCGCCGGTCGCGCGCTCGAGCCGGCGAAACGCCCCGCGTCGTCGACCTTGCTCGCCGCTCAGGCCCTCTCTCTCGCTCTCTTTGCGCCGACAGCGACAGCGACGCAACACGACCAGGTAGACCTGCTTGTGACACTCTCGTCGACAGCCGGCAGAAGACGGTGAGGTGAGGAGAGGGGAGCACTTAAGAAGGCGGCGTGCGCTCGAGCGCCTTGTGCGACTTGGGTCACACCCTTTGCGTCCGGCACGTCGTCGCTCGTGTCGCGAGATGCGAGTGACACGGGCGAAGGACGCAGAGGCTCCCGGGCGTGCCGCTGCGGTTCGAGGTCGTTCGGCCAGCTCGGCGGACCGTGCGCTTCTTCGTCCTGCTTTCGCCCGTCGAGACCGCCTCACGTCGAGTTGTCAGGACGTAGAGTACCGCGTAGGGTCGTTGCTCGACGGCGTGGACAGCCGGGCGTCCGCCGCCGAGCGCGCGCAAGTCTGTGCGCGCAGCGAGAGCGAATGTCGCGAAGCAGGATGAGCTGCTCGTGCTTAACGGCTTGGCGTGCATGCTCGAGCGCGCACAGACCAGCTCTTAGCAGCTGAGGACGAGCTGGCGGAAGGAGAGGAGCGACGAGGTCGCCATGGAAGCCAGGTCGAGGCGGGAGCGGGCTCGACGAGCGACGCCGAGAAGGAGCGACACGCGCCCCGTACGGCGTCCCGACTCGAAGCAGCACGAGGGCTGGTAGCAGGGAGTAGGCGAGCTGAGCGCATGCGCCCCTCGCGCAGGGAACGACGTCGAGAGCAGCGCGAAGCGGTTCACGTGAAAGTCGAGTCGCCGTCTGCGTCGACCGCGTCCTGCGAGCGAGCGAGTACTTACGCCCGGGTGCTCGAGCGAGTTTAAGCGGACAGTGGCGGCACAGAACCTCGCAGAACGAGGGCCCTCGCGCAGCGCGACGCAGTGGAGGGCAGAGCTCGATGCGAGTCGCGCAGCCGTGCCAGAGTGGAGGTGCCGAGCGCGCGCGGCAGCTGGCCGTGAGGTCGACCGCGAGCGGGACGTGGCGCCGACGAGGAGGCAGGACCGAGACGAGGTGCCGTCCAGTGAAGAGCGAGAGAGAGAGAGAGAGCGCGAGCAAGAGGCGGACGAGAGGAGCGGGAGTACTTTGCGTTTCGAGTCGGGAGTGCGAACAGAATGCGGAGCCGAGACGATGCGGGGTGTGTACACAATCGAAAGTGCGGTCTGGAGCGAGAAGGAGGAGAGCCCGACTGCCGTGAGAGAGGCCCGCCTCCCACCGAGCTCCTCCCCCTCGCGCGCACGGCTCCGAGCCATCGGTGGATTCGCGCCTGCACCGCCCTAGCCCTACTTGGGCCCTCGACCACCGCCCAGCCAGCCAGCGCCAGTCCGCCGCCACCCACGAGGGCTTGCTCCTGCTCCCGCCGCCGCCGCCGTCCCCTCTCGCCTCGCCTCGTCTCGCGCCAACCCTCGACACCCGGATCGCGCGATCGCCCTCGCGCGTGCCGGTCCTCGACTCGTCCAGGCGCCGCCTCGCCCTTGTCCACCCGCCCGATGAGCGCAGACGAGCTCCCCCTCAAGGTCACGTCGCACCCGACGACCCGAGACTCGAGTGGCCCGGCACCACGGCCAGCGCACGACGACGACGACCCGCCGCCACCGGTCGACCGGCCACAGCTCCACTCGAGCGACTCGTCGACGGGCCACTCGCGGACGTTCCCGTTCCACCACCGCGCGTCCACTTCGTCCGCACCGGGCCCCGTGTCGCCCACCATGTCGCCCCGCCCGCAACTCGCGTCGACCTCGCGCCCGTCCTACATCTCGCTCCCGCCGCGCACCGCCTACGACGGCCGCCCCTCGCCGCCGCTCGACGTCGTGTCGCCCTCGGGCCGCGCGTCCGTGTCGAGCGCCGACAGCGCCGGCAGCCGCATCGCGCCCGACCTCGGCGGCTCGTCGGCGCGCTACTTCCCCATGCGCAGCGTCATGTACCCCTCGTCGGGCAAGGCGCCGTCGTCGAGCACAAAGAGCCGCGGCAGCGCGAGCGCCGGCGCGACGAGCGCCCGCTCGCAGCAGTCGCGCTCGCTCCCGCCGGGCTCTGCCGAGGCCGTCCTCGCCGAGGAGGGCTTCCCGGACGAGTCGCACCTCGGCCACGAGAACGCCATGTCGGCCGAGGGCATCCAGCACGGCGCCGAGGACCTCGGCATCGTCCCGCGGCCGCACGACCACCATCACGGTGGCGGCGGCACGAGCGCCGTCAGCGCCGAGCGGCCGTCGGGCCCGCGCCGCAGGAGCTCGCGCACCGAGAACGGCAACGGCGGCGGCGGGTCCCAGCAGACGGTCGGCACGCCGTCGTCGCACACGTCGTCCGACCACAAGCCCGCCTCGCTCGACCCGTTCCTGTCCGAGCCGACGACGCACGCCAAGATCGGCGACCCGGACTCGGACGACGACGAGTACGACCCGGACGAGGCCGACTCGGGCGAGCCGTCGTCCAAGGTGCAGGAGCAAGACTTTGGCGACCCGGCCTCGACCCGCCGCACCAAGTCGCCAACACCTCGCTCTGCGCCGCTCAGCACGGCCCTGACGGGCGACAGCAGCAGCAGCGACCGCCCGATCCTCATGACGTCTCGCTTCGAGCACACGGTGTCGGCCGAGGGCCAGCACCTCGTCATCACGGGCCGAGAAGGCGCTCTCGAGCGGTGCGAGGACGAGGTGCGTCCTCTTCCCTCTCCCCTCTCGCTCTCTCACAGGCCCTGACGTCTCTCTACCTCCCTTGTCGACAGCCTATCCACGCGCCCGGCGCCGTCCAGGCGTTCGGCGTCCTGATCGCGTTCGACTACGACGAGTCGGAGCGCATGACGATCCAGCAGGTGTCGGAGAACTCGGGCTTCATCCTCGGCCTCCCGCCGCGCACCCTGTTCAAGGTCAAGTGCCTGACCGACGTCCTGAGCGAGGACGAGGGCGACGCCCTGCGCGACGCCATCGATGCCCTCGACGAGCGCGACGAGGACCCGGGCAACGACGAGGCTGGCCCGTACACGTTCACCTTGTCGGGCCGCGGCAACCCGGGCACGGCGCAGGACGATGCGCAGAGCCGCGCCCGCCTCGAGTGGACCTGTCACGCCGCCATCCACCGGCCGAGCCCCGAGCGGCAGCCCAAGCGCCTCGTCCTCGAGCTCGAGCTCGTCGACGACCAGGTCAACCCGCTCACGACCGAGTCGAGCGAGCCCGTCGCGACCGAGGACCGCGGCGGCATGGTCGACGTCGCCGGCGAGGACCCCAACAACGGCATCAACCCGTCCGAGGACGACCTGATCGAGAGCACCGTCTCGATCGCGCGCCCGTTGCGCATGCTCGCTCGCGGCAAGTCGACCCGGGTGCGTCGCCGCAAGGTGCGCCGCGGCCTGGACGACCTCGACGTCGTCGGGCTCCTGAGCCAGATCAACGACCAGTTGAGCAAGACGGACGAGCTCGAGACGTTCCTCAAGATCACGGCGGGCGTCTTCAAGGAGTTGACCGAGTTCGACCGCGTCATGGTGTACCAGTTCGACGAGGCGTGGAACGGCCGCGTCGTCGCCGAGCAGGTCGACTGGACCCGCACCAAGGACCTCTTTCGCGGCCTCAACTTTCCCGCGAGCGACATCCCGCCGCAAGCCCGTGCCCTGTACCGCGTCAACAAGGTCCGCGTCCTGTACGACCGCGACCAGCCGACGGCGCGCCTGTGCTGCCGCTCGATGGACGAGGTCGACGTCCCGCTCGACATGACGCACTGCCACTTGCGCGCCATGTCGCCGATCCACATCAAGTACCTCGGCAACATGGGCGTCCGCTCGAGCATGTCGATCTCGATCACGGCGTTCGGCGACCTGTGGGGGCTCATCGCGCTGCACACGTACGGCCGGTACGGCCACCGCGTGTCGTTCCCCGTGCGCCAGCTGTGCAAGCTCCTCGGCGCGAGCATCTCGCGCAACATCGAGCGCATCTCGTACGCGAGCCGGCTCCAGGCGCGCAAGCTCATTAACACGGCCGCGAGCGACCAGAACCCGGGCGGCTACATCCTCGCCAAGGCCGACGACTTGCTCGACCTGTTTCACGCCGACTTTGGCATGCTCAGCATCGGCGACGAGGCCAAGGTGCGTCCACGTCTCCCCCGTGTCCTCCCTCCCTTTTTCCCTCGACGAGCCCGTCGCTCGTCGTCGTCGTCGTCGTCGCGAGCTCGTCCCTGACCGGCTGCCCCCCCTTTCCCCTTCCCTGCAGATTCTCGGCCAGGTCAACAACTCGCAGGAGCTTCTCGCCGTCCTCGAGTACCTTCGGGCGGCGCGCTTCACCGGGCTCAAGTCGACCCAGGACATCAACCTCGACTTCCCCGACATCGACTGTCCGGGCGGGTTCAAGCTCATCGCCGGCCTCTTGTGCGTCCCACTGTCGGCCGAGGGCAAGGACTTCATCTTCTTCTGCCGCTCGCCGCAAGAGCAGGAGGTCCGGTGGGCGGGCAACCCGTACACGAACAAGACGATCAACGACTACCAGCCGCTCGAGCCGCGCAAGTCGTTCGCCCAGTGGACCGAGGTCGTCAAGGGCAAAGGTCGAGCCTGGACCGACGAGGAGAAGGAGACGGCGAGCGTGCTGTGCCTCGTTTACGGTGCGTCCCTCGCTCGCCTCGTCTCTCCCTCTCTCTCCCTCCCTTCCTCTCCTTCTGCCTCGACGCCCTCGATGTCCCGCTCTCAGCGAACGACGACTGACGCATGCCCTTCTTGTCGCGCTCGCAGGCAAGTTCATCGCTGTGTGGAGGGAGAAGGAGAGCGCGCTCGCTGCGAGCCAGCTCACCAACCTCCTCCTCGCCAACGCGAGTCACGAAGGTGCGTCCTGCCCTCTCTCTCCCTCTCTCTCTCTCGCCGGCGACGACATCGCGTGAGACACGCACTCACCCTCGCTCTCGGCCTCACAGTGCGCACGCCGCTCAACGCCATCATCAACTACCTCGAGCTCGCCCTGGACGGCCCAATCGTCGGCGAGGTGCGCGACAACCTCGTGCGCAGCCACGCCGCCTCCAAGTCGCTCATCCACGTCATCAACGACCTCCTCGTGCGTCCCCTCTCGCTTGACGGCCCCTCTCTCGTCGTCGTCGGGCGGCGACGACCACGATGAGCCCATCCTCTGACATTTCTCGCCTCCTCTCCTCCCCTCAGGACTTGACGCGCACCGAGAAGGGCAACGAGCTGTTCCTCACCGACCCGTTCAACCTGTCCGAGACGCTCGAGGAGGCCATCTCGATGCACCGCGACGAGGCCCGCCGTCGAGGTCTCTCGCTCGAGCTCGTCGAGACGCCGACGGGCACGCCGCCGACCCTGATCGGCGACCGCGCCAAGATCCGCCAGATCGTCGCCAACGTCGTCGGCAACGCGCTCAAGCACACACAGGAGGGCGGCATCCTCGTCGAGTGGGGCGAGATGGCCGACCAGGACCTCGACGACGCGTTCGAGGAGAAGAAGGACTCGATCCGCATCGGCATCTCGGTCACCGACACGGGCGTTGGCATCTCGGAGCGCAAGCTCGAGAACCTGTTCCGCCAGTTCGAGCAGATCTCGACCATCGGCGACAAGCAGCGCGACGAGGACACCAAGACCGAGCAGGCCGTCGGGCTCGGGCTCGCCGTCGTCGCGCGCATCGTGCGCAACCTCGACGGCCAGCTCCAGGTCGAGTCGAAGGAGGGCAAGGGCTCCAAGTTCACCTTCGTCTTCCCGTTCCGCCTGCCGGCGCTCGACGCCGAGGCGGCGCCGCCGACCAAGGGCGAGCTCGCCGCAGCGGGCGAGCGCAAGAACGCGCGCCAGATTGAGCCGGCGCCCGTCCAGAACGGGCTCCGCCGCCGCACGAGCAAGCACAGCACCGACTCGGCCGACTCGCGCATCTCCAAGGGCTCGTCGGGCCGGTCCGAGATCGATTCGCTCATCAACGCCATGGCGAGCTCCCACATGTCGCCGCCGGCGGGCAGCCACAACGACCAGTCGTCGGCGGGCACGCGTTCGACGACGTCGGCCCAGTCGGGCGGGTCCCGGCGCTCGTTCCGCTCGGCCCTGTCGCACGTGCCCTCGCAGGGCTTCCCCGAGTCGAACGCCGGCAGCAGCGCCGCCGCTCGCGTACGAGCCGAGTCGGGCCCCGGGCGCGTCAACGTCAAGGGCAGCCAGATCCCGTTGCGCGCATCTCGCGTCGGCGCCGGCGGCAGCAGCGGCGCCGCCATGTCGCCCGTCTCGTCGCCCAACCTCACGACGGCGCACAACGGCCCGTACAGCCCCTTCTTCCAGTCGTCGTCGTCGTCGACCTCGTCGATGCTGTCCCCTTTCGGCGCCGGCGACCGTCCGCCGCAGCCCGAGCGCGCCGAGTCGCTCATCTCGGACGCGTCGGGCCACACGGCGCACAGCGTCGGCGCGACGCCTCAGCCTGCGTCGCCGTCGATGGGCTACTCGCGCCGCGACTCGCTCGCGAGCGAGGCGGCCTCGGACCGCCGCACGTCGGTCAGCAGCTCGACGTCGCACTCGAGCCAGGTGCTGTCGACGCGCCGAGGCAGCATCAGCGGCACCCAGAGCCCTCGCCACATCAGCCAGTACCGCAAGGCGTCGATCACCCCTGCCGTCGAGGACTCGATCGAGCCCATGCGCGTGCTCGTCGTCGAGGACGAGGTGCGTCCCTATTCTCCTCCTCCCTTTGCGTTCGCCCGACCCGAGCGCCGGACCCTGACTCGCCCGCACTTCTCTCTCGCAGATGGTCAACCGCATGATCATCCAGCAGCGCCTCAAGAAGGACGGCCACGACGTCGTCGTCGCCGAGCACGGCGGCGCCGCCGTCCGCAAGTTTGAGGAGGACCGCACGGGCTTCGACATTGTCCTCATGGACCTGCAGATGTGCGTCCTCTTCTTCCTCCCAATCCTCTCTCCTCGTGACGCCGACCTGACTCCTGAACGCGCGCAGGCCCATCATGAACGGCGTCGAGGCGAGCCGCAACATCCGCCGCATCGAGCGCGAGTCGCCCGTCGACGTCGACAAGCAGCGCGAGACGAGCCGCCGCAACGTCGGCATCCCCATCCTCGCCGTCTCGGCCTCGCTCCCCGAGCGCGAGCGCCCGACCATCGTCGACGCCGAGCTCGACGGCTGGCTCCTCAAGCCGATCGACTTCAAGCGCCTGCGGCGGCTCATGCGCGGCGCGCTCGAGCCCGACGCTCGCGACCCCGAGATCTACCGCCCCGGCCAGTGGGAGCGGGGCGGCTGGCTGCACTCGTTCCCGCCCGAGGGCGGCCCTCGCAACAGCTCGGCGCGCCGCTCGTCGGCCGGGGCGGCAGGCTCCTCCAAGGGCAAGCCGCCCTCGCCCGACAACGCCTGATGGCCTTCTTCCTTCCCCTCCTCGGCATCCTCCCACCTTCCTCCCGCCGCGTCGTCCCGCCCTCACACACGACTCGACGCCGCATCGTCCACCTTCTCTCTCAGCATCGTCGTCCTCCCTCTGCAACCTTCAAGTATACCCTCGCCGTCGCAGCAATTCCTCTCTCGCGTCTTTTGTTCGCCTTCTACCAGGCGCTCGTCGACGATACACGTGTCGCGAGGCCTGTGTCGTACCTTCTACGACCCCCTTTAGTTTCCCTCTCGTCCTCCCTCCCCGTGCTGCTGCCCGCGCACCCCCTCGCAACTCTCTCCCGCCCCCATGTCCAGAGGTCATTGTTGTCTTTGTCGCCTCCCTTAGTAGCCCCCGCACACGCCTCGACTTCCCTCTCAGCCCTTACTCGTCTCCTCCCCCTCCTCCTTGCCTCCCGGCTCTCTTTTCTCCGGTCATACTTGCCCCGGCGCCCTCCCTTTGGCGGCCGGGTTCCCCTGCGTTCCTTCCGTCGGTATCTAGAAGGCAAAACACGAGTTTCTCCATCTTCTCGAGGCAGAGCTCGCGGGCGCGAGAGAGAGAGAGATTTCGATTCGAGCGGACGAGGTCAAAGCGCTCTGTCGAGCTCTCTCGGCGGGATGCAGGGAGGATCTCTCTCATCTCTAGATCTCGTGTCAAGTCCTGCGCCGTCTCGTCGAGCAAGGCATGCACTGCATCTCGTCTCGCTACGTGTCTTGCGCTCCTCGTCTTCCTGCTCCCTCCTGCCGCTCACTCTCGCTCCCACCGCACCATGACCTCCCTCATCGTGCCCGCACCCGCTCATCTTCCTCGTCGCCATCGCCAAGCTCGGCGACGAAAGGGCCGAGGCCGCCCGGGAGCGACCAGTCGTCGATGGACGACTCGAGGGCGGCGATGGCCCGTGCGAGCTGTGGTTGGCGAGGCGAGGGACAGGTGAACGAGGGCGTCGAGCGAATGTCGAAGGCAGGACGAGGACGAGAGAAAAGGGGGAGAGAGTGGAAGAGGACGGGTCAGTGCGGCGCCCGGTTGCTGCCGAAGAGAGAGGAGAGAGAAAGGCGGGCGCACCTCCTCGTCGACCTCGCTCTCGGGCTCGCCGTCTGCGCCCCACAGTTCCCGCACATCGCCCGGCCGCACCGTCCCGCCCGAGCTCCTCGCCGTCCGGTAGCTCGCGACTGTCCCAAACTGCGAGTCCCCCTCGCCGCCGCCGTCTGCACTCGCGCCCGCCTCGAGCTCGGCCTCGTCCTCATCGTTCTCACCGAGCTCCTCGTCCGTACCAGCGTCTCGCCGCATCCTCTGCCGAGCGACGCGACCTGGTCCACCGCCGCCGCCTCGAGGCAGCGTCCGCATCGAGTGGCTGCTCGCCGGCCTCGTCCACCCTCGCTGCGCCACCTTGCCCGCCGCTGTGGGCACCTCCTCCCAGTTGCGCCCAAGGTGGACGACGCGCACGGGCGCGAGCGGCGTGTCGTCCATCGGCGGGCGCCAAGTCGACGACGACGCGGGCCGCTTCTTGCGACGGCGGGCGGGCGAGGCCGAGGGGGAGGACGAGGTCGAGGGTGCGGCGGACAGGGTCGATTCGGGGCGAGAAGGGCGGAATGCGGCGAGCGACTCGACGTTGATGAGGCGCCTGCGCGCCGAGGTGGAAGGGGGAGGGTCAGCCGTGCTTGGAGAGAGGCACGAGAGGGAGGGAGAGAGAGGACCGGGTCGACGCACTCGGTGGCGTGTTCGAGGATGCGCTGGAGCGACTCGCGCTCGCGTTGTTGTTCCTCGGTCGAGCGGCCTTGAGGTCGAGGAGGAGCCCTGAGCGGTGCGATTCAAGGTGGGGTCAGCTGGCGTCCAGAGGGGATGCGGCGAAGTGGGGCGTACTCTGGGAGGATGTCCGGGTTGAGCAGAGGTGCGCGCTCGGTGTCCTGCTCGGAGCAGAGAGCGTCAGTCGAGGGAGAGATGAGAGGAGGGAGGAGGGGGAGGGGAACGCACCTCGTCGACACTGGGAGCGGGCAAGCAGCAGCACAGGTACTGCCGTACGAGGCTCGCCATCCTGCAGAGCACTGCAGCACAGGCAGTAGCGGTCGAGGGAGAGAGAGAGCGACCCTCTCCCCACATCCTCTCGCTTGCTCGTCGTCTCCCTCACCCGCTACCAGACAAAGAGTGCCCAGCTGTGCCTCTAGCCTGTCCTCCAGCCACGCCACAGCATGACCCAGCCACGCGCATCCACATCGCGGTTCTCGCTCGACGACTGGGACCTGCTCGCTCCTCTGTCGCACAACGAGCTCGCATCCGTGTCACGCATCTCGCACGCCGCTGCAGTCAAGCCCGTACCCGTCCACGTGCGTCCACTTGTCCCCTCCTCGAAGAGCGCGACCCTACGAGCGAGATCCCTGACCCCTCCTCCCGCAGCTTCGAGCCGCCGCCGACGAGTCGAACGACCGCCCGTCGACGCCGGCTGGCCCCATTCGCCCGTCGAGAACGGTCGCAGGCGCACTCGACAGCCCGTCGTCCCGTCCTGGATCCGCCCGAGGTCGCGACCGCCGCGGCAAGACGCCCGCCCTTCAAGCCGCCGACCAGGACCCGCTCCGGCCGGCGCAGGCCATCGCGACGACGCAGCAGTTCCACGACTGGTTCTCGTCGGTCGAGGCGTCGCTCGAGCGCGAGCAGGAGCAGGTCTACGTCGAGCACCTCGGCGAGCTCGTCGCGCACCTCGCCACGTGCGACTCGGTCCTCGGCTCGCTCGACGAGGCGCGCGGCCTGTTGAGCGAGATGGAGGCCAACTACCGGTTCGTCGACGAGAACTCGCGCAGCCTGCAGCTCGCGTGCGAGCACATGCTCGACGAGCAGCGCCACCTCCTCGAGGTGACCGAGGCCATCGGCGCCCGCCTCGAGTACTTCCGCGAGCTCGAGAAGGCGACGCGCATGCTCAACCTCCCTGGCGAGGAGCTCGTCCTCCAGGACGACTTTCTCAACCTCCTCGACCGCCTCGACGCGTGCCTCGACTACCTCAAGCTCAACGTGCGTCCCTCGTCGCCCTTCCTCCCCTCGGACCGTGTCCTGACCCCTCTTTTCCCGCCGCCGACCGCAGCGCGACTTTCGTGACGCCGAGATCTACTTGATCCGGTACCAGCAGTGCCTGACGCGGTCCATGACGCTCATCAAGATGTACTTTGTCTCGACCGTCCGCAAGCTCGCCGCCGACGTCCAGGACAAGGTGCAGGGCAAGGTGCGCCCGGCCTCTCTCTCTCATTCGCCTCTCTCTCGTCGCGACATGACACTGACTCGGCGTGCGCACCCGCAGGACCTGTCGGACGCGGCGTTCGACGCGCTCCTGTACGCCAAGTTCTCGCAGCCGGCGCCGACCCTGCGCATCCTCCTGTACGAGCTCGAGAAGCGGGCCCTGACCGACCCGGACGAGTACGGGTCGCTCCTGAGCGAGTGCTACGCCGTGTGGTTCGCCGCTCGAGGTGCCCTCCTCGGCCCGCGCCTGAACGAGGAGGTGCGGCGCATGGACCCGGTCACGGCCGAGCTCGTCAAGCTCGCCAAGGCCGGGTGCGCGTACCTGCGCGGCGTGTGCGCTCAAGAGTGGACCCTGTTCCGCGAGTTTTTCGGCGGCGGCGAGGACGAGGCTTAGTGCGTCCACACACACTCTTTCTCCCGACCGCCTTTCTCTCGCATCTCGACGACTGACTCTCCCCCTCTCTGGCGCCTGCAGCCGGTTCCTCGAGTCGTTGTGCGACAGCCTGTATGACTCGCTGCGGCCGCGCATCCTGCACGAGCCGCGCCTCGACGCCCTGTGCGAGCTGTGCGCCGTCCTGTACGCGCTCATGGCGCTCGACACGGCGTCGCCCTCGACGGCAGCCGACGCCGACGACGACGACGAGGGCGGGCGCAACGACTTGCGCTTTGCCGTCCTCCTCCAGACGATCCTCCAGGACGCCCAGACGCGCCTCGTCTTTCGGGCGCAAGCCGTCGTCCAGAGCGAGGTCCTCCACTTTGCGCCGTCGCCGGCCGACCTCGACTACCCAGCCATCATCGTGCGCTCGCCCGGGCTCAAGGCGCTGTGGGAGGAGCCGGTCGCAGTCGGGCAGAGTGCGGGCGAGGACGGGGCCAAGCGGTTCCGGGCCCCGAGCGAGGCGGCGCAGGCGACGTGGTACCCGACCCTCAAGCGCACCGTCTGGGTCCTGTCTCGCCTCAACGCCTACGTCAACGTGCGTCCTCGCTCTCTCCCAGAGTCGAGGCGCGAGCGGCGACTGACCCCACCTTCCCTCGCAGGACGCCATCTTCGAGGACTTTGCCGGCGAGGCCGTCGCCCTGTGCCGCAAGTCGCTCGTCGACGCCTCGGCCCAGATTGCCGCACAGCCTCCTGTCGCCGAGGGCCAGACGGCGCAGGACAAGGAGGCCGACGGCACGCTGTTCCTCGTGCGGCACTTGCTCCTCCTCAAGGAGATGGTGCGCAGCGTCGACCTCGTCCACATCGAGCGTGCGGCCGACTTTTCGAGCGTCACCGGTGCGTCTCTCTCTCTCTCCCTTCCGTCCGCGAGCTCGGGGCGGGCGAGGAAGGTCCACTCACGGCGCTCGCCCCGGTCCCACCTCTCGCAGAAGCTCTCGGCGGCCTTCTCACCGGCGGCAACCTGTTCAACCCTCGCGCACTCGTCGAGCTCGCATCAAGGAGCATGCCGTCGTGGGCCGAGACGATGACCGACGCCAAGCTCGTGCGTCCTCTCTTTCACCCTCCCTCCTGCCGCCGCCCCGAGCCTGACCCTTGTCTCGCCCACTTCTCCTCGTCAGGATCTCGACGTCGCTCTCAAGCGCGCCTGCGAGTCGCTCATTCGGTCGTCGTCGACGGCGCTCACGTCAACGCTGCGCTCGTTCCTCGACCAGTGTACGGCCTTCCTCTCGTCGCCGTCGCCGCTCGCCCGAGGTGGACTCGTCGAGCAAGAGTGGGCGTCGCCCGAGCGGGTCCTCGAGCTGCACTCGGCGTTCAGGGACGGGCTCGAGGAGCGGGCGACGAGCGTTGTGCGGCGCATGAGGGTGTTTCTCGTCGAGGAAAAGACGGTCGGCGTCTTGCTCCCGCCGCTCTGGGTGCGTCCTCCTTCTTTCCCTCCCTCTCTCTGATTCCCTCGTGCGACGCCTTGACTGAATCTCTTTGATGCGCATGCAGGAGGACCTCCTCGAGACGTACTCGACCTTCTACAACCGTGCGTCCTCGTCGTCGCCGTCCCTTCCTCGTCCCCCTCGTCGTTGCCATCGCCGCCGTGCGAGCGCCGGCGCGACGACTGCTCACAGCGGCCGAGTCACTGACTTCTCCCTCCTCATCGTCGCACAGTTGTCCGTTCCGAGTACGGGTTCGCGACGAGCTCGTCGTTGAGTGCGCCGGACGAGGTGCGAGCGGTGGTCGAGCGCGCCGGGCGCGGGGTGGCTTGAGGGCATCTATGGACGCGAGGGGTGCAATCGAGTGGATGCATCTGTTCACGCGGCTTGCAGTCCAGCTGGTCGAGAGGAACGCGCTCGGGAGAAGTGCGGGCCTCCGCCGCTGCGAGCAGGAGGTCGACGCCCGCCTCCGCTCGCCCTCACACCTCGCACCGCTCTCAAGCTCCTGCTAGCTGTATCGACGAGGCAGCACACCTGTCTGCGCCCTCGATCCGCGCTGTCGCCTGTCCTTTCGCCTCTCCTGTCCGCCACGCACCACCTCGTCCTCGTCGCGCCCACCTCGGCCGCCCACCAACTCTCGACCTCTCGGCGGCCCCAGTCCAGTGCGTTTCGCCACACTACGGTGCGTCTCTACTTCTTCTGCGACTCTCAACGTCCGGCGACGAGCAGCGGAACCGGCGTGGCTGTCACGGAGGGATTGGCGACGGGGGCAGGCCGGGCGCAAGGACGAGGCAGGGAGGGGACAGGACAGCGTGTGTCAGCGAGGGTGTGCGAGCAAGGAGCGCGTGCGAGCCGCTTCTCGGCGCAAGCCTGAGCCGGCTGGGTCCGCCCTCGGATCCTCATCAGCTTCGAGGACAACGAGCCTTCACAGGGCCGCTCCAGCGTCGAGGGTTCGGCCAGACGTGCACAGGGCCTCATCGAACCGCTTTACTGACCTTGAGCATCTCCCGCGCAGATCCTGGTACGCCGCCTTTCCGCCTCCCTCAACGTTCCTCCCCTCGCCCTTTCCTCGAACCGGCGCGCCCTCCCGCCAGCGAGCCCGCTCTGACCCACACTCGCACGCGACTCGGTCGGGAGAGCAGAGACGATGAGCGACACCGTCAAGAAGCGCAAGGCACCTGCCTGTGACCACTGCAAGGTGCGCCCGTCTCCCTTTTCTACAGCGGCCCCACAGGAGGCTCATCAGCTCTCCTCCCATCCCCCTCCTCGCCGTCATCAGGCCAAGCGTGTTCTGTGCCACCCGAGCGCGCAAGGGTGTCCGAGGTGCCTGGAGAAGGGCATCGAGTGCGTCTCGTTCCTCCTCCTCCGTCCCCTCTCTCTCAGCCGGACCTGGCTAATCCCCCTCGCCCTTCCACAGGTGCACTACCACGCCCGTCGTGCGCCGCAAACCGGCACGGAAGAAGAAGTACCCGGGCGAGTCGACCGAGTCGAGCGTCGAGCCCACCACGGCGGCATCCGGCTCCACCGCGTCCGCCATCCCCGACCCGCACACCGCGCCAGTACCTGTCGAGACGCAGGCCCCCCCGACCTTTGCCAGCTTCCCTCTCGCACCCGAGGCGCTCTCGACTTTCCCTCCTGAGGCGCCAGTCGTCGCCGTGCCGCCACCACCTTCCGCTCCGGCCTCACTCGCCGCCTACGGGCTCTCGACCCTGCCGCCTACCTCGTTCGCCGACTCGACCTCCTTGCCGTCACACTTTCTTCAACCGCCCGTCGAGCCCGTTCCCGTCGCGTCAACCAGCCAGGTCCCGTACACGTCGACCGCCGTCATCCTCAACTCGTCGTCAGCTCCCGCCGGCGGCCGCCACCTGGAGCACCCTCCTCCTCAGCTCGTGCGGCACCTGCTCGAGTGCTTCCGCAACACGTCGCTGTGGGACCACCCGATCGCGCGCTACGTCAACCTGCAAGAGCTCCTCGAGACGGCCGCGTTCGACCTCGCCCAGCTCGACGTCCAGGCGCACGTCTGCGTCTACGCGGTTCTGACGATCGGCGCCCTCGTGTCGTACGACCCGGCCATCATCGGCGATGGCCCGGGCGCCTCGTCGCTCAAGGCCATGGAGACGCTCGCCGGCGAGCTCGAGGACCTGCGCCAGTTCGGCCGCAGGAGGCGCACCGCGTTCGAGACGATGCGCAATCACGCGCTCAAGATGGCGAGAGAAGCCGACGTCCTCCTCGAGCCGTCGAAGCTCAACGCCATGTCGTGCGCCCTGCTGGACTACCTCACGGGCACGAGTCCGTCCCCTTTTCTCCCACCCTCTCGCCGACCCTACTGCGGCCTGTTTCCGCCCTCGCGCTTTCATTCACATCCGTCCTTCGTTTCTCGCAGGCGACGTCACGCCGCCGAGTCGGCCCTTCCTCGGTGGCTTCATGTCGCACTTGCGCATCCTGTACGACTCGGGCGAGCTCGGCGATGACGAGGGCCCGAGGACCGTGTGGGCGATGGGCCTCTCGCACGACATGTCGACTGAGGTGCGCTCCCACTCTCTCGTCGTCTCGAGAAGAGCCGGAACTGATGGCCTTCCCCCCCTCCCCGCGTGCCTTTCACAGATCGTCTCGGGCCGGCTCACCTCGTACGTCTTCTGCCCGCCCTGTCCTTCTCTCCTGTGCCCTGTCTGATCCTCGAGCGTGTCCTGCAGAACCCCGGCCGACCAGCTCGCGCTCGTCGGCGCGCTCGACATCGACCTGGAGGCGTTCGAGGAGCAGCTGCGGAGCTGGAGGCCCAAACCTAAGCTCGAGGATGTCATGCAAGCGTCTCTACGACCTCGTACGTCCCCCTCGTCTTGTCTTAGTCCGTCTGGGTCGTCTCCCTGATTCCCTGCCCTCGCAGTTGCCCTCGCCCACCTCTCGATTTGCCGAGAGCTCGCCGGCAACATCCTGTCCAGTGCGTCTCGCTCTCTTTGTCGCCCTCTCAAACTAGTCCTGACTCGTATGACCTCACCTGCACAGCCCACGCTCGTCGGCAGCCGCTCGACGAGGCGGCACTCGCCCTGTTCCTCAAGCGGCTCAACCGCTTCCGCACCATCTCGTCCCTCCTCGTCGAGCACCTCGACACGCTCATCGAGCTCGACGAGCGCCCCCTGTTCCCGCATGCGACGCCACGGCGCATCCGCCACACGTCGCAGATGGCGCTGCGCGCCATCCGTGGCTTTGCCGCCATGATCGGGCCCATCGTCGTCGTGCCCCTGTACCGCGAGCTTCGGCGTCGACTCGCCGAGGCGCAGGACGCAATGCGCGACACGCAGGGCGTCGAGCGCGAGGAGCGGCAAGGCCTGGTCGAGCGCCTCGAGCTCGTCGTGCGCCAGTTCTCGAAGGTCTTCATTCGCGCGCTGCGGGACATCATCGAGTCGATCGAGCGGTCGCCGTCCATCCTCCTCACGGCCACGTTGCGCAAGATTGGCGTCGTCGACTGGGGCTCGATCCTCCTGCAGGAGGTCGAGGGCGGCGCGATCGCGCTCGACGACGACATAGTCGACCTGTTCGAGAAGTGCGTTCGCCTTTCTCTCCTCGCCCTCTCCTCTCTTCTCTCGTCTCTAGCACCCTCCTGACTCTTGCGACCAACCCTGCAGGGTGTCGAACCTCGCAAAGATCTCGGGCTACACGTACTCGTCGAGCAACATCGACGCCCTCATCGAGCGCCTCGAGGCCCACGTCGCCGTCTACCGCTCGCCGACCTCGACCCAATTCGCCACGTCCACCTACCCTTTCGCGCCTCTCGCTCGCCATGCCTCCACCGCCGCCGCTGCTCGCCCATTCGACTTTGCCTTCCTGAGCGAGCTGTCCGGCTCCGCCGAGAACTCGCCCGACGCGACCCACCCTCTCGGCACGACGCCCGCGCCCGTGCACGGCCTGTCGAGCGCGACGACGGCGGCGGCGCCGGCGAGCGCCGACGTCCCGATGCCGTTCGACCTCGGCCTCGGCTTCGGCCCGAGCGCGCTCGACCCGAGCAGCGCGCCGTTCGGCGCCCAGGCGATGCCGGCCTTCTCGCCCGAGCAGCTTGCGCAGCTCCTCGGGGCCAACGTCGGCGGCGGCGAGGGCAAGGGCGACTTGGGCGCGGCGGCGGACGTCTTTGCGGGGTGGGCGGCGTGGTAGAGCTCGACGGCGGGGCGAGGTGGGCCGAGGACGCAGATTCGCAGGCAGCAGTGCAAGACGCCTCAGTACCCTCCACCCGCCTTTGCGACTGAGAAAGAGAGAGCACGTTGCGAGCAGCTGCCAGAAGAGAGAGCTCGCCGGAGAAGCTCTCGTCGAGAGGGACGAAAAGTCGAGCCAGGAAACGGCACTGCAGCTCGCCCTCGACCCGTCCTGCTCAGCTACGGACCCTTCTCCTTCCTCGACTCGACGCTCGCCCCTCATCGCCGCCGTCGGCCTGCGAGAACTCGTCCCACTGGGCCTGCGTCATCTCGTCCTCGACCTCCTCCTCGACCGCGACCGCGTCCCTTTCCCTGAACCTCCTGAACCGCCTGAACGTCTCGGGGTCGTACGCCCTGCGAGTCGGACCGCGGCGCGCACCAGCCGCGTCGAGGAGCACGATGCTGTCGTCGCGGATCTCGTCGAGCGTGCGGTCGGTGAGGAGGGAGCGCGTGCGGTCGAGCGTGGACGACTCGGTGTCGCGCAGGTGGATGGACGCGTCGGCCGAGCTGAAGGTGAAGAACCACTGTTGGGGCGAGAGGGCGAGTCAGGACGCGGCACGAAGGAGGGAGAGGGCGAGGTCGAGAGGTCCGTGCACGCACTTGAGCGGCCCTGATGAGCGCGTTGCCGGCTTCTCGAGACCTGCAGAGGAGAGTGAGAGCGTCAGGCTCGGATCACGCAGGCCTGCGAGTGGAACAGAGGAGGTCAAGGGGGACGCACCTCGAAATCTTGAAATCGTAAGGGTCGTGGACAAAGTGAAGCTTGAGGCCGCGCCAACGCTCGCCGTTCTGCGTCGAGGGAGACAGAGTGTCAGTTGGCTGTCGCCGGAAGCGCGAAAGGGAGGGCGACACGCACAAGCTCGACGACAAAGCCGCGCTTGCGGCCCGAGACGTCGTCGACCGGCAAACCAGGTGCGCCCGGCGCTGCAGGTGTCGCGAGACCCGCCGCCGCGTGATAGGCTGCGGCATGGAGACGATCAGGAGGCTGTCGGGGTGACTGCACGAGAGAGAGGGGGACGCACCGTTGCGGAAGCGAGTCTCTTGCAGCTCGTCCTCGTCCTCGGACAGCTGCGAGGTCGGCGTCTCCTCGGCGTAGATGGTCGAGGTCGAGGTCGGCGCCCGGCGCTTGATCGCCGCCTTGGTCTCGTGGATCTGCAAGGCAAGAGGGTCAGGGATCGGGGGCCGCGAGGAGGAGGAGGAGGAGGAAAAGGAGAAGGTCGTCGACGGACCGTGTACGTCCCAATGTCCCACACGCCGGTCGGCTTGTCGACGCTGTGCACGGTCGGACCCTCCCACAGGCTCCACGCGATCGAGTGGGGCTGGGTCTCGACGGCGAGGCGGCGGTGGCCGCGGTCCGGGTCGTGCAGGCCGCGCGGGATGGCCCACGAGACGGTGACGCCGTCGAGCTGGAGGCGCAGGTCGTGGTGCCAGCTCGTCGCACGGTGGTCCTGGACGATGAAGAAGTTGCGCTTGCGGAGCTGTGCGTGCGGGAGGGAAAGGTCATCAGAGAGTGTGGGCGAGGAGGTGGATCGGGGGATGGCGGGCCCGGGAGGAAGTGCGACGCACCGCCGGGTACTTGTCGAGCCAGTCGTCAATCTGCTGCTCGGTCGCCCAGGGCGTTGCAAAGTCGCGGGCGGCGAACGTGCGCTGGCGAGCCTTGAGGGCCGGGTCGGGTCCGTGAAAGTCGGTGCGGCCAGGCTGTCTGAGCGGCTCGTACTTGGCGCGCTTGGCGGGCGGTCCTTGCAGGTCGTCGTCGCGGTCTGGGGCAGGTGCTCGAGCTCGGGTTGGCGACGAGCGAGGAGGACGAGGCCGGCGAGGGAAGTGGGAGGCGCGGTACTCGGCGGGCGTCAAGGGGCGGGTCTTGTCGCGCAGCTTGAGGCGCAGGTCGCCCATGGTGCCATGGGCTGAGCGAGCCGAGTCGCGAGCCACAGACGAGCGAGGGAGAGAGAGCGAGAGCAAGAGATGAACCAACGCGGGGAACCCACGGCAGCGAGCCGCACGCAGCTCGTTCGGGTGAGCAGTCGGGCTAACTTGGCGGGAGAGGACATTACAAAGCTACTGGGCTTGCAGCAACACAGCTCTGAGCCCTGCGAGACGACTCGGAGGGGTGCGACGTCGCTCGCCCCGTCGGCTTCAAGTTCGTCGTCGTCCACCGACTGTCACCCACCCGCGCACGCCGACCAGTGCACCACCGACACCGCGCACCGAGTAGCCAGCACTCGGCCCCGTCCATTCACGCCCTCGTCGCCTGCGCCCTCGTCACGTCTCGTCCCCGCTTGTTGCACCACCTCGGCCCTCGTTCGGGTCCCGCTCGACCTCGCTCACGGCCATGTGCGTCCCTGTCGTCCTTCCCTCCTGCACCACATGCACCCACTGACCCACTTGCCCTCACCCCCCAGGCCGCCGTCTCAGCCTGTCGAGGTGCCCGCCCCGCCGCCTGCACCGCCTCCAACAGCCTCGTCCTCCTCGCCCCACCCGGCACCCCCGCCCATCTCGACAAAGCGCTCGTTCCTGTCAAAGCTCCCCGTCAAACAGCTCAAGCGCATCCCCGGACCTCGCACCATCGCTCGTCGCCGCCAGACCCTCTTCGACCCGCTCGTCAACGGCGACGACCCGCTCGGCACCCTCGTCGTCCGCGTCCTCGCAGGCCGCAACCTCGTCGCAAAGGACAAGAACGGCTTCAGCGACCCTTACGTCGTCATCCGCTACGGCCCCTCGAGGGTGCGCCAGCCTCTCGTTCCCTCCCTCCTCTCGAACCTCGTCGCTCACCCTTTCTCTCTCCCGCGCACGCCCACAGGTCACGAGCCCGACCGTCCGCAAGTCGCTCAACCCGGTGTGGGGCCCAGGCGGCGAGGCGGGCGACCTGACCGGCGTCGGCGACGAGGCCAAACTCGAGCTCAAGCTGCACGACTGCCTCGCCCTCGGCCAGGAGCGCGTCGAGGTCGTCTGCTGGGACCGTGACCGCGTCGGGTCCGAGTACCTCGGCGAGATCAGTCTCGGCTTGGACGACTGGTGGGGCAGGGACAGGAGCCAGTGGAGGGACGGGCAGCCGCCAGTCGGCTTTCACGACGCCGACAACCAGGTGCGCCCGCACCTCTCTCCCTCGGATCCTCCTCCCCGTGTTCTCTGACTAACTCTTCCATCCATCCTGCAGCCCATCTGGCACACGCTCCGCTCGTCGAGGTCCCGTTCGACCGTCTCGGGCGCGCTCCTCGTCCAGGTCGGCTTCGTCCCCGCCGAGCCCAACGGCGAGCGCCGTCTCTCGCCGCAGCAGCGCGAGCGCATCCTCGTCGCACTGCGCCGCGTCGCCGACGAGCAGGAGCACGCGAGGCGGGCGAGCAGGGAGGAGAGGGTGTTTCTTGCAGCGCCGGTCCGTCCTCGTCCTTTCTCTCTCTCTGTCACCCGTCCCGGCCAGACATTGACCCTCTACCCGCACAGACCGAGACGATCGGTACCAGCCCTGCAGACGACCTCGCACCGCTCGGCGACACGATCGCCGACCCCGACAGTGAGTCGTCCTCGTCCGACGACGACTCGGTCGCGACCGGCGACGAGAGCGAGTCCGAGGCGGGCGACGACGACGACGACGACGACGCGTCCACCTCTGCCGACGACGACGACCTCGCCGTCGCCCCGGCGCCCGAGCCGCCGAGGAGCTACTTCGACCTGCGCCCAACGGCGTCCTCGTCCATCACGACGCCGGCCGCGACGGTCCAGTCGCCCGTGCCCGACATCATCGTCCAGGACCATGCCGTCCCGGTCTCGACGCCTCCTCCGCAGGGCCGTCGCGGCCTGAGCCTGCCCGGCTTCGTCAAGCGCCGGTTCTCGACCCAGAGCGGGTCGGCGTCGCCGTCGCTCGTGTCGTCGCAGCCGCCGACGCCGTCGGGCGCAACGACCGCCGCCGAGTCGGACCTCGCCCTCACCGACCTCGAGAGCGGTGGCGGCGGCGCGTCGTCGTCGAGCACGCCCGACCCGACCCGCAAGCGCAGGTTCGCGCGCCGGCGCGGCAAAAAGTCGGGCGGGTCCGACACGCCCGGCGGCATCGCCGACGACATTGTCGAGATGAGCCTCGTCGCAGGCGGCGTCGGCATCTCGAGGGCGGGCACGCCGGCGCTCGACAACGACGAGGTGGGCGGCAAGCGTCGTCGTCGTCGTCGCCGGTCCAAGGGCGACAAGGTCTCGGGCAACAAGACGGACAAGAAGGTCAAGAAGCGCTCGGCCAAGTCGCGCAAGCGCGCCGCGGCGGGCTTCACGTACGACGACGACGAGGCCATCGCCGGGCTCGTCCAGGTCGAGATCACGGGCGCGCACGACCTGCCACGGCTCAAGAACGCGCTCCGCACGAGCTACGACATGGACCCGTTCTGCGTCATCTCGTTCGGGACCAAGATCTTCCGCACGCGCGTCATCCGCCACTCGCTCAACCCGGTGTGGAGCGAGCGCCTGTGGTTCCACGTCGGCGAGGCCGAGACGCACTGGACGATCGGCTTCACCGTCAGCGACTGGGACAAGATGTCGGGCAACGACCACGTCGGCGACGTCGCCGTCCCGCTCGAGCAGCTCCTCGGCACGAGCATCCAGCACGACGAGCGCGGCCTGTACCCGGCCGCCCAGGACGGCAAGCTCGTCGGCGACGACTTTCACGACCACGACCTCCCGCTCGTCATGGGCGACAAGGTCGAGCGCGAGGCCAACGGCGCAAAGCCGACACTCAAGATCCGCGCCAAGTACACGCCGTACGCGGCCTTGCGCCAGCAGTTCTGGAGGTGCGCTCAGGCCTCGTTTTCTCTTCCCTCTCTCGCGCGGCTCGAGCCCGCCTCGAGCCTCTCTTTCACTCGTCGATCTGTGTCCTGACTCTCGCCTCGCCCTGTCTCGCAGGGTGTACGCCGCCAACTACGACCTGAACGCCAACGGCACCCTGTCGCAGGTCGAGCTCTTCTCGATGCTCGACTCGCTCGGCTCGACCCTCACCAAGGACACGCTCGACTCGTTCTTCACGCGGCACGGCAAGACGGTCGACGACGAGCTCACGGTCGAGGAGGTCGTCATCTGCCTCGAGGAGGAGGTGCGCAAGCCCAAGGAGCAGCGCCACCACGTCGACGAGGGCGGCACCGACACGGGCTCGACCACGGGCATGAACACGCCGGCGGGTCCCGGTGCAGGGCCGAGCGCGGGCGACTTTGCCGACATGCAGCAGCTCGAGCCGGCCGAGTACGAGGGCGGGACCGACCTGTCGTCCGACATGAAGACGCTCGCGCCGTGCGTCCCTACCTCCTTCTCTCTCTCTCTCTCTCCTTCTCGTCGTGACACCGTCACTGACATCGTCCTGTACCTGCAGAGGGACCGACGTCCTCACTGACGCCGACAAGGGCACCATCGTGACGGCGCCGAGGCCGCACGGCATGGCCAAGGAGCCGTCGCGCACCAACTCGATCGAGCCTTCGTCCGACGACGGCACGAGCGGGAGCAACATCGAGCGCGGTACGTCCCTCTGCCTCCGTCACTGCCCTCGAGTCGTCCTGCGTCGGCGCACCGTCCTGAACCTCCTCTCGCGCCCGCGCAGTCATCAACATCAAGGAGTGCCCGCTGTGCCGCAAGCCGCGCCTCAACAAGAAGGGCGAGGTGAGCATCATCACGCACCTCGGCGTGTGCGCGTCGACCGACCCGACCAAGGTCAACCGGGTCCTCGTCACCAACTTTGTCACGGCGTCGCAGGCGCAGCGCAAGCTGCTCAACAAGGTGCGCCCCTCTCTTCCTCTCTCCCTCGGCGACAGGGCAGCTCTGACTCTCTCCCTCGTCATCACACAGGTCTTCTCCAAAGTGATGAAGGGCAAGTACAACCTCGGCGCCGACTCGGCCAACATCGTGCGCCCACCTCTCTCTCCCTCTCTGGCCCGCCGAGCATCTTCCTGACTCTCTGCCTCGTGCCCAGATCGTCCAGGACCGCCTCACGGGTGCTCTGCAGGAGGAGAAGATGGCCGTCTACGTCGTGCGTCCCCCTCTCGCCGTCGTCGAGCGAGAACAGGAGACTGACCGACTCGCCCTCGCCTGCAGCGGCTCGGCATCCGCCTCATGTACAAGGGCATGAGCGGCAACATGGAAGGAGCACGCAGTACGTCCTTGTCGTCCTCTCGACCAAGCGCGCCAGCCGTGACTGACCCTCTCCCTCGCGCACAGTCCGCCGTCTCCTCGACTCGCTCACCAAGAAGCAGGGCGCCAAGTACGACAGCCCGGCCTCGGCTCGCGAAATCGAGCCGTTCATCAAGTTCCACAACCTCAACATGGTCCGTCGGGCCGTCCTCTCTTTCCCACTCGCAGCCCGACCGACCTGACCCCTCGCGCCCCCTGCAGGACGAGGTCCTGGACCCTGTCTCGTCGTTCAAGACCTTCAACGAGTTCTTCTACGTGAGCCGCACCCCTGGCAGAGATCCTCTGTCGATCCGTCCCTGATGCTGTCGCCATCCTGCAGCGCAAGCTCAAGCCCGATGCACGACCCGTTGCCGACCCGGACGACCCGCGCACGGCCGTCTCTGCTGCAGACGTGAGTCCCCCTCTCTCTACATCGTCTCTACGACGGCGTGTCGCGACGCAGAGGGCCTGGCAACCTCTCTGCGTCGGCGGCTCGTCGGCGGTCCGAGCGCTCCTTCTTCGAGGCAGAGCTCACCCTCGCTGTCCGCCCGCAGTGCCGCGCCATGTTCTTCGACACAGTCAGCGACGCGACGTCGATCTGGATCAAGGGCCGCGAGTTTACCGTCGCCAAGATGCTCGGCGAGAAGTACGGCAAGAAGGCGGCCGAGTACGAGGGCGGCAGCCTCGCGATCTTCCGGCTCGCTCCGCAGGGTGCGTCCCGCCTTTTTCTCTGCCTCTATCAGCCTACGTCCGCTCATCGTCTCCTCCAATCCAGACTACCATCGCTTCCACTCGGTGAGCCTTGTCGCTCGTCCTCGTCGTTGGCCGAGTCGCCCACTCACCCATCTTCCTCCCGCCACAGCCCGTCGACGGCGTCATGGGCCATCAAGACTACCTCACCGGCCAGTACTACACCGGTTCGTTAAGCTGCCGTTCCTCGACGCGTCGTTCCTACACTCACTGACTCGTTCCTCGTCACCGTCCTCAGTCAACCCGATGGGTCCGTCCTCTCTTTCTCCCTCTCGCCGTGGCGGCGAACGACACTGACGCAGCAATCACCATCTGCAGCCATTCGGTCCAACGTCTCGGTGTACAGCGAGAACGTGCGCCTCGTCGCGAGCATCGACAGCCCCGTCTTTGGCGAGGTTATGAACGTGTGCGTCGACTTGTTGCCTTTCTCCTTCTTCCCCTCGCATGCCGTACTGATACCTCCTTCTCCCTGCAGTTGGGTCGGCGCCATGATGGTCGCCGGGATCACGATGCACAAGTTCGAGGGCGACGAGGTCAAGCGCGGCGACGACGTGCGTCCTCGCAGTTACCTCTCCTTCTCTCCTTTCGGGTTCTGACTTCCTCGTTCTCGTAGCTGGGTCGCTTCTCCTTTGGCGGCAGCACGACGGTCCTGCTTTTCAAGCCCAACACGGTCAAGTTCGACGCCGACTTGCTCGAGAACTCGAGAAACTCGGTGCGTCGCCAGCTTTTCCTCTTCCTCGTGCTCTGGTTCGCCTCGAGCTAGTCCCTGACTCGCGCTTTCTCCACCCAGATCGAGACCCTCGTTCGTGTCGGGATGCGCATCGGGCGCGCCGTCGACAAGTGAGCGTGCCGCCACGTCTTCCTCGCCTTCGTCACCTCGTCGCACCCGGCTGTCCGCATGCACAGACACTCTCGCTTCCCCTTTTTTGTATACCTCACACTGCGACTTTCGCTTGACTCTGCGCACTTGTCGAGAGAGAGCCGCAAGTTGAGAAGGTTGCGAGTGAGGCGAGCCGAGAATTGAGCGAGCGGGACGTCCTGCGTGCGCGCAGCTCCTCTTCTCGAGACGAGACGGTGACAGCTTGGCTCCGACGTACGCAGCAACGAAAAGGGAAGACGAGCGGCTCGGCCCTCGTCATGACCTTCCCAAGCTTGTTCGGCCGGTCCGATTTCTTTCAAGAGCGACTCTGCGACGACGGGAAGCGATGCAGGAGCCGTCAAGCTCACAAGGTGCTCTCGTGATCGTGCGACGGCATTGCAGTCCGCTCATACGCCGCGCCCGGCGCGCTCGACCACCGCTCGCACCTCGTCCGGCGCACTCAACGACGAGCTCGTCGCGAACCCGTACTCGGAACGGACAACTGTGCGACGATGAGGAGGGAGAAGTCAGTGACTCGGCCGCTGTGAGCAGTCGTCGCGCCGGCGCTCGCACGGCGGCGATGGCAACGACGAGGGGGACGAGGAAGGGACGGCGACGACGAGGACGCACGGTTGTAGAAGGTCGAGTACGTCTCGAGGAGGTCCTCCTGCATGCGCATCAAAGAGATTCAGTCAAGGCGTCGCACGAGGGAATCAGAGAGAGGGAGGGAAAGAAGGAGGACGCACCCAGAGCGGCGGGAGCAAGACGCCGACCGTCTTTTCCTCGACGAGAAACACCCTCATGCGCCGCACAACGCTCGTCGCCCGCTCCTCGAGCCCGTCCCTGAACGCCGAGTGCAGCTCGAGGACCCGCTCGGGCGACGCCCACTCTTGCTCGACGAGTCCACCTCGGGCGAGCGGCGACGGCGACGAGAGGAAGGCCGTACACTGGTCGAGGAACGAGCGCAGCGTTGACGTGAGCGCCGTCGACGACGACCGAATGAGCGACTCGCAGGCGCGCTTGAGAGCGACGTCGAGATCCTGACGAGGAGAAGTGGGCGAGACAAGGGTCAGGCTCGGGGCGGCGGCAGGAGGGAGGGTGAAAGAGAGGACGCACGAGCTTGGCGTCGGTCATCGTCTCGGCCCACGACGGCATGCTCCTTGATGCGAGCTCGACGAGTGCGCGAGGGTTGAACAGGTTGCCGCCGGTGAGAAGGCCGCCGAGAGCTTCTGCGAGAGGTGGGACCGGGGCGAGCGCCGTGAGTGGACCTTCCTCGCCCGCCCCGAGCTCGCGGACGGAAGGGAGAGAGAGAGAGACGCACCGGTGACGCTCGAAAAGTCGGCCGCACGCTCGATGTGGACGAGGTCGACGCTGCGCACCATCTCCTTGAGGAGGAGCAAGTGCCGCACGAGGAACAGCGTGCCGTCGGCCTCCTTGTCCTGCGCCGTCTGGCCCTCGGCGACAGGAGGCTGTGCGGCAATCTGGGCCGAGGCGTCGACGAGCGACTTGCGGCACAGGGCGACGGCCTCGCCGGCAAAGTCCTCGAAGATGGCGTCCTGCGAGGGAAGGTGGGGTCAGTCGCCGCTCGCGCCTCGACTCTGGGAGAGAGCGAGGACGCACGTTGACGTAGGCGTTGAGGCGAGACAGGACCCAGACGGTGCGCTTGAGGGTCGGGTACCACGTCGCCTGCGCCGCCTCGCTCGGGGCCCGGAACCGCTTGGCCCCGTCCTCGCCCGCACTCTGCCCGACTGCGACCGGCTCCTCCCACAGCGCCTTGAGCCCGGGCGAGCGCACGATGATGGCTGGGTAGTCGAGGTCGGCCGGCGACGGCGCAAAGTGGAGGACCTCGCTCTGGACGACGGCTTGCGCCCGAAAGACGAGGCGCGTCTGGGCGTCCTGGAGGATCGTCTGGAGGAGGACGGCAAAGCGCAAGTCGTTGCGCCCGCCCTCGTCGTCGTCGTCGGCGTCGGCTGCCGTCGAGGGCGACGCCGTGTCGAGCGCCATGAGCGCGTACAGGACGGCGCACAGCTCGCACAGGGCGTCGAGGCGCGGCTCGTGCAGGATGCGCGGCCGCAGCGAGTCATACAGGCTGTCGCACAACGACTCGAGGAACCGGCTGCAGGCGCCAGAGAGGGGGAGAGTCAGTCGTCGAGATGCGAGAGAAAGGCGGTCGGGAGAAAGAGTGTGTGTGGACGCACTAAGCCTCGTCCTCGCCGCCGCCGAAAAACTCGCGGAACAGGGTCCACTCTTGAGCGCACACGCCGCGCAGGTACGCGCACCCGGCCTTGGCGAGCTTGACGAGCTCGGCCGTGACCGGGTCCATGCGCCGCACCTCCTCGTTCAGGCGCGGGCCGAGGAGGGCACCTCGAGCGGCGAACCACACGGCGTAGCACTCGCTCAGGAGCGACCCGTACTCGTCCGGGTCGGTCAGGGCCCGCTTCTCGAGCTCGTACAGGAGGATGCGCAGGGTCGGCGCCGGCTGCGAGAACTTGGCGTACAGGAGCGCGTCGAACGCCGCGTCCGACAGGTCCTGCGGGTGCGCACGCCGAGTCAGTGTCATGTCGCGACGAGAGAGAGGCGAATGAGAGAGAGAGGCCGGGCGCACCTTGCCCTGCACCTTGTCCTGGACGTCGGCGGCGAGCTTGCGGACGGTCGAGACAAAGTACATCTTGATGAGCGTCATGGACCGCGTCAGGCACTGCTGGTACCGGATCAAGTAGATCTCGGCGTCACGAAAGTCGCGCTGCGGTCGGCGGCGGGAAAAGAGGGGTCAGGACACGGTCCGAGGGGAGGAAGGGCGACGAGGGACGCACGTTGAGCTTGAGGTAGTCGAGGCACGCGTCGAGGCGGTCGAGGAGGTTGAGAAAGTCGTCCTGGAGGACGAGCTCCTCGCCAGGGAGGTTGAGCATGCGCGTCGCCTTCTCGAGCTCGCGGAAGTACTCGAGGCGGGCGCCGATGGCCTCGGTCACCTCGAGGAGGTGGCGCTGCTCGTCGAGCATGTGCTCGCACGCGAGCTGCAGGCTGCGCGAGTTCTCGTCGACGAACCGGTAGTTGGCCTCCATCTCGCTCAACAGGCCGCGCGCCTCGTCGAGCGAGCCGAGGACCGAGTCGCACGTGGCGAGGTGCGCGACGAGCTCGCCGAGGTGCTCGACGTAGACCTGCTCCTGCTCGCGCTCGAGCGACGCCTCGACCGACGAGAACCAGTCGTGGAACTGCTGCGTCGTCGCGATGGCCTGCGCCGGCCGGAGCGGGTCCTGGTCGGCGGCTTGAAGGGCGGGCGTCTTGCCGCGGCGGTCGCGACCTCGGGCGGATCCAGGACGGGACGACGGGCTGTCGAGTGCGCCTGCGACCGTTCTCGACGGGCGAATGGGGCCAGCCGGCGTCGACGGGCGGTCGTTCGACTCGTCGGCGGCGGCTCGAAGCTGCGGGAGGAGGGGTCAGGGATCTCGCTCGTAGGGTCGCGCTCTTCGAGGAGGGGACAAGTGGACGCACGTGGACGGGTACGGGCTTGACTGCAGCGGCGTGCGAGATGCGTGACACGGATGCGAGCTCGTTGTGCGACAGAGGAGCGAGCAGGTCCCAGTCGTCGAGCGAGAACCGCGATGTGGATGCGCGTGGCTGGGTCATGCTGTGGCGTGGCTGGAGGACAGGCTAGAGGCACAGCTGGGCACTCTTTGTCTGGTAGCGGGTGAGGGAGACGACGAGCAAGCGAGAGGATGTGGGGAGAGGGTCGCTCTCTCTCTCCCTCGACCGCTACTGCCTGTGCTGCAGTGCTCTGCAGGATGGCGAGCCTCGTACGGCAGTACCTGTGCTGCTGCTTGCCCGCTCCCAGTGTCGACGAGGTGCGTTCCCCTCCCCCTCCTCCCTCCTCTCATCTCTCCCTCGACTGACGCTCTCTGCTCCGAGCAGGACACCGAGCGCGCACCTCTGCTCAACCCGGACATCCTCCCAGAGTACGCCCCACTTCGCCGCATCCCCTCTGGACGCCAGCTGACCCCACCTTGAATCGCACCGCTCAGGGCTCCTCCTCGACCTCAAGGCCGCTCGACCGAGGAACAACAACGCGAGCGCGAGTCGCTCCAGCGCATCCTCGAACACGCCACCGAGTGCGTCGACCCGGTCCTCTCTCTCCCTCCCTCTCGTGCCTCTCTCCAAGCACGGCTGACCCTCCCCCTTCCACCTCGGCGCGCAGGCGCCTCATCAACGTCGAGTCGCTCGCCGCATTCCGCCCTTCTCGCCCCGAATCGACCCTGTCCGCCGCACCCTCGACCTCGTCCTCCCCCTCGGCCTCGCCCGCCCGCCGTCGCAAGAAGCGGCCCGCGTCGTCGTCGACTTGGCGCCCGCCGATGGACGACACGCCGCTCGCGCCCGTGCGCGTCGTCCACCTTGGGCGCAACTGGGAGGAGGTGCCCACAGCGGCGGGCAAGGTGGCGCAGCGAGGGTGGACGAGGCCGGCGAGCAGCCACTCGATGCGGACGCTGCCTCGAGGCGGCGGCGGTGGACCAGGTCGCGTCGCTCGGCAGAGGATGCGGCGAGACGCTGGTACGGACGAGGAGCTCGGTGAGAACGATGAGGACGAGGCCGAGCTCGAGGCGGGCGCGAGTGCAGACGGCGGCGGCGAGGGGGACTCGCAGTTTGGGACAGTCGCGAGCTACCGGACGGCGAGGAGCTCGGGCGGGACGGTGCGGCCGGGCGATGTGCGGGAACTGTGGGGCGCAGACGGCGAGCCCGAGAGCGAGGTCGACGAGGAGGTGCGCCCGCCTTTCTCTCTCCTCTCTCTTCGGCAGCAACCGGGCGCCGCACTGACCCGTCCTCTTCCACTCTCTCCCCCTTTTCTCTCGTCCTCGTCCTGCCTTCGACATTCGCTCGACGCCCTCGTTCACCTGTCCCTCGCCTCGCCAACCACAGCTCGCACGGGCCATCGCCGCCCTCGAGTCGTCCATCGACGACTGGTCGCTCCCGGGCGGCCTCGGCCCTTTCGTCGCCGAGCTTGGCGATGGCGACGAGGAAGATGAGCGGGTGCGGGCACGTTGAGGGAGCGCCATGCGGGATCCAGGGGCAGCGGCGAGAGGGAGCAGGACGGCGAGGGGGATCCACGAGGATACGAGGCCGTAGAGAAGGCAGACTTCGATCTAGAGACTCGTTGCGCATCCTCAAAGCTACTCAGTCCCTCTCAGACGTTTCGAGCTGCGCGTCCCAGCTCTGCTCGCGCCGTTCGCTCCCCGCCTCTTGCCGCCCGTCGTCACCTCGTCCTCGCTCGACCCTGCTGCGCCGTCGTCCTCGTCGTCCGGCTCGGGCTTTACCTTGCTCTTGCTCTTGGTGGAGCGAGCCGGCTTGGCTCTGGGAGCGGTCGCCGGCTTGCCCTCGACCTCCTCCTCCTTGGCCGCTCCCTCCTCCTCGTCCGCCGCCTTGCCCTTCCCCTTGCCCTTGCCCTTGGCTCCCACCTTTTCCTCCTCGCCCCCAGGCACCTTCTTCGCCCCGCCCTTGAGCCCCTTGACCCCCCTTGCGCCCTCCCACTCGTCCCACCCACCGCGCTCGCCGAGCAGTTTTGCCGCCTCGAAGAAGTCGTCGCCGACGGGCTGGACGCTGAGCCGGCCGCGGCGGATCAGGGCGCTGTCGGCTATGGCGCGGAGGTGGGCTGGGGTGAGGTAGGAGAGCGAGTCGGGGAGGGAGGGAGAAGGGGAGGAGGAGCTGGAGCTGGAGGGGGGCGCGAGCGAGGCGAGGGACTGGAGGAGGGCGAGGGGGACGAGGTGCGGGAGCTTGGCGACGAACTGAGAGTGACGACGAGGGGACGGGTGGAGGAGGGCGAGGTGGGCAGGACGATGAGCTACTCGCGGCGGAAAAGGGAAAGACGACGAGGAGCGAGCAGGCGCACCTCGACCTCGACCATGAACCATGTCGGAGCATCCTTTTTGCTCTTGGGGTCGTAGTACCTGCTCGGGGCGTTGAGAGTTGGTCAACTCTGTCGACGAGGCGAGTGAAGAGTGACGACGACGGCGACGCACGGGTGCTTCGGGTCCCAGGCGTTGAAGTCGGGGTAGCCCTCCTTGATGACGCGAGCGAGGCCGCTCACTCCAGGCACTTCTGCGAGGCGAGACGAGCGCGGAAGAGGCAAGGGGTCAGCTCATGCACCAAGGAGAGTGACAAGGAGGAAGAGGAGGGGGAACGCACTGCAGTTGGACGCGTAGAAGAGGCACTCGTGGCCGACCTTCATCTGCGACTTGAGGTACTTCTTGGCCTCGTGGTTGCGCACGCCCTCCCAGGTGGTCGTCTGCAGGAGGTGCAGCGGGTCAGCGCGCGAGCGAGGTGGGGAGGCGAGGGAGAGAGGAGTAGGGGCGCACCTTGTTGCGCTCGAGATCGTCGATCGAGAACTTGACGTCGACGCCCTTCTCGATGCGCGTCTCGGGCTCTGCCTGGGTGCGGCGGGATGGTCAGTACGCGAGTCGAGTGATGAAGGCGGGAAGTGGGGGGAGGGGAGAGACGGCGACAGCTCGTGGGAGGCTGCGCGGTGGCCAGGGCGTACCTTGATGAGCCAGTGAGTGAACTCGACCGCGTCGGGCATGCCAGGCGCAGTGTGTGCCCGCCGCTGAGAGGTGGTCGTCGCTCGACCTGAGGACGCGACGTCGAACGCTTCAGGCGTCGTCCCACAGCGCGAGCGCACACCTGCTGCCGCCCTACGTGCTCTCAAGGACTCGCTCTCGAACCCTGTCCATGTCGCACCTCGCCCTGTCGAGGCGCCGTCGTCGTCTCGCTCGTCGGTCGCTCGACTCTCCCTCTTGCTCCCTCTCGCTCTGTGACCGCGAGCTGAGGTCTGCGAGAGCGCGCATCGAGCCGGCGGATGCGCCAACAAACCTCGACCGTTCCGCTCGACCTCGGCGCAGAGTTCCCCAACCGCTCACACCGCGCCCGCTTGCACGCGCGATCCCTCGTCGTCGCAGCCCTGTCTCTGTTCCTGCTGCTCTCTCGAGGGAGGCAGAGATGCAGCTTGCGCCTGTTGCGCCCGCATTGCCCGGCCGACTCGACCAAGCGCCTGCACGACGGCTCGCTCGACCGAGTCTCGAGCTTCGCCTGGCCGCCCGCGACTCGTCCTCGAGTGCGTCGCTGCAGCTCGGGCACGTGACCTGCCGCTCAGCCGTCCCCGCGCACGAGGGGGCGAGAAAAAAGCGAGAGGGGCTGGTGGGCCGGCGGGAGAGGGAGGGCGGGCGCGAGGTCGCACGAACGAGAGCGACGGGCGAGCGAGTTCTGGCAGCAGCTGAGGTTAAGCGCACGCGCCAGGCTCGAGAGCGCCGGCTCGTCGTGCTGACGGGCGCACTGGCAGCGAGCGGTACGGCAGAGCCGTCGCATCGCGCCAAGTTGAGCGGGAGGGGAGGAGGGCGAGGCAAACAGAGTTCAGCTCTGTGTTGGCGGGCTCGTCGAGTCGCGGCTGGGTTGGTGCTAGTGGCTTGTGGGGCTGGATCGCGCGACAGGAGTGGCCCGGTGCGAGGTTGAAGAGGTTGAGGGAAAGAGAGATGAGAATGGGCGAGGTGATCCAGTCTCGAGGAGGACGCGTCGCGCGGTCGTGCAAGATGCTCGACAGTGCCGACTAGCCAGCACATTTACAGCCTGGCCGTGCAGCAGTACCCGGCAGAGAGTGTGGGCGGGAGTTGACGGCGAGGCGGTGCCGAGCTCGACGAGCCGCCCTCATCGCTCCCCTCTCCCTCTCGCCCACACCGCCAGACTGCCACAGCCATGAGCGCAGCACCACACTTGAAGCGCGACAAGGGCAAGGGCCGCGCGCCCAACCCGCCCGCAGAGCCCTCGCTCCTCTCGAACCACTCGTCGTCCCTCCCCGCCCAGGACAGCTCGTACGTCCCGCCAGCCCACCAGCTCAAGAAGTACCTCCACGGCACAAAGCAGCACATGCTCAACAAGCACAACAAGCCCCCGAAACGTCACACCTCGGCCGCCGACAAGAAACTCGGCCACCACCTCGCCCACCTCTCGTCGACCGCCCAAGCCGCCGCCACCCACGCCTTTGAGCACGACGACCTCCTCCTCCCCAACGACAATGCCGGCGCAATGCAGGCCGAGACCGACCTCGAGCGCACGTGGCGCGTCACCCAGCGCGACATCCTCGCCGACAGCGCGCTCGCCGCCCAAGGTGCCGCCCTCTCGCTCGACCTGCCCGAGTTCGGCCCGTACGCCCTCGACTACACGCGCAACGGCCGTCACCTCGCCCTCGCCGGCCGCCTCGGCCACGTCGCCACGTTCGACGCCCTCTCGTCGTCGCTCCACTCCGAGCTCCACCTGCGCGAGACGGTGCGCGACGTCAAGTGGCTCCACGACGAGTCGTTCTGCGCCGTCGCCCAAAAGAAGTACGTCTACATCTACGACAAGCAGGGGCTCGAGGTCCACCAGCTCCGCCAGCACATCGAGGTCAACCGCATGGAGTTCCTCCCCTTCCACTTCCTCCTCGCCACCATCGTGCGTCCCTCTCGCTCTTTCTCTCCACCACAGTAGAGTACCGCAATTGACACGGTACGCGACGCAGGGCAACCCGGGCTACCTCAAGTACCAGGACACGTCGACCGGCCAGCTCCTCGTCGAGCACCGCACCAAGCTCGGCGCCGTCGACACGATGGCCCAGAACCCGCACTCGGCCATGATCCACCTCGGACATAGCAACGGTCCGTCCTCGCTCACCCTCTCTCTCCTGCACGCCCGGTGCTGACCTCCCTCTCCCCCCTCGACAGGCACCGTCACGCTGTGGTCGCCCTCGGTCTCGCACGCCCAGGTCAAGCTCCTCGCCCACACGTCGCCCTTGACGTCCGTCTCGGTCGACCCGTCGACGCTCGGGCAGCGCATGGCGACGACGGCGCTCGACGGCAGCGTCAAGATCTGGGACACGCGCATGTGGCGACCTTTGAACGAGTACGGCCTCAAGAAGACGCCGAGAGCGACGGCGTGGAGTCAGAAGGGCATGCTCGCTGTCGGCTGGGGCAACCACGTCTCGGTGCGTCGACTCGTCCCCCTCTCGCCCTCTCTCCCCCTCGACCCCGACGAGCGCGCACTCACGCTCCTGCCCTCGCCCCGCAGGTGTTCAACGACCTCACTCGCCCTTCCGCATCCCCTCGAGCTCCTCCTCCGCCCTACCTCACCCACACGTTCCCCTCGACGCCCGTCTACCGCCTCGCGTTCCAGCCCTTTACCGACCAGCTCGGCGTCGGCCACGCCAAGGGCCTCGCGACGCTCGCCGTGCCCGGCGCCGGCGAGGCCAACCTCGACTCGCGCGCCGCCAACCCGTACGAGACCAAGCGCGGCCGGCGCGAGCGCGAGGTGCACGCCCTCCTCGACAAGATCCCGGCCGACCTCATCACGCTCGACCCGGACGCGCTCGGCCGCGTCGACAAGAAGGTCCTGCGCGCCGTCGACGACGAGAACCCGCACAAGCCGGGCTACAAGCCGACGCCGTTCGCCAAGCGCACGCGCGCCGAGCGACTCGCGCTCACGGGCGCGCACGCGGCCGACGAGGACGAGGACAGCGCGAGCGAGGACGACGACGATGTCGAGGGCGTGCGGCGGCAGGAGCGCGCGCAGCGCCGCATCGACAAGAGCGACGACAAGAAGCGCATGAGGGGCAAGTCGAGCGGCATCAAGAAGGCGCTGCGCAAGCGCAGGCGCAACGTCATCGACCCGCAGACGGTGCGTCCTCGTATTTCTCCCTCCCTCTCTCCTGAACCTCGAGCGCACGAGCGAGAGGTCACGTCGCTGACCCTCGTCGTCGTCACCTCTTCAGGTCGCGCTCAAGGAGAAGCTCGAGCGGCAGCGTACGGCGAGCCAAAAGGCCAAGGCGGCGAGGGCGGCGGCCGCGGCGGGAGCAGCAGGGACCAGTGGGGCACTCGATCGGTTTGGCGGCGGCAAGTAGCGGCCCGCGAGTCGAGGACGGCGTGCAAGTCTGGTGTTGCGCGCCACGCTCGACGAGAGCGGCGAGGCTTTCTGCTTCCCTCTCTCTCTCTCGCTCTCTCTCTCTCTCTCTCGCTCTCTCTCTCTCTCTCTCTTTCTCTCTCTCTCTCTCACTCTCTCTCTGGCCCTTCTGAGCTTCTCGCCGCTTCGAGGATGATCGCGACGAGGGCTTTTGCTCGCGCTCGAGCCTCTCTTCCGCCGCAGGTCGAGACGGCCGGTCCGAGCGATCGCTTCGACGGGCCCGGCCCGGACCGACGTCGAGGCGTCGAGGAGACGCAGACCGGAGGCGGACCGGCGACGGCGCACGCACCCGTCGAGCGGAAGGTCCACGGACCCGAACGTCGACGCCGGCTGTCGGGCGGCTGCACCTCTCTCGAGCACTTTCGCTTGGACTCTCGCCTCGACTGCTTCTCGCATCACGCGCACTCGCTCGACCGACATGAACACCTCGCCCGAATCGCAGCGGGCGGCTTCCGACGCCGTCTCGGTCGCCGCGCTCCTCGACCAGGTCTGCACCATCTACCGCGCGTTCAAGGTGCCCCAAGTCGAGGCCGAGCGCCAGAGCGCCGACGCCGTTGTTCACAAGCGCTTTTGCGATGCCGCCTCGCTCAACATGGGCATCACGAACGCGCAGAAGAAGTTCGAGCACAACTGGTCCAAGTTCTCGCCCGATCAGCGCCTGCTCGCCCTCGACCTCCTCCTCGAATACTACTGCCGCTCGAGGAAAGGCGACAACATCAAGGACGAGGTGAGTCTCCCCTCTACCGTCGTCGCCCGAGAGCGCAAGACACTGATCCTCGCCTCGTTTCACGCAGATCTTGTGGTCGAACGTCAGCGTCGCGATTGGTTTTGGCCCGCGCATCAACCCTATCAGGGCACGTGTGCGTCCCCCACGTTCACCTTTGCCTGGGCTACTGTCCGGAGAGGGAGCTGACTCGCCGCCCCGGCCGTTCCTGCAGCGCGACGCTGACAACATTCCTCTTTTCTTGGCGGCCGAGTCGGCGAAGCGAAGGCTCGCGAGCATCGAGACGTTCATGGACCTTCTCGACATCCTGTACTCGACGCCGCTCGACGACCGCGAGTTTTCGGCTTTCGCCCAGAGCCGCAAGGCCATCTCGGTGGCGAACCGGTACCTGGCGTCCGCTCGAAAGCTCGAGGATCGCCACGGCGGTCAGGAGGCCGTGAAAATCGCGCAACGCGGGCTCGAGGACCATATCGGCCAGCTTGCCGCCAGGCTCCGGCGGTCGGACGCCGTGCGCCAAGTGCACCTCGAGCGATTCGAGGCGGCCGAGCGGCTGCTGCACGAGCGCGCGACGGGGCAGGCGACGGGCGACAACCCGCATCGTGCCGCACTGGTCACCGGCTTCGAGCGCCTCGGCTCGGCGGGCCAGTCGGCGGCGGTGCAGTGCGCGCGCGAGTTCGTCTACGCGGCATGCGTCGAGCGGGCCGAGCACGGGCGTGCACTTGATCCACTTCCTTTCGTGCGTCCAGCATCTCTCGTCTTTCTCTCCAAGTACGAGCCTGACCTTCTCCGGTGCCGTCGCAGGTCGGCAAGCTCTTCAACGCGCTCGGTTCCTCGAAGCTCGGCTCGGCGTGGCGGTGCGGGCTCGTCAGCCACGACCTCGACATGATCGTCAACTTCTATGCCGCCCACTACGCGCCTACGTCGATCGTCGACGGGCTCGCCGACATCCTCGCCGACAAGAAGGCGGCATGGGCCACCAACCTGTTCCCGCACCTGCCCGTCGCGACGCAGGAGCAGGCCGTCCGGCACTGCGGCCAGCTTCGCCTCGACGCGCACGCACAATGGGAGCACCAAAGTACACTTCCCGACGGCGCTCGCATGGTCCGTCCTCTCTCTTTCGGCCCACTCGACGTCGCAATTTGGGTTCGAGTTCGTCACCGAGCCCGACGCCCCTTCTCCTCTACAGCAGGCCGAGTTCCTTGCCCTCCTCGCACCTTGGGTGCTTCGAGCACCCCCGCCTGAACAAGCTGTGCGTCCCTCCTCCCCTACGCCCCTCTTTCCGCCTCGTCGTCGTCGACTGACCCGATCGTCCTTCCCAGGTTGGCGTTCCCTCCCGTTCCCTCGGTCACGCCCATCGTCCTCCTGCTCATGGCCACTCGCATTCTGCGTCGGACGATGGACGAGCATCGAGCGCGTATTTCCCTCGAGCGAGATCGCAGCGTTGGTAGAACAGCGAGGGCGAACGAGCGTTTTTTGCAACCCATTTATCCAGTTCGACTCGACCCAATTCGTTCGAGCGAGAGAAATAGCGACTCTGATTGAGCAGAGAGCGGTAATCGAGCGGCAGAGGTTCTTCAAAGCAAGCCACGAGGGAGGACGCAGAGCGGCTCGGAGGCGGGCAAGAGACCGCGCCATCACGCGCATGCTTGGCCTCCACCGTCCGCCCAGAGTATCTTGCCGTCGATACGTAAGGCTCGCACAAAGCACGAGAGGCGCAGGAGCTGGGGGGAAGCAGCAGAGAGAGATTCAGAGCAGGGAGCTGATGAAGAATCTCGCCAGCCAATCGGCGACGGCCTCTGTCGACCTTCTCAAGTCGACGGTCACGGTGTCCGCTCCTCGCCCACGCTGTCGCTTCTCCTTCTTAAGCTCGGCGACTCTGCGGAGCTTCGGTGCTCGCATCAGGTGACCGAAGCCGCAGACAGGAGAGTGTGAGCGGACCGGAGCACGGGCACGGTCCGCGTCCTCGGAGAGTCCGCGGCAGTCGCTCTCTTGGCGCTCAAGCTGCTCACCTTGCTCCCTGTCCTCGACATTCGACAGATGCGCTCGCTCGGCATGAGATTGCAGCAGCACGGCGACGCTGACCAGCTGTTGACGAGAGGAAGCGAGAGGAGCCCTGGAGCATGTCCTCGTCGACGAGCGAGCCGACGCGAGGCACTTGCAGGACCTCGAGAGCCGAGAACACGATGCAGTTGCGGTTGCAGATGCTGTCCATCTCTCCCAATACCTCGTCCACCCCGCCTCGCCGCTCTACTCGACCCTCGCGACCCTCCTGCCCTCGGCCATCCCGACACCGCGCTCCCGCTCACTCGTGTTGCTGCGCTTCCTCCCGCCCTCGCTCGCCTCGCCACCGTGCGCTCCCTCGCGCAGTACCCGCAGCGCGTGCGCCGGGTCGAGCCAGGCGCGACCGCCCGAAGCGCCCGGGCGCAGCGGCGACGGCGGGATGGCCTGCGGCGGGTACGCCTCGGCCTCGGCGCGCCGTGGAGGTAGCCGCTCATGCTCGAGATCGTCATCCGCTGTCGGCGCACCGATCGCCGGGCTCTGATGCGCGCGCCCCGCGCCTTGCCCGCCGGCGAGCGCGACGTACCCGGCGCAGGCGGCGTTCGGGAACGGGATGTGCAGGGCCCGGATGCCGAGGTAGCCGCAAAAGGCGGAGAGGATGGCGTGCGCAGAGATGGCGTAGGCGGCGAGTGAAAGGAGGAGGAGGGCGTGCAGGTACCAGGCCTCGAGGCGAGGTCGAAGGAGGATCGGGCTGCGAGACGAGGAAAGGTCAGTTTTGCGGGCAAGGTAGCGTTCGCCAAAGGGAGGAGAGATAGAAATAGAAAGAGGAGAGAAGGAGGAGGGACGCGCAGGTGGAGAAGAGGAAGGTTGACGAGGACGGCCGGAAGTGCGAGAGGAAGCACGAGCGCCCACGAGTGCGGGAAGATGCCCTTGGTGAGCTGCGCCAGGATGACCTTGCTCGTCATTTGGCCGTACAGGAGCGCTGCAGGACAAAGAGAGTTTGTCAGGGAGAGACTCGGACAAGAAGGCGAAAGAGGGGAACGGGACGGACCGACGACGACGACGAGCTCTGCCGTTCGTCCTGACGAGCGGATCGCGCTCCCAGGGCTGAGCACCCAGAGGCCGGACAGCGCGCAGAACGACACGATGGGCAACAGCTGCCCGAACGCCTCGAGCGGCGGCGTCGCGTTGAGCCGACCGCTCGACGATTGCGACGGCCGAGTCGTGAGGGCCCGGCGCGACGGCGGCGACAGGAGGACGTAGACGTTGTACAGGCTGCTCGACAAGAAGATCTGGGTCAGGGACTGGCGCAAGAAAGGAAGGAAGGAGGGCGACGAGCTCACCAAGGCGGCAGATGCAGGGCGAGGAAGGCGAAGCTGAGGAAGATGACGATGATGCGGTTCATGCGCCAGGACGACGGCAAGAAGAAGACGGAACCGAGTGCGTCCTCGACAGGCAGCGACCACCAGCTCGAGCCTGTTGGAGTAGAACGCTCGTCAGGGAGAGGTTCGACGACGACGATCAAGATGCAGGGAGACCGACGGGCGCACCTTTGACGGCCGTCCAGCCCAAGATACCGACCGCGATGAGGATGCCCTCGACTGGCCTGCGGGCGTGTGCGCGAGGGTTAGTGCGCTCGCCGTGCGTGCGGATCGCGACAGTGCGAGTCACGCCGGCTCGCGACGCCGCCTTGCCCTTGAAGAGAAGAGGAAAGAGGACGCACCCGTTGACGTAGCCGAGATAGAGCGTGCCGGTTTGGTATTCTTCCCAAGTCGAGGCGAAGAACGAGAGGCAAGCGATGACGATGCAGAGGAGCGAGAGCGGCGATTTGCCCAGGCCAAGGGCCGACACCTGGATGAGGGCGCTCAGGGGTGCTGCAGGCGCAAGTGTCAGACTCAGGATCCCGAAAGGAGGACAGAGAGAGAGAGAGTCGTCGACGCACTGTTGAGCGCGTCACAGCCGTGGTCGAAGAGCTCGCCCATGGGCGACGAGGTGCCGGTTGCTCGCGCCTGCTTGCCGTCGATGACGTCCATCGTCTGCGTGCTTCTAGTATCAGTACCGGATCATCGAGAGGAGTGACGGGAGGCGAGAGGTGGGCGTACCTGGTAGAAGAAGAGTCCGGCCGCACAGCTCGCCCACAGCCACGCGCTCTCGCTGCCGTCGAGGGTCGGGCACACGAGCGCGACGCACGCAAAGTTGACGAGGACTGCCGCGAAACCGATGAGCGTGACGGCGTTGGGCGCGAGCCATGGCGGCATCAAGGTCGCGGCCCAGTTCCACCAGTGCCGCAGAACGAACCGCGACAGGAACGACTTGTCGATGGCCGAGTACTTGTACTCGCTGCGACGGGAGGGACGGGGAGGAGGTTTGTCAGGGTCCTTGGCGACGAGGGCAGGGACCAGGACGCACTCGAGACGTCGAAGATGGCCCATGTCGAGGTAGTGTCGCACGCTCGGCATGGCGACGGTGAGCGCTTGAACGACTCGATGAATCTGCGCGGGGGACTGGGGGAAAGGATGGGAGGAACAGGTCAGCTCGGGATGGGCACGGCGCGCAACTGAGGGAGTTGACGGGCGCACCGGCTTCAAGTTGATGAGGATCCGAGAGCTGCGAGGGGACGAGTCAGTACCACGCTCGAGGGAGACAGAGAGGGGCACCACGCACCAGTGCAGGCTTATGTAGGGACCTCGCAATACGGCACTGGCGCCTGGACGGCTGCTCGACGGGTGCGCCTCTGTTGAACGCGGAGCGGGGTCGGCGAGACGTCGGCGGCGAGACGACAGCTCCTGCGGGGCCGGGGAGTGCGTCGGGTGCACTGCTGGAGCGTGCTAGCGAGCTCTGCGCGTGCTGGCGGGAAGCACGGGCGGCAGGCGAGGCGGAACGACGAGACCCGAGGCCCTGCTCCGCTCGCTCGGACAAGTCGCTCTGGACGACGCCTCTCTCGATGCGGCAGCGCACAAGCTGCACCGGCCACGGCCGCAATCCTCAAGCTCGCTGTGAAGCAGCCCCACTCGCGACAAGGAGCGCTTGCGCGGGCGAGAGCAGGTCCGCGTCCTCTCGAAAGCTGTCGGGCTGAGGCTCGAGAGCACCGTCGCGAGATCATTACCGTCCCCGTGCTAGTGATTGTACGTCCTCGCGCGCAACGCTCCTGCCGCCGACCCTCGCGGCCCGCTCGCCCCGCAAGGGCGCAGACCCGCTGCGCCGCCGTCCCGCTCCCTCTCCTTCTCCTTCTCCTGCTCGGCCGCGCCGTGCCGCCGCACCTAGCCGTACGCGTGGTACGAGTACAGGCCCTCGGCGCGCGACCCGACGAGCCCGTCGCCGCGCATGACCTCGAGCTTGCGCGAGTGCCAGCCGACCTCGAACGACTGCAAGCGAGGGGGCGAGAGAAAGGGCGAGGGCGAGTTGTCAGGGCGGCTCGAAATGGGGGGCCACGTAGAAGAGAGAGAGAAACGCGAGAGACGCACCACTGCACCCTTCTGCTGGACGAGCTTGAGGAGCGCCTGGCGCTGAGGGTGGTCGGGCGCGAGGTGGACGAGGCTCCTCGGCCTCGAGCTCGGCGAGTGGGCCGGCGTCAACATGCTCGACGTGGCCGTGTCGACGTACCACCCGCGGCGGCCTTTGCCGGGGATGGGCTTCCAGTCGCCGGCGCCGCCCTGGACGAGCTCGAGGCTCTTCTCGTCGAGCTCGACGACGCGCAGGTTGGTCGCGCGCAGGGCGAGGAGGAGCTGCGCCTCGTCCGGGTTTGAGCTCGACGACTCGAGACTCGCGCACTGCGACAGGAGGACGGCGTGCAGCTCCATGATCGAGATGGTCGGCTGGCCGAGCGTGACGCGGCGCCGCGACGAGATGCCCTGCCCGACGAGCGACGGGCACGAGTGCGACAGGTCGAGGACCTCGACGCCCGGCGCCTTGTTGGCGAGGAAGCCGGCGACGGCCTGCATGCTGATGCCCCGGCAGTGCGCGAGGCCGAGCTCGAGGAGGTGCGGCTGCGCCGGCATGAGCTCGAGGAGGAGCTCGTCCGTCATGGGCGTGCTCGACAGGTCGAGCGTGCGCAGGCAGCCCGACCGGAACGCCGGCGACGCCGACACGACGAGGCGCAACTCGGGCCGCTCGAGCGGGTTCGGGTACGTGCCGTCGCCGAACAGGCTCAGGTCGGTCAACTCGCTCACGACCTCGCCCGAGCCCCACATCTCGTCGTCGTCGTCCGACAGGCCGGCGAGCGTCGTCAACGGCGGGCAGTCGCCGCAAAACAGGCCGAGGAGCGCCGGGCCCGTGATGAGGCGGCACCGGGCGAGCGACAGGGCCTTGAGGCGCATCGGCCGACCGCCGATGCCGTTCTGGCCGGCGAGGGCGAGGCCCTTGAGGAGCATGGGCGACGTCAAGGTCGACGCGAGGTCGAGGTGGGTGAGGTAGGGGAACGACAGGACGAAGGCCGTGAGGAGCTCCGAGGGGAGGAGGCTCGACGCGAGGCCGAGGCGGCGCAGGTGCGGGAAGAAGGTGCGGTTCAGGACGCGCTCCTCGACGCCCCAGCCCATGCGCATCGACCGCACCGACGGCGTGCGCGAGCCGTTGACAAAGTCGGCCATCTCGTCGTCCTCGTCCTCCTCGCCGACCGTGTCCATCGTGCCGCCCATGCCGGACGGGACCGACAGCGCCGGCGGGCCGAGCTTGTACGTCTTGGTAAACTCCTCGAGGGCGCCGACAAAGACGCGCGACACGCAGCCGCACAGGTCGAGCGCGCGCACGGGCTGCACGGCGAGCGAGCCCTCGAGGACCTGGACCGTGCGCTTGGGCGCGGGCTCGGGCGCCCACCCTCGACGACCGGTGACGCTCGCCGGGACCGACGACGAGCGCTCCGAGGCGCGCGACATCGACAGCTGGCGCGCGCGAGAGCGCCACGCGGCGGCGGCGGCGGCGGCAAACCCGCTCGCGCCGACGGCGTGCGACTGCTGCTGCTGGTCCTGCCCGTGCGCCGGGGCCGGCAGCGACGACGACCGACTGCTCGTGTACAGGTGCGGCGGCAGGAGCGGGCGACCGAGACGAGGTCGACCGCGCGAGCTGCTGTCGCCGCCGCCGATACCGCCGGCGACGGCCGCTCCCGCGTCGCCGACGAGGGCGGCCGAGAGCCCGTTCGAGCTCTGGCTCTGCGGGAACCGGACCCTGCCGCGACCGTACCGCTCACGGCCGCGCGGCTCGTCCTCGTCGACGCCCTCGCCCGGGCTCGGACCCTCGGCGGCCCGACCGTGGTCCTCGGCGCCGCTGGAGCCGTCGTCGGTCGAGCTGTAGCCGTCGAGGGCGTGCTCGAGGTTGGTCTGCGACGAGTTGGCCGTGCTGCTGCGCCCGTAGGTGAAGCGGGACCCGCTCGCGCGGCGCTGCATCCACTGCGCCGGGCGGCGGCCGACAGGTGTGCGCGCGCCCGAGCCCGTCACCTCGTCGTCCGTGTCGCCCGCCATCGTCTCGTCCTCCTCGGCGATCGAGGTCGAGGTCGAGACGGACGACGAGCGGCGGCGCCGGCCACCGTCGATCGTGCCGCGGTCCGACGACGGCGAGCGCGAGTGCGACGAGCCGAGGTGGCGGTAGTGGAACGGCTCGGCGGGCGATGGCGCGAGGTGCATCGCCGGCGTCGGGTCGAACGGCGAGCGCAGGCCGACGCCGAGGTCCGACTCGGACGACGAGTGGGCGAGCTCGGGGAAGGGAGGCTCGTCGGGTTCCTCGTACTCGGCGAGGTAGCCGCCGCGGAACAGGACCTCCTGGAGGACCTCGAACGTGATGGCGGAATCCATGTACTCGGACAGACCGACCTGGCAGAGCTGCGCACGCACGAGTCGATGTCAGACGACTGGGGCGCTCAGAAGGCGAGAGAGAGATAGAGAGAGGCGGACGCACCTGCCCAAGGTGCTTCTTCCTCTTGCTCCCGCCGCCGACCGGCGTGCCCGCGTCGCTCTCGGCCTCGCTCTCGCTCCACGGGCTGTCCTCCTCGTCCTCCTCGTCCTCTTCCTCGACCTCGCGCTTGGCGGGGAAGACGAGCTTCTGGCGCGGGTACCGCGTGCCGCCGAGGAGCGTGACGAGACGTGCGGGCGTGACGAAGCGCTCGTTCGAGCCTTGGCGGAGCGTGCGCTTCATGCCGGCGGTGCGGAACCGGGCGAACGAGATCGACCGCGTAAAGAGGAGGGGCGACTCGGACGGGTCGAGGGTCGGGAGGGTCGGGAACATGGACGGGCCGAGGCCGGCTGCAGACGACGTGGGAGGAGTCAGTGAGACGAACGGGGGAGAGAGAGAAAAGGAGAAAGTCGGGCGCACCGGTGAGCTCGACAGGTTCGCCCGACTTGGCGCCCTGCTGGACGACGGGCGACACGGCTGCGCCGGCCGCCGCCCAAGGCCCGCCGAGCTGGAGCTGGTCCTGCTTCTCGGCCATGGGCGTCATGACGTCGCTCGTGTCCATCGCGTTGTCGACGAGCGACAGCGGCGAGTAGGCCGGCGGCGTGTCGGCGCCGGCGAGACCAGGCGAGCCGAGGCCGATCAGGCCGAGGCTGCCCGTCGCGCGGTGGCTGGACGACGACGCCGACGGCTCGCGACCGCGGCTCTTGCTGCGCTCGCTGCTGCTGCCGCTGCCGCTGCCGCCGCCGAGGCTGGTCCACCGGCGCAGGTCGCTGCGGAGCGGGCGCGCGACGCGCTGGCCGCCCGAGTACTCCTCGATCGTGCGCAGGACCGACTCGAACGCGCGTGGCATGCCAAAGCTGACGCGGCGCCACAGGGCGCGGGTCGCCTCGGCCGACCACGTCTTGTTGACGAGGCACAGGGCGGCGAGCGTGTCCTTGGCCTGGACATCGAGCGGCGGGGCGAGGCGCGGCGGGTGCCACGGGTTGCCGGGGAGGAGGACGAGGTACGGGTCCGGGTTGGGGAAGTGCTGAGGGTACGGGAGCTCGGCGTAGTAGTAGTGGTGGATGATGAGGGCGATGATCTCGGGTGGGAAGTCGCCCGGGTGGCGGGTGTAGCTGCGCGCGCGCGTGGGTGTGTGTCAGTTGTCTGACTGAGAGAGTGCGAGAGGCGCCGAGTGTCGCAAGGCTCACCGTCCCGGTGGTGCGAGGTGCGAGAAGTGCGGCGCCGTGGGCGACGACGCCAAGCTCGAGTGGGCGTGCGAGTGTGCGCCCGGGTCGATCGAGAGCAGGTCGAGGTCCCTCAGCGGTACAGGGAGGTCGGTAGGCGGTCCAGTGGGCGTCACGGGGCCGTGAGGCGGGGCGTAGGCCATTCAACCTCGACGAGGAGCTCGGCGGGGGGAAGTCGAGGTGGGCGAGGGCGAGAACCGGTCGCGGGCGGTCGGCGGTGCGCTCGAGGGTCGATTTGTGAGGTGCTCGAGCTGATGCGCTGCTTGTCGGGCTCGTTGGAGAGCGAGACGAGGGCGAAGACGAGCAGCGAGAGCTCGACCGCGAGGAACAACCGAGTCGGCGAAAGCGGCCGCCTCGCTCTCCTCTTCGTCGGCGAGCTAACAGCGTCGGTCACGGGCGTGTGCGCGATAAGCTCGTAGCCGGCCCGGTCCACGTCGCGCATTTCTCAGAGGCGGTGCTCTCTCTCTCCCTTCGAGCCGTCGGAACCGCCCTCGCATCTCGGCCGTGCTCGCGAGGATAACCAAGAGCTCGATCGCCAGGTCGCAGAGTGTACGAAAGAGAGAGAGAGAGAGAGAGCCGTCAGACGCCCATCGACGCCGCGCCGTTGGCGGCGACCGCTCGGTCCGTCTCGACCGGCAGGGTCGTGAACCGCCCTCCCTCGGCGTCCTCGACGCCCACGCCGCCGCCCGCACTCGCGCTCGCTCGTCCCGTCGCGCCCGCACCCGCAGCAGCCGACGACAGCGACGCCTTGGGCTTGTGCGCGTCGTCGGTGAGCCAGAACTGGGCGAGCGTCGTGCCGAGCTTCATGTCCTGCGTGAGCGCGTTGAACGTCGCCTGGCTCAGGATCAGGTTGTGGCCCGTGCACTCGGGGCAGACGCCTTCGACTGCGGGCGAGGAAAGGCGAGAGAAGGTCAGGTCGGCGCGAAAGAGACGCCGGAATAGACGAGGAGAGAGAGAGGGTGCGGGACGCACTCGTTGCACGCGTGTAGGCGTCCTTCTCGAGCTGGTACAGCGTGATCCAGGTGCCGCACACGGACGTTGTGCCGCTCGTCGAACCGTACTGCGGGCGCATCGAGAGGGTCAGGGACACTCGAGGGGGGGAAGGGAGGGCTCGAGCGGTGGGACGCACGATTTCGGGGCTGACCTTGACGACGTAGTCGCCGTCGGTCGGCTCGGTGCCGCACTCGGTCACGGCTTCGGCTGCGTACAGGCGAGAGGGCTTCAGTATCGGTACACCTCACCCGCTGCGCGAGGCTCGCCGACTCTTCGACAGGCGCTCGCGAACAAGAGGAAACGGTGCAGGACGTACTCGCGTAGAACCACTGAATCTGCGCCGCGTAGGTCGTTCCCGGTTCGAGCGCGCTCGCCGTACTGCTCGGGCTCGACGTCAAGCTCGGCTTGGCCGAGGTGGCGGCGTGCGACAGGCTCGCGGCCGTGGCGGCCGAGGTCGGCGTTGGCGAGCTAACAACCGGCTCGACGGCGGATGATGCAGAAGTTGTCGCGGCGGCGCTAGTGCCGGCGAGTGCGCGCGTCGGCGACGAGGCGGCGGACGAGGTTGCGCTGCTCGACGAGGACGACGACGACGAAGACGAGCTGTCGCTGTCGCTCGAGTCGCGGTGCGACCACTGCGGGAACGCGAGAGTCAGTTTGAGAAGAACGAGAGAAGGAGAGAGCGCGAGAGACGCACCCAGTAGATGAGGCCGGCGACGAGAAGGACGACGACGATGGCGACGGCGCCTGCGACCCAGTAAAGCCTCTTGGTCTTGCGCCGTTGTGCGTCCTGCGCCTCCTGCTCGGCCTGCGCCGCCGCACTCGCCGCCCCACCACGCTGCTTCTTCTTCCTGCGCCGGTCGTCGCCCGAGTTGTTCGACAGGTCCGACCCGGCCGGATCTTGCGCGCCGCGGCCGCCGTCGGCGTAAGCTTTGCCGTCGGGATCGTCGTCCGAGGGAGGAGGCGACTCGGTGTCGGTGTGGACCTCGGTCGACTTGTACCCTTTGCCCTAACGGAGCGAGAGATGCGTCAGGTCTGTGCGGCAGGAGGACTTGAGGAAAGAGGGGGGACGCACTTGGGACCGCATCGTCCAGCGCTTCGTGCCCTTCTCGCTCCTCGGCTGCGTCGCCCGCCTGCTCGCCAACCCGCGCCCGCCAACCGCCCTCTCCTCGTCGCCGTCGTCGAAGCTCGAGCTCGAGTCGGCCGACTCGTCGTCATCGTCTCGCGCGAGTGGAGCGTCGCGGTACGCCTTGCGGGTGCGAGCCATTGTTGACGCTCGCGACGAGTGCGAGGCGAGATAGCGCGGCAGAGCAGGAGCGAAAGCGAGAGCGTGAGCCGGACCAGCCGGAGACCGAGGTGCGAGAGACGGACAGGAGGCGGGCGCGGAGAGTCCGCGGAGGGGGAACCGGAAGAGAGCTGAGCGCGCCCGGTACGGACAGGGGCAAGTCGAGCCCCGCACGCCCGAGTGGGCGCTGCCGGGAGCGGTGCGAGGAGGAGGAGATCCGAGAGGTGAGGTGGGAGGGCAGCGTGACCCACGGCCCACAGCGCAGCATGGAGAGGAGCAAGCCGATCTACAGGCCTCGCAGGAGTGCAAGGCGCTGACCTCCTCGCGAGCAGCGTGTGTCGAGCGAGAGCAGGAGGAGCACGGAGGAGAGCGAGCGCGACAAGGTCTTGCTCTCACCACCACAGCCTCTCGCTGAGGCTAGCCACGCCTGGGCAGACGCTCTGTCCCTCCAGCTACACCCAACACGACATCCCGCTCCCGCCAGCAGTCGCCGCCGGCCCCTCGCCTCCACCCCACCTCATCAACCCGGCTCCACTCGACACCCCTCTGACACCTCGACAACACCCCGTGCCGTCCTGCGACCTGTCTCCAGCGCCTCGAGTCGTGTGCTGGGAATCTGCGGCGGAGCGGTGTTGCGCTGGAGGGCGAGAGCGGCCGGTTCGGCGAGCGGCGGCGACGAGGTCGTCCAGGCGACCCGGGCGAGCACGGCGGCGGGCGAGACTGGTGGTGGGCACACAGAGAGGGCTAAGCCATGGCTCCCTGGAGCTGGTCGGAGCAGCAGTCTGCCCCTCCTCGTCCTGCTGCTCCTCGCCAATCTCGCGGTGTTGCTCTTTGGCCCGCTCGCCTTTGAGCGGCCAGCCGCATCGTTTCCTGCGCGCCGCTCGCTCCAAGCTCCTGCGCGAGTCCTCTCGTCGCCTTGCGCTTCCAGCTGCGCGCGAAATGCGAGACCTCGAGGAGCGCGCGCGGACCGGACAGCTCGGCGTGTGGCTGGTCCGCGGACAGTCCGCGCCGCCTGTCGGGTCCGCTTTTCCTCTCTTTGCTCGCTCTTCGTTCGCGCGACGATCTCGCTATGCCGCGTCGCTCTACTCGTGCCGCCAGCAGCGGCAGCGCGTCCGACCAGAGCCGTCTCGAACGCCAAGCTCCCTCGGCGTCCTCGCGTCCTGTCAAGGCCCAGGCGCTCGACGGCGACGCCGACAGCGACGACCACGAGGAGCCGAGATCTCGCAAGGGGTGGGACGTCGAGCAGGGCGGCGGTGGTGGGCGCAGGTGGGCCATGCAGAGCTTGCCTTCGACTCGGCGAGGCGGAGCAGGGCAGGACCCCGAACCGCTCGTTCGCGCGAGCAAGAAGGCGTCGAGCAGCCAGGTGCGTCTTGCCCTCTTTGTTCTCTCGTATTCGCCCTGCACCGAGACTGACCTTGTACCCGACGCGCAGGCTCAAGGTCGTTACGCCCCAGTCGCTCAAGGTGAAACCGCCTCGTCTCGCGGCGTCGGCGCCGGCACCACCGACTACTCGGACCTCGAGCACTCGCCGCCGTACAGCGACGACGGCGACGGCCCGCACCAGCACTCGCCCGACGAGTCGGACGCCGAGAAGAAGCCGTCCTCGAGCCGCAGCAAGCAGGCCAAGTCGAGCAAGCGCGCAACGGCTGCAGTCCCCGCCGACGGTGACGACGACGAGCCCAAGAGCGGCATGACCAAGAAGCGCTGGCTGCTCGTCGGCGGCGGCGCTGTCCTCATCCTCATCATCGTGCGCCCCCTTTTCCCTTGCCGTTCCCTCTCGCCCGCACTGACCCCTCTTCTCGACAGATCGTCGCCGTCATCGCCATCTACATGGTGCGTCTCGAGTATTCTCTCGGCAACTACAGGTGCCCTGACCTGTCCCTCGTCTCTGCAGAACTCGAACAGCGCCACGTCATCCGCCGAGAGCGACTTGGCCGAGGACAGCCCGCCCTCGTCGATCAGCAAGTCGGCCGGCACGTCGACCTCGGGCGTGTCGGGTACCGCATCGTCGGCGAGCATGTCGGAGGGCAGTGTCGACGGCGCGAGTGCGTCGGGCGGGCCTGCGAGCGCTGTCAGCGCGAGCGAGGCGCTCTCTTCTCATCTTCAGGTGCGTCTCGCTCGAGCCCTACTCGTGAACGACGACCCGACACTCAGTCGTATCCTCGTACAGCTCGGACCCTCGTCAGCGGCAGCATCGGCATCGCCGCCGGGCGCAGCTAGTGTCGGCGGCCACGATCAGGAAACCTGGGCGACGGTGCGTCCCTTCTCATCCTCATCATCCTCGATTTTGGCGTGACGTCCTGACGATTCTCTCGCGCACAGGCTACGCCCTCGCGCGCCGAGTCGCCCGCCGGTGCGCGCTCAACCACGGCCGCGCCAGCTGCGACCGGCTCGGCCCCGCTCGGTCCCGCCGTCGGTGGCTCCCGCTCGCCCGACTCGACCGCCGTGTTCCTCGACCCGACCGTCTCGGTCGTACCTCGCCCTGCGCCTCGGCCGGCCGCATCGGCGTCGTCGCCTCTAGCGAGCGGCGTCGCCAACGTCGGATGGACCGGCTCGACCCAGACGACCTCGTCGGCCGAGCAGGGCGCTGTCGCCAAGATCTCAACGACGGCCACATGGTTCTCTGCCGGTACGTCAGCCTTCCTGTCCTTGTCTCGACGCCGAAGGGAGAGAGCCTGACTCGAGCCTGTTCGTCATCGTCGCAGACCAGCATCTCTCGGCGTGCCAGCAGACGTTCGCCGACGCCGACATGGTCGCTGCCGTCGCGCCTGACATTGTGAGTGATCTCGATGCCTCGAAAGCGATGCGCAAGCTCGGCAACGACAAGCACTGACCCTCTCTTCGCCCCTCGCTCCTTTCCCCTCGCCTTTTGCTCACGCAGTTCGGCTCGGATGGCTCGACCGTCTCGACTTTGTGCGGCGCCGAGCTCCACGTGTGGCAGCCCGACTCGAACGTCACCATCTCGGTCAAGATCGGCGACGTGTGTAACGCGTGCGTGCTCGCTCTCCTCCCTTGCCCCTTCTCTCTCCTTTTCAGACCCCGACGTCGTCACCTCTCTGTCCTTCCACGTTCCAGGATCGACTCACTGACTCTCGGCGTCTCCCGACAGATGCCCAACCCCGACCGCCCTCGACCTCTACCAGTCGGCCTTCCTCGCTCTCGCCCCGGGCGGTGCCGATGATGCCGCCGCAGCCCTCGACGCCGGCGTCCTCGCCGTCCAGTGGTGGTTCGCCGACACCAAGGTGCAGCAGACGCTCGATTTTGGGTTCGAGGAGTGGGCGGCGGCGGGTCGGCGAGAGTGAGGGCTCGAGCGGGGCAGCTGCAGGTTTGAGAAGGTCGAGCGTGGCGGAAGATGCCAGCGGTGCAACAAAGCTATGCTCTCTGCGCACTTTTAGTCGTTCGAGAGGGAACAGAGTCCGACGAGAGAGAGAGGAGCACCGATCGAGCGCGTTCGGGAAACGACTTGGACGAAGCGTCGCTGCGACCGCCGACCTGACGAGTCGAGCTTTCCCTGGCTCGTCGCACGTGGGTACTCACCTCTGGAGCTCGGACGAGGTCGTAGCTGAACGCAGAAGGGGCCGGGACGAGCGAGCGCTCGGGCCTCTCGCAGCTCTCGACGGCGAAAACAGCTGTCTCTCCTGGCCTCTCGCCCGCTGCTCTCGCTCGCTACCGGGTACTCTGCTCGCGACAGCCGCTCCACGATGAGAGACAGTACGCCTCAAGTGGGGCGAGCACGACGACACGAGTAGGAGACACTCGAGCGAGAGGCGAGAGGGGCGAAAAGACGACGATGACGACGAGGCTTCTGTTTCAGGACACAGAGAGGCGGCTAGGACCGACGCAGGCTACGGCACACAGAGAGAGAGAGGGAGACAGGCACACGAGGGGAGGAGAGATCGACGAGGGGGGAGGGAGGGAGAGTGGAAGGGAGGAGGGAGGTAGGGAGAGAAAGGCGAGGGAAGAGATGCGCCCGAGGACGACGACGAGGAAGGCAGGGAGGGAGGCTCGAGCGCGCTCGGGAGCTCACTCGACGAGGGTGGCGCCGGCGGCGGCGAGGACGAGGGTGCCGCGCTCCTTGCACTTCGTCTGGAAGACAATGCGGTTGCCCTCCTTCCACATCTCGGTGATGAGGGTCTCGCCCGGGTACAATACGCCGCTGAAGCGAGTCTTGATGTCGCGGTACGGGCCGTACTTGCGGAAGATGTGCTTGCCCGAGATGCCGAACGAGCACAGGCCGTGCAGGATGGGCGAGTCGAAGCCGCCGACCTTGGCAAAGTCCGGGTCCACGTGCAGGGGATTCGCATCCCCTGACAGGCGGTAGATGGCGGCCTGCTGCGGCAGCGTCTTCTCCTCGACGACGGCGTCAGGCTTGCGCGAGGGCGGCTTGTTGAGGGCCGTCGCCGCACCGCGGTCCTTGCCCGTCTTGCGGCCGCCGAACCCGCCGGCGCCGCGGATGAAGACGGTCGAGTGGTTCTCGAACACGACCTCGCCCGTCGACGCGTCTTTGGTCTGCGTGACGGTCGTGACAGCGGCCGCTTTGCCCTTGTCGAGGACCTCGGCGAGGCGCGACTCGCTCACGAGCGAGCCCGAGGTTGGGATCGGCTTCTTGATCTCGAGGTACTGCTCGCCGTGGAGGAGCATCATCGGCGAGAAGTTGGGGAGCCAGTCGACTGTGGGCGAGGGGCCAGAGTCAGCGAGGGAAAGAGGAGGAAGAGGACGAGAGGGAGAGGAGGACGCACGAGAAAGGCCCGACGAGACGGCGAACTGCGCGAACGAGGAGAGTCAGTGACGCTCGCCCGACGCAACCGAGTGAGAGGACGAGGACGCACCTGCGGAATGACGCCGAAAGTCGGAACGGGCTTGAAGCCGTCGTCGCCCTCGAAGACGAGGTCGAGGTCCTTCTCGGTGGCGCCGATGCCGAGGTTGTACAGGGCGATGTCGCGCTCGGTGTAGTCGTACGAGCCGCTCGAGTGGGCCGTCTTCTTGGCGTCGGCGACGAGCTCGCTGTCCTCGGGGTCGGTGTAGTCGGCGCCGTCGTTGTCGTCCGAGCCGTCGGCCTCGTTGGCAAAGTTGGACACGATGGCCTCGAGCGACTCGGCCGTCGAGTTGGGGTTGGTCGCCTTGTCGTCGAAGCGCGTGATCGTGTCCCACTTGGCGGCGACGTCCTCGACCTGGACCTTCTTGTTGACCGGGAACGCGTACCCATAGCTGCGCTGCCACCTCAGGCTCGCGCACCACCCGCCCGACACCTCGTACAGGCCCATCGTCGTGTCGCACGCCTCGCTGCCGAGGTAGCACACGACGGGCGCGACAAAGTCGGGCGCGAACGCCTTGACCATCTCCTCGGGCCAGATCGTCGCCGTCATGCTCGTGCCGGCGTTGGGGACGAGGACGTTGGCCTGGATGCCGTACTTCTTGCCCTCGATGGCGAGCGTGCGCGTGAGGCCGATGATGGCCGACTTGGCCGTCGAGTAGCTGCGGGCGGCGAGGCAGTGTCAGGGACGGGCTCGCTCGACGACGACGACCACGAAGGACGAGGAGAGAAGGGTGGCTCACTTGGCCTGGCCAAAGTTGCCGTGCACGCCGACCGAGGACGCGGTCGTGACGATGCGGCCGTAGCGCTGCTTCTGGAACAGGGGCCACGCGGCCTTGGCGACGGCGTAGGTGCCCTTGAGGTGGGTGGCGTACACGGCGTCCCACTCGGGCTCGGTCATGGCCGCGAACGACTTGTCGCGGAGGATGCCGGCGTTGCAGATGATGGCTGCGGGAGAGAGCGAGGCGTGAGTAACAGGGTGAGGTTGGGCGAGACGAGGCAGGGAGGGACGCACTGTGGAGGGCGCCGAACGCGTCGACCGACGCCTTGACGAGCTTCTCGCCCTCGAGGGTCGAGGCAACGACAGCAACCGCCTTGCCGCCAGCTGCGCATGGGAGAAAGAGCGTCAGGGAAGTGACGCTTGACGAGGGAGAGAGAGGGAGGGAGGACGCACCAGTCTTGATCTCGTCGACGACCTTGTTGGCGTTGTCGGCGCTCATGTCGTTGACGACGACGTTGGCGCCGCCCTTGGCGAACATGAGGGCGTACGCGCGACCGAGACCGGCGCCGGCGCCCGTGATGAGGACCGTCTTGTCGTCAAAGCGGACCTCGTCGCTCTGCTTGTTGGTCGACAGCTGCTTGGCCTTCTCGAGGTAGCCGAGGTAGTCGGCGTCGGTGATGTTCTCCGGGTGGTCGGCGTCGGTAAAGTCGTTGATCGTGTCCCACGCGGCCTTGACGGCGGCCGGCGTGAACGACTTGTCCGTCTTGAACACGTGGCCCTTGGTGCGCTCCCACCGGACGCGGCCGTACCAGCCCGCGCCGGCCTCGAACAGCTGGCCGTTGACCGTCGTCGACTCGTGCGACAGGTAGGCGACGAGCGGCACGATCATCTCGGGCGAGAGCTGGGCGAGCATCTCGGGCGGCATGACCGTCTCGGTCATCTGCGACGCGGCGACAGGGGCGATCGCGTTGGCGTGGATGCCGTACTGCGTAAGGAGAGACGAGCGTAGGTCAGTAAGGGAAGGCTCGACCAGAGGCGAGGTGAACGAGGGAAGAGGGGGCGCACCTTGGCGCCCTCGCGAGCAAGCGTCTTGGCGAACCCGACGAGGCCCATCTTGGCCGCCGAGTAGCTGCAGGGGGGAGTGCGAGGTCGTCAGTGACTGCTCGGGAAGAAGGACGAGCAGGATGAGCGAGAGGTGGATTCACTTGGCCTGGCCAAAGTTGCCGTAGATGCCCGCTGCCGACGCCGTGTTGACGATGCGGCCGAACTTCTGCTTGCGCATGATGGGCCACGCCGCCTTGGTGCACGCGTAGGCGCCCTTGACGTGGACCTCCTGGACAATGTCCCACTCCTTGTCGGTCATCGACTTGAACGACTTGTCGCGCAGGATGCCGGCGTTGTTGATGAGGATCTGCGGACGGACAGCGAGACTGTGAGCACGTGCGACGTTGGTCCAGATTCCTGTCCGACCCGAATCCGTGGCGTGTACGAGCGAGAGCGCGAGGTTGATCTCGAGCATTCTCGCCCGTCGCCTTCGCGCCGAGCCGAACAAAGGAAAGGCGCCGACTCACGTCGACGCGGCCCCACTTGTCGACGACCTGCTTGACGATCTTGTCGCCCTCGGTGGCCGAGTCGTAGTTGGCGATGGCGTCGCCCTTGCCGGCCGCCTTGACCTCGGCGACCACCTTGTCGGCGTTGTCGCGCGAGAGGTCGTTGACGAGGACCTTGGCGCCGCGCGAGGCAAAGAAGAGCGTGTCTGTGGGACCGAGTTGCGCCGATCAGCTTGGGTTTATGCGCGAGGCGGTGGAAGAGGGAGTGAAAGTGGGAGGAACGAGGACGAACAGGCACGACCGAGCCCTCCTCCGGCTCCCGTGACGATGACGACCTTGTCGGTGAATGCGAGTTCCTGTAGGCGAGTGCGGGCAGTCAGTACAGGCTTGTGCGAGGGAGCCAGGGCGAGGTTGCGCGTGAAGGTGGGGGAGGAGGACGAAGGGGTCGAGGGGCGCATCGCCGCCGAGTGTGTGTGCGCAGGCGCGACAGGGTGCGAATGCGAGTACGGGAACGCCGCTAGCAGCAGCACTGGACGAGCTGCCCTGCGTAGGGAGCGAGCCCCGCTGCCGCTCGGGATCCGACCTCGGCGACGACGTGGAGCGGGCGGCGATGACGGCGTGGAGGAGAGAGGAGGCTGGAGGAGGGACGAGGGACGGACCTGGCCCATGATGCTTGCGTAGGTGAAGCTGTGTGGGAGGAGAGCGAGGAGGGACGGCGAGGGGCCGGGTCCGGAGAGCTCGCTCGACCCGGCAACCTCGCTCCGAGCGTCTCTCCTTTTCTCGCGGCAAACGGCGAGGGCTACACGCACAATTGCACACACAGGACCGTCCCGTCTACTCAGTCGCTCCCACCGCCAACCCGTACCCCGAGCAGCCGGCTCACCTTGTCGGCGCTCCCTCCTCCCCGACTCAGCACCGGCCTCGCCCCCTCGTCCTCGTCCCTCCTGCCCCACACCGCCTCGCCCCGCTCCTCGCCGTCGAACCCGTCCTCGTCGTGGTACGTGCCCCTCGCCGCCGCGTGCTCGGCGACTCGCGCGCTCCCGTCCGTGCTGCTGCGCGTCGTGCCGTCGAGCAGCTCGCGCCGCGTGCCCCTCGGCCCGTGCGCCCCGCCGCCGTCGTCGAGCGACAGCGACGAGCGCGGGTGCAAGAGCGGCGCGCTGCTGAGCGGGTCGCCGCCCGCCGAGGTCGGGTCGGTCGCCGCGTCGGCGAGGTCCGAGGCGAAGGCGCGGCGCAGCAGGACAGGGATGAGGACGGCGACGACGACTGGTGACGAGGGAGATGAGGGTCAGGGCGAACTGGGTAGACAAGGAGGGAGGAAGTGGACGCACTGCCGCCGAGGCCGAGGCCGTTCTGCCAGCTGACGAGGTGAAAGTCGCTTGAGCTCGTCATCTGGTCGAGCGTCGTCCCGATCGTCGTGTGAATGTACGACACGCCGGCGATACCTGCGCGCAAGGTCGAGAGTCAGTCTTGTGCCCGTGAGAGGGAGAGCTTGCGGACGAGAGAGAGAGAGAGAGAGGGACGGACCGAGGAAGGTCGACAGCCAAAATTTCCAGACGCTGATCCCGAGGTGGGGTGCGACGACGTTGACCATCCAGTGCGGTGGGAGCGGCGCAATGCTGCGGCCACAAAGTGCGTGTCAGCTCCTCGACCCGGGTCACGCAGCGCGGCGGGCCAAGGCGACGAGAACCGGACCGTCGCGCAAGAGAGGACGAGAGGACCAAGCCGACGCACCGAAGAACGATCAAGTAGCTGACAAGGTTGCTGTCGTGCTTGGCGACGCGGTCGGTCCACGCTTCGACCCGCTCGCGCCACACCTCCGAGTTGCGCAGGACGGCCGGACCGAGCGCCGCGCTCATGAGGTAGCACAGGAGGGCGCCAGTCGCGACGCACTGAGGATGAGGGAGGTCGAGGCGAGGACGAGTCAGAGGCGGAAGAATAGAGGGTTAAGGGAGAAAAGGTCAGTCTCGAGTCGCTGGGGAGGGGAGAGAGTGGACGCACGAAGCAGACGAGCGGCAGCGCGATGAGGACGCCCCACAGGGCGCCACCGAGGATCGACAGGTACATGGAGCCGGGGACGGAGAAGGTCTGCAGGCTGTGACGCGGCGAGTTGCCGACGAAGTCGAGGAGGGAGAGAGAGAGTCAGTCGGCCGGACGAGCTGGGGGCAGGAAGGGAATCGCGAGAGGGGACGCACAAGAGGTAGACGACGACGTAAGAGGCCATGACGCGCCAGTAGTTGCGCTCGCTGTAGACCTACGCGAGGGACGAACAGGCAGGCGAAAGAGGTCAGGGCTCGTCACGCCGAGGTTCTCTGGCATCGGGGATATCGCGGACGCACCTGCAGCACCTCGTTCAAGCTCTTGAGGTCGTCGAAGCTCTTGGGGAGCTTGACCTTGTCCTGGTGCTCTGGGTCGATCGGCGGCAGCAGGCCTTTGAGGACGAGCCACAGGCCGAGGACGCTCACGACGAGGAGCCCGCCGGCTTGCAGGCCCGCGTACAGCATTGGCCGCCGCTCGCGGAGGGGCGCGCCGCCGAGGTGCAGCGCCGGGTCGAGCGACCGCAGCGACGTGAGGGACGACAGCGACGTCGAGCGGCGGCGCGAGTAGTCGGGCCGAGGGGTGAACGACACGCCGGCGCCGGCCGTGTCGTCGGTCGAGGTCGAGGTCGTCGCGTAGTCGTTCTCGAGGAGGGTGTGCGCCGCCGAGGGTGCTGGCGGGAGCTCGACGCCGCCGAACGTGGACGAGCGAAGGCGACCTCCGAGTGCGGGCGTGCCGGCGTACTCGTCGGTCGGGGTGCCGGCGTCGAGGTCGATGACGAACTGTGGCCCTGCCCTGCGCCCCCAGTGCCCTCGCCCACCGCCTGCTGCCGCTCCAGGCTCGTCGGCGTCGTCGTCGTCGGCGTGGTCGCGGTCATCGGGCGACCCCTCGCGCGAGTCGCGGCCGGGGGTGGGCCGGATCGTGCGCAGCGAGTGCTCGCTCGCGTAGCTCTTGGGCCCGTCGAACGGCTCGTGGACAAAGGGCGAGAAGCCGGGCTGGGTCGAGTCGGAGGTGGGGGCGCCGACGAGCTCGTCGGGGTTGGTCGCGAGGTGCTCGCGAGTCGACGAGGTAGTCGACGTCACGGTCGACGAGCGGCTGCGAGGCGGCATGGCTGCAGCTCGGGCGGTGTGGTCGAGCGAGGCGAGCTGGAGTGCAGTGGACGAGGTCGAGCGAGATGGAGCGTGACGTCTCGCAGTTTTCCGCGGCAGCGGTCGATACTGGAGCGTCCTTTGCTCGAGTGCCGAGCCTGGACTTACTTACAAGTGCGCTACGAGTTCGGTCGAGGAGAGCGACGCCCGCATTCGAGCCGAGAGTTGCGAACGAGTCGTTCGCAAGCCACAGATAGGAACGCCCGTCTAATCGACAATAGCAAAGTGTCGTTGACCGAGCACTTACCACTCTGGTAATCTCGAGCCCGCGAATCAGCATGCTCGCGGGGAGGCTCCGAAGCTGGCTCGGCCGGCCTACGAGCCACGCTTTTTCGCAAGTGCGTGCGGTTCTGGCGGCGTTTGGAGACGAGCTCTCGATCAAGCTTGCTCACGAGGGAAGCTCACACAAGCGAGCCGTCGATCTCTCGCATGCCGGAGCACAAAGGGGCGGCGACACGGCGACGAGGCAGCCAGCGTCGCCCGCGGTGCAGGAGCTCCCGAGTGCGCAGCTCGAGCTCGACTGCATGCGCACGACGGAGGGCAAGGGTCGGCGAGGAGGAGCTGAGTGACCTCTCCAAGTGCGACCCCGCCCGCATCTCGTGTTTGTCGCCAAACAAGCGACGCGTCGTTCTCGTCGGCGACAGCTCGAGGCGGTTGACCGAGGTGCGGGCGACGTGTCGGAGAGCTGCTAGAGTAGGTTCCCTGCCGCAGAGGTGCACCAGGGAGCGAGAGAGGAGAGAGAATGTGGGAGAACCGAGGTGCGTCGCTCGGTCGCTCGCGCCCTTTGCTGCGCCCCCCTTTCTCCCTCGCTCCTCTCCCTCGTTCGTCTCACTCGCCACCACCACCGAGTCGCCCCGTCGACCAGCACCCACCAGCACCCGGCTCTCACTCGCTCAGCCGTACCGCTTCCCACCCCCTCCCCTCTCCCCGCCCGTCCCCTCCCTCGTTCAGCCGGCACCCCCTCGTCCGTCGTCACTCGCCGCCACCCTCCACCATGCGCACCTCTCTCACCCTCGCCGCACTCGGCGCCTCGGCCGCCCTCGCCCCGACCGCCCTCGCCCTCTCGTACCAGACGGGCCACTTCAAGCGCAGCAACCACCCGGCCTTCGCCGAGCGTGCTCTCGCCGAGGCCGCCGCGGCTGCCCAGGTCGACAAGCGTGCCGAGCCCGCCGTCAACCAGAGCAGCGGCCTCGCCAAGCGCCAGCGCTTCGAGCGCAAGGTCCGCCGCGGCGAGTCGTCGTCGTCGTCGGCCAAGTCGGCCGTGTACGAGAGCACCGCCATCTGGTGGGCCACGACCGGTTGGGCTGCCACCTGCGGCGAGAACACGAGGTGCGCCCCGATCTTCCTCCTCTGCACGCGGCGACCGACGCGCACGGGGCACTGACACTCGGTCCCTCCTCGCGCAGCGACGACGCCATGATCCTCGGCCTGCCGCTCGCAGTCTACCCGGACATCTCGGCCGCCTCGCCCCTGTGCGGCACGCCCGTCACCGTCACGGCCAAGTCGACCGGCAAGCAGATCACGGCGAGCGTCATCGGCGCCTCGAACCGCGACGACTACACGACCTTCTCCAAGGCCGCCTACCTCGCCCTCGGCGGCGACCTCGACGTCGGCATGCTCGACATCGAGTTCTCGCTCGGCGACGAGACGGCCGCCGAGGTCGTCCAGTCGGCGTCGGCCTCCAAGGCCTCGGTCTCGTCGCACAACGTCGCCTCGTCGTCGGCGGCCCCGGCCCCGGTCGACTCGTCCTCGTCCTCGTCGTCGGCCTCGAGCTCGCCCGCCGCCGAGGCTGCCGACAACGTCGAGCAGGACAAGCCCTCGTCGTCGTCGGCGGCGTCGCCCGCCGCTCGCGTGCCCGCGAGCACCACCTCGGCCCAGCCGACCACGACCGCCGCGCCTAACACGAGCGCTCGCCCGACTACGACCCAGCCGGCCATGACGACCAGCGCGTGGGACTCGGACGGCTACTCGTCGTCGTCGAGCGCCGCCGCCGCTGCCGCCAAGAGCAAGGCCGACGCCGAGTGGGCCGCTTCCTGTGCGCCCCTCCCTCTTTCTCGTTCCCTATACCTCTCTCAAGCGTGCGACTGACAATCTCGACGATGCGCAGCTTCGTCCTCGGCCGAGGCGTACCAGATGTGGGCCTCGTCTTCGTCCGCCGCTGCTGGTCCGTCTACCCGCCTCCCTCGCGCCCTTTCTTGAGCCCCGACTGATGCTTCCTTGCCACGTTCGCAGCCTCCAAGGCCTCGGCTGACGCTGCGTGGGCTGCGTCCTCGTCGTCGAGCGCCGCCGCCGCCGCCTGTGCGTCCCTCCTCTCCCTTCCTCCTCCTCTTCCCTCCCTCTCCGTCTCGTCGTACAGCTCCCTGACGCTCGTACGTGTCACACACACAGCCTCGAAGGCCGCTGCCGACGCTGCCTGGGCCGCGTCGTCGTCGTCGTCCGCCGCCGCCGCCGCCAAGGAGACCTCGTCCTCCGACAGCGGCTCGTCCTCGGGCGGTTCGGGCAAGGTCTACTCGGGCGGAATCGCTACATTCTTTTACCAGCACGGCGTGGCGGGCGTGCGTCACGAGCTCCCTGGGTCTTTCTCGCCGTCCTCGGAGCCGGACTGACCCTTTTCGCCCGCAGAACTGCGGCAACGTCAACTCGGACTCGACCCTTCTCGTCGCGCTCCCGACCAACACCTATGCCGGCGGTTCTCACTGCGGACAATATGTGCAGATTACGCGCACGGCCACCGGCCAGTCGATCAAGGCCCTCGTCGCCGACTCGTGCCCGACTTGTGCGTCCTGTCTCTCTCTCGTTCGACCGTCTGCGGCGAGTACTGACACTGCGTGCGACGACAGGCAACAACGACTCGTGCCTCGACCTGAGCTGGGGCGCGTTCTCGGCACTTGGCGGCACCGAGAGCATGGGCGTCTTGTGCGTCCCCTCGTTCCCTTTCTCGTCCTCCTGCGCCCTCGCGCACCGTCACTGACTGTCACACTCGTCCCCCTTGCCCTCCCTACCTCTCGTACTTGCCGTGCTGGTCGTCGCCGTCGTCGCCCTTTCCTCCTCGCCGCCGTCCTCCCTCGCGCCCGACGCACACTTCCCGCCATACAGCGACATCACCTGGGTGCGTCTCTCGTCTCTCTACTTCTCTCCTGCGAGCCCTCACTGACCTCGTCTCGCCCTCGCAGCAATTCGTCTGAGCTTTCTCGGCGACCACCTTCCCTCCCCTCTTTCCGCCCTCTCGCCCTCATAGACACTCTCTTTCCCTACCTCGATACCCACTTTCACGACCTCCCGATTCGATCGTCGTTCCGCAACCGTTGTCTTCCCTCGCAAACCCCACGCCCGTCGTCGGCGCCTCGCGCTCGTTCGACCGCAACCGCCTCTTCTTCGTCCCGCCGCAGCAAGTCTGCGCGGCATCTTTCACACCCGGCCTGCCTTTCGTTACACCCTCTCCTTTCGCCGCTGTCGTAGATCGCCAGCCAGTGCCCTTCCTCCTCGTTGCATCGCGATCGCCTCGCACGAACGGCATCGTCCGAGAGCCTCGAGAGCTTCTCTCTTCCCTTGACACGGTTCGCCTCTGGCGGTCTCGCATCTCTTGCTTGCTCTCGGCACTGCGACGAGAACGTGGCGTGAGCTTGAACGAGAGCGAGACGCAGCGTCAAGGTCGGCGGCTCGTGCACGAGCTCGACCTTCTCAAGTCGACGCTGCCGGTTCTCGAGCGCTTTGGCAGCTTCACCTGCTCAAAGAGGGGCTCCCTCTCGATCGACGAGCTTGTCGCTCTCTTCGAGCTCAAGCTCGGCTTGCTGCACGCTGTGCCCGGGTGCGCCGACCTCGTCCGCTCGTCGGCGGCGCTTTTTCGTCAAGGCGCGCCTCGTTCTGCAGCTCCACATGCTTCTCTCGCATCTCTCGGGGCAGCAAAGAGACACCTCGCGCAGTCGAAACGAAAGTTGCAGCTCTCCCGCAGCTCTCCCTCGTGCCCGTCTCGACCCCACTCTCGCTACCAGCCAACGCGCCTCGACTGCGGGAAGTATCGGCTCACGGGCACGCTCGTCGTCGAGTCGAGCTCGCCCAGGTCGCCATGCGTCGAGGGCCGGTGACCGAGCGAGAGGACGGGAGGGTGTTCGGCCTGGTGCGCAACGAGAGCGGTCAGGCGGCGTGCGAGGTGTCGAAGGGGGGAAAAGGGAAAAGGCACGCACAGGCTGCACAGGGCGCGCGTGGGCCCAGCTGTCGGTACCAGGCGAGTCGAGCGGAAAGATCCTCGCGACCTGGGCGAGCTGCAAGGAGAAGAGGACGGAGCGTGAGCCAAAGGGCGGCTGTACGTCCTCGGCGCGAGGCAGAGGTGGCGAGAGACGCACGATCTGCCGGTCGGTGCGCTCGTGGACGTGGCGAAGGAGCGCCTTGACCGTGGCGGCGGCGTACCACTGCTGCGTGAGGGCGAGCTTCGGGAACTCGAGCGTCCACTCGGCGCCGCAGAACCTGTCGAGCACGCCCTTGAGCTCGACGACGGCCTCGGACGCGTCCCGCGACTCGTAGAAGCGGAGCAGCCACGTGAGGCAGGCGACACAAATCGCGTGGCCGATGTCGCCTGCGCGCAGCGTACCGAGGACCTCGTCGAGCTGCGAGACGGAGAGGCGGCGAGCGATTGTCAGGGGCGCGCACGAGCTCGTGTGGCAACGGCCCCGAGAGAGCCGCAGTGGAAGGGTTGGGGAGGGAGGGAGAGGGAGTCGGGGACGTACTTGATCGGCAGCGTCGAGCGCTTCTCCGTGCAGCGCACGGTCCTCGCAGGCCTCGAACAGGAGGTCGCGCAGTCGAGCGACGGCGGCAGCTTGCTGACCTGGGCCGAGGCGCGACATGTAGACCTCGATAGCGGCCTGCGCGACGCTGGCTGGCCCGAACACGAGCGAGGCGGGCTCGTGCAGGAGCGCCCACGCCGCCTTGACCGGCACGAGATGCCGAACGCGGGCAGCGTTGGCCTGCTCAACGCGCTCCTGGCCTTCTGCGATGAGCCTGTTGATGACTGCCTCGGCGGCGTCGAACGAAGCGCTCAGGTCGCGAGGATGGGCTCGCAAGTCGTAGAGCACCCTGCGCTCGGGGCCGAGCTTGTGGCGCAGGTCTCTGAACGCCTCGAACTCGCGCTCGTCGATGGGCGCGTCGTAGAGCACGACGAGGTGGTGCAAGAGCGTGTTGAAGCGCCGGACGGGGTCGATCTTGAGCGAGGTGAGCTGCGAGGGGAACGGCAAAAGGGGGTCAGTCAATCTCGCCAGAAAGGCGGGCTCGATGGCGCAGACGACGCACAGCATGTCGATGCGCAGGCGGTCAAAGCTGATCTGCGTGATAGGCGAGTCGGCGACGGCGAGAGAGAACGAGACAGAGAGGCGGGCTCAAGCAGACGTACAAACTTAAAGTTGCGCTGCGCGGCGGCCCTCGTGTCGCAGTAGTGCCCGAGGAGAAGTTCGAGCGCGCGCTGGCGCTTTTCGGGCGACAGGATGCCCCAGCATCGAGCGAAGGAGGCTGGTGCCCGGGCGATCGCCGTATTTTGCGTGTGCGCGGCCTTCTTGCGCTCGTACTCGTCGGGCGTGCACTGATCGCGACTGCGCTTGTCCGACGGGACCTTGAAGAAGCTGTACAGTTCCTTCAGCTGGCGGAAGAGCTCGTCGCTGGGCTCAGGCTCGGGCTGGCTGCTCATGACGGTCGGCGTGCGGCGGTGACGGAGCGATGACGAGGTGGGCGAGCGTCGAGTAGGACAGGACGGAGGGAAAGAGCAGAAGAGGACAGTCGGGAGCCGGGCGACGACGGGAAGAGAGGAGACGAGAGGACTTGGACGGACGTAAGTGCGGGTCCGAGAGCCGGCGGCGTCCTCGTCCGTGTCCTTTAGCCGCATTGAGACAAAAGCGAGAGCCCAGCAGGTCTGCTCGAGCGTTCGCTCGAGCCGCACGCGAGGCTGTGGCTCGGACGCTGCGCCGACGAGCCAACGCAGAGGAGGGAAGCCAGCAGGCCGCGCGAGGGCGGCGAGGACGAGCGGGTAGGCTTCCGGGGAGCTACAGCAGTGCGGGAGGAACCAGGCAGCACAGAGTGGCCCGGCTGAGCCGTGTGGGAGGAGAGCGAGTGCGCCCTCGCACGCTCGCGGCGGCGTTCGGTGGCTGTCGCTCCTCGCCCGCAAGGTGCAGCCGCAGAGGGTGCAGAGTGCGGCAAGCATGACCTTGTACGGTCTGCACAGCTGCCTGATTTTCTCGAGAGAGCTGTGAGCCGACGTCGTCGAGAGCGAGCCGGCCCGTCTCGACTCGTCGTCGTCCTCGTCCCGCTCGTCCACCAAGCACCATGTTCGCCCGTTCGTCGCTCGTTGCCGCCCGCGCTGCCGCCCGCCGCTCGCCCGCCCAGGCGCGCTCGTTCCACGTCGACAGTGCGTCCCCCTCGCTCCCTCTCATCCTCCTCCGCCGCCCTTGCGCCTCATCGCGCTCTCGCGAGCCCTCGGGCGCACTCGAGACCACCGCAGCTGACCTGAACACTGTCTCGCAACAGACGTCATCAACAACACGACGCCGTTCGGTGCGTCGCCGCCTCCCTCCCCGAGACTCGGCCGGCCACGACTCGGCTCTGACACGCCCACACGCCCGCGCAGACCAGACCAACGGCACCAAGCTCGCCATCTACATGGTCGCCTTCTTCGGCGGTGGCTTCAGCATCCCGTTCCTCGTGCGTCCCCCTCGTCGTCCTCCTCGCGCCGTTCGCAGCCGACTCGCTGACCTCTCCCTCTCCCCTCGCCGTTGCACACAGGCCTCGTGCGTCACTGTCTCGCCTCGTTGCGCCTGCCACAGAGCGGCGCCACGCCTCGCTTGGCACTGTCGCCCCCTCCCGCGACGAGCACGAGCTGACCTTGCCCTCGTCCCCTTACCTCCTTCCCTCGCGGCCTCGTCGTGCGCCTGCCCTTTTCGACTGCGTCACTCGCGGCAACAGGGCCTACCAGATGTGCGTCGAGGCCCTTTCTCTCGGCGTGGATACGAGTCGAGCGTGCGACTGACCTCGAGCCCCTTGTCCTCGTCTCGCCGCAGCCGCAAGGCGTCGGCATAAGCGCTCGCCGCTCGCCGTCTCAGTTCACGTGTCGCGGTTCGGAGGAGCGAGAGGGGGCGGGCAGGAGGCTGGGTGGGGTTGCATCGCCGTGGTTTCGCCTGGACGTTGTTCGAGAGCTCGAAGTGAGAGGGCGCGACTGGCTCGCATGCGATCTGCGAGTCGTGGCAGCGTGTGTGTGAGAGTGTAGCGAGCTGGCAGAAAGTGGTCCTGTCCGAGCCTGGCCTTGGTGCGAGTTGGCTCGTGTGGTGGTCGCCTTCGCCTCGTCGTCGCCGTCGGGCTGCCTCTCGCCCACCCACCGCACGCCGTTCAGCACGAGCGGCAGCCGGCTCGAGCTGTGCAAGACCGCCACAGCAGCTGCAACAGCGCGCATCGGCCCTCGTTGGCGTCCACGTCGCACCTCGCCCTCGTCCGCCCCCACCTCGCCCATCGTCCCCCTACTCGCCATGCCCCGCACGGGCCAAGGGCAGCACCAGGACGGCGAGCCCGAGCCTCAAGTCGAGGTGTCGCTCCAGCTCGCGACCCACCCGGTGCTCGCGACCCCGCTCGAGCGCACCCTCCGCCTGAGCCGCACCGCCACCATCCTCGACCTCAAGCACCGCATCCGCCACGAGTGGGACGGCACCCCGCTCGAGCAGGGCGTCACCGTCACCAAGGGGGCTCGCGTCCTGCGCGACCAAGAGTCCCTCGACGCCGCGTTCGAGGATGAACTCGCCGTGCGTCCACCTCCCTCCCTCCTCCTCTTGCCCTCGTTTCCTCTCGAGCCCTGACCTTTGCCCCGGGCGCACAGACGACCCCGACACCTCCTCTCGTCCTCAACGTCATCGTCCGCCCCTCGGCCTGGTCCACCCCGTTCACCTCGACCGCCGCCTCGACTCGCTCGGCCTCGCCCAACCTGTTCCACGACGCTCCCCTTCCTGCCCAGGCCACCCCGCAACGTGGAACCGCCGCCGACTCGCCGGCACCCTCGTCCGACGTCGCAGTCACCGGCTCACCCGCCAGGTCGGTCGAGTCGCCCTACACGCCCGGCTTTTTCGACACGGCCGCTGCCGCCTCGACCTCGGCGCCGGCCACGCCCTCGCCCTCGGGGCCCCTCCTCGTGTCGCCCACCCCGAGCGGCACGGGACCGCGCACCGCGTCGGCGACGACGAGCACGGGCGCCGCTGGGCCCTACGTCGCCTACCTGTCGCACCTCCAGCGCCTCGTCCCGCTCCAGCGCGCCCTCCTCCTCCTCAACCTCCAGAAGGCGCACGCCTACTACGCCAACGTCGTCGCGACCGGTGAGGGCGACGCGCTCGTCGAGGTCGAGGCGCTCCTGCTCGGCGTCGGCCTGTGGGACTCGGTCGAGGACAGGGTCAAGGCGGCCGAGAAGGAGGCGGCCGAGGCGGGCTCGCCAGCTCTCGAGGAAGAGTTCAGGGTCGTCCAGATTGGGTGCGTCCGCTCTCACTCTCTCTTTCTCTACACGAGCCGGCCGACCTGACGAACGTCGTTGCGCGCAGCGGCCTGCCGTACCTCCTCCACACCCCTCCGGCGCTCCTCGCCCGCGCACCCTCCCCTCCCTCACCCTCCCTCGTCCGCGCCCGCGCCATCCACGCCCACCTCACGACCATGCTTCAGCTCCTCGTCACGCTCGCGCCCGCCGCGCCCTCGATCGCCCACGGCCGCACCGTCACGGGCCGCCCGACCCAGGCCGCCGTCGCCGCCGCGCAGCAGGTCCTCGCCCGCGCCGGGGCCGCGCCGGCCGCATTCGGTCACGGTCCGCAAGGCGACCTTGTCGGCGCCCTCCAGCAGGGCCAGCAGCAGCGCCGCCGCGCGACCCTGAGCGTCATCATCAACCTCGAGGCCGTCTTTTCGCTCCTCGTCCCGCTCGTCCTCCTCAGCGCCAAGCTCGGGTTCTTCCTGTGGCTCTTTGGCCGCAACGCGTCGCCGGGCAAGCGCCTCGCGCTCGCCGTCATGGCGGCGCTCTGGGTCGCGTTCGAGGGCTGGGGCGTCCTGAGGCGCCGCCGGGCGCAGGGGAGGGACCGCGACCGCGCCGAGCGCGAGAGGCGCAGGGCCGCGCGCGCGCAGGGCAGGGCGCAGCAGGCTGCGGCCGTGGCCGCGGCGGGTGCGGGTCAAGGCGCGGCGGCGGCGGCGGCGGCGGCGGGCGCGCACGGACCGGCAGCAGGCGCCGACGTCGCCCGCCCGGGCGCAGCGCCCGCCGCCCGAGCAGCTCGTCGCCGGGTTCCAGCGTCGCGCCTGTCGCCCAAGTACTGGCTCAACACGCTCGCCGCCGTCGGCCTGGTCGCCGAGGCGCGCGAGCTCGGCCTCCAGCCGCGCTACATTGCCGGCCGGCCCGTCGCGCCGCCCTCGCCGCACCCTCCCGGTCCCGTCCGCCGCGCCCTGCGCAACATCTTCGTCGCCACCGTCCTGTTCGTCGCGACCCTGAGCCCCGAGGTCGAGCGCAAGCGCCGCCGCGCCCTCGACAAGCGCGAGCGCCTCCTCGCCGAGCGCCGGGCGCGCGACGGCCGCGACCGCGTCGCGCAGGCGCAGCAGCGGCTCCGGGTCCAGCAGGGCGCGCTCCACCGCGCGCCGAGCGGCGTCGAGGTCGCGCTCACGAGCGAGGACGACGACAGCCGGCAGCCGAGCCGGGCGGGCACGCCAGGACCCGGCGCGAGGGCGCACCCGCTCCGGCACGAGGTCGGGCCCTCGGCGGAGGCGGCGGTTGAGCGTGAGCGTGCAGGAGAGGGCGAGGGAGCGGGCGACGGCGAGACGAGCGCGGGCGAGCGCCTCGAGATGGACGCGGCCGGCCTGCGCAGGCGCCGCATGGCCGCCCTCGCGCAGCGCGAGCAGGCCGCCGGGCGTGCTCGCGTGCCCGATGCCGAGCTCTTCCGCGACGGCGGCAGCGAGGCGTACAGCTCGGCGAGGGCGGGCGCGCCGGGCTCGAGCACGAGTGCTGGGACGGCATCGAGCGCGCCGCGGCTCGGCGAAGAGGCGCGCACGACGACGCTGTCGCCGCCAGATGCTGTGGCGCCTCGAGTGCCTGCGCTCGTGCCCGTCGCTCCCGCTGCGGCGACAGCGCAGCCGCAGGACACAGTCGAGCGCGAGGTCGACCCGGAGGAGGACGACGTCGCCTCGGCGTCGGGCGACGGGGCGTCCACCTCAGGTGACGAGGCCGGTCCCGCAGCTGGCGAGCAGGGTGGGCGGATCCGGCCGGCAGGAGCAGAGGCAGACGAGGTGGACGAGGTGGTCGCGCTCTTTTGAGAAGGCGCCGTCAATTTTGCAATCCCTCTTTCTCTTTCAGCTCGTCGTCTCTCGATGGCTCGGCTCGAGGAGAGGGAGGCGACAGGCTTTTTTCGACACGCTTGCGCCGACGGGCCGGCAGCTAGCTCTACGCAAGTCCGAGCCGCCGCTCGAGATGGGCGCGCTCGACGGCGTCCTGCGCGGCCGCCGAGAGCGCTCGCAAACCGATCATCTGCGAGGGACCCCTGTGCGTCAGTCGCGACATGATCGATAGGGAGAGAGAGAGATAGGGGCGGGACGCACGTCGGGCGAGCCGGCAAGCTCGCGCAGCAAGGTGGCGAGCCCAGGTCGCTCACACTGCGAGATGTCCTGCACGCTCGATGTCAGGACTCGGTATTGTCGATGTCGTGGCTGAGAAGAGAAAGAGAGGACGCACAAGAAAGCTGCGCCGCTCGAACTTGGGCTTGAACGAGTTGTGCATCGGGACGACGTCCTGCGCACGGACCTGCTCGTCAGTACGAGCGCCGCTCGAGCGCCGAGAGACGAGAGGGACGCACGCAGTTGTCCTCGCTGCGCATCGAGCGTAGTGCGCAGAGCTTGGCGGCCTTGCACGACGGCGTGTCGCACTTGGTCGCGCTCGTCGGGTGACCTCGCAGCGTCCTGGTCAAGTACAGCTGGAAGGCGGACCTGCTCGGCGTGGTCGTCAGGTCGTGGTCGTGCGTCGTGCGACGAAAGAGAGATGGGAGGACGAGACGCACTCGTTGACCTCGAACGCCTCGGTGAGGCGGTGCCAGAAGCGCGCGTTGAGCGGCTCGCGCGCCGGGTGCGGCGGATCGAGGAAAGCGCCGTAGCTCTCGCGCGCCGAGTAGTATCTCGCCCACTCGGGGCCTGCTTGGTAGGTCGACGAGGAGCGATTGGCTGCGAGGGGTGCGAGCGTCGGTCGAGAACTCGATGTCGAAGAAAAGGTGAGGACGGACCGATGATGGGCACAAAGTCGACGACCTCGTACGTGTCAGGATCGACGTCGTACACTCGGAAGACGGGGTTGCCGGACGCAGGTGTGAGTGCCCCGCCGATGAACGAGATGGCGGTCGCCGTTGCCGGGGAGCGGTCCGAGTAGTCCGAGTAGCCGATCTCGAACTCGTCGCGGTGGCTGCGGGAGCGTCCTCGTCAGTGACTGAGTCGAGCGACGTCGTCGACGAGGAGTAGAGAGACGCACCTGTGCCCGTAGAAGTGTGCCGCGATCGTCCGGTGGTACCGCTGAAAGATCTGGCCGGCGTAGTTGCTCTGGTCGCGCAAGGTGTCGGTCTTGCCGAACGACATGTGCCCGACTGTAGGGACGGCGAGTCAGTCTGTGAGGCTCGGCGAAGGAGACAGAGGGGAAGAGAGACGCACTGATCCATGCGCGCTGTCCGGCCTGCTCGGCCTCGTCGAGTTCTCGAGCGAGCCACGTCAAGATGCCGTTCGGGTCCCACACAGGCGCGTCCGAGTCGTACAGCCAGACTGTCGACGAGAGGAGCCATCAATCGAGAGTGGGAAGAAGGAAGGGAGGCGAGGACGCACAGTTTTGCTTGTACCTGTGGCTCAACTTGGGAAGGTCAGTCTCGTCGACCTCGAGAGGGCTCGAGGGGAGAAACGAGGCGACGCACCACAGGTTCGTGTTGAGCGAGATGATCTTGAGGCTCGTGCCCGGATGGACCGTCGCGTAGCACCCGCTCATCGTCCTCACCTGCTCTGCCGCCGCTCGCCCGACCCACTTTTCCCAATCTCGCGCCGCGAGCTCGTAGACCCAGTCGACCGACGAGGCGTTGAGCGCCGTCGAACGCGGGAAGCCGTTGACGGGAGCGACGTCGTGGTTGCCGAACACCGGGTACGAGCGGGTCGGCAGCGAGGCGTGCCAGCTGTGCATCTCGCGCTCGATCTTGGGGCGGTACGACTCCCAGACGGCGTCGTCCATCGCGTCGCCCGTGAAGATCGTGAAAGAGCGATTTGGCGCAAACCTGCAGGTGCAAGGACCGTCAGAAGGGAACCGCGATGGACCTGAGGGCTGCCGAACGAGAAAACGTACTGCTCGACGGCCTGGAAGACGCTGTCGACGAGAGCTGGCGGCGAGTCACACTGTGAAGGGAGAGTGTCACTAATCGTCGAGGAGAAGGAGAGAAGGAGAAGCGCCGCACCTTGTCGGCGCCGTACTGCGGGTCAGAGTCGCTGTCAGTTCGCTCGTCGAAAGCTCGAGTCGAGTCGAGAGAGCGAGACGCACCGGTCCAGCTGGCTTGCGAGCGTGCGCACCGACTGACTGAGGCCCATAGTTGCGGCAGCAGATGACCTTGCGACAGTCTGCGTCGGCGCCGACCTGGGGAAAGAGAGCGAGGTCAGGGCCACGGTACAGTCCGAGAGGCGACGGGCGGCTGACGCACTGTGTACTCGCGATCGACGTGCGTGTCAGAGATGTGCACGACCTGGAACGGCTCGCGACCTTGCGACATCCACTCCTTGACGCGACGAGCGGCGACGGCCGTTTGTTCCGGCAGGATCTCGCTCGACGACGCGCTCGAGAGCGAGAACGGCGGGTCGGACAGGTTGACCTTGTGCGGCGTCGTGTCGGGAAGTGGGCATAGACCAAAGATGCTGGCGCAGAAGCTGTTGAGGGCGAGCGAGCTGGGCCCGACCGAGCGCAAGACGTGCGCGAGGATCGGCGCCTGCGTCCCGACGGCACCTGCGCACACGTCGGCGTCCTGGATCTGCGGGAGGACGTCGTGAGCGTTCGATTCGGGTCAAAAGAGCGTCGAGGCGCGAGAAACAGGGACGCACGCCGAGCGTGGAGCAAAAACCCGTGGCGAGGTCGACGAAGCCCTGGTCGCCCATCTCGGCGAACTGCTTCATGGGGCCGAGGAGCGCGAGGCAAGCTGCACACGAGCCCGTGTACTCCATGCTGTCGACAGCTCGCGGGTCGAACGACAGGTAGAACCCGACAGCGACGACGAGGACGACGCAGAACCAGCCGGCGCGCTCGAGCCGCTTAGACCGCGTGCGCAGGCCGCACCTCCTTGCCGAACCCGCTGCGTCTCGAGCGTCGACGCTGGCGACAGGTGACCAAGGACGCTGCCCGGACGAGTACGGCCGAGGCGAATCGGCGACGGCGGCGAGTGAGGAGGCGACGGGCAGCAACGCCTCGTGCGAGGTACCGTTCTCGTGTCGCTCGCGCGAGTGCTGGAACTGGCGGCGCAGGAAGGCGAGGGCCATGGCGGCGGCGGATGTGACGGTGAGGGAGGTCGAGCTTGAATGCGTTGACGAGGGCGGTGCTCGCAGCTTGTAGCTCGCGGCGACGGCACGAGGCAGTGGGCGCAGGGCACGAGGGGCTCGCTGCAGGACCGCACTGTAGCAGAAGCAGCCAGCGTAGCAGCGCGAGCATGGGGAGCGACAGGTGCGACGGCGAGCTCGAGACGGACCGGAGTCGGGCCGCGGCCGCGCGCGCGGCCCCGCACTGAGCGGCTCGAGCGCATCGAACGGACAGAGGCTACTTGTCTCGCGCTTTCTGCTCGACTTCTGGGTCCAGCTCACACTCTCTCACTCGAGACGAGCGATACACAGGGAGGACTCAAAGGCGTCGCACTTGCGAGATTGTCAATTCTGGCTCGAGGAAAGTGGGCGCCGAGGGGAAGGAGCTATGGACAGAGGGCTGCACTCTGTGCGAGCGACGGTAAGGGGGAACGAAAAGTAGAGAAGGCATGGGGGAGAGTGCTACACGCAACGTCGAGGGATTCGAGGGAGGGAGGGAGGTGCGACGGGCGACCTTCTCAAGTTCAGAGAAGGACGGCGAGGCCGCCGACGAGAGCGGCGAAGAGACCGGCAGCGCCCGCCATCTGCTTGCCCGAGACGGCGGCGTTCGTGGCGGCAGCAAGGCCAGCAGGCGAGGGCGAAGCGCTCGCCGGCGCCGACGACGCGACAGCAGAGCCGGCGGCCGAGGTCGCGCTCGCGACGGCCGACGATGCGCCCGACGCAGCCGAGTTCTCGAGGCCCGGGATCGTCACCGACGTGTTCTGCGGCGTCGTGTCGATGATGGCCGGGCCGGCGAGCGTGTACTTGTCCTCGAGCGACGGGCCGGTAGTGACGAGGACTGCGAGGCGAGGGTGAAGGAGAAGAACACGTCAGACTCGCTCAGGAAGGTTGACGGGTGCAGAGAACGTAAGGCGTACCGTAAGTCTGGCCGGTCGTGATGTTCTCGGTCGGGATCTTGCACGAGCCGTCCTCCCACAGGGTGAAGGCTGCCTCGAGGCCGCTGCGAGCGGGCGAAAGCGGTCGTCAGTGACGGCTCGGCTCGTCGCCTCGACGCGAGAGAGAGAGAGAGAGGGACGCACGTGGCAAAGCCGCAGTACACGGTAGTGCCGGCAGGAACGGCCGACGCGTCGGCCGGGACAAGCTCGAGCGTGCCGCCCAGAGTGAACTCGGTCGTCGTGACGTTGATGGCCGACTTGCCCTTGATCGTCGGCGCCGAGCCCTCGGGGCACGAGTCGAAGAACGCTGTCGACGAGGAGGACGAGGGTCAGAATGAAGGAGGCCTGAGCGCGAGGGAAGAAGGTCGAGTGGACGCACGCGTGACGATCGTCACGACGTTGGTGGCCGACAACGGCGTGTCGTATGGCTGCGGGAACGGCGTGTAGTTGTTGAGGAAGCGCACAAAGGCGTTGTGACGAGCCTCGACCGTGAGGATCGAGCCGGCGGCCGTAACGTAGTCCGGCTCGTGGATCGCGCCCGCCGCACCGAGGTAGGCCGACACGCCGACGCCCTCGACGACTGTGGACGAGGACGCAAGCTGTCAGTTCGAGGTAGGCGTGCGCCGAGAAGGGAGAGCTGACGCACCCTGCGAGAGCGAGAGGAAGTCCTTGACGGTCGTGAGCGGGAACGAATAGTTGCACGCCTGGACGGGCGTCGCGCCGGCGGCCTCGAGGGCGGCCTTGAGGAAGCCGACGTGCGACGTCTCGTCGCGCGAGACCTGCTCGAGGAGCGGGTACAGGCCAGTGTAGCCGGCGGCCTCGAAGTCGGCGGCCGTAAACTTCTCGAGCGCCATCTTGTACCACGTGTCCTCGAGGTGCTGCACACGCACGGACCCTGCATCAGTTGTCTGTCGACGAGAGAATGAGAGAGCGAGAGGACGCACCTCGAGCGTGAGGGCAAAGTTGAGGATGGTCGCGTCCGAGACGCCGGTCGTGAGCGAGTTGCGCTTGGCGAGGCTCGTCGAGCGCTTGTGGAGGCGCTCGATATACGACTTCTTCATGAGCTCGATGTCGGCAGGTACGGCGACGGCGCTGACGGCCGTGGCGAAGGCGGCAGCAGCCACGAGCGGGACTTTGACGAGCATGTCGGTGAACTTGGGAAGGTCGGCTCGAGGTGGGGGGAGGAGTGCGGGGGAAGGTGCGGACGAGAGAGAGAGAGTGAGAGCTGGTGCGCGACGACGACGACGAGGCTCAAGGGGCTGGCGCGATGGCCCTCTCGGGATCGGTCAGGCAACGGGCTGGGAAGTGGACCATGCAGCGAGCTACGTCGTTCGATGTGGCAGGCGGGAGAGGCCCAAGCAAAAGCTCCTTCCTGGCGATGGCCAGCTTCCCGCTGATCCTTTCTCGCGCCCGGGTGAATCGGCTTCCGCTATTGGGCGACGTCGAAGCCTGCGCAACGAGCCACGCGGTCAGATTGGATCTGGCGAGCGAACGTAGAGCCTCGGGTGCGCGTGGTGCCTGGGCCGACGCGCTGCTTGCAGCCTCGCACGGACCGCAGCTCGGCAACGGCGTCACCGCCAATGCTCGGCTGACCGCCGCGAAGCTTGACCGCGCGAGAAGGCGCGGTAAGAGGTCTCGGGCGACCGTCGTCGCATCGCAAGAGTCGGGCTCTCGCCGAGGGCACCTGCTGCCCAGCATCGCACCGAGCTGCAGCGAGGGCTGTCCGACGCTTCCGACGGCTCGACGACGATGAGACGTGACGAGGTTACTTGGTGCGCGATCGGCTTTGCAAACTGCTCGAACGCCCGAGGCGGGGAATCTACGGGCGAGGGGAAGAGAGCGAACTCGAGGGAATGCCACACTCGGGGGGTAACTATGTACAGCTGCCGCGCTCGACTGGGAGCTGCGATGAGAAACGAAGGCGAGAGAATGGGGATAAAGGTGACGCTGAGAGAGGAAGAGGGGAAAGCGAAAGAGGGGTGCGGGCGACCTTCTCAAATCTAGAGGAGGACGGCGAGGCCGCCGACGAGAGCGGCGAAGAGGCCGGCGGCGCCAGCCATCTGCTTGCCCGAGACGGCGGCGTTGGTGGCAGCAAGGCCAGCAGGCGCGGCCGAGGCGGCGGCGGCGCTGCCCGAGGCGGACGCGCTCGACATCGACATCGACATGCTCGCGGCGCCAGCCGGGGCCGGGATCGTGACCGACGAGTTCTTCGGGGTCGTGTCGATGATGGCCGGGCCGGCGAGGGTGTACTTGTCCTCGAGCGACGGGCCGGTGGTGACGACAACTGAGGGGAAGAAGAAGAAAGAGTCAGAGCCCGTCGAGCGGCGAGGTGCGAGGGAAACGAGTCGGACGCACCGTACGTCTGGCCGATCGTGATGTTCTCGGTCGGGATCTTGCAGGTGCCGTCGTTCCAGGCGGTGAAGGCAGCGTTCAGGCCCCTGCGAGAGAGAGAGAGAGAGAGAGAGATGCCGCGAGACGAGGTCAGGATCTCATCCGGCTCGGCTCGTCGCCTCGACGCGCGCGAGAGAGAGAGGGACCCACGAGGCAAAGCCGCAGTACACGGTGGTGCCGGCAGGGACGGCCGAGGCGTTGGCCGGGGTGACCTGGAGGTCACCGCCGAGGGTGAACTCGGTGGTCGTGACGTTGAGGCCCGACTTGCCCTTGATCGTCGGGGCCGAGCCCTCGGGGCACGACGTGAAGAAAGCTGCAGAGCGTCGACGACGTGTCAGTGCCAGGGCGCAGGACGCGGGAGACGAGGGAGAGAGAGAGTGCGACGGACGGGTGACAATCGTCACGACGTTGGTCGCCGACTGAGGCGTGTCGTACGCGGCCGGGAACGGCGTGTAGTTGTTGAGGAAGCGCACGAAGGCGTTGTGGCGAGCCTCGACCGTGAGGATCGAGCCGGCGGCCGTCACGTAGTCGGCCTCCGAGATGTCGCCAGCGGCGCCGAGGTAAGCCGACACACCGACGCCCTCGATGACTGCGTGCAGGCGCGAGCGAGGTCAGGTCGTCGTTCGCATGCTCGAGAGGACGAGAGAGAGGGAGAGACGACGACGTACCCTGGGTGAGGCCGAGGAAGCTCGTCACGTCGGTGTAGGGGAACGAGTACTTGCACGCCTCGACCGGGGTGACGCCGGCGGCCTTGAGCGCGGCGGTGAGGAAGCCGACGTGCGACGCCTCGTCGGCGGCGACCTGCTCGAGGAGCGGGTACAGGCCAGTGTAGCCGGCGGCCTCGAAGTCGGCGGCCGAGAACTTGGCGAGCGCCTCCGAGTAGTACGTGTTCTCGAGGTGCTGCACACGGGAAGGAGAGAGGCGGGTCAGCTCGTCGCTCTGAGAGAGAGAGTCGCAGTCGACAAGGGGACGGACCTCGAGGGTGAGGGCAAAGTTGAGGATGGTCGCGTCGTCGGCGCCGGTCGTGAGCGAGTTGCGCTTGACCATGCCGTTGCTGGCGCGGCGCTCGAGGCGCTGGATGATGTTCTTCTTCATGAGGGCGACGTCGTCCGTGGCGGGGACGGCGGCGGCAGTAGCGGCCGTCGCAAAGGCGGCAGCGGCGACGAGGGGGAGCTTGACGAGCATGGTGAACTTGGGAAGGTCGGGTGGAGAGAGGTGTGAGGGAAAGGTGAGGGAAGGGAAGAGAGAGCAGAAGAGCGCTCGAATCGAGGGGACACTCGGGACGGCGCAGTTCAGGCAACCTCGACGAGGGCACCACACCGCATCGCGCACAAACACGCATCGTTCGACGACGAACTGCCGAACGCGAAGGTGGGGGGCCGGCGGCGTGCCTGCCTCGCGGATCGGCCTGCTCCATTGGGCGACAGCCAATTCCCCGGTGCGATCTCGAGCCTGTTTAATGAAGTGCGGGGCGCTAGAAGGGGCGTAGGCCCTCCTCGGAGTCCTCTCCACGCTCACTTTAGCTCGGATTCCTCCGACCGTCGGACAGGCCGCCCAACTCTGCGCGTCAGAGCGGCCCTCGAACGACGCTCGACGAGGCAAGCCAGCAGGTCGAACGACCTCGTCGGGAAGCTGCCCGGCCTTGAAAGCGCTCGAGGTCCGGCGGCGGACCACGTCCCTCCTCGCACGGTCCCGCTCTCGCTCTCTCTCTCGACGACGACGACCGACAGAGGGGGGCACGAGTGCGATTGCCAGGGGAGACGTCACTGCTGTACAACAAAGGAGGGCCCGAATCTATACAGAGGCACCGAGGCCGAGAACGAAAGAGAGAGAGCGAGAGAGTCGGCGGCGGAAGAGCGGTCGGGAGTCGGGCCAGCTTGATGCAGCCTGCACGAAGCCCCGTCCAAGGGGCACACGACGCGTCGTCGAACCTCAAAACATGCCAAACAAACCTCGGCGCGAGTCGTGCTGCTGTCCTGGGCGCCGAGGGTTCTGCTGCTGCGCCTTGTCGCGCTGCAGCTTGACGAGGCTGTCGAGCTTGTCGGCGACCTGCACGGAGCAGAAGATCGTCAGGCTCGCCTCCTCTGGACGGTCGACAGACCCCGAAGGAGCATGCGGGGGTACGGGGACACGTGCGCGGAATTGAGAAGGCGCGACTGACCAACTCGAGCTTCTCCTTGCGGTCCTGCAGCGCGAGGTGTTGGGCGATGACAGGGTTCTCGCGAGCAAAGCGCAGCACCTCGGCGCGGTCGAGGTCGTGCGACAGTCGGTTGTCGAGGTCGCGAGGGAACTGTGTCGGTGCGCTCGAGGGTGAGCTTCTGCGGGTGGGCTAAAGGTGGGGAGAGGGCCAGCACGACGCACCTGGTAGAAGAACTCGACGAGAAGCTCGATCTGGACGAACAGGAGAAGGATCAGGTCATGCTCGGGCTGTCGAGAGGCGAGAGGACGAGGCCGACGCACGTTGATGAACTGGACCGCCGTGCTCGAGAGCTTGTCGGCGACGACGTTGAGGAACGCCTCGGGGCAGAACGCCTTCTGCTCGGGCCCGGCCTTGCACCGCCTCGACTTGAGGGCGAGTACTCGGAGCCGCAAGATGGACGAGCGCGACGAGAGGAACATGGCCTCGCGAGCTGCAGGTCGGTGACCACGACGACGGCGGCGACGACGTGGTCGAGGGACGTGTCAGTGCACGTCTCGAAAGAGGCAGAGTGACGGGCGAGTGAGAAAGAGAGAGTGCGAGGCGCACCTTTGGCCAAGAGCGCCGGGTTGAACGCGGGCCGTGTCGGGTCGGCGAGGTCCTCCTCGAGCTCGTCCCAGTCCTCCTGCCCCGCCGCCCTCGCCTCTCTCCTGCGCTCCTTCCTCCTGCGCTCCTTCTCCTCGATCTCGGCGACGTACTCCATCGCGCCCCGCAACTTCCTCCCGCCGACGGCGTCCCTGATCTTGGCGAGCGCCGAGTCGCACATGCCGAGCTCGCGCTCGAGGAGGCCGACGGCCTCGAGCCGGCCGTGCTCCCACTCGCGGCCCTCGACCTCGACCTCGTACTTGAACGGCTTGACGCTGTTCTCGACCTGATCGCTCGTGAGCGTGAACCGCTCGCGCAGGATGGCGTCGGCCGTCGCGGCGATGCGGTCGGCCGCGTCCGGGTGGTACAGGAGGGGCTCCTCGCGAGCGAGGGTCGCGAGGCGGGCGCGGATGGCGTCGACGACGAGCTGGGTGGCGGCCCGACCGACGCCCGACTTGGTGAGCGACGACGAGAGGGCGTCGAGCTTGCGGTGCCAGTAGACGTCGAGCTCCTCGGGCGACACGGAGCGGTCGTTGGCGAGGGTGCCGAGCTCGGGTGCGCGTTGGTCGATCCAGTACTGCGACGCGAGGAGGTCGAGGACCTGCTCGTCGAGCGACGACTTGAGGAGGCGGCGCACGTCCTTCTTGGCGAAGCTCTTGCCAAGGGCGCCGATGCGGGCCTTGAGGAGGTCGAGCGTCTCGGCGACGTACGACTCGGCGCTGATCGTGCGGTCGTTGTACTGGACCTTGAACTGGTACGTCGCCTCCTCGAGCTCGAGCGCGACGGCGTTTGAGATCGAGTGCAGCGACGACGCCATCGACTCCTCGAGGACGTGCATGAGCCGCTTCTTGAGCGTGTCGGTGCCGACCTGGAGGCCCTCGCGCGAGAAGGCCTCGCCGTTGCCGCCGAAGAAGGCCTCCTCCTGGGCCCGGATCGGCCCGACGAGGCTGCCCTCGTCGCTCGCGCCGTTGCTGCGCTTGAGGAGCGAGCGCGAGTGCTGCTTGGCCGCTCGGCAGACGACGCCGACGTAGCCGAGGGCGAGCGGGTACCGGTTGTTCGACAGGATGGCGGCACCCTGCGCGGGCTCGACGAGGTCCATCTTGGTGACGACGCCGATCGTGCGCATGCCGAGCGGGTCGACCTTTTTGGCGGCGCGCAGGGCGGGCGAGTTGGCGAGGTCGACGTCGGCCGAGCAGACGGCGAGGATGATGTTGGGGGAGCGGATGTACTTGTCGCACAGGGCGGCGATCTTGTCCTTGAGCTCCTCGGGCTGGTCCATGCTCGCGACCTGGACGTAGCCAGGCAGGTCGACGAGGCTGAGGTCGGGAACGTGCGGCGAGTGGATGCGGAGCTGGATGGGCGAGTCCGACACGCACTGCTCGGCGGGCACCGACAGGTTGAGGTCGACGAGCGTGTTCTGGACGAGCCCAAAGTCGGTAATGTGGCCCGGGCCGAGCGACGGGAACTCGGCGAACGTCGTCGGGCGAGGGTTGGACGGCGTGGCCGGGGTGTGGATGAGGGTGAGCTCGATCGGGCGCCGCGTGACCATGTTGTCGCCCCTGCGCCGGCCGGGAAGAGACACAGTCAGTATGGCTCTCGAGAGGGTAGAGAGGATGAAGAGAGACGCACTTGGGGAGGAACTCGCGACCGACGATCGCCTCGAGGACGCTGCTCTTGCCGCTGCTCTGGCTGCCGACGACGACAATCGAGGGCAGCGTGAGGCCGGCCTCCTCGCCGATGCTCAACAGGATCGAGCGGATCTCGATGAGCTTGCGCGTGAGGAGCATGAGGTCCTCGCTCGAGTCGGCGGCGGGCTCGTCGGCGTCGACGAGGACCGGGGCCGCGGCCGCCATGGCGGCGGCAAGGGTCGCCGCCGGGGTCGGGTCCGGCGAGGGCCCCTGGCCGCGACCGCTGCTCGAGGCCGAGGCCGAAGCCGCGTCGGCATCGTCGCGCTGCTCGGCGGCGTCGTCGCGCTCGAACGCCTGGCGGAACCGGTCGCGAAAGTTCGACAGGCGCGACTCGACGCCGACGGTGGCGCCAGCCCACAGGGTCGAGGCCGTCTCGGAGACCGAGTCGATCGTGTCGCCGCCCTGCTGGGTGAGCGAGTGGAAGGTCGAGGCGATCGAGGTCGAGGCGACGTTGTAGGCGGTGCCGAGCTTGTCGTTGATGTCGGACAGGGTGCCGACAGCGTTCTGCTTGAAGCCTGCGGGTGTCGTGTGGTACACGTGAGCTCGCTGGGCGTACTGGCAGGCGTGAGAGCGAGAGAGGGAGATGACGCACCGTCGACCTTGTACTCTGCCCAGGTGAGAGCGCCGGCGCCGACGCCGAGACCGAGTGCGCCGCGGCCGGCTGTGCGGCCTGCGAGCCTGCCGATGCCGCTGAGGATGGACACGCTGCGGACGTGGAGCGAGCGGGCGGGGAGGGCTGCGCTGGCGAGAGCCGACGGGTGGTGGTGGCGGAGGAGCGAGGGCGAGGGGCGGGTTCGACTCGCGAGGCGGAGGAGCGCAGCCATGGCCCGCGTGCGAGTGTGCGAGAGCCTAGCTGTGACCTCTCTCGGGCCTGGCGGGGGTGTGGGACAGATGTGAGCGGACGAACGCCGACGACGCGCGATGACAGCCTCTCGTCGCTACTGCTCTGCCAGCAACGCGCAAGCTGCCTAGCCGAGCACCCGCGCCTGCTCCTGTGCTGCACGGGCACCCGCTGCGCCGGCTGCCCACGACCTGGACGGTCCCCTCGTCCTCCCACCGCCCGCGTCCCGCTCTCATCTCCTTCGCCTCGTCGGCGCGCCCTCGTCCCGTCTGTGGGCCGAGAGATGCGCTGCGATTGCTCAGAGCGGCTGCGTCTCAAGCCTGGCCGCTTCGCTGGGTGCACCCGCCCCCGCCGACGGCTCTTCGCCTCGTCCTTCGCTTCTCCTCGCGACTCTGCCCGCCCGCTTGCGCTGCGGCAGCGTACTGCGCTCTTCCTGCTCTGGCAAACGCCCTCATTCGGCTCACAGGGCTGAGGTGGCTCTCGCGCCCCTGCCATTCTCGCCAAGCCAAGGGCACGCAGCCTCGCAGGCGCAGAGTCTCGTGCTCGTCGCTCCTCTCCTTTCCTGCTACGCCCTCTCGCTCGACTCTCCCGCTCGCTTCTGCTGCTCCTGCGGACATACAGTGCTGCCGCAGAACTGCGATGCAGCTTTGCTCCTGTCGGTCTCGCCCCGCTCCCTTTCGGCCGCGGCGCGAGCGGGTTGCGTGCGGCGAGTTCAGCTCCTCGCTCGCTCGCAGACCTTGACAGCCTGCGCACTTTCGGTCACAGCTCTGCAACATGTCAGAGCGGATCCAGCTGCTATTGCAAGAGTGTGCGCCCGCGAGCCAGTCTATCCACTGCCGCCGTCGCCCTCGTCTATTCGAGCGTCCGCCGCGTGAGGATCTTCTTGATCTCGGGCCGCTCGGCCAGGTAGGCCTCGAACGAAAGGAAGGTCGACTCGTCGCCGCCAGCAGGGGCGTCGCCGCCGTCGTCGTCCGAGTCACCTGCCGAGATGTCGCTCAAGTGACTCGCCTTGTCGAGGAGGAAGTTGGCGAACACGATGAGCGTTGCGTACCTGCAGAGAGACGACATCAGTCACGAACGAGAGGAGAAAGAGAAAGAGAGAGGAAGAGAGAGAGCACGCACCGGTACAGGTAGTTGAGCGCCTGGTCGAACAGCTTGGCGCGCTTCTTCGAGCCCTCCTCGGCGGCTTCGACCCGCAGGACGAAGCTGTGGATGGCGAGCCGCAAGTTCTGCACGGCCTCCATGTCGCTGCGAGGAGGCAATGCGGGACGAGGAAGGAGGAGTGCGGGAAAGGTCAGGTCCGGCAGGGCTCGAGGCCGAGGCGAGGGAGGGGCGAGGTTGAGGCGAACAGGGACGCACTCGATGGCCTTGTCCGCAAGCCTCTTGGCGAGCTTGCCGTGCTTGAGGACGCCGACGAGCTGCAGCACGAGCTTGTACTCGCCCTGAAGGAGCGGCTCGGCCTCGCGCCCGTCCCAGTGCAGGTTGTGGTCCTCGGGCGGCTCGACGTACGACGCCGCCATCTCGAACGCGGCGTGTCGATCGAACAGGATGCGGTAGACGAGGGCGCAGGCGACCCTGTGGACAGGGGGTCCGGGCAATAGAGTCAGTGCGCGGCCTTTTGGCGAGAAAGGAGGCCGGGGCAGGGTAGGCGCACATGCCGGTCGTCGTTCGTCCTCGTCCTGCGGACAGTGAGGCTTTGTCAGTATGCGGGACAAGAGAGATTGAAGGGGAGAGCGGACGCACCCATCTGACAGTTCCACGCTGCGGAAAAGTTCTCCTTGTCGCGCGCCGTCGTGAGCGCGCTCGACATGCGGCGCTCGATGCGGCTGAAGACGCCCGGGATCGGCGACTGCTCGTCGGTGACTGCGTGGGGAGGTTCCCGAGGGTCAGTGAGCTCGCCTGAGTCGGCGCGAGAAGAGGGAAAGGGGGAGAGCGAGCGGGCGAGAGACGCACCAGGTAGACGCTCGTAGTCGACCCTGAAGCCCTCGTTCTGCATGATCGTGTAGACCTCGCGAGGCGTGAGGATACTGGAAAGGCAGGAGAGTCAGGTCGAGGTACGGAAAGCGAGAGAGAAGGGCAACTAGGACGCACTCGGTCGGCTGAATCTCCTCCCACATGGCCGTCACCGTGAAGGAGCCGTTCTCCTCAATCTCGTCGTGCTGCAGGCGAGAAAGGTGTACGTTAGGCGGCTGTCGATCGTCGAGAGGACGCAGAAAGAGGAGAAAAGGACCGCGGGGACGCACCAGGAGCACCTTGCCGCCCGTCTTCTCGCGCTCGCGAAGCAGGTCCTTCTTGAGCTCGACCTCCATCGCCTCGACCGTGGCCGTCGTGACGCCGGTCGTGATGACGTTCTCGAGCGGGCGGTCGAACAGGCGCAGGACGTGCGGCCGGCCGGACACGAACAGGACCGGCTCCTCGCGCAGGCTCTGCCAGAGCACCTTGGTCTCCCTCGCGTTCATCTTCTCGAGCGCACGCCGCAAGCCGTCGACGGTCGGCATGCCCGAGCCGTACACGAGGGGCCCATGTCCTTGCGCGGTCGACAGGGACGAGGCGGCGCTCTGGGCGAGGTCGGTGGCGGCGGTGGTGCTGAGCGGGACTCGGCGGAAGTTGGGCGAGCCGTCGACTCGCTCGGGCAAGCTCATCTTCTGCAGGCCCGAGAAGAAGTCGCTCTTGAGGAGCGAGTACGCCGACAGGATCCGGCCGTCGCGGTGGGCGACAAAGTCGGCCACCTCGTCGTCGCTCGCCGTGCCGCGCTCGACAAGGGCACCTCGGCTCAGGGGCGACAGGGCCTCGATTCCGGCATCGTCGAGCTCGCGCTGGATCGTGCGGAAGACAGGGCGGTCCTTGACCCACGTCTCGTACGACGACGTCGTGCCCATCTCGCGCCAGGTCGACGGGCGGCACTCGTTGAGGAAGCACATGAACAGGATCAAGAAGAAGTACCCGCTGCACAAGGGGGGACGCTCGAGAGTGTTAGTGCCACTCCTCGTCCAAGGACAAGGCGAGAGGACGGTCGAGGACGCACCGAAGCTCGCGGATCCCCCTCGCGATCCACATCGCCCTCGTCGGGCCGTCCGAGTCCTCGGCCTGCTGCCGCGCGTTCTCGATCGACTCGAGCAGGTCGAAAGGCTCGCCGCATGCCGTGATGGCCGCATCGACCGCGTTCTTGACCTGGGGAGAGAAGGTCGCTCGCGACGTCAGGACCGGTGCTCGCTCGTCCTGGGCGAAAGGGGACGAGAGGACGCACCTCGAAGCCGTTGCGCACGACCCGAAGCAGGTTGTTGATGACGACGTAGCTCTGGCGGTCGCTGCGCTTGGCCTTGGGCGTGCCGCCGCTGCGCATCCAGTCCTGGAGGAGCTTGATGACGACGAGCGTGCGTGTCGTGCGGCCGCGCCCGAGCTGGTCGTTGACGATGACGGCACTCGTGTCCATGTCGAGCGAGGTGACGACCTCGATGATGTCGCGCACTGTGTGCGCGAGATAGGGCAGAGGCAGGTCAGGACGGGCGCTCGAGAGCGCGCACGACGAGAGTTGGAGCTCACAGTCCTGGAACTGGGGGAACTTTTCGGCCGTGATCGGGACGCGGATGAACGTGAACGCCTCGCCGCACTCCTCGCCGCCGACCTTGTCCATGACCTCGCGCATCGTCTTGACCTGCGACGGGCCGTCCTCGACAGCCTCCCACAGCGGGTTGACCGAGCCATCGTCGGCCTCGGACGCGACGAGAATGCGGCCCTCGAACGTCGTCAACTCGGACAGGACGTCGTCCTTGAGGCGGGCCTCGAGGAGCTCGAGACGCTTGGCCGAGATGCCGCTGCGGGCGAAAAAGGGTTCGTGGTCAGTCTTGCGCCGCCTCTGCAGCTCAGTCACGGCCCGTCGAGCCATCGGACGGGCTCGAGGAAGGAGAGAGCGGTCGGGCGCACCTGTACGACTTGACGTTCCTGAGCGAGACGGCTTGCTGGCGAAGGACGTACGGCGTCCCGCTGCGTGACGAGGGCGCAGACGCTGTGAGCGCGCCGGTCTCGAGACTACTCACGCATGGAGACGGCGAGGAAGAGATCTCGACGCACTTGATGTTGACGAGCGGTTCCTCGCGGACCCCGATCCACACGATCCTCCTCCCCTCCCCCTCGCCGAGCTCCTCGCCGACTTGCCGCACGACGGTCCGGATGCCCTCCTCGGTCGGCTGGCTGAGGCCGTACAGCTTGGTGCCGGGCACGCGCCGGAAGTTGATCGCGCCTCGGACGTGCTGCGACTGGCCCTCGGCGAGCGCGAGCCACTGGTCGTTCTTGAGGATGGTCGACGGACGCAGGATGATGCCCGAGCGCGCCTGCAGGCGACGAGGGTGCGCGCATGAGTCGATGTACAGAAGAGAAGGAAAGATCAAGGGACGGAGAGATAGAGAGCGAGCGCACCCGAATGATCTGCTCGGCCCACTCCTCGCCGATCCTCTCTCCCTGCCGCTCGCCCGCTCGTCCTCCACCCGACGCCCCAGCTGCTCCCGGCGCGAGCACGACGGCGCCCTCGCCGCCCCGGTCCGCCTTGGCGATCGCGCTCAGGTCCTGCACCGGCGCGAAGATGAAGAAGTGGCCCGGCGCGCCCTCCTTGCGCAAGCGCGTGATCATGTGCTTGACCTCGGGACGGCGCTTGAGCCAGGCCGAGAAGGTGGCCGGCGAGTCGGGCGCAGTGGCGGTCGGCGCTGCGGTGCCGGTCGGGGCGGCGGCGGCGGTCGAGGGCGACGACGACGAGGAAAGGAAGGACGCGAACGCGACGAGGAAGAAGTAGCGCTCGAGGGCGGCGAGGGCCGACTGCCGGTAGGCGGTGGCGGTGCGCTCGTCGAGGAGGGCGAGCGAGGCGTACCGCACTCGGTGCTGAACGATCGACTCGCGCAGGTTGACCATGGCGTCGCCTGCGGGTACGAAAGGCAGAGTCAGTGCGACCGACAACAATGACTCGGCGAGGGGGAGAGAGGGGCGCACAGTCATCCACGATGGCGTCGACGACCTTCTTGACGCCCGAGCCGTCGTCCAGGGTCGACAGGAGCGATAAGACGATGTCGAAGTTGCCAAGGAGCGCCGCCCTGTCGGTGCGAGAGAGTCAGACCGGTTGTCCGTATACGTCCCTGAGAGGATCGACGAGGAGAGAGCGAGAGGGAGCGCACCGCAAGTTCTCGAGAAGGTTGGACTGCGAGCTGAGGAGGGCGAGGATGGTCGCCTGGCTGCCCGGTGGAAGGCCTGCGCGCGATCGATCGAGGGTCAGTAGTCGCCTCGCAGGGTAGGGACTGACGAGGAAAGGACGGCAGGACGCACTCTTGGACAGGACGTGCATGAGGCGCAGCAGGCTGCGGTCGCGCCTCGCCTGCTCGCTCTGCTGCCGCAGGACCCGCCTCGCCGCGCCGACACCGCCGTCGCCGCCGACCGGGCTCTTGGCGCCGTCGCGGACGTCGCCGTCGTCGTCGTTGGCGGCCGCGACGCCATACGGGTCGGGTCGACCTTGGTCGACGAGCATGCGGCGGCGGACGAGGAGCGCGACGCTCATGGCGAACGTGCTGCGGACGACGCCGGCGCCGCAGTTGAAGACGAGCTGGGTGCGGGTCGGGAGGGCGCGGATGCGCTCGGCGTACGTGTCGAGGTAGCCGTCCTGGGGCGACTGGTCGCGCGCGACGGGCGTGCGGTGGTACCGGACCGAGAAGCCCTCGTTGCGCACCTCGGCGAACAGCTCGCGCGCGGTGAGGACCGTCGACGGCGAGACCGAGACCCAGCTCGGGCGGAGCGGGCCCGAGTACGGCTCCGAGTGGACGAGGACGAGGCCGCCGTACCGAGCCGACTCGCGCAGGATGTCGTTCTTGAGCCTGCGAACGGACGTACAGCGTGTCAGTAAGGACGATCGCGACGTGCGAGAGTGGGCAGGAGGAACGTGAGACGCACCTCGCCTCGATCTCCTCGAGGTTCTCTGCGCGGTCGCTGATCGAGTACGTCTCGGTCGGGTCTGCAGAGCTCGAGGTTCAGTCCGCGCTCGACCCAGACCGCGAAGAAGAGGAAGAGGGACGCACGAGACGCTTCGCGCAGGACGTAGGGCTGCCCGCCGATGTAGATGAGCGGCTCCTCGCGCGTCATGAACCACGCGACGTCCTGCCGCCGCTCCTTGCCCTTGCCCTTGGCGCCGCCCGCAGTCGACGCGGCGCGCTTTGCGCCGAGGAGGGCGAGGAGCGAGCGTATGCCCGTCGCCGTGGGCTGCGCGACGCCCCACACGCCGAGGCCGCCGTCGCGGACGTGCGACGCGCCGGCGACGTCGCCGTACGGGTGGCCCGCCGGCGGCGTGACGGGTGCGGGACCGGTGCTCGACGACGACGACGACGACGAAGGGCCCGAGGCGGCCGGTGACGAGCTCGACTCGGGCGGTGCGGCGGCCGAGAAGCGGTAGTCGGCCTTGAGGAGGAGGCCGCGCGAGAGAACGGACCCTTTGCGCGAGGGAACGACGGCGGGTGCGAGTCTGGCGAGGTTGAGCGGTGCCGGCGGGAGGTACGACTCGTCGCCGGACGACAAGCTGTCGAGGTCGAGGTCATCATCGTCGTCGTCGGTGGGGAGGTGGTGGGACCGAGGTGCGGCTGCCGACAAGCGGCGCCCGGCCGTGGAGGGTGCTGGCTGAGCGCTGCGAGTGCTGTGGCGCAGGCCTGCGACGCCCTGAGTAGTCGGGGACGAGAGTGGGGTTGCGTGGAGGGCCGAGGCGAGCGGGAGCGGACCGAGAGGGAGGCTCATGTGGCGGCGGTGCGGCGTCGGTGGGTCGGATGCTGGATCGGGCGCCATGACTGCAGTCAAAAGCAGGCGACGTGTGAGGCTGAGAGGACAGCGAGCGACTTCATCATCGCCTCGTCCTCCTCCTCCTCGGCTGCCGCGGACCGGCTCTAGATGGATCCTCGCTCTCGCTCCGTCTGGCCTCTCAACGCAGCTGTCCGCTCTCGAGTACTTTGCACAGCGCGGCGCACGCCTCGATCATCGAGGAAGCGCTCTCGACGATGCCGGACTCGCTCGCGACCGGCCGAGAGAGAGCAAGTGCGCAGGATCTGCTTCTATGGCAGCCTCCTCGTCTGTCTCGTCGTCTACGACCTGCCGCTCCCCTCGTCCCGCTCCGCCTCTCGACCCACCGGGCGACGTGCGGCCCGGCGCCCGCTCACTCGAGCTCGCCGCGCTCGGTCGCCGCCCGCTGCGCGCCTCGCCAGCCGCTGATGCCCTCGTAGCAGCCGATCATGAGCCCGCACGCCGGGCCGACCTGTACGGGAGAGAACGAGAGGGTCAGGACGTGGGCCAAGTGGAAGGAGAGGGCAAGGAGGGGACGCACCTTTGCGAGGCGAGGCGTCAAGCCGCTCCACAGCGCCGCCCAGCCCTCGTTGCGGACGATGTGGCGCAGGAGGGCGAGCGTGCGCGCCTCGTCGCCCTTGGTCGAGGCCGACGGCGCCTGCCGCCGCGTCTTGACGACGTCGAATGGGTTGGTGAGCGTGGCGGCGATCTGCGGGTGCGGGCGCGCTCGAGTCAGTCCCGGCGACAAGGTGAGAGGGAGGAGGAGACACAGAGAGAGAGAGAGGACGCACCATGCCGCTCCCTGCGCCGCTGACGAACGCCGTCGCGAACTCTCCCCTCGCGCCGTCGTTGCTCGCTGCGGCGGTGCGCCGGCCCGAGCCCGCCGGTATGGCGCCGTGCTGCTCGCCCATGCCCCTGCCGCCGGTGAGGGCGCGCTTGATGGCCTCGTACCCGGCCCAGTAGACGCCGGAGAAGGGCACGTCGCGCCACAGGGTGCTGCTCAGGCCGCGCCAGGCGGTAGACCAGCGCAGCTCGGCCACGAGGGCGGCAAGCGGGACGCGGGTCGAGCGCGTCTGGGCCTGGAGGCGGGTGCGCACGAGCTCGAACGGCGAGAGGGCGACGGCGACGGCGGCGCGCGAGGCGCTGCCGGCGACGAGCGGGACGGCGACCTGGGCGGCCGAGTGGGCGTGGTCGGACGCGGCGAGGTGGCGCAGGGCGGTGCGGCGCAGGGCGTCGTAGCCGACCATGTAGCCGACCTGGCCCGGGACCGACATGGCGAGGGCGGGCGCCGTGCCGCGCCACAGGGCGGCGGGGCCCTCGGCGCGCAGGATGTGGGTCAGGGCATCGAGGAAGCCCGTCAGGTGTCGCTGCTGGTGGGGGTGGGACGAGGGTCGAGGTGGTCGGGCGGATGAGGAGAGAGAGGGCGAGGGCGAGTGGGACGAGGGGAAGAGGGTGCGGGATGCCGACGAGGTTGGCGCGGCGGCGGTCGAGGTCGAGGCGGCGGCGGCGGCGGCCGGGTACAGGCACCACGTCGCGGCACCTTCTGCGCCTGCGACGGCGAGTTGGGGTGCGGGGTGGAGGTGGTGAAGGTGGGCTCCTGCGGCCGGGAGGGCGGCGCGGGCGGTGCGCGGGTCGAAGCGGCACAGGAGGTCGCGGGCGGGGCTGGCCTGGGTCGCGGGGTTGGGGTTGAAGTAGGCGTGCGAGTTGCAGCACACGGCGGGTCGAGGCGGTGGAGCCGACGAGGTGCTCGGGACGGGAGGGGGCCAGGGCGAGGTGGACGAGGCGGGGTTGGTCGCGCGCGCGAGGGACGATAGCGGACTCGGTCTCGGCGGGGCCTGGGTCTGGAGACGGGTCTTTACGACGTCGAACGGGGTCACTGCGAGGCGGGCGAGGGGAGGAGGATGAGGTCAGTCGAGGGTGGGTCGGTGCAAGAGGGACAGTCGCGGGGACTGACTGGTGAGCGAGGTCAAGACTGCGCCGATGGATGCTGCGAGCATCTTGTCCGTGTCGTTGGCCGTGGTGGTTGGCGAGGATGGTGGCGATGAGCGAGGGCCGGAGTGAGAGGTGGACGGCGAGGGGCGAGGAGGTGGGTGGTGTGGCAGTTCCTCCGAGAGGGCGTTCTCGAGGAGGAGGCCCATCCTCTCTGTAGCGTGTGGGAGAGAGGAGAGGGACGAGGAGGAGCGAGGCGGTGCGACGCTCGCTTCGGCACAGACACCGACGACGACGACGACGACGAGCACTCTCCCCCTCTCTGTGTCCAGCTACCTCTCGAGCAGCCAGTGCAGCCACACTCGCACGCCCACCATGGCCTCGTCCCTCCCTCAACCCGCCCAGGACGCCGCAAAGGCCGCCGTCGACCAGGCCACGGCCGACAACGACAAGCACATCACCGTCCTCTCCGACCCGGCCAACTTTACCGTAAAGCACCCGCTCTACTCGGCCTGGACCCTCTCGTTCGACTCGGCCTCGAAGCAGGACAAGGCAAAGTCGTGGGAGGACGCCATCGTCCCCGTCGCCTCGTTCGCCGACGTCGAGTCGTTCTGGTCCCTCAACTCGGCCATCGTGCCCCCCTCGACCCTCGGCCAGAACGCCAACTACTACCTCTTCAAGCAAGGCATCAAGCCCGCGTGGGAGGACGACGCCAACAGCCAGGGCGGCAAGTGGTCCGTACAGCTCCCGCGCGGCAAGTACACCGACCACATCGACCGCTTCTGGCTCTACACCGTCCGTCCCCTCTCTCCCTCTCTCTCGCCCTCGCTGCAACACCGACTGACTCGGGACCGCGCACCTCACAGATGCTCGCCGCCATCGGCGAGACGTTCGAGACCCCTTACGTCTCGCCCTCGTCCGACGACGCGCCCGCCCCGGCCACGTCGACCGCGCCCGCGCCCCTCCCCTCGTCCTTCTCGAACGAGATCACGGGCGTCATCGTCTCGACCCGCAAGGCCTTCTTCCGCCTCAACATCTGGACCCGCTCGTCGTCGTCGTCGGCCACCGCCACCGACGCCGACGAGGTCGAGCGCCGCATCAAAAACATCGGCCGCCACTTCAAGTACCACGTCCTCGGCTTCCCCGAGGGCGGCATGGGCATCGCCCAGAACGACAAGGTCTCGAGCGACGTCGAGTTCCAGTCGCACAAGGACTCGCAGCAGCGCGTGCGTCCCTCGCTCTCTCCCTCGCTCTCTCTCCCTGTCCTCGTCCTCGGGCCCGTCGCTCACTCGCGCTCTCACGTCCGCAGTACGGGTCCAAGAGCGGCGGCGGCTCGACCAAGTGGACCGTCTGAGCGTCAGGCTCGACCTCGAGTCGGCCAGTCGGGACGGGTGGGGAGGAGGGGCGCAGGTCGAGCAGGGTGCAGCGCGCTCTTGGTCGAGGTGGAGGGTTCGCTTGGCTTTCGGGTTCGCCTCGGGTGGGCGGCACGACGAGGTCGTCGTCGCCGCAGGGATTCTGTTCTGTACCATACCCTCTCTCTCTTTCTCTCCTCTCGGGCACCCTCGCAATCGCAATCGCAAAGTGCATGTATACTCACTTGTCGACGTTGCAGAGAGCGAGCTCGTCTCGACAGCTGCTTCTACTCGCGCCCCGGCTCGTCTACGCTCTCGCTCGTCGCGCGCTTGATCCTCGTCCGCCCTGCTCTCGCGCGCCCGCCCGCCGAGCCCGCCCGCCGACCCGCCCGCCCACTCGCCGAGCTACATCCGCTTCTGCCGCCCACTCCCGATCCCGCCGCCCTTGAGCCGGTACTCGCGCCGCGACGCCGTGCTGTCGAGCCCGCCGAGCTTGCCCCACCCGGCGAGCGGCACCACCACGCACGTCAGGTTGTCCTCGCTGCAGCGCAGGGCGCGAGGGCAGGCGGGCAATGGTCGACGAGGAAAGGAGGAGGAAGGGAGGAGGAAGGGAGGAGGGGGAGAGAGGCGTGTCGAGGGGTGACGAGGCGGCGCGAGGTCGGGTGCGGCGAGAGGTGGCGGACGAGGGCGCGAGAGTTCGAACGGGCGCATGTCGGTTCGAAAGAGGGGTGTATGCAGAAGGGAAAGGGGAAGGCGAGAGAGTCAGTCATCGAGTGGAGCGAGAAAGGAGAGGACGAGCCGACGCACGCTCCGACATCCTCGGCGAATGAGACGACCTTCTTGGCCGCCCGCTCCGGGTCCTTGATGCCTCGGCACAGGTCGACAATCTCCTGGTCGCTGATCGAGTCGGTGACGCCGTCGCTGCATAGGAGGAGGAACGCCCACTCGTTGCCTGCGCGAGGGAGAGCGCGGAGGGGACAGTGGGCGAGGGGAAAGGTCAGTCTGGGTGGATCGTCTGACGAGCCCGTCGCGCACGTAGAGCGGGAAAGGGGAAAGAGAGAGAGAGTGCGCACCTCGCAGGACACGCTTGATGATCTCGGGCTCGGCAATGACGCCGACAGGCTTGAACTCGCGGTCGCCGACGGCCCGCGTGTTGGCGACGACGCCGCCCCACCGCGACTCGCCGAACGAGTCGGTTATGATGCCCGTCCCGCTCGTGCGCAGCCGCTCGCTCTCGGTGCGGCTGTCGGCGTGGTGCGCCTGCGTGAGGCGGTGCGCGCGCCCGCCGGCCGACGACGCGAGGAGCGCCGTCGTGTCGCCCAGGTGCGCGACCGTGAGCGACACGAGCGACGAGGCGTAGTACGGGTACGAGTAGGGCACGTCGAGCGAGTGCAGGAGCGCGACCGTCGCCGTCGAGCCCGACTTGGGGAACTTGTCCGGGCTCGACACGACGTGGTTGTCGGCCTGCGAAATGTCGTCCGAGTCAGGATCAGGTACTCAATATCGGGGCGAGGGCGCGAGTGAGAGGCCGGGACGCACCTTGAGGAAGGCGAGGACGGCGACCTCGTCGAGCGCCATGCCCTTGTGCACGACGTACTGGTCGCTCTCGGGGCGGAAGCGGTCGAGGGGCCCGCCGCGGTAGCGCTTGAGGTAGCCGCCGAGTGCGCGGTACTCGTCGATGACGGGCGGGATCTGGTCGGGCGAGGTCGACGCCTCGAGGAGCGAGTCGAGCGACGAGGCGAGGTACTTGGACGTGTAGTCGCCGCCGTGCCTGCGGGTACCCGCTCGAGTCAGTGCCCGAGGTCCGAAGGCGCACGAGAAAGAGCGAACGAGTGCCGGCGCACCCGTCAAAGACGCCAAAGTAGGCGACTTGTCGCCGCCTGCCGCCCTCCTCGTTGCCCTCCTCGCCTGGCTTTGGCTCCTCGCCGTCAAAGCCCTCGCGCGTGGCCGGTGCCCAGCCGGTGCCGAGTCGGTCGTCGACGACGTTCCACCGCAGAGCGGATTGCGGGAGGGCGAGGGAGCGGACGGCGTAGGCGTCTTCTTGGTAGCTGCGAGCGAGCGAGCGCGAGGGTGAGCTGGATGGAGGCGAGGGTGCGACGACGGGAAGGCAGGGACGCACGGGCGTTCTCCTCGAGACTGGGCGACGCCGACTGCGCCCTTGGCCTTCTGCAGGTGGAGGAGGGGAAAGAGCGGTGGTCAGTCCGGGTGAGGCTCGGCAAGCGAGCGGGAGGGGGGGGGACGCACGAGGTTGACGCGGACTGCGCCGTGCTGGGTGCGGAAGTGCTGCTCGTTGCTCGAGTGTCGTCGCTGCTGGCCCTGGTGGCCGTGCGGGCTGGGCAGTCGGGCCAAGGCCGGACCGAGTGGGGACGACGACGAGGCGAGCGGGAGGGCGACGAGCGACAGGGGCGAGGCGCGCTTGAGTGGGCACGAGCAGCAGCAGCGCAGCATGTCGGTCGGCGTGCGTCGGCTCTCGTTGGAGCTCTCGGCGTGGCCGGTTGAGCGAGGCCGGACCTCTTCGCCTCCTCGCGCCGCCCCGTCCTCGCTTGCTCCGCCTCGCTCGTCTTTCTCCCCCTCAAGGTGCCTCGTTGGGACCTGCACTGTCCTTACAGCAGCTCGAAATGTGCGTGCCCCGCTCCCTGAACCACCTCGAGCCAGACTGACCTCGCCTCTCTTCCCTCCCTCCCTCCTCATCAGGTCCACCATCCTCCCTCTCGAGCTCGTCGACCGCGCAACAGGTTCCCAGGTCTGGGTCATTATGAAGACCGGTGCGCCCCTCTCCTCTCTCCCTCGACAGTCCGCCTCGCCGAGCTGAACCTCGTCGTCCCACCTCCCTCGTCCCGTCCCGCAGAGCGCGAGTTCACGGGCACCCTCGTCGGCTTTGACGACTACGTCAACATGGTCCTCGAGGACGTCACCGAGTAGTGCGTCTCGTCCTCTCTCTCTCTCGCCTCGGCCTCTCCTCCTCCTCCTGCTCGAGCGCGAGCTCACCACCTCTCCCTCCCGCAGCGAGAACACGCCTCAAGGCCGGAAAACGACCAAGCTCGGCCAGACCCTCCTCAACGGCAACAATATCGCCATGATCGTCCCAGGCCGTGGTCCGGAAGACGATGCATGAGCGGCGACGACCTGTCGACGAGCGAGGTCGCGAGGGTGGTCGAAGAAGGAGTGTAACGCTAGCCCCGCCCTCGTCGAGGGCAGGATGTACTCGTCTCCCATGCCTGCGTCGTCGGTCGTCGAGCGGTTCGAGAGGCGAGAGTGTGCTCTGCTCGCTCGCTGCTTTGGTCCTTTCCGGCTTCGCTCCTGCCTCGCGGCCTTCTTTCGCCTCGATTCTACCTTGGCTTCGGCGACGACTTCTCACGAGGGTAACTCTGCTCTCTGCCGCGACGAGTTCGTGCTGCACTCGCCTCGTTGCACTACCTATCTCGCCTCGCACGTCGCTCTCTCCCCGCCGCTCCTTCTCGCACGCTCACGCAGCGGCGCCGCCTCGCTCAGCCTCCCACCTCTGCGCCGTCGTGCCATAGTAGCGCTCGGCGTAGTGCGGCGAGATGCGCGCGTGGCGGGCCGAGTGCGAGAGCGAGTGCGCGTCGAGATGGTGCTGGGGGTGCGCAAAGAGTGAGCGAGAAGGGCTCGAGCGAACGAGGCAGGGAAAGAGGGGAGCGGTCGTGGGAGAGAGGGACGCACTGTCTGAGAGGCGTTCCCCTCGGCGTCAAAGCAGGCGCCACGAACCGCAGTCGAAAGTTTGGCGACCTGAGGGAAGAGAGGGTCAGTGCGGCGCTCGACGAGGGCAGCCCGAAGAGGGAGAGCTCGACGCACCATGATCCGCGAGTCGAGCAGCATCTCGCCCTCGGCGTCCATCTTGCACGCCTCGAAGACGAGTCCTCGCGCCGTGTTGACGGCCGAGACCTGGTCGCCGGCTGAAAGGTGCGCAAACAGGACGAGGCCCTTGAACGACGTGGCCGACACCTCCTTGTCCGGCGCCGTGAGCTGGCCGAGCGCGCGAACGAGGGGCTTGAGTGCCTCGGCGTGGCGAGCCTCGTGCTTGCGCAGGTTCTGGAGGGCGACAGCGAGGAGGAACCGATCGGCGTCACCCTCGCGCACCTTGAGGTCGACCTGGAGGACCGTGTCCCGAGCTGTTTCAAGGTCGATGTCCGAGTGCGTCTCGGCGTCCACCGGAAGGTAGTCGGCCTTGTACAGGGCGTACAGGTTCTCGACGAGACCGAGGTACAGAGAGAAGCGCTGCGACGGCTTCTGCTCGGCGTTGAAGGCGTACGCGAGGGTGGTGTCGGCCGTCGGCTGCACAAGTGACGGGAACGTGAGCACATGAGCCCACGAGAGAGTCTGAGAGAGGAGGAGGAAGGCACCGTACGAGAAGGGTGAGCGGCAGAGTGTTGAGGTGCGATGCATGAGCGAGTTGATTGGCGGCGGCGGCGAGTCGCTCGAACACGCGTTCGTGCATCGCCGAGCTCATGCGGTACAGCTTGCGTCTCGTGATGCCCAAGTTGCTCGCGAAGAAGCGGTGCTCCCAGTGGCCGAACGCCGTCCTCGCGGCCCGTGCATCTGGACACACCGACCTGACGCTGGCGAGGCTGCCCATGAGCCGGGTCCAGGCCGACGGCTCGAGCTCACCTGCCTCGCGATCCTCCTGCCTCGCGAGGGGAAGTCAGAGAGCCGCTCGGAGAGAAGGGGAGAAGGCGAGGACGGACCAACTCGGCCTCGGTGGGCTCGTCGTCGAAGCCGACGAGGTGCGCGATGGTCGGGTACTGGAGCTGTCGAGGAGTACGGTCAGAGCCTCGTCGCCGAGAGGCTTGGGTGGGAGAGAGGACGCACCATCGGGAAGTCCGTGCGCGTGCAGTAGACGTGCAGCGCGATGCGGATGAAGTGTGCCCGCTCGGACGGGAGGAAGTCGCCCCAACGCGCCTCGAGCTCTGGGAGCGAAAGCTTCCGGCTGCCGTCATGCCGCTCGAGCCAGCCGTAGACGGCGCGCAGCTGGAACAGGAGGCCCGAGTCGGGGCTGTCGAGGAAGGTGAGCGGGGCGGTGTTGGGTGGGCGGTTGACGCCGCCGGCTGCCCTGGGCATTGTCGGGATGCTGCGCAGGACGAGATCGAAGCGAGAGCAGCAAGCAGCCCTCGTCGGCAGGTTCCGGAGAGCCCGAGCGCAGATTTCCTTGCCGCGGACAGTCCGGTCCGCGACGGCGGGCGTCTCTCCGACAGCGGTGCGCGCCGTCGCATTCGATTGAGCCCCCGTCTTCGGGACGACCGTGTGACGGGCGCAACCAAGGCCGGTAGCTGAGAAGGCGAGAGCCGGGAGGAGAAGGACGAGGAGCGAGGTGAGGCGGCGACATGGAGCGCCTGTCGCGGCGCACAGCGAGGGGCAGACAAGCACGTTCTGAGCTGCGGCTGTCTCGAGGGCAGCAGATGCGCGAGCGAGGGAGCGACAGCGCGACGAAGCGGGAAAAAGCTCGGAACGCGACGACGACGACGACGACCAAGGACGACAGCTCGCCTGACCGCAACCTCCCACAGCCATGCCTGCCTTGTGCGCACCTGCCCGTCAACTTTCACTCTGCCCACGAGCTCACCTGCCTTGCTCCCGCCCCCCTCCAGGCAATCGTGGGCCGACGACGTCGAGAACCAGGGTGAGCACCTCCACTCTCCTCCCACCCCTCCTCCCCCTTGGGCTCTCTTGCGTGTGCCGTTACGAGCGCGATCAAGGCGCGGGCGGCGCGCTGCTCCGTCGGCGGCCTCTCGCGTGGCGGCGGTGTCGAGCCTCCCTCCCTCCCCTCCTCCCGCTCGACTCGCGCTCCGCCGATGGCGCGGCCTCCTCGCGTGGGGACAGCGAGGCCGAGCTCGGCGGCCTTGCTCGAGGACTGCGTCGCGGCTCTTGCCTACCTGCGGCGGTCAGGCGCCACGGTCGACGGCTCCCCTCGCCGCGCCTCCTTTGTCCCCTCGCGCCTGTTCGAGCGAGCGCCCAGATGCTCTGCGGCTCGTCGGCGGTCGCGAGCGTCGCGGCACTCTGCTACACGCACCTTCCCGTCCACCCTGCCTCGTGTCCCGTCGCTGACCTTGCCCCCCCTCCCCCTCGTCCCCAGACTTCCCTCCTCGCACCGAGACGACCGACAAGGATGGCGTCACCACCATCGTCGAGTACCGCCTCAACGACGAGGGCAAGAAGGTCAAGGTGACGCGCAAGATCCGCCGCACCCTCGTCAAGACGGCCGTCAACCACGTCGTCGCCGAGCGCATGGGCTGGACCAAGTGCGTCCCGGCCCGCCCTCTCTCGCGCCCATCCACGCCCCGCCCTACTTCCCGATCACGTAAAGCTGACTCGTCGTCTCTCCACCTCGCAGGTTCGGCCAGGAGAAGGGCGCTGCGAGCGGTCCCGGCGCGACGACCACGGTCGGCGAGAACGTGCGCCTGCGCATCCACCCTGGCGGGATCAAGGTGCGTCCCCTCCCTCCTTCCCCTCCTCCTCTCGCAGTGGGGCGTCCTCCGGCTGACACCTGAATGCGTGCACAGGCCCACGAGGCGGCCGACAACGAGAAGGACGAGATGGAGGCGATGCGCTCGCAGCTGCGCGACAAGAAGGTGACGTGCCGCTACTGCCAGGGCGACCACTTTACCGCGAGGTGTCCGTACAAGGACACGCTGGGCGGCGCGCTCGGTGACGGTGCGTCTCCCTCCCTCTCTTTCGGGCGTCGCCGTCTCTCGTCGACGAGCATCTCGGACTGACTCTCTCTCTCCTTGCGCAACCCGCAGCCGACACGGGCGGCCCGGACGGCGACGTGCCGTCGTCGGACGACCCCTCGGCGATGCGCGCGGCGGGCAGCAAGTACGTGCCGCCGTCGATGCGCAGCGGCAGTGCGCGCGGCGTCGGCGAGACGATGAACGGCGCGCGCGGCCGCGACGACTACCCGACGCTGCGCGTCACCAACCTGAGCGAGGACGCGACCGACACGGACATGTGGGACCTGTTTGGCCGGTTTGCGTCGCGCGGGCGCATCAACCGCATCTACGTCGGGCGCGACATGGAGACGGGCTTGTGCAAGGGGTTCGGGTTCGTGTCGTTTGAGGACAAGGCCGACGCCGAGGCGGCGATGAAGAAGGTGCACGGCCTGCCGTACGACCACCTCATCCTCCAGGTCCAGTGGTCGGTGCCCAAGGCGCCGACGGCCTGAGTGTGCGGCGTCGTCGTCGTCGCGTTTGCAACCCACACCGCGTTTCGCCTCTCGCTTTCCGTCCGTCGAGAGCTGTCCGTGCATCTTTCCGAGAGAGAGACAAGGTTGCACTCGAAAGGGAGCGCGAGCGCGACGGTTGCACCGCCCGACGGGCCGCTCTGTGCTGCTTGGCCCTCGCTCCTCCACCTTGGCGGCGTCGCTCGACCGGCTCCCGCCTGCCGCTCGAGCTTGCGCAACCTGCCTCTCGCGAGCCATGGTCGCACCTGCGCGCCCCTCTCGAGCGCCGGCTCTGGCGTCAACCTCGGCCTCGACCTCGTCGACCTCATCATCGCCTTCGCAGCCTGCCCTCGTCCCTCGTCCTCCGCCCATGCTGCGCGCGCCAGCCCAGCAGCAGCATGCTCAACCTGCCCGCAACGCGCGAGGCTACACGCCGCCGTCGCAGCTCGCCGCCGCCGGTGCCGCGCTCCCTCCCCCTCCTCGTCCCGGCCCTCTCGTTCGCCCACCGCCAGCACGCCAAGGCCAGCCGGCGAGCCACCGCAACTTTGACAAGAGCTCGGCCGGTGGCGCAGTGAGCCACGTCGGCTACGCGGCGGGCGTCCCGGACACGGCGGCCAAGCACGGCGAGGGGAAAGGTGGACTGAGCGGTCAGCAGGCGAGGAAGAGGCAGCGGTGGGGCGACAGCTACGTGCGTCTCGCCCGTCCCATCTTCCTTCCCCTTGTCCCTCGTGCACGGCGCGTGCGAGTGCGAGCGACGTCCTGACGCCCGTCCCCCTCCCTCGACAGGTGCCGGCCGAGGAGACCATTCGCAACGACTACTCGGGCCAGTACGTCCAGACGGGCGCCCGGCCGCAGAACCACCTCCGCAACACGGACGTCGAGACCCGCTTCAACGAGTGCGTCCTCGCCGTTCCCCCCAGACCCGGTTCCTCGTCCATGACCAGCAGCTCACCCTCGCCTTCCGCCGACAGGTACCCCAAGCTCGCGACGCTCCTTGCCCACAAGCACGCCCTCACCTCGTCGACCAAGCACTCGATCCCGCCGACCTACCTCAACCTCCTCGCCCCGACCTCTAGCTCTGACGACTCGCCCTCCCAGCCGGCGCCGTCACCCACCTCGGTCGCGCTCTCGTCCCTCGTCTCGACTCGCTTCGACTGTATCCTTCTCACGCCGCCGTCGTCGGTCACGTACGACGAGCTCGCCGCCCTCGACCTCCCGTCGCGCGCGTCCACCCCGTCGTTCGTCTGGCTCTGGGTCGGGTCGGGCCAAGCGGGACTCGGCGGCGTCGACGGCGGCGGCATCGGGCTCGAGCAGGGTCGCGAGCTCCTCGTGAGCTGGGGCTACCGGCGCTGCGAGGACATCGTGTGGCTCAAGACGAACCGGCGCGACCCCGAGTCGGAGCTCGTCAAGGAGGTACGTCCCTTTTCTCTCGGGGCCTCTCGTTCCAGGGTCTCGCGGTACCCCGACTGAAGCCCAAAAATAGGGCGTGGGTGC